ACTTTATTGATCGTTTATCGTGATCTCATTTTCAGAATATTCCCCGGACATTGCAATCTGGTTTTTCTTATATTTTTTTCAATAAATACCGCTATTATAGTCATATTTCGATCGATAAGCGCATATATCCTATCTGAAAAAATGAGCCTCATCTGAAACGATACAGATTGAATAATGAAAAAGCAGTCGGAACATGGGTCTAAAATAGGCTGCGGCAAATCCGCTCCGTTGGATGTCAAAGTCATATCCGCATCCGCAGATTGCGGATGTTGGATACCACTTCAACATCCGCATCCAACTGTTGGATATCCACGGACATCCAACGGATGTCCGCGAAATCCAATTATTATCCGCACTAGCATAAACTTCGTTAATTTAACTTATTTTAGCACTTCATGTGATCCTAATACAGCTGACCAAGCAATCGTTTTCCCGTCAGATTACAGATGTATCGGTATGTCATGGTTATTTGTGATAGAATTACCATCTTATGTGATCAACCAGTGGAAATAATATGAAATATAAATAAATTCAAGAAGAGATTATATTCTCCTAGCTATATGTGATATTTTAACTCCCAAACGATATACTGGGTGATTGTATTTTTGATTTATTGGTGTGATGGTTGTCGTTATTTTGGTTGCTATGAAAAATGTATATTTTGGTGAGTGAACATTAGTGAAGATTCTATGAAAGAAGACCATAAAAAGACATTACGCCGAATTTACTATAATCAAACTAAATATTCCTAGATATAGAATCTTTAGAGCTTAAAGAATTAGGAAATGCAATTTTATTAGTAGATTACAATATAAAAATATAGTGAGAACATGGTATATTTATTGAAATTGTTGGACTTGGTGATTTTGAATTTGCTCAAATGTGGATAATAGTTGGATATCCGCGGATATCCAACAGATATCCAACAAATATCCAACAGATATCCAACAGATATCCAACAGACATCCAACAGACATCCAACAAATATCGGCATAAGAACGTAATAAATCTTCTAATCCAATCAGAGGCTTAGATAGAATACCCTGCTCGATTACCTTATTGGTCATTATTTATACTCAAATGGAGAATGTGATATATCAATATTTTATATTCTAATCGCGTTCAGATCACGGTCGCGCAAGCTACACCTAATAGTTGAACATCCCCCAGATCTTTTTACCCTGGTCACTTCAATAAGTATTCGAATTCTGTCTTTCTTATTTCTCCAGTTATACTCTATATCTTACTTTCTCCCTTACCTTATCACTATGCCTCGATTCCAATATTCAGAAAGTCAATATCCAATATCTCAATATGCTGAGTCTTTTCTTGATCCAGATATCCTACAATCAGATGACTTCCTTGACTTCTTAAGCCAAGCAGATCAAATTATAACTTCCTTTTTTGAACATTCTCTCTCATCTATACAATCTCGTTTTACTGTTCATGCCCCAAAATCACTTCGTCATGTCGACAAGCATCTCCAAAAGCATTGGATCCTCTTTAACGACAATCTAATTGACCCTAATATGGAGAGCTCCCGGAAGAGTTTTGTTAAGTGATGGCTAAAGACAGAATTTGATGAAAAGAAGGACTTACAGAAGTCAATTCAATGGCAAAGCAAGCAAAAGACATCTAATGTTTGGGATTGCTTTGATCAAGTCGCACATGAGAAGACTGGTAAACCTAAGATAATGTGTAGGCGCTGTCAGACTGTTCTTGTTCATTCAAGTTATCGTCGAACAAAGACGTCTCCAATGAAGATACATTTGAAAAGCATTACATGTGCGAAGTCTTCGGGCTCAAAGAAGCAGAGCATTGATCAACTTCTACAGAATATGATTTGTCTTTCCCTCTGATCTAAGCTCTCTAAGCTAATAAACCTTACTTTTACTTCACATATCGTTAGCCGCATGCGCAGATATCTTTTTCATTCGATCAGTCGATCTTTCAACAAAAGATTCTTGAATTCATAACTACTGCCCGGCTTCCATTTCGGATCATTGAACATGCTAGTTTCCGAAGTCTTTTTAATTACTCTCAAATCGCAGAATCAAAGTTCAATATTTCCTCTGCCCGGACAATACGACGACTTCTTGATACATCAGTGAAAGTCCAGCAGCGAAAGATATTCAATAAATTGCTAGATGAATGCCGAATCTCAATTGCGCTTGATTACTGGACATCTTCATTTAAACAAACATTTATGGCAATCACTGGGTATTTCATTGATCAAGATTGGAACTATCATGAAGTACTACTTGGGTTTGAGCATCTCCACAGATCACATACTGGCAATAATCTGAGTAATACTGTTGTTCAGATTTTACAATATCACAAGATTGCCGACCGAGTGTTATCAATCACAACTGATAATGCTACAAACAACAATACCATGATAAATGGTATCCAAAAAACAGTTCAGTCCCTTTTTCAATGTGATACCTCTGTCTTTCGAATACCCTGTATTGTTCATATGATTCAGCTCTGTCTACAAGAGCTCCTTGGAAAGCTAAAGGCCGCATCCAAGAATGATGAAGCCAAATCAGAGTGATCAAATGAACAAAATTTCGATCTACAGACGAAATGTTCTGCTCGTTCAATCGTAATTATCTTTAAAAAGGTTTCTTTAATTCGATTCCCTTCTAATGAATTTAACTAATCACTACTACAGGTCCGAAAGATTACTGTATTTATCAATGCAAGCCTATAGCGCCGTGAGACATTTCTAGGATTACAAAAAAAGGAGCCAAAGATTGTTCCAATTCAAGATGTGCGCACGCGCTGAAATTCAACTTTCTTGATGCTTTTCCATGCGCGGAAGCTTCAATCTTACCTTGATGAGTATTGCACTACAAACCAATATATTCAGTTTAAATTTAATAATGAAGAATGGCGCCAGGTTGAATATCTTTTGTTAATTATCAAGTCTTTCTTTGACTTTATCAATATCTTATCAAAGACTAGGGACTGCACAGTACATCACGTCTTTAGCATCTATAACAGACTCTTTACCCACCTGAAAGAGGCTGAAAAGAAGTTAAAGAATAAGCGTGTATACTGAAAGAAAAGCATGCTTCAGGCATTTTAGCTGGCACAGAAAAAGCTCTTTAAATATTACAGTGAAACTGATAATAGTGCATATAGTACAACCTGTGCATTGACAACAATTCTATATCCATCAAAGAAACTACAATACTTTGATAATGAGAATTGAAAAGATAATGAGATTGATTTCATGAAACAGTATTAAGACGCATTTCAAAATGAGTTTATAGCTTATCAGAAACAAGTTCAGAAAGAAGCTCATCAATCAAATACCTCAGAGAAGATTAATAATATAGAAGATGAAGAACTTGCAATGCTTTGTGACTCGCAACAAAATACACTTCCTACCGGCGAATTTGATGGCCAGCAAGATGAGATTACACGATATCTATCGAAAGGTGAACTACTTATTGATTTAATCTGTCTACTGCATCTAATAAAAAATTAGGACTCAGTAAGGGAAATCCACGTGTTTATTGGAAAGAACATGAGCAGGAATTTCCAGTGCTTGCCAGAATTGCACGAGATATTTTTTCAATTCCTGCCAGTGAAACAGGAGTAAAGCGTTTATTCAATTGTGCTCGTGATATCTGTCATTATCGCCGTGGGCAACTGAAGCCAGACACAATCAGGGATCTAATGTTTCATCATTTTTCATCTAAATTTGAGCTGAAACAGACAGAGGTTGAGATAATTAAAGAATATCTTTCATTTAGTGAAGCTGCTATACTTGATCAAAACTGTCTATTTCCACCATCATTTGAATTTATAGAATCGATTAGTGACAGTGAAGAGGAAGGATGCCAAGAAGAGTTATAAGAAAAGGATTAACAAGAGATTTCTAATAATAATATAAATGAACTGACAATCTCTCGCTCCTCAAAGCGGCCGATGGATAGTTTAGATCTGGAAAATAGTGTCCTGTTCGAGGAAACGGCATTCAATGGTACACAGACCCGGACAGAAAGGATTCGGAAGAAGCCACGATTACTAGACGGATTCGAGATAGGCAAGCCATAGTATAACTATATAATATGTTGAATGGAGCAGTTGAAGAGTGAACTAATGCAATATATCATTAAAAATAATATTTGTATCACGAATATGTAATTAATTCGATAATACATAACGCGGGTCATACAGAATATTATCTTGAAATCTGCATAAGATGTGCATGTCGAATCAGATCACGAGACTTGGCATGTTTGTATTGTTTTCAAATCCGCTGGATATCCGCGGATATCCAACTTTTTGAAGCCTAAATCCGCATCCAATCCGCGCGGATAGTTGGATGTCAGAATCATATCCATATCCGCAATCTGCGGAGCGGATGCGGAGCGGATTTGGATTTTCGCGGATGCTGCCGCAGCCTAGCTGCAACTTGTGGTGCAAAATACCCCTAGTAGTCCACGGCAGGATCCGTTTCGAGGACCCGCTTTTACTGGAGTCGTCATACTCAGTAGTTAATAGGTAGGGGTTCCTGATGTAGAGGGCTCCTATTCTAATGTCGACTGTGGTCAGCCGCCAAGTCGCCAGCATCATGGAAGTCACGGCCAGAGTTGCTGATTCCGCAGATCATAAGCAAATCATGGTGAAGCTTACGCTGTGTTCTGTGGGACCTCCAGCTGCCGATCTTGGTCACCTGCTAGGCCTACTACGTTGTGCCGGGGACACAGGATTCCATGTTAAGGGGCGGGGCAAGAACATATATCGGCAGTGCCTGGCATCTGCTGCCAAATATACTACAGTCCTGGATGTCGAGTAGGTTTTTTATCATTCTAAACTTTTTATCTCTTATAGGCAATGTGATGAGGCTTGTCAAGCCCATTAAAAGGCAAAGAGCAGCTGAGCTAAAATGATTATAGGTTCCTTTGTCCTCCTCTCCGGTGTGTGAGGTGCAAGCAATCATTGTCAGTGCGCCGGTCACCCTTGCGGTTGAAAACGACCGCTCGATGCCTACCCTCCGGGATTACAGCATCCTCGTGAAAGTCGGCAGCGTTGCCATGAACCCGACTGACTGGGAAAACGCGCTCCGAAGCCAGCCCGGAGTGACAGTTGGCTGCGACTACGCGGGGATTGTCGAGGCCATCGGTCCAGCAGTGAAGAAGCCCTGTCGGGTTGGAGACCTTGCAAGCGTCCGGCGGAGCCTTCGCCGAGTATATAGTGGCGAGGGTGGATATGGCAGCTGGAAAGCCTGACGCTTCAGAATACAGCCATTCTGGGAGTCAGTATAATCACGGTCGGTCAATCGCTGTACCAGGCTTTGCGGCTGGCTCCTCCTTCTCCGGTGTCCACCAGCTAACCCAGTTCACCACCACAATGCATCCTCATCTACGGCGGCTCAACCGCGGTCGGCACCCTGGCAACCCAATTTGCCTAGCTCTCCGGCTACATGGTAGTCAGCACCTGCTCTCTAACCCAGCACGAGTCCCTCGTCCGAGAGTGCGGCGCCGACCAGATCTATGACTACCACGACTCGGCCGCCGCGCACAAATCCGTGAAGCCACCCAGGACCAACTTACCTTGGTGCTGGACACCATCTCGACCCCGGAAACCGCCGCCTTTTGTGGCCAGGCGATGAGCAGCACCCCCGGGGGCGATTACACTGCGCTGTTACCCGGTTCTCCCGTGTCCCGGGAGTATGTCCGCAGTCGCTGGACCGTGGCGTACACTGCAGGCAGGTATGAGTTCTTGTTCCATAGGCAGCGAAATACACGAATACCGGCTGATTTGGCCGATCAGGCTTTTGCGGAGGCCGGGCTGGAAACTGCCGCGCGCTTGTTGGCGGACGGCGCTGTGCTCCCGCATTCGGTGCGGCTGGGCGAAGGAGGTCTGGCAGGGGTGATTCCGGGGTTGCATGCAATGCGGGAGGGAACGGTGCGCGGATGTAAGCTGGTGTTCAATGTTGGGGAGGAGCAGAGTGACTAGTAGCGGGTGTGGTTTGGACTGCTAGGGTACTGTATCAAGAAAGGTAGATGCAAGATGGAAGCATAGTTGCGTAAAGTTGGCAGAGGGGATAATTTAGCATATATTGCAAAATGTGGATACAAGTGAATAAGCCATGATGCCGGACCGAGAATATTAGGAAAACAAGAACCGAACGCGACGGCTAGCCCCGGAGGCAGAAGTGGTCTCAACCGGCTGGGCCACGGACGATGTTGAAGCCACGGCCGACGAAGTTGTAGCCGGGGAAGTAGAGGTTATCGACGCGGATGTGAGGTCCACCACCAAAGAACTCCCAGTCGAAGAAGAACCGGCGGCAGTAGTCACCGTGACAGCAGTCGAAGAGGTAGTGGCATGTCCCAGGGGAGAATCCGCGTAATCTTCCTCCAATTCCCACACGGAGTACGTGCCGTCGCCACCACCTATCCCCAGGTCAGTCAACTCGACAATGCATCACACTCATTCAGGCTCACACGTACAGCTTTCACTGGGATATCCCGGGCAATCCATATCACACGTGCCTCCCATACTATTGAAGCCGGGGGGCTGGGGGCCACACCAGCAGTCTTCGCCTTGCAAGGCAAAGAAATACCCCTTCTCTTTCTCACACAGTTTCTGGCAGTACCCTGGCGATTGATACGCAGAGGATCCGAGCTTTGTCATGTCCCCTGAGCTTCTCATGCAGGCGTAGTCGCCCCATTGCACCGCCTGGGCCGAGACAGCCAGGAGGGCGAGAGTGCCCAACGAGGTAGAAAGTGCCGCGACCATTGTCGGTCGGAGTCAATCTCACAAGAATTTTCAGAGGCTCGGGAGAACGTGAAAAGAAGAGTAAGACGGGGGAGAGTAGAATCAAATAAGAGCTTGGGTTGAGAACCTGGACACCGTGAACAACGTGTGGGCAGCGCGATGAGACCCCACGTATGAGAACCTCCGCTTCATCTCCGGTTCTCTCCCAAAGGGGCCAACTGCCCCTATTTGGGAACATTTGGGAACTGTTATTGATGCGATTGGTGGGTGCGAGGAAGCTATTGGCAACGGGGTTCCACTCTTTCCTGATTATATCCTCGTAGCCTCGTCTTAGCTTCAGTCCGTGCCTGGGCAAAATTCCACTTGAGGCTACGGGCGGAGATAACCGAAATTGGTGCCTAAGCACGGTACACCCTGGTCGAGTATTATGAGATTTTTATGAAGTTTATCCGGTACATATCACTACTCCGCATATACCTTCACCCTGTCTTATCCTTAGTATCACACCCGCCGTAGGACCAAAAGTCAGGAACACACTCCGTGATGGCACTACAGTCGTCAGCCTCCTTGCAGCTGGCAAAATATCGGTCCCCCTTCAGCCAGCACCATGCCATTCCCTCTTCCCACTCATCATTCGTGCGCTTTCCCGTCTTCTCGTTGCAGCTGCTCCAGCAGGTGTTTGCTAGCCCGGTATTGCCGCCCTGGGGCGCGCACCCACCGGACGGCGGAACAACGCAGCCCCATGATTTCGCGCACTCAAAGTCGGTCGGACAGTCGGCCTGCTTGAAGCAGCTGGCAAACGGATCGCTTCCGCTTTGCGATATGTAGCACCAGGGGTCGTTTTCCGCCCAGTCGCCGCCAATGGGCGAGCCCGTGTCCGGGTCGCATTTGTTCCAGCAGCGCCGGGTGGCACTGCTACTACCACCTACATTACTGCAGCCGTCGGCGGCTGTCGCAGCCGGGGGGGAAGATGTCGTCGAAGTCTTGGTCGAGGTCTTGGCTGTGGTCTTGACCGTGGTTTCGGAAGAAGTGGGGGGATCTTTGTCGATAGTCGTCGTGGTGGCCGAGACTGTTGAAACAGCAGTCGTGGCCCTGCTAGGAAGCCGGCCATTGCTGTCTCCCTGGTCTTCATCGGGGTTAAAGCTGCTACAGACACCCTCGCCGGTTGTTGTAGTTGTGGCCGTGATGCCGCAACCGACAGCGAGCATGCTGCTTGTTGTGGTGCACGATGTCGATGTCGACTCCAGACTCTGGCACGATACCCAATAGTTTGTTTTGGTGGATGACTCGGTGCAACTACTGTCTGGATACTCTGTGTCGTCGTGATTGTTGTTTACTGGGTCCCCAGGAGGTCGAGGGGAAGGTTAGGGTCTTTGGGGTCTGAGAAGCCACCGTCGCCAGCACCACCGCCTTTGGGGCAGATAAAGCACGAGCAGAATTCGAGAGGACCTGAACAGACCTTGCTGCAGTCCTCGTCAGCGCCGCAGCGGGGCGAGCCGGGGCCGTCCTTGACTGCGATGACCGGGATGGGGGGAAGATCGATGTCGTCGTCGTCGTCGTCGTCGTTGCCCCCGTCGTCATTGCCATCGCCGTCATCATCTCCTCCATCATCGCTGCCGTCGTCATCGTCGTCGTCGTTGTCATCATCATCGTTGTCATCTTCGCCGTTGTCAACGTAATCCTTTGGATAGTAGATGACAGCGCCCTGAGGCCAGGGCGGCAAGGTCACGCTCCGAGTGACAGGCGGATGGGAGACGCCCGTCATGCTCAGAGGGTTAGGGTCGTTGGTGATTGTAATTGTCTGCGCCGGAAATCGTGGCCTAGATGTGATGGTGATGGTGCTGTTGCCCTTGATGGGAACCGTGATGTTAACATTAGCCATCGACAGGGATGTTACGGTAACTGCGCCGTACAACGATTAACGGCGGCCCCAGAGAAGAACTAGAGGATTAGGACCAAACTTACCCGCGGGTGCCTTGATAGTTGTTTCCTGCAGAATGCGAGTCACGGTGGTAGTGGTCACAGTCGAACCACCGGTTGTCAGGGTCGCGGCTGTTGGCCAGGCCACATCCAGGGTCGTGATATAGGGAAGACGCGAGATGACAGATGTTGAACTAAGAGGGAAGTCTGGAAGAACGAGGACGCAGGGTGCGGGACATTGCACGGGTGCAGGATCCTTCCCGTCAGTCCAGATACTGGGGGAGATGTGGACAATGGACTGGTTCAGGAAGACGCCGTCGCCGCTATCACCACTATTCCCCCCGCCAGAAAAGCCGAATGCCTGCAGGTCAACTGCCCAGTCTGTTGTCCCGCCCATGCTGAGGCCTTTGTAGTAATCTGTCCGGTTGGTCCTCGTGTCCTCGTTCATGAAAGCGACCCATTCTGTGGATCCGTACACAAGAATGTTGCTGTCGCTGCTGTTGTCGTAGAATGTCTCTGCGGTGTCGTCCTCGTCAAGGATCCGGTAGATCTCCGCATCGGCGATGTAGCCTGCTGTATCGGTGCACTTGCCTTTTGCCGCGCCGGAGTCAGGTCCAACGAACCTGCACATGGGCCCAGTGCAGCCCGCCTTGGTCATTTTGAAGGAGCGTCCGTAGCTGGCCAGCCCCACGATGATCTTACGAGAAGAAACACCGGCCTTTGTAATCATTGATAGAGCGCTTGTGGTCTTTGTCAGATTCACGTGAAACCGTAGACAGTCACCCTTCGAGCATCCAGAAGTAGCATATTGATTGCCATAGTCTCATTGGCCATGCAAATCATAAGCCATATAGACAATATAGTCAACGACTTTGGAGATCTCGGCAATGGAGAAACTCTTCAAGTACCAAAAGGAAGCAGGTGCCGCAATTGTTAAAATCTTGCTGTCTGAAAGCTTCTCGCGCACCAGTTTCAAGAACTGCAGATACCGTTCCCCATCACTTTCATCACCGGCAAAGATTTCCGGGATATCTGGGGCTTTTGGATATTTCCAATCAAAATCGACCCCTTCGAGATCATGATCCACAATAAAGTTGACAACATTTGTAGCAAATAACTCTCGATTTGCGTCAGTCACGCCTTCCCGAAAGATGGGAAAGGAGTCTGCTTCCGTTGAGAAAGACCATCCACCGAAAGACAAGACACGGTGCACCTCGCCCATGCTCAACAGACGATCGAATTGCGACTGCACAACTGAAACATCCACTTGATAGTCCTCGGTAATTTCCGCGAAAGCAAAATGAAGATGGCTGTAAGCGGATATATCGAAGTAGTCTATGTCCATATTCAGGCACTCGCGCTCAAAGTTCCATGCCTCAAAATACCCAATCGTTATGAAAGAATCTGGAGGAGTATCTTGAATAATCTCAGTTCCGCAGTTGAATATGCAGCCATAGGTACCGGGGGCTGCTGTACCGGGGGCTCCGGTTTCTGATTCGGTAACCGTGCAGAAGTCATCAGTGATACCGCACTGGCCCCAGATATTGCAGCAGGACTTTAGCGGGCATGGATTGAGGTCAGCCAGATCAGTCTCTGTGCCTTTGCCTGGCTTTTTCGTGCCTGGGACTTGCGGTCCGCAAACAGCATTGTCAAGACTCTCCGGCATCGCGGGGTCGCTCTCGCTAAGGCAGATCCGTTGCTGGGGCTGGAGGTGGTCATAGCCTGCCCAACCCCAGGTGTTTTTATTGAAGTCCTCCAAGTCCTCGGCAGAGATACTGTTGGCAGCGGCTATTGTAGAACAATATTCTCCAGATTCCACGAGGACAGAGGCACATGTGCCATCAGGCTCAGGCTTAGGGGTAAGGTCGGGGAGGTCACCAGAAATGCAGCATACATACTGCCCGACTGACAAGATGGAACAGGGATTTTTGTCAGGGTTATATTTCTCAAGCTTCGCGCCTGTAATGCCACACTCTTCAGCGAGGGACCCGCAGGAGTCGCCGGACGCGACTTGAATGGTCTCGCACGTCGCTCGTCGTTGATTGGAATGGACATGGTGGGCACCGTGGTGTGGGTTGCGGCGGGCCAGGTGGCCGGTAGTCGAGTTCGCCTTAGTGAGGGGTATCCGAAGACGCAAAGCAGCATTGGGGAGTTTCTGGCTACCGTCAAACTCGGTTTGGCATTTGGCCTCATTCCAATCCCGCATAATACGCTGCACGGCAGGAAGGTCACCGGTCGGATCCACCACGATACCAAGTCCTTTGTTTGAATTGACACCGCAGTACTGAAGGAGCACTCGACCAATAGTCTTCTGCGACTCGAGATATCCTGTGAAATGCTGCAGCGCGGTGGCGGCGGCATCAGAGTGAAGAACACCGTGTCCAACATAGAGACCAACAAGGGAATTACCGGAGTAACTAAAGGCCGTGGTCGATCTGTTGTTGCTCGATGTCAAGAGCATTTGTTGAACTTCTTACACGGCAGCTTCAACGCCCACTGGACTCAAAGAAATCGGCGTGTTCCACCAGCCAAGCTCAAGGCTTACTTCCTGAGATTTGAATTTCTCGGAGGAGGCAGGGGCTTGTGCAGCTTTTGCGGAGTGGGCGTGGGAGGATACTGAACAGGCTCGTATAGAACTGGAAGGATTGTACAGGGAAAATTGAAAACGGGTTGTCTGATTGCAAGCTGCGAGACGGTCTAGCCCGGTGTATGCGGCCCATTCTGTTGGAGAAGAGCCTTTGCAGTCCGTTGGGCATGGGTTCCAAAGTCGAAACCAAGCCTCGAGAGTAGGTCCTGCACTGGCTTGTGACAAAAACGTGAGGATTGAAAACGAAAGTGAAAGAAGAAAAAGTAGTTGGGGCATCGTGACCTTGAGAACCAAAACAAGGAAGGGATGGTAATGGTCGCAATGGGAATCAGAACCGTGGCGGAGGGCTATCAATTTATTGTTGAATCTCGGACTTCTTTCTCGCCCACGAGCCGAGGGGCCATAGGAAGAAAATCTACATTATCGGCGGGTAACATCCGGCGCTGTCCTCGGAGATACTCGACTTTCAAGGCCTGACCCTTGGACTCTTGGACTCGAAATCATTAAGACTCCCAGAGAACAAGCGGCAATTTCTTCCCGTATTGTTTGCCTACAGAGTACCTCCAGAAGAACTCGCCTATCAATGTAGGCTTAAAGAGGCAATAATTCCGAGTGGGTTCATGCAAGCAATATCAAGGAGTCGGACCGGGGGATCAGGCAGATCGCAATCTCTTTTTCGGAGAGCCGACTGGCGGCGGAAGAGCCAGGGCCACAGGGTACTATTAGTCTATTGCTCACAAGGCTTAGGTCTAGATGCCGTTGGTCTTGGCGCACCGGCCCTGGAGAACTACACACCGCGGCACAGCTTCCCTCTATGAAAATAGCTCGGAACTAATCAGGTTTATCACATGCCTTTAATTTCCCATCTTGATCATACAGGGTTTCTTTCTGGGCTCGCCCGGTGCCTGGCTACAAAGTACCATGATCAGCACTGACTATAGGAGGATACTCTGTACCCGAGGCAAGGACCCCTGTCACCGTGGGTGCGATGCGACGCTGGCCCATCTCAAACGTATCTCCAAGGTTGAATCGTAAGATTGGCACGAAGCAAGTTGACTGTGCCGCATGGGCACAGTGGTATTGCAATACGCTCATAGAGCGGCATACTCGGGAATACCGGAACTGCTGTACTTGTGCAAAGGCCGCCAGGAGAGATTGAGCCAGGGTATTTTTGTCCCAGTGCGTTGCTAGCCATCGCCGGCGGCGCCATATATGAGGAACGCGCCCTTTTCCTCCAATGGACTGCTAGGCACCCTCTTTTTCTTCCATATCGAAGATTTCTTCGGCACTCAAGATGACTTCCCAGATTCTGGCCACCCGTCTACTCTCTGGTATCCTGTTTGCACTTTCACTTTTTTTTCCTTTGCCAGGGCAGTCCTGCGGCTCGACCGGTAGATGCATCTTCAGCCGATGAGCACTTGCTCCTGGGCAATACGACCCTTCCACTGCATCCCCGAGAAGATCACTATGCTGAAAGTTTACTTCATTTTCTATCAAAGCGTGCCCCTCCACAGACTGTGGAGCAGGGCGCTCGAATGGCAGAATCGCAATTGCTATGTTACTTCGGAGCCGACAATGCTCCCACCCAGTCAACCTGGAGAGAAGAGCATTTGAACAGATGGTATTCCCAGGCGGATTACTTCGATAAGTGGTCGACGCCACCGGATGGGCTCTCTTATAGCGGCTATACTCTTGCGAAAGAGATGGACGCTCTGAAGCTCCCGAAGAAACTCGGAGACCGCGGATTGACACAATTTTACTGGGCCCAGGATCAAGAGTTCGAGTTCAATGGCAAGTCATTCCCGGTTAGTTCTCTGTTCAAATCATCGAAAACTTAAAAAACCTCTGACATGCGTCTCTGGTTCAGCTTGGAACGCAAGGATCCTATATGGGCACGATAAACGTCGAGAGGGGCTTCATCTCAGCAGAAGGCAATAGAAGCCCTTTCCAAAAGAAAAATGACCCTTATCCGCCCCTTTACAAGATGTCGGGCGTCTACTTCCTCGAATGGCAGAGACAAGCCACTGAAAATAAGAACATCAAGAAACTCAGGTATTTTTTTCGGTACCACATTAAAAACGAGGATACTCTGACTATCATTCAGAAGATCACGAATGGATTTACAGCCCTCACGGAATGGCCAGGAACCGAATTCGTGATTCATAAAAAGACAAAAGGCCAGGTTCAGGATACCGACGAAGGCAAGGCACTTCTGAGGACTCCCAACGGGGTGGGAGTCGCCTATTTCCTTCTCACTAATAAAAGAGTGTTGGGTAAAAGGATACCGGATACAGTCAGAATTTGGAAGACTCAAGAAGGGCCGAATGCAAAGGACTTCTGGGTGCACATGTTGTTTCATATTGTTGAGTACAAAGGTATCTAGGTAGTCTGCCTGGCATTATACTCGTCGGAGTATATCGAAGTGCGGAGTGTTGGCAGAGTGAACTTAACAGTCGGCTGATAATCATTTAGTACACAGCAACGTACCATAGAAAGTGGGGGGTTTGGCGGGTCAGTCGTGGGTGGCGGGTTGTAATTCAGTTAACAAATGTATTTACACCTCTTAAGTAATGTGTATCATCACAGCAAGGATTGTGTTGTTCATTTCCACGGACGGGTCCTAATAACTCGATCAATTGCTGTGGCTCATTACATAATCCATGAACGACAACAAGTCCATAAATAGCCCGGTCTCCCTTCAATTTCCCCCCTTGTCTGCCACCATTTCCAAGCATGGACCCCTTCACGCAGCTACCACCTGAGCTCCTGGCACGGATTCTTGTCTATACTGCAGACTTCTCTGCGGTAGAGAGCATTCTTTCCACATCCCCTAAAGTCAATGCTGTTTTTCGAGCTCAGCCTACCATTGTACGCGACTGTTGAAGTGCGAAGTTGACTAAGCAGTTGCGGTAAGGCGATCATCGCCTTGCTCGGCAGCGAAATTGCGGTATTGCGCATTCTGCAATATTGCAATATGAAGCTATAGAATAGCGGTCAAAATAAGCGATTCTAGCATTATAAATAGACCTCTTAGATAGCCGGAAAGGAGGTCTTCAACACCTTCAATCTACTCGTTGGATATAGCCAATTCAATTGCTTCATTCAATCGTTTTTTAATGGTCCAATCTATCCGGATCCTTAGTCATTCTGCTTGCCAAGCCTTCGCCCTTCCACAGTTATGAGCCCGGTGACCCTCTAGGTCTAGAGATACGGTCATTTCATCTTTATATTCGTCAAAGGACCTCTCTGAGCAGTATTCCAGCGAATCGGAGAACCATGGCTAGCGGAATCGATACGGATAGCGCCGTGAAGGTGAAAATCGTCCTCAACGGACCGAACGATTGGCGCGATTGGATCAAGGAAATAGAGACGTACGCATATCGTCTCGCAATATAGGATCACTTCGATCCTGATCGAGAGGAATACCCAAAAGAGCCAGAACGTCCTAAGGACCTGACTGAATTCGATGATAAGTCCTATAGGAAATGGCAATATCAGCTTCAGAATTGGAAAGATAAGACGAACGCTATAGCAAAGATAGAAGAAGCAATTAGATCTTCCATACCGATCCGGGCAAGACCGATAATTGAAGACACAAAAAAGGGAGAGATGATCAAGACGCTGAAGGAACAATTCAAACCGAGCGAGAGATACCTTGACAATAGGGCCCTTAAGCTATACAATACAGTCAGCAGGAGATCCCCCAGGAAGGACAGGATAGAGGCATGATTGGATGAATTTACCTTTGCGTATGCAGCGATCAAGAAACGAGGCCTTCCAGAAAGCCAGGATAGACATGTGAAAAGGGTATTCTTGCAGGCGATTGGACCTGTATCGCCCATATTCAGTGATCTGCAGTTGCAGGCAGTTGATGACGACGAACGCGAAGACGAAACATTTTATAAACTGCTCGCGCGATATAGAAGTTATCTTATGAGCCGGCAGTATCAGGAATCAAAGGACCAATTCGCAATGGCTTCATTAAACAGCCATTCGGACGAGAAATCGAACGAAAATCGAGATAAAAGAAAGAGTCCTCAGGATTGCATATGTGGAGAAACCCACCGATTCGCGGAATGCGCATATCTCAACCCATCAAAAAGGACTGCTTCATTCAAGGCAGATGAAGCAATTATCAAGAAGATCAGAGACTTAGCATCGCGAAAGACCAAGTTCAGTGCAGTGATCAGGGGCTACATCGATCGGAACTGGAAAGACGAATCGCCTCAACTCCTCCATACAATGACGCTTATATTCAACGCAGGGACCACCTCACCTCTAAAGAACTGCTTTATTCTTGACTCAGGAGCGTCCACGCATGTATGCAACGATATTTCGCGATTTGAATCACTGGACGAGAACGCGGTAGGAGATCTGCGAGCAGGCGATTCAATTATCAAGATCCTAGGCACTGGAACTGTCAGGATTCGTCCTAACTGCGGAGGCGATAAAGGCGAAGAAACGATCATTTTAAAAAATGTGACATACGTTCCCGGTCTGCATATCAATATTCTAAGCGCCAGGAAGGTCCAACAAGCAGGATACGAATGGGATTTTGGCCGCAATCACATCACGAGAAACGGCAAGGTTGTGTTCCGACTAGAGAATCATTCCACAGGATTATGGATTATCGAGAAACCGGAAAGATTGAGCGAGGATCTACACGTACACGCGATTCCTATACAAACGACCAAGAAGTCAAAAAAACCGCTCATCTTGAAAGAAAGAATGGAAGATTGACATCACCGAATGAGCCACGTTCACCGAGACGCAATCAGGCGCTTATTTGAAGCCGCTACGGGCGTCAAAATCACCGATTGGAATGATTACAATAGAAATCAACGAATATGCGAGCCATGCAAGATCTCATGGGCTCCTTAGCAGATATCTAGGCGCCCTGGGATGAAGGCGACCTCGCTATTCGAGAGGATGCACTTTGATCTCATACAGATGAAACCAGCACTCAATGGAGACCAATGGATTTCATATTTTTATGACGAATACTCACATTCTCACGCAATAAGTACGCACCCGCGAAAGAATGACTGCGTCAACGCTATCAAGATCTTCGTCAATCAGAGGGAAAATCTCTTCAAGATACGGATTAAATTTATAAAAAGCGATCAAGAACAAACGCTCGAGAATGAGATCAAGGAATTTGAGCATCTCAAAGGGATCGTACACAAGTATTCGGTAACCGAAGCTCCGAATCAGAACGATCCAGCAAAGCGTGCAGGATCCATACTGATCTTGAAGACGAGGAAGATGATCCTTGGAGCAAGATTACCCTGAGACCTATGGCCATGGATCTTCGCATCAGCTGCAGAGATAACAAACCGGACACCTACTACCAGTATCCAGTGAAAAACACCTTTTGAATTGCTTCACAGAAAGAAACCAGATCTTGCGACACATCGTACAGTCGACTGCATTGCCTACACGCGACAAGATCAAGATCGAAGTGATAAGATGGCTCCACGCGCGTATCGCGAAATATTGCTTGGACCAATTGCATCGAATATATGGCATATCTGGAATCCGAAGAAGCAGTCAGTAGAGATCGCGAGGGACGTGCAATTCGACGAAAACAGATTTTATAACCCTAACGAGCCATTCCTTAAAGATCTGCTTCGCGAGACTTCCCCAATACCGCCGCCAGAGATCGCGATTTCACCGCAGAGAGGAGCGGACCTCCACCAAACGAATGACTCGACCGATCTCGCGGAAAGAAATAGCCAGTCCAGAGATGACGCCTCTGACGAATTGAATGAGACTTTTACTGGCCAAAATGATCAATATTTGATTGAAAAAAGACCCGTTGAATCGAGCGAGTTGGACCGGCAACCTAGTAAGAAAGTTAGATATCAGGTGACCACCCCGAACCGCATGCGCACCGCAGAACCTCCAACACCTTGATCAACGCCTCAACATCGCAGCCAAGATCATCAGCAAGAGACAGAGAGATCATTATCCCGTATGCCGAGAGGATTTGACGATGAATCACCGCCTCCTACACCCGTACACCCGCGGCAGGAAACCCCAGATGACTTCTTAGCGAGATCACTACAGAAAGCAGCAGAAAATAGAAGCCAAATCCCTATTACCCACGAGGATTCTAGCGAAGAAGACACGCCTACCAGTACAAATGATCCCGATTCGTACATCTCATCGAGATCAGGGGGTGGAAGATTAGGGGGTGAAAGATCAAGAAGACGAGAACCTCAGGATGATGGGACCCGTCCCGAGAATATCATTCAAGGCACGAGATCACGAAGAGTACGATTCGACCCGCAGTATATCACCCATTCGATCATACAAGATCCCTCAATCATCGAAACGCCGAATCGAGTAGAATATGCCTTCTCGATTGCCCTCGATTCAGCAGGAATCAATAAGAAACGATGGCATCGAAATGATCTTCCTCCGCCATCAGAAACGTATGCAGAAATGCTGCAGCACCCGCTAAAAGACGAATTTATCTCTGCTACCCGTGTAGAGATAGGAAACCTTGAATCGATGGAAGCATACAATTTCGCATACTACGAAGAAGCGAAAAATGCGCAGATCCTACCACTGAAATGGGTCTTCACATACAAGTTTGATGAAAATGGACAATTTCTAAAGGCTAAAACAAGAATCTGTGTACGCGATGATCTGGAAGAAGACTCTATATCTACTAATTATGCAGCAACCGCGTCCGTGAAGGCATTCAGAGCAGTCATGGCATTTGTGACAGCATTCAACCTCGATACGGACCAACGCGACGCCGTTAACGCATTCCTGAATGCACTGCTTGACGAAACTATATACACAAGATGTCCGGACGGATTCAAAGTCAAAGAAAGAGTTTAGAAGCTTAGAAAGGCACTATACGGATTGAGAAAATCGGGACGCCTTTGGCAGAAGGATCTGACGATGACACTACTTGAATTTGGCCTTGTCCCCGTCCCGGAGAAAGAATGCCTCTATTCCAATGCCTACATGATCGTCCTTGTATACGTCGACGATATCATCATTATCAACCTACCTACAAAAACCGCACGCGAGGCAACTGACCGATTCAAACGCGCCCTCGCGAAAAAATATAAGTTACGCAACATGGGAGAAATAAAGTGATTTCTAGAAGTCAAGATCATTCGAGATAGATCCCAGCGAAAGGTCTAACTTTGCCAGGACGCTTACCTCGAGAACCTCGCTGCGAAATTCCATCTTAACGATCTGAAGACCTGACCAGCGACTCCTTATTCAAACGCCTATGACCTGTCCCCATACACGGAGCAGACACCGCCCCAGAGAATCAAGGAATACGAGATGAAAATAGGATCAATCCAATATCCCACTATGACCACCCGCGCTGACGTTGCCTATATGGTAAGCCGTCTATCTGAAACACTGAAGAACCCGTCTCCGGACCATATCCTTGCTGCGAATCGGGTTATTGCCTACCTCTACGCTACGCGTTTTCTAGCAATCGAATACTCAGGAAACCAAGAGACCAAAGAAGTGGCAGTAATCGCTTCAGATGCAGCATTTGCAGATCGATACGATCGATCGAGCTCTGCAGGATTCATCTGGAAGCTATACAGAGGCCCCATTGAATGGAAATCAGGCAAACAACGTGCAATTACTACCTCTACCACTGAAGCCGAATACCTTGCGCTTTCTGAAGCAGCGAAAGCAACATACTGGTGAAAAAGAGTTTTCAACACCATGGGATTTGACCCTGACCACGATTTAATCGTACACTGCGATAATCAACAGACTATTCGCTTAACCACTTCAGCAGACGTTGAGCAGAGATCTAAACTACGCCATGTCGATATTCATCGATCCTGGCTCCGTCAGGAGGTTCAGCAGGGACGCCTACACGTTGCATGGGTCCCTACCAACGAGATGATTACAGATGGCCTCACGAAGGCACTCCCCGCTCAGAGACACCGCGAATTCGTCAGGATGCTCAACCTAGTCAATATCAAAGACCTCATCATCGATATAGAAGAATGTTGACCTTCGCAAGGCGATGAGGGGATGTGTTGAAGTGCGAAGTTGACTAAGCAGTTGCGATAAGGCGATCATCGCCTTGCTCGGCAGCGAAATTGCGGTATTGCGCATTCTGCAATATTGCAATATGAAGCTATAGAATAGCGGTCAAAATAAGCGATTCTAGCATTATAAATAGACCTCTTAGATAGCCGGAAAGGAGGTCTTCAACACCTTCAATCTACTCGTTGGATATAGCCAATTCAATTGCTTCATTCAATCGTTTTTTAGTGGTCCAATCTATCCGGATCCTTAGTCATTCTGCTTGCCAAGCCTTCGCCCTTCCACAGCGACCTGTTATCATGTGACCCGATTGCAGGCCTCCCGGAGATCCAAAATATGTGCCACAATATCAGCCTAATCCAGACGCTGTCAGTGGAGTTTCCAAGCCTCGTCGATTATCAAAATATAGGCCAGAACCCCCCCGCTATCGAGTATACGGAAGAGCTCGCAAGCTTCATACTTCACCTAGCTGCACGAACACAGCGGCTAGCTTGCGCTTGTCTCACCCTGGTTCAGCAAAACTTTGTCTCGTCTCTCACTGGAAATGATGCTGGTGGCATCTCGACCTCTTATCGCGTAAAGATCGCCCGCGAGGCCTTTTCTTTCACGGAGGAATACCGCATATACTCCTCCCTGTGGCACCTCCAACACTATCGCTCCCTCCGCAAAGGAGCAACAGAGCGTTGGACCTGAGACGAAACATCAATGCGCGGTTTAGATGCGTACAACGAATGGAACGACACAAATTTCCGGAGAGCCGAGAAAATGTGGACCACTGCTGCACTGCTTTCTGATCTCGGCCTAAGTCCAATGTACGGTCATCATCCCTTCCAGCACCAGCAGAGATTCTTAGCCCAGGACCCAGAGGGTGAAGAGTCCTCGCGGGCAGCCTGGACCTTTCCAGATGAGACGCCGCTACCAACCTTTCGGTCGTTTGATCTGCCTCCAGGACGGGATACGACTCGTTCTTCACCAGTCTGGACCCCACCCTCTCCTTCACCGCAAACCGAATCAGCAAAAGCCTGGTGTCTTAGCATAGACTACCGCTCATGGTTACCTCGACATACGGACATTTTTCAGCGCTCAAGCACAAGTGTCAGTCTGAACCGCGAACCATCCTCTTATAGCTTTGTGAACTTCAAACAATGGCGACGGCTGGGGTTGGTCATCTGGGATGCGTGGCGCATGCATCGCATTGGACTGTTTGAAGGACCCCCTCGGAGACCTGACGAAGTAATCCCAACTCCGGATGGGGGATTCCTGCCTGTCCTGCCTAGAGACCCGGAAGAAAGGACAAGGATCCCGCGCGTTGATTATCCGGCGCGCTGGTTGACACTCATAGGAGAGAAGCCGCCGTATGAACGCCGACGGGGCATGATTGGTGGTCGTTGGGTGGACTATATTCCGTGATTAATTCCTCCATAATATGAGGAATAATGACACGATCCATTAACACCAATTCTAGATCTGGTGGATAAAGAGGCGATCCACCACACTTGGCTTGATTTTTGGTCTTACTGTATAAATTCCTATTTGTAAGCAAAGAGTTGGTAACTAACTACGGAGTATATCATGCAGTGTAAAGGCTGAGAGTATCCCACCTCGGCTCGAGTGTTTCAACATAGATTCTTGATTTTCATTTGGTGCACGATGTACCAGCCGCTAGTCTGGGCATGTGTGCAATGAAAATCCCTCAGCCGGCAACGAAGGGAACAATTTATTTATGTAACAGCGGGAATGGAGTACCCCCCACCCTTTTGGCCGGACAACTTTGACGCCTCAAAATATCCACTATTGACCTTGTTCCTAGCTAGGGCACTGTATACAGCTGTGGTTATCGAGCCAAGGAACTGTAAATAAATACCCCACTTGTGCCACCCCCTAAATCTACTGAACGCCCATCGATTGAACACTGTCGCTCTGGTCCTTTCTGAGAGACACTGTCAACCATGCGACCACGGATGTACTACGACGACGCTGCCTGGGAAAAAAGTGAGGAGGTCGCCGATGCCTGGGTACGCCAATTCCTCGAGCCCGAAATCTTGAGGCCGGTCGGGGGCTTTCTGGTCCGCCACCACAGTCCCGATGACCCCGAGGAGTTTACTATTCTAGAGAAGGGTGTCTTCAACATTTCTCTGCGGATGGAGTACGAAAACGGCAGCTCTGCCGTGATCCGATTTCCCCAATCTGGCGCTGCTATGTTTCCGGAAGAAAAGGTTCGCAACGAGGTCGCTATTATGCGGTATCTCCAGGATCGAACTACGATCAGAGTTCCTTTCGTTATCCACTGGGGCGCGAAATCGGAGAGTCCTTTGCATCTGAGCCCATTTGTGATTATGGAATATATTGCCCACCACACGACCATGTACGATGCTCTCAACACGCCCGACTGTCCGACAGCAGTGCGTGGAGTCCTCGACCCCAATATTAGCGAGATTAGGCTGGAAACCCTTTACGGAGAACTCGCAAGTGTTCTTCTTCAACTCTCTGTGCTTTCCATGCCTCACATAGGGTGTTTGGATCAGAAAGATGACTTCACATGGGAAGTCACGCTGCGACCTCTGTCGATGCCAATGAATGAACTCATCAGATTGGGATCTCTGCCTCGATCGAAATTACCGTGCACAACATTCGACACGGCATCCTCCTACTTTGAGGCCCTTGCACAGCTACATATTTCCCATCTGGTCAACCAAAGAAACGATGCCGTGGATTCGGCCGATGACTGTCGACGCAAGTTCGTTGCTAGGAGCATGTTCCTAAAACTCGCCCAATCTCACAGGCTCACGGGCAAATGGACGTGTTTTGAGAATGGCCCATTCAAGATCTGGTGTGATGATTTCCGACCGGCAAATGTCCTTCTGGATGAGGACTTGAGAATCGCAGGTGTTGTCGACTGGGAATTTACGTACGCTGCCCCGGTTGAATTTTCCTACGCACCGCCCTGGTGGCTTCTGATCGAAAAGCCCGAATACTGGCCGAAAGGGCTGGGTGACTGGTGTATTGAGTATGAACGGCGACTTCAAACCTTTCTCGGCGCGCTGATGTGTCGGGAAGATGATGCGATCAAGCAGGGTCGGATGGAGGAGAATCAGCGGCTTTCTGGTCCAATGCGCCACAGTTGGGAGAGTGGGGACTTTTGGATTGCATACGCGGCGCGAAACAATTTTGCATTTGATGCGATCTACTGGGAAAAGATCGATCAGCGATTCTTCGGAACGACTGATTGCGATATCGACGAAATATGGAGACAGAGACTTGAGCTCCTGAGTGATCTAGAACAACGTGAAATGGAGGATCTTGTCGATCGAAAAACCAGAGAGATGGAAACCAGAGCCCTGGCGTGGGACCCGGACGAGTATACATTGAGCCGCATGAACATCGCGGAGACGGGCAAGTAGTAGGAAGAAGATGAGGTAGTTACCCATTGCACCAGGCCAGGTGACATTGAGGATGAGGTTGGGGATTGCACCAAAGTGTTCGTACCATTATACGGGCACTTGAGCATTGGAGGGTTTGGATAGAATAACTGCTCGAGAACAATCTCAGACCAGCTGAATATGGCCTGTCTCTCAGCATGTCATTCTGGTCAAGCTGTACCGTTGCAAAGGCATATCGTATATTCGCGACTATCAATTCAGTCAGAATGATGCTTCAATCGAGAAATCTAGAGAGAATGTAGATCCTCTGTATCTTATTCGCCTGCTGTTACATTCCATAAACTTAATATTCTGTAGGCATAATCGCAGATAAATTGGATGTTTTTACTAAAAATTATCTTTTTCTTTGGGAGCGAGTGTACAGGATAAGTGTATTTGTTTCGTCACTCTAGCGCAACCCGGCGTGGGCTCATGCGTCAACTGACAATCCGACTATATATCTTGATTCTCTGAGGTTGCTCACCGTGAGAATGGTCTTAGTTCCGGGAGACTGCGGACGCCTGTAGAGACATGAATTATGATTTGCCGGAGCATGAAGAGAAAAAACCGGCAATCCCTGGCCTGAGCCTAACCCTCATGATCAAGAGACCGCACATGGCAACTAGCAAGGTCTACAAGGCTACAACCGGAAGGCAAGACGACCCGGAGGCGATAAGATAAGATCGGGATCGGCTGCCGAGACCGAGTCAGCTGACCGGCGGAACCGGAGAGGATTTGCCGGAGGATCAACGAGACGGACAACCATCAACAATGCAGAGCCCCCGATCGTCACCCCGAGCTCACCAGCATCTCAATCTTGCAAGACGATCCGCCGTAGCGTAAGCACATTCTACTTCCGGGCTCTTATAGATGCTAACAGTGAAATTTAGTTGTAATCGATGCCGCAGCAGGAAAACCAAGTGTGCCGGCACGCCGCCCCACGCTTGTGTCGCCTGTCGCAATACTCGCCAGACGTGTACATATCCATCCTCGGAGAGGAAGGTTACAGTACCTGAGAGGTCGGTTTCCAGTTACACCACTCTTCGGTCAAATCTCACTAACCTCCCAATACTCGGAAAAGCTATTTCCTCGAGCTGCAGGCGAGAGCACGCGTTTCCAATTCCCAGCCCGTTGATACACATGCCGAGCCGTGCCCCGCCGAATCGACGGAGAATGTCTGGGCACTTACTGAAACGGAAAATTGGTTTGCTGGGGATTCAGGGCAGTATCGTAGGGCAATTTCTTTACCTGGTAGTGAACTTGGACTAACGCGCCGACGGTAGATTACATGGGAAGTTCTTCCTCCAACTACATCGCAAACAGCATCAATCCAACCACGGAAACTTTGGCATGGCATTTGCATCCACATTATAAAGACGTGTCATGGATCAGGCGTGACATTAGCCCCATGCTGCCCCAACTTCCTCCATATGAACATGCGAAACGGCTCTACCAAGGGCAACATGCCTACCTCGGGACAATATTCTCGTTCGTTCGGGACGCCGATTTCTACCGCAGATTAGACGTGGTGTACAGTCGACCGCCGCATGTCGGCGACCGCGAAGACTGTCTTGTCTACTGTCAGATGCTCCTCGTATTTGGCTTCGGACAGATGTACTCGGTAAATCAGTGGATCGGGGACGACGGACCACCCGGATTCTTCTATTTCAAACATGCTCTCAAGTTCCTCCCGGAGGCTTACGAGGATGGGTCGATCTTATTTGTGGAGGTCTTGAGTTACGTCGCGTATTTCTTGCAGGCCCTGAACCGAAGAGACTCGGCATACATCTACATCGGCCTTGCTCTTCGAATGGCCATATCCCTGGGTCTTCATCAGGAAGTAATGGATCAAGCTATAAGCACCGAGGAACGGGAGCACAGGCGACGGGTTTGGTGGTCTGTATATAGCATGGATAGGCTCCTCTCTCTGACCTTGGGTCGTCCTTTTTCCATTCAAGACGTCGACATCAATCTAGCGCTCCCCGGTCAAGTTGGTGACGAGGACCCGCGAGTCTCCTCGATCTTAGCCTGCTATGCACAGCTATCGAGGATTCAGGGAACAATCGGGGAGGAGATTTATCGAAAGAAGCAGACATCAAGCAGTAGTTTGTTTGCATCCGCCCAAAGGATCATGAGAAGCCTATCCGATTGGTTCGGTAACTTGCCCGAGGAGCTGCGAATCAACACATCGAGCCCACCGACTGGCCTGAGCCGTGGAATCATCTCAACCCAGCTCCATTATTATCATTGTATCAACATGACCGTCCGTCCGCTACTACTATATGCCGTTCAGAGACAAATGGCGGCGAACACCGGACCATCCAGCCATTCGATATGGGCAGAGGGTCTGCAATCCAACATTATGGGCATCATAGACACGTCCATCGCGGCGGCACGGTCAAGCATGGCACTATGGAAAATGGCTGCGGAGTACAATCTTGTCGGTAATTAACCCTGCCCTTGACTCTACACGACAGCGAGCGCAGATTAACAGCGAATCGCTAGCAACATATGGATTTATCGACGGGGAACAAGCCTTCTCTAACGCCTTGCTGCTAGTTATGGTGAACATTGCATTTCCTTACAAAGATCAGGATGCATCGGCCATGAATGCCGCGCTGGCGGTTCTTCAAGGAATGGCCGAAAAAGGGAACAGATACATTCAAGCCTGCCATTCGCTGCTAGTTAGGATACCAGGCAATATGAAGTCAATCGCGGCGGCAATCGGGGCCAATGTAGAACCCGGCAACCCTCGGGTTTCGGGGGACACCGTGCCTGCGATCCAAAACAACGGGACCGCGCGACCGACGGGGGCAGCGAACGGTACAGACCAAACCGCGGATAGTTCGCTAGATCTAGGCTCCTGTGAAGACCCAGACCTCTGGGCGGAGGTTCTGGACTCGATTGGGATTGATATGGACAGGCAATGGATCGAGTCGGCATTGCTGAGAGAATGAGAATCTTGGCGAGATCTGAAATTTTGGGGAAGATGTCTCATAAGGCGAACTTGCAGGTAATTTCAATGGAATAAGATGGCTCAATCATTCACAATCCTCGGTACCAACCCTTGATGCCTTCCCTTACAGTCGGGAACTCCTCACTGGGCCTCTATACTCAGCAGCCTAGTCCTTCCTCCATCCCTCCCACCGTTCAAACTCCCCCGTATCCAGGCCAAACAAGTCTAACATCCGTCCCACTGAATGGTCGATCATCTCTCCAACGCTGCCTGGTCGCGTGTAAAGCGTCATCATGGGTGGAAATATGACCGCCCCGGCGCGCGAAACCTCGAGCATATTTTGTAAATGAATAGCACTGAGTGGCGTTTCGCGCGTCACCAGGACGAGCTTCCGGCGCTCTTTGAGTACCACATCCGCAGCTCGCGCAATCAAGTCGTCGCAGAATCCGTGGCTGACGGCTGCTAGAGTCTTCATGCTGCATGGCACCACGACCATGCCGTCAACGCGGAACGACCCGCTGGCAATAGGGGCAGCCATGTCGTGGATGCTGTGGACGTGGTCAGCGAGGGCGCGGACATTGGCCACGGTATAGTCTGTTTCATATTTAAGGGTGGCCTCGGCCCATTTGCTGAGGATGAGGTGTGTTTCGACGTTGAGGTGACGCAGGGCAATGAGCGTTTTGATGCCGAGCATTGAACCGGTGGCACCTGTCATGGCGACAATAATTCTTTGTCGGGGGCGTGATAGCTGGTTCCGATATGCGTGTCCATTGCTGTTGTTGTTGTTGTTACCGTTTGTGACAGGGAGGTTTGAAGTGTTGGACGAGAACATGGTTTCAAGTGTGAGGACGAGGGTATATTAAGAGATGAACAGGAGTAGAGGTAGGAGAAATGGATTAGGGCGCTGTGAGGGTTTCTCGGAGAGGATATGGCTTTATACTCCTCTAATAAAATGAATGGTTGATTCCAACAGAAATAAAGAAAAAGAAAAGATCCTGCATGAAGAAAGGAACATGCTCCAGAGATGAGGTCTTTCATTCCACCCCAAATCGACTAGCGACCGTCACATCGGCAGATCAGCCCGATGGGGTTCCGTTTCCATGACAAATTACCTCACCTGACACGCCGATTTCTTTGGAGGTGAAAATAATATTTCACTGTTCAATCAGGCGTCGGCTTGGTTCTCCCTGCATTCCCGTCCCGTCGGCTCTTCAGCCCTAGCGTTACCCCAAATCGGGGATGGACGTACGATGTCACCAGGGAGCCTTCACAAGAGACATGTATAAAGGTATTGCAGCACAAGTTAAATTCCACTGCCAGCTGCCAGACACATGGTTGATTAGCTACATCGCAATATCTCGTTTCAGTTCATCCCAAATTCTACGTCGCAATTCTCCCATAAGATGGCATTCCCCGAAGACACGAAATCCGCCGCCGAAAGCCTGCGTCAATTCCTGCATGAGCTCGAACGCGACAACGACCTGGTGGCCATCACCGAAGACGTCGATCCGCACCTCGAGGTCGGTGCCATCATCCGCAAGGTCTACGAAACAGAAGAAAAGGCCCCCTTGTTTGAAAGCTTCACGGGATACGACAGAGGGGAGTCCGGTCTGTTTCGCATCCTCGGAGCTCCCGTGGGCCTCAGCAGCGTGCCCGGCCAGAAGCTGGGCAGAGTTGCCAGATCTTTGGGGCTTCCCCCGACTGCAAGTGGCAGGGACATCGTGCTGAAGATCAACGACGCGAAAGGAAGAGCGCCCTTGCCTTCGACCAAGGTCTCCACCGGGCCGGTTAAAGAGTATAAATTGTTTGGGGACCAAATTGATCTGACCGCGCTTCCGGCGCCCTTGGTCCATCAGGATGACGGCGGCAAGTTCCTGCAATCGTTTGGCATGCATGTTGTTCGCACGCCGGACGGGCAGTGGGTGAACGGGTCGATTACGCGGAACATGGTGAACGATGCGCGATCGCTCGTGGGGCCGGTCATCCCGCGGCAGGATATCGGCGTCATCTTCCAAATGTGGAAGGATAGAGGCGAGGATATGCCGTGGGCGCTGTGCTTCGGCGTCCCCCCGGCTGCGATCATGGTCGGCGGCATGCCGATTCCCAAATGGACGAACGAGACTGAATTCATCAGCGCCATCACAGGCAAGCCTCTCGAGGTAGTGCAGTGCGAAACCAACGACCTGTGGGTGCCGGCAAACGCGGAGATGGTGATGGAGGGCGTGGTCTCAATCTCCGAAACTGCACCGGAGGGTCCCATGGCCGAGTATCACGGACTGGTGTTCCCCGGAGCGGCCAAACAGTGTCCCGTCTTCAAGGTCAACGCCATCACGCACCGCAAGGACCCCGTGGTGCCGATTTCCGTGACGGGCCGGGCCACCGAGGAGAGTCACACGGTGTGGGGGATCATGCAAGCCGCCGAAGTGCTCCATATTTGCCAGCGGGCAGGGCTTCCGGTGAAGATGGTCTGGAACCCCTTCGAGTCGCATTGTCTGTGGTTCGTGGTCCAGGTCGATCGAACGCAGCTCAAGGATCGCAAGACGGAGATGAAGCCATTCTGCGAGGAACTGGGCCATGTGATCTTCGGCTCGAAGCCCGGCTGGTATATCCCAAAGCTGTACGTGGTCGGCGACGACGTGGATCCGACGAACCTGAACGAGGTGATCTGGGCGGAGGCGACTCGCTGCCAGCCGGAGGTCAATGAGTTCTTTTTCCACGAGTACGGCAATATCCCCCTGATCCCCTATGTCACTCACGGCGTTCAGCCGACCACGGGGTATCATCGGAAGGTGGTGCGGTGCTGCATGTTTCCCTGTGAGTTTGAGGACGACATTGTGCATTGGAACGAAGGATCCTTCCGAGGATCTTTCCCGGCGGAGGTGCAGAAGAAAATAAATCAGAATTGGGAGGCGTATGGATTTGGGGTGTAATATTGATGCAGCTCCCTTGCATACGCTATTCAGACTCTACAGTAGTGACCCTTTAGGGCCGATCGGGATTTGTTCGGGGCAGATCTGGCCTGGCGGGTCAGTTGGACCAATCAGAGGACATGAAAATAATGATTGAAATAGAATTCCTTCTTTTTGTTTTCTTTTGTGCTTGTTTTGTTAATTAATTGATCGATTTTGGGTTGATAGCATTCCCATTAGTCATGTCGACGGGGATCAGCACGGCCGGCCACCAAGATGACTTGAGGCTTGACGTAGGCTTGACAGCATCGCATTGCATTCTGCATCTGCTTCCCCAATGAACCGTAATGCAGGTTTTGCAATCTGAAATGATCAGAATTTTCTCTGCGCCGCGCGCGGCTGACTCAGCGCGTCCGGGGAAGGCTCTGCATGCCTGAGGCATTAATGCCAAGCATCTCCGCTTCTGCCTGCTTGGAAGGGCTGCCTCTTCTCCCTCGTCTCTTCTCCCTCAACCACATCTTCATCATCATCCCGTGTCATTGAATTCATTCAACATGGACATGATGTTTATTTCTCCTTACATTCAGTTTGTTTATACTTCCACCACAGCGCCATAACGGCAAATGTCATATATTCGACATCCCCGACGGCTCTGATCTCACGGCGAGTCAGGTCGTCCTTGGCAGAACAGGAGGCAGGACGTTCTCCGTATGAGGGATTTTCCATCAAGATCGCCGTCAGAATATGATGTATGAGCTGGCTACGGAGGGAGTCGGAGAAGACCTGGCCGCGGAAGACGGTGACTACCCCAGTCTGTTGGACTCCAAGTAACCAACACGATCGTCTGGCCGATGCGGTCTACCAATGTGAATGCCGCCGGGGGTGGACCAGCCATGCAGTCCGGGACCATCGTCTCCAACCCCAGATTAATCGGGGCGGCACTTGGGGTAGAAACTCAAAGCGTCCACGTCGGGCGCAACAGGGAACCATCAGCCGAGTGAGAGTGAGACACACTTCTTCGTTCTAACTTCTTAGTCCTGGGGATGTTTACTTTCTCCCGGCAATTCCCGCATGCAGTAAGCGCCAGCTGACTCATCCGCGCGGCACCCAAAGCGGTAAGTCGCGCCTCGTCTTCCTTCGCCTTGAGGAGGAGCCTATCAGCACGGCGGCCGCTATACTTCACCCGTTGCCGAACATATCAGACCGGCCGACGACCGTTCAGGGCTGCCAGATCGTACCTATAATGCCCTATTCAGACGTACAACCGGAGAAGGTATGTCCCTCGCGTGGCCCTGGGTACACGATTCATGCCAAGAACTGGTCTGGCACGGAAAAAAGCTTGGATACCCGAGAAAGCAGAACCCTAACCGACAATTTCGCTGTCTTTTCCTCCCCCCGCACACGCACCCCGCAGATGAGGAATATCGTTCCTGCTGTTGGAACAGTTGGGAACGGAAGCTGAACGAATTTCCCCATTGAAAGGATTCGGGCGAATTGCCTGTTCCAAGACGCGCAGGGGGCGAGCCTATCATGCCGTCGGGGGGACCCATCTCAGGCCCACGGCGGGCATATCCATTAGGTAACGACGCAGATTTTGCCCATACAAAACTCGTGTGTGTATCAGTGGACGCCCCCCACCCACTCGGTCACTCCATTTAGCTAGTATAATATTTAAGGTCCGCGAGAAAAATTGTCTGCTCTTCTTCGTTCTGCCATTCTGTTCACCACCTGCCTTGAGTCGTCGTTGAACCTGCTTGCCTCCTACATGTCGCCCCCCCAAGCCCAGCATGACCCGGTTCGGGACCATATCGAGGTAGAGCAGGACGATGCGACGGTGTTCAGCGACGAGAAGCATGACGACCAGCCGCCGCAGAACATCTTCAACCAGGGTGGCAAGGACTACCGCACCCTGGGCCGTTGGGATACCGTCTTTGCCCTGGTCACCAACCAGGTCGGTCTCGGCGTGCTGTCCCTGCCGTCCTGTCTGAAGACCCTGGGTGTCGTTCCGGGAGTCATCGCCATCATCGGCCTGGGCTCCCTCTCCGCGTACACGGCCTACGTGCTGCTGCAGTTCTACCGCCGCTACCCCCGCGTCGTCAACGTGGTGGACATGTGTGGCATCGTGGGAGGCCCCGTGCTCGAGGTCGTGGCCGGCATAGGCCTGTTGATTAAGGTCATGATGACGTGCGCCTCGGCTAGCGTGACGCTGTCCGTCTCGTTCAACACGCTCAGCAACCACGCCTTCTGCACGGTGGGCTTCCTGACTATCGCCGTCGTGGCCTGCTGGATCCTCTGCCTGCCGCGTACCGTCAAGTTCGTGTCGCAGAGCGGGATCCCGTCCACCGTCAGTATCCTCGCCGCCGCCCTGATCGTCATGATCAGTCTGGGCGTGGCCAACCCCGCCGCCGCGCCGCCGGGCTGGGAGAACAAGATCGAGGTCGTCGGCCGGCCCACCTTTCGCGAGGGGCTGAATGCCTGCCTAAAAATCTGCTACGCCTACGCCGGCAACATCAGTTTCGTCGGCTACATGGCCGAGATGCGCAACCCATCGCGGGACTTCCCCGTGGCCCTGGCCTGTCTGGAGGTCTTCTCCATCACCATCTACACCATCGTGGCCATCGCCATCTTCTGTCTGGCCGGCGACTACACCACCTCGCCCGCCCTCGGCTCGGCCCCGTACATCCCCGCCAAGGTCGCCTATGGCGTGGTGCTGCCCGCCGTCTTTTCTACCGCTATGGCGTTCGGCCAGACCGGCATCAAGTACATCTACGTCGTCGTCATGCGCTGGATGAACGCCACCCACCAGGTGACCGATCGGAGCGTCAAGTCCTGGTCTACCTGGATCGGCTGCGGCATCCTGTATTGGCTCGTCGTCTGGGTCATCTCCAACGCCATCCCCGTATTCGACTCCATCCTGTCCATCTCCTCGGCGACCACCATCGCCTGGTTCACCTTTGGGCTGAGTGCCGTCTTTTGGTTCCACCTGAACCGCGACTGCTTGTTTCGCGATTGGAAGAAGATTCTGCTCGTGATTCTGAATTCGCTGCTGATCATCCAGTCGCTGTTCATGAATGCGGGCGGACTCTGGTCGTCGATTACCGAGCTCATGAACATTTTCGATAACGACTCGAGCCAGATCCGGGGATCATTTTCCTGCGGTGACAACTCTGCGGTCTGAGACTTGGACGCGAACCCGCTAGAACTGAAAATTTGAACCCCACGGACTGTGTCCGGGGACATTTGTACATACATTAAATGCCATATTTGATAGAGTAGCGCTCTGGTATCAATCCGCCGGATGGATCTGGACATATTACCTTACTACAATATATATACATGCAAGGATAGAAGTTTATGAATGTGTTCGTCTGCCCATGCCCTAATCTAGCCCCCCTATAGTCTTGCCGATCCTTGAATGCCTAAGGCGGCGATATGCCAAGCCTTCGAGAATCCCGAAGGTTTAGGTACTTGGCACTTCCGCCCGTCTTTTTTTTTTTTTTTCGCCTCAGGGACATAAGATTCCTTGAAGAGGCAAACAGGCCCATGATTGACAGCCTAGGATATGGTATTCAAGGTTTGACATTAGGATTCTACTCAGTTATGCTCCTTTGATATCTGAGTTTCCTAAAGACTGGAGTTAGTTGCCCTGTCATCTGAAAACTACCATTTGAAAACTATATATATAATTGGAACCCTCAATTTACCAGCGAGATCATCCTCAGGCTGTCCATCAACCCAAAGCTGTTTACGCAATTGTTTTAAGATATTAACATAGTCTATTTTACTCGTGCTCAAACGGGAATGTAATACAGAAAAATATATATGAAAGAAAAAGAGTTGAGAATTGGAACTCACCCGGGGTGCCCGGTTCGAAGATTTCCATTAGCAAAGAGCGAGTGATCACCTTTAGTCAAACGTGAAGTTCAATGTGTCCCCAGTCGGTGTGTGGGTGCCATCGTCATTGAATGTTGGATGGCCATTGATAAATGCCAATGAGCCTAGTCGCTCGGAGGGGTTAAGGATCATTTTCAAGATCATCTCCATGTAAATACTGCATGTCTCAATCTTCAACATCGGCAGATTCCGGAAATCCAACCAAAAGAACAATCGCTCACGATTTGAAGCAGAGTGATCCTTGTCCTCCAGCTGCATGCTACTGCGGTTATTGTAAGCGGCTTCGTATCGCTTGTACTCACTTTCAAAGGGCCCCGGGCCCACGTGAACAGACACCCATTGGATATTGGGCGAACGGTGCATGTTGGAGGACTGGAATTGAGGTTACGGGTCGAGGAAGGAGATTGAGAATGTTCTTCTGGGAGAGCCGGCCACGAGGTATGCAAAAGAAGCACTGGAAGTCACTCGGTGGAGCCACCTTGGGGCTTTTATACTTTTTCGATGAGACCACTATGAAATCCTCATCAAAGAACCATATGGGCCATTCCGCCAATCTCGAGGAATAGGTACGTGCCATGAAAGAGACATACTTTTTCGCAGGCATTGTTCACTCCGAAACTTTTTTAGGTCCAGATTCAATCTATCTCGGTTGCGGGCAGCATCGTGCGTGCTACCGAATCCAGCGAATTGTCATTCATTGCGACACTCTCTGGAATGTTTAGTTAGTTATCAAGGGACTTTCTTATCTCATTGTTTATCTTTCGGCTGCTGGCGGTTGCTTAGTTCAGATATAGCCTAGTGCATGTCTTGGCAAAGCTGACATTCTACGGTGTTGTACAGTACGTACCCCTTTGAACATCCATCATTTTGTTTCTAAATTTCGGTTCGAATTTTTATTTTGGTGTCCTCTCAGGCCGCTCATTATGCAAGTTCATAGGAGAGCTTGCGCCTCTTACCAAGTCCTCGGACCATTTCTGGGGGCTCCCCGGGCACTGCGAGAAAGGTGCTGATGCTACCCGGCCCAGTCTGATCGGCCTCGATGTCAAGCCCCCAGGTTATCCAGTTCCCCTCGCTGACTCGGGTCCCATCCGCATGGAAGGTGGGATGGCCATTGATAACGGCAGCGGATACGGGGCGATACCTCGGGCCCACAATTGCCAATAGGATCTTGCATGCGTGGTCAAGACATGAATTCTTGAATGTCGATGAACGAGAACTCGTTAAACGGGAAGCATCAACATCGACTCTAATTACAATCCAACCGGGTGGTGGGTCGTGGGCGGGCGGCAGGATATAGCACTGTGTTTGTTGCATGCGACGCAAGGCCTGGAAATACGTGTCGACTTCTCTGGGAAAAGGGCCACCCCCAATAATAATGGCCACAAGCTGTGACCCAATCCGGCGCAACATATTCGAGAAGAGCACCATTGTTAGAGCGAGTGTTCCAAACGTTACTGGGTTATACGGGAAGCTCATATTAGGAAGATTGACTGATTTTATACTCCTCTGGTCGAAGATATGGAATTTTCCGGCTGACAAGACCGATAGTCTTTTGTCAATTTAGGACGAAATAGCCTCGGGTCCCTAGGCATGGCCAAATTTGAATTATTTCATCTAAATATCCCTCATGTGCAAAGATACAGTGTCCCAATAGATCATAACTGCCGCTATTCATGCCGCTCCCTTGGAGCTATGTCGCAAATGAAATCCTCCTGTTGCAGGAACCAGGCATTTCGCACTTTCCACGGCTTGTCCTCGTGCAAGTGAATGTCAAACGATCGCAGCAGCTGGGGTATAATTTTCTGCATTTCCATCAAAGATATTGCCTTTCCCACGCAGGAGCGCGAGCCCGCTCCGAAGTTGAAGTAGGCCTTATCCATCTCTTGCAGGTTTTCGGGTGAGCTTTCTAGCCATCGCTCGGGACGAAAGACATCCGGTTCGGGGAAAGCGGCAGGGTCGCGATGGACAACCCAAGGATTGACTCCCACGGTGGTGCCTCCGGGGATATACCTGCCCGCCAGAGTGACCCCTTGATCGGGCACGCGGCGCTCCAACGTCATGCCGATAGATGGATGCAGTCGCATCGCCTCCTTCATGACGGCACCGAAGTATGGTAGATGGTGGACGGATTCCTGGTAGGAGATGGGATCGCCAAGTTGGCCGGCTTGATCTGCTCGGTCAATCTCTGCCCGCGTCTTTGTCATAGCGGCAGGATTGCAGATGAGGTAGTAGAGAATGGCTCGCAGGGCGATGGCGGTCGTGTCGGATCCTGCAAAGACGTTGGTCGACAGATGCACGATCAAATCCCTGGTCGACATCTTCGTGGCATCCTCCTCGTGCATCACTATCCAGCGAGACATCATGTCTTTCCCTCCCTCCTCTGCGGTGGTCTTCTCCATCTCTCCGTTGCGCTGCAATGAACCTCGGCTGTTGATGGCCTTCAGGGTAAACACCACCACCTTGTTCCACAACTCCATTCGAGGCATTACAAGAGGGAACAGAGGGTTCCCCAACAGGACATGATGGGCCTCCGGGATCTGGCCGCACACGGCGGCATACTGGATCATGCCACGAATGGCTCCGATCATGCCGTCCACGTCGTGTCCCTGCTGGAGGAATCCAAATTTTTGGGCGAAGCACATCTCGCCCACGACGTCGAACGCGTAGTACTGCAACCAGATCCCCAGATCGAGTGGTTCCCGGGCATCAATCGTCTTGCGGATCTGGGTTAGGAAGATATCGGTGCATGAATCCACTGCCGGCTCAATCTCAAGCATCGCGGCCACACTATAGGCGCCAGCGATAGGGCGTTTCTGATCGCGATGAAAGCGCTCGTCTCGCGTGGAGAAGAGGTTCATCTGCGGTCTTTTGTTCCACGAGATACACTGGATGGGATAGAAGGCCGTCTGTCCCGATAAGCTACCGTTGCATCCGACCTTTCAAGGGTAGTCCCACCTTGGTAAATCCTTTATTGATGCCGTAGATGATGGGAATGGCCTTAGGATCGCTGACAGAAACATGGCCAGGGCCAATCCGCACCAAGGGGCCATATCTTCGGTGCAAATCCAAGGCCGTATGATGATGTTGCCCTTGCCACACATTGTGCAGCTTCCACAGTCGCGTATAGGCTGCCAGCCATGGCCCAGGGATACCCGACAGCTGTAGTCTATTCCTCAAAAGGCGCACAATGATCAATCCGAAAAGGAACAGAGCGATGTTGAGCGTGCCTGTCATGATGGGTGAGAGCAAATCAATTTGGGAAATTATTGAACGGGGGAAACAAACGGCGACTGCCCGTTTAAGAATAGTCAGACCTACTTTTCTCATCGCTGCAGAACCCCGCAACAGACACGTCGTGATCGGCGGCTGAGCATTGAGGTCGTCATGAGATCATGGCGTCCTGCACGATAGGCGGGGTTCAAATCCCGGCTGAAAAAAACTCAGTCTCGCATTGCATGACTTCAGAGATGGCACAACAGCTTCAGAGTGCGAAGACTGCTTCGGACGAAACGGTTGCTAGATGTAGCTAATTTAGCGCCAGTTGGTCGGGCCTAAAAGCCACTTGGCCTGTTTTGTGACTACACCCACGAGTGTATAAATCCTTGTCACCGTCCCTGGAGGAAAAACTTGCCAAGATAGAATCTCTCAGAGTTGTTGTAAACAGGGAGGAACAAACCAGATGGATGGCTCAAATCGAGACGAGTTTAACGGGACCGAGGGAAAGTATTTGCTTCCGCATCATCGGGAGGAAATCGCGCGTCTTGAACGACAGCATTACTTCATCAAAGCTGCCACCGATGATAAGCTGACACCGATCCAGCTTCCTGTCGGATCCAAGGTTTTGGACGTGGGCTGCGCCGACGGTGAGTCAGCGAAATGTCTTATGTTTAACCTTCGAATGGCCAATTAAATCAAGTCTTGTCTTTAGGAACATGGTTGCTGGATTTGGCGGGCACCGACAGGCGCGATTTGCAGCTCTACGGTGTAGATCTTGCCAGATCCCTGTTTCGTGACGACCCTCGGCTTCAACTCCGCGAACATGACGTCCGCACGCCTCTACCGTCGGCCTGGAGAGACAGCTTCGATCTGGTGCATCAACGCTTGTTGGTCTGGGGACTCGGAAAGGACGAATGGGCGCCGGCACTGGCGAACCTGGCCGACGTGGTCAGGCCTGGTGGTGTGTTGCAGCTGGTCGAGGCTGAATGGGTGCTGAGCTCCTATGTGGACGAGTGCGTGCAGCAGAGGAAATTAGCCCGCGTGCAGGAATGGTCGACCGCCTCGTCCGGCATGGACGTGCATATCTGGAAGCGCCTTCCGGGTCTCCTGTCGGAGCTCGGGTTTCAGGACGTTCAGGTCGAGAGGTACAACCTGGGCTACGGCGCGACGTGTGCCCGGCATGAAGATCGCATCTGGACGGCAGAGCTTCTGCCGCAATCCTTTCGCCATCTGGCTCGCAAGATTCCGGCCGACGGCATCCCTGGCGTGGCTCAGAGCCCGGAGGAGTACCTGGCTTGGTTGGATGAACTGGTGGTAGAAATGAAGGAGTTTGGCTACACCCCTAGGCTCCGGTGGGCGATCGGACGCAAGCCTGAAAAGTCATGACAGTGTATACTAGAAGAACAATGTGAGGAGACAGGGTTAACTCGTGCCGTCTTGTCCATGAAACTGACAAGAGCGACCATTATTTGGCTGAGGCGTCCGGGGCAGTGCGTGATGAACAAAATTACACGGGATGCGGGCTGTCGGGGGTCGCTATCATGCGAATAAACGATACCAGTGGAAGTGGAGGCCGTCGGTGTCGATGCCAGTTCCCTCATAAAACCCCGTGGACGCCGCATTTAGTCACGCTCAAGTTGGCAGAACAGCTAGAAACCAGGCGACTACAACAACTGACTCTAAGCGCCACGGCATGTCCTGAGCTCAGATAGTACATTAAACCTACGCATCTCCCCCAATCTGACTCGGCGCGCCTCACTCGGGCTCATGATACACCGAGCTAGTGGCAAGGTCCGCTTAGATTAGCGTTTTGGCCTCGCGGGAAGGCCCTGAGTACTGGTCTAGGGGACTAGGCGAGATATTCCGGTCATAGGAGGCGACCACAGTCTGGTTAGGTATGAATGCTAGCCCACGTGGCTTACGCCGGTATTGACAGAATTCCATGATTGTCTCCGATGCCCTTTCCCTTCCTTCCAGCCATGAGGGGTACATTAGTGTTCGACCATTGAATCCCACTTTGTACGCCTAAACTCTCTTTTCAAGCCCGTACTGACTCGGGCTGGTCCGGACGCGTGTATACCTGAGACCCTAGTGTGTCTCCCTGCTAGGCTCACTTGGCTCAGTTTAATGGAATTGCTTGAGATAATATTCATCTACTGATACGGCGTCCCCCATCTATGATCCTTGCCTTGTTCGCTGAAGACTCGGTATAATGTTTTCCACATCAAGCACACTAGTGCCATTCCCCCCTGTTTGGGTTCTACCTCAGCCGGGGTTAATGATTGATGCGCAGAGGTTCCTTTGAAAGCAAGGATATCCCCGCCTGATAATCTCGTGACTGTCCGGGGAAGCTGTTGAGAGATCATCTTTGGCGGTTGCATATTTCAACGGCTCTTTATTCCACGATACGTATCTCTACGACGAACAAGCGAGAACAGGTTGCGAAAATCGGACGGGCATAATGGCTGGGATATGGCTGCTCCTTCGTCGCCAACGAGCTTTCTTGTATGTTCAACCCCCCTTGCCGCCCAGGCGGCCCGAACGAAGCCCTACGACCGACCAATTCTTTCTATATTGAACAGGGAGCTTCCCTCTCGCCGTGAAGAATGTTCCCGGCCTGGTCCTCATTGCTGGCATTTAGTTCCTGCACGAGTCGCCTCGGTGGCTAATGGAGCAGGACCATCATGAAGAGGCTCGCAGACTCCTCGAGAGTCGTCGCAGCGGACCTGAACCTCAAACTATTGACTTGAAGTTCCGCAAAATTTGGGACGTTATCCTAGTAGATCGTGCGTTTCGAAATATCTCCTGGCGATCCATCATCACGAAGCTATCATGGCGTCGTCGGTTAATCCTCGGTTGCGGCGTACAGGCCTTTGGTCCCTTGTCTGGCATCAACGTAATCAATTAGTAAGTCGTCCTGTCCTGTCCCGTATTTGCAATTCCTTGGGTCATGTTAACGAGACCGTAGCTACGGTCCTCGCATCTATGAAACCTTGGTAATAGATAATCACAACTCGCTCATGATCGTGGGGATCAGCGGCGCTCTGTCTATCGTGTACTGCACGATTGGGCTGTACATTCTCGATGGCATTGGACGCATCAAGCCGTTGTATGTCGGCGCCGCAGGGTGTGGTGCGGCGTTACTTGTCAACGCGGTGCAGGCCCAATACATGAACCCTGATAACGCGCACCAGCCGCGGTCCATGGTGGCCATGAACTTTGCTCTCAGCCTCTTCCACACGCCCACGGGCATCATCTCCTGGGCCTACCCTGCAGAAACGTTTCCGGTCGAGGTGCGAGCGCTGAGAAACTCCTTAACCACGTTTACGAACTGGACTGTGAACCTAGTCTTTGCCCAATTCTCTCCCAACGCGCTTGACACTGTCGGCTTCCGATACTTATACCTATTCTTTGCGTTGAACCTCATTGCTGCTACTTGCTACCACTTATCCTACCCCGAGACGAAAGGCCTTTCGCTTGAGCAGATGGACGAGCTCTTCGGCGACCGACTGGTGCCGCATGCTATGGAAGGTCCCGAAGGCGCTGCGGCACCCGTGGAGAAGGAGCAGGTATTGGCTAGTCACTTGTTGTTCCAGGAGAACAAGAAACCCTAGGCGTAGAAACTGTCGGCTGAGATTTACTTCTCCTTGACATGGGCGAAGGAAGTGCAGGGTAAGATGGATTTAGGGCCGGGGTTGTATGTCGCAACTTGATGGCATTGTGTGAAATAGACCAGAAAAGGATAATAATGAACGCCACTCCTTAGTACTTCCCTATAATACACTAGACTACGTCAAACTTCGCCGCAGAGGAAGGGATTTGTTCCCACTAGCCACGTACCGTTTGTTCTAAGCAAACGCTAATAGCAACTATAATTCTCGGAAGATCCGCCCCAAGAATTATGTTCACTTTAACGCTACCATGAGAGAGAAAGATATCCCAGCGGGACTTCAAACTAAGTGTATCGCCAGTGAGAGAGGCCAGATCCATGCTGGATGGTTCTTGCCATGAAGCACATATCGGCCGGCTTTGTCCCGCATCTACACGCTCCCTTGGCTTCTTGTTATAACACTACTTTGAGGCGTAACTAGCAAACGGCTTTGGAGGATTAGCTATAGGACAAGGATTCACTTTGCAAGAGATTTCTTTTACTGACAAATTTCAGATACGTCGTCCTGGCTTTTTGAGGATCCGTAGATTGGTGGCTGACGGTGCTGATCGAGTGAGGTCTTCTTATAGATGCTCCATAGCACCCTTCGATCCTCCACCGTGTCGCGAAGCTCCAGTTAGGGCTTTGATTACCCCATTTCCAACGACAGATGCTTGCCACAAGGGTGTGTACAGTGTCCAATCCATAGTCGGAGCATCGCACAGTGCAATTCAGTACCATGCTGCGCAGATGGTCTGCATTGTCATCTTCGATCTTCCTGGTCGCTCACCGTGGCCGTGCAATGCAATTGGATATAACTCGTAATTGTCGAAGGACAATGGAGATGAATTAAAACGGAAACAAGATCCATAGGTATATCTCATCAAACAATTAGCCTCCTACAAGCCCTGCGCACATAGTGGTATCTGACGTCGCGAAATAAGACCCGACTCTATCCTTCAAGAAACAATTCCCCCCTTGTCCCCCGTCAAAAGAGGCCGTTAAGTATCGTCCACTTTGCCCCTCCCATCGGCCGACTTGACCCCCTTAGGCCAGTCCACGCTGCAGAGAACCGAGAATAACGACCCGGTGGAGGCTCGAATGGTGGTCTGATTGATGGCCGGACAGGGATCCGTTGCGATTCCGGTGGTGCCAGAGGTGACGGGGGCAGACGAAGTCGTCGACATGGTGGTGCTTTCTTGAGTGGTGGACGGGCTAGAAGCACTATCTCGCACGCTTAGCCTCTCGTATAACTCCTAGATAACACGAACTTGGATAAATAATACCTTGATATCGGAGCGCTCGTTGACTGAGGTGATGTATTCGTGTCGTGATTCTTACTAGCCAACGAACCACCGACTCCTCCACCTATGGCTCCTCCAACAAGCAGCACTGCAATGATCACCGATAGCCAGAACACCACCGGTTGTAAGCCGCAAATCGTCTTCTTTCTCACAGGTGTTTTGAGGGGATTGTTCCATAAGTCAGGGCAGTTTGCAGATCCATAGTATACCGTCTCCGGCGGGGCGATATGCTGCAAGCCTTCGGCATCTCGGTTGACTGCCTTCTGTTGCGTGGGAGCGACTTGAAGTCCGTCCATGAGTTTGATAAATCGCAGAATCGGCCGAGCAGTCAGGAAGGGGTTCCCCAGGACCAAGGATTAAATATAGGCCCCCAGTCACCCCCAGATCACAAACGCTCTTCGAAACCTGTTAATTTTCTTGGTCTATCATCCAGGAATCTAATTGCTCCTACTGACCCGCCGAGTAAGACATGATCCCTGCCGGCGCTTAATCCAAGGCTCTCATGCGGTGACTGTTATTAGCAGCATCCCTGCGCGTAAGCACCAGATGCAGGGTGAAACGGCGCTTTCATTTCTTCGGGCCCTTGAACCTATCGAACTGTGCCAATAAAACCAGCCGAATGGCCACGCCTCGTCTCCCACTCCTGCGAGGTACGGAATTGGTGATTGCCAATCGTGTTCACGTGACTCATGATGACCTGGTGAGCCCTAAATAGCATCGCCTGCCAGAAGGAGCACCAATGCGACTTAGCGACTAAGATGCAGTTCCATCTGTAATCGTGCAGGACTTATATTAAGGTGGCAGCAGACATGGTCCACCACTGGGCTAGCGCTTATAACACCTACCTACGGATGCTATCATTCTGAAACCGACCAACCAGCCACCCATCAGTCCTCCCAATTTTCAGCCAAAATGACAGTCCTCCTGCGCAAAGCGATCGCAGGTCGACTGTGCCACAACCCCGGCATGCGAGCCACCCCCCCGTTCATCGTTGCCCATGCCCAGAACCATGGTCTGGCCCGACATGCCCTCTACCGGAGTGACGAAAGCATGCCATCGCGGTCGGTCGGACAATCTGCCCGGTACTCGATTCGGATCACCCAACACGATAAACGAGGTGATGTTGGTATGCATAGTTCCCGCGATCGCATCCTGCGCTGGTGAGATTTATCGAACTCCCGGATTGTAGGCCTGATACTGCATCTGATCGCCATGGTTCGCTCCGAGTAGCACGCTCATGTTGACACCCCAATGGTAGAGAAAGACGGGCGGGTTACTCGCGCTGCTACTAAGATCTGCCGTTTGCCGCACGGAACATATGTAAGCGTAGTAGCCCTATGCTGCTTCCGGGCGTTTGGACTGAGGCCCCACGGTAATGTTTCTCGTCTCTAAGTAAGGTGACCTGGCCACGAGCGGGTCTGGATAGAGTCGATCGAGCGTGCGCAAATCCTCCGGAGAAAACTGTGGCAGCAGGGTGGCGAAGAACTTAGTGAAATCATCGGACGTGGCCATGGAAGGCGACACGAAATAGGCACCCTCGTTGTGTGTGAATCCCGCGAACATGGGAGCTTTATGCCAACGGTTGGATTTCCATGCGTCGATAGGCCGACGCGAAATGATGTCTCCGTCGATGACCGGTTGCCAGGCCCAGCGAACGGAGGGGTCTGAGTCCCAGAATACCTTCTAGGAGGCCTCCACAATAGTCGAAGAGGACTGTTCGCGTAGGGACGGAAGGATGCGGTCCTCGGTTTGTGTATCGCAGCCCGTTAGGTAGAGGAACTATTCAAAGTGGGATACGTGGAGATTGGCATCGGGAGGATGCACGGCACGAGCCGTGTGGGCTCCCGAATCCATAACGGCCTGACGGAAGAGGTTTTTATTCTGGTTTATAGTATTCAGGATGTGGTGTCCGATCTAGGCGTGTCAGCAAAAGTCGTCATCGCGTGAAATTAAGACACACCGAATGCGCCGCAGCCGACAGTCCGGGAATGGTGACGGCTGGCCGCCAAAACGAGCGACGTTGTCTCGCACCCATTCGAACGCTAGTATGTGGTCTTTTAGGCCCAGGTTTAGCAGGTCCTCTCTGGCTGTCAAAGGGACGTTCAAGAACCCAGGAGTTCCGATGCGATAGTTGAAAGAAACACCCACGAACGGTTCGGCCGACCAAGCCAGCATAGACGCGGTGTTGTGTATCCTCGCCGCTCCACGATTGAAGGCGCCTCCGGGGACCAGCACGGCGACAGGCAGTTTCGCATCACCGTCAGTATGACCCTTCGGGCGAAAGACATTGATGGTCAAGCAGTCTTCGCTTTCCAAATCTGGGCCATCGGGTAAGGTCACCAGCTGCTTGCCGGAGCATCATAAGCACATATCAGTATGTATGAATTAATCCATCTTATCGCGCCATGGATGCCAGGCGACTCACCTGGGCCCGAAAGTAGACGATTCTATTGTTCGATTAGACGGTGGAACAGGCACGGCGGGAGTAAACCTAAGTGGACCGAGGGGTGGCAGGGCGTATGGAATGTTGCAAAAGCCCTCAATCGGCTCTGGGAAAGCCCCGTCGTCAACGGACGTGCCACGGATAGTGCCTTGCAGAAGAACTACCTCAGGGCGATCTGCCTGTGGTTTCGTGAACAGAGATCGTAAAACCTCCTGGGGAAAGGAAATCCGAAGGGTTGAGAGCAGCAGCGGCCCAACGACAAGCAAAAAAGTCGACATCATGTTGTACCGCAAGACTGATACCGGGCGGTCCGTGCATAGTTGACACCATGAACCAGGGCATTATATGGCTGTTATCTAGCTCGCGGCGATCGACCGATCAACCGGCGGAAAAAGGTGGCTTTCTTGCTCGGCATCATTTGATAGCCGACCAGATAAGACAGACCTTTATCATCCCTCAGGGAAAGATAGGCTGATAGGTGATTACATGCAGAAGTCTTCCCCACAGGCCTTCGAATAGTGTCGACTAACCTCGAATTGCATTGGCGTCGTGCGGGGGACTCGCGCTAGCTGTCATCCGACGAGTGACAATAGAGTCAGAACTGATAACCGGCCGACTATCTCGCGTCTCAACTGCCATCGGGGGTTAATCTGATGTCCGATTGCTGCATTCATATATCCCACGACCTAAATATGTGCTTTTCCCGGCGGCAAAGTTCCGCTGGGAGGCGGATCAATGCCGTGATAATCCTCGACTGTTGTCCAGAATGAGACATCGAGTCCGGACTACCCCTCACGCTTATCACCAACCCTGACGCAGGCAATGGCAATAGCTGGTCGAGCGCAAAGATATTGAAACAAGGTCATGTTTCTTATTTATGTGCCGCCTCCTCGTCAGCAATTAGGTTGAAGGCGGGCCAGAGCCGTTCGCGACTAACACTGGACTCCATTTCAGAGTTTGATTCTTCTGTGCAGCTACCATGACGACCCACCCCTCCGCCGATGAGACGGCTCAGGATGTAGGGCATAAGGTTCTCAAGTTGGTAGATCGCGTCGCCGATGAGAAATCGCTCTCCAAGGAACAATCCCGGGGTGACGCCCACAGCGTGGCAGTCGGAGAACTTGACTCTTCCGGCGATGCGGAGGAGTTCCTGCGTATCCACAATCTCCGACGAAGCGATCTGGAGGAGTTGCTTCAGGACGAACAAGCCCAGAAACGGCTGGTCCGCCGTGTGGACTGGCTGCTGATGCCGCTGCTCTGCGGGACCTATCTGTTGCAGTATATCGACAAGCAGGCGCTGTCTTACGGCGCCGTATTCGATCTCTTCGACAACACGGGCATCAGTTCCAACGAATATTCCTGGCTAGCCAGTATCTTCTACTTCGCCTACCTCAGTTGCGAGTGGCCAGCCAACTACCTGGCCCAACGCTTCCCCACCGGCACCTTCATCAGCATCTGCGTCATCTGCTGGGGCTCGATCCTCTGCTGCACTGCCGCCTCGCACAGCTTCGCCGGTCTTGGAGTCTGTCGTTTTCTCTTAGGCGCCTTCGAGGCCCCCATCACACCATGCTTCATGCTGCTTGTCAGTACCTGGTACACGCGGTCCGAGCAGCCCGTGCGGGCAGGACTCTTCTATTGTTTCAACGGCTTCGGCAGCGTCGTCGGCGGTCTGTTGTTCTACGGCGTCGGCCAGGCCAAAGGATGGGACGTCTGGCGCATCATCTTCGTCCTCTGCGGTGGCATCACCGTCTGCTGGGGAGTCGTTTTATTCTTCTTCCTGCCCAACACCATCGTCAGCGCCCGGTTCTACACAGTCGAGCAAAAGGCCCTGTTGGTTGCCCGGAGCTACGGCAATCAGACGGGCGAGCAGACGCGCACGATCAAAACGCCGCAGATCTGGGCGGCGTTGTCCGATCCGCAGGTTTGGCTTCTCTTCTTCTTCGTCCTCCTGAACGAGTGCGTCAACGGTGGACTGGCCAACTTCGGCAAACTCATCGTCAAGGGGTTCACGGGGGGCGACGCACTCTTGACCACCGTCTATGGCATTCCGTACGGGGCCTGGCTAGCCGCATTCATCCTCAGTGGATCGTGGCTGGCCACGCGGTTCACCAACATTCGAACATACGTCATGATCGCCTACGTGTGTCCGACACTTGTGGCCGCGTGTTTATTCTGGAAGCTTCCGCGCGACGGGAGCCAGGAGAACGGACTCTTGATGGCGTACTATATTGTGAGTCTCGCACCCCTTTCTCTGAGCGCGTCCTTTGGAAGCCGCCGACTGACTGGATAGGCTCCCTCCTTTGTGTCCTCCCTCGTGCTAGCGCTCCAGCTGCCGGCGATGAACGTCAGCGGCTACACCAAACGGGTCACCAGCACCTCGTTCGTCTTCCTAGCCTACTGCGCGGGAAACATCATCGGTCCGCATGCATTTCTCTCATCCGAGGCCCCCGTGTACCAGACGGGCTGTAAAGTCATCATCGCCTGCACGTGCGGTCAAGTAGTCATCGCCCTCGCGCTCCGATCGCTGCTCGTTCGGCGGAATAGAAAGCGAGATGAGGAAGCTCGTCGCGCGGAACCGGGGACCGTTGGGAGAATGGGTACAGATGGAACCATTCTGCAAGATCGGACTGATTTCGAGAACCGCGAGTTCCGGTACTGCTATTGAGCGCTTGAATCGTTTGTATTCCTTCTGGGGAAGCCAATAATCCTCTAATCTGCCGTGATCTCCCGGTACTGTGGGAGATGATTACCTGATCAGTCAGTTGGTCACAGCATAGATTTCGTCTTCTCAGGTCCAAGGTTCATGTTGTAGTTGTCCCCCAGCATGGAGATTGAATGTTCAAAACTAGTTATGCTAGAATAGAGTGCAAACTGTTTACTTGTCAGTTCTTCTGTCGCCACTCTGGCTTCAGTTGGCTGAGCATTAACGGACATATCCGCTGCATAGTAAGATGTATCTCTCGTCTTTGATGCAGTGATATATAAGTCAAGTGGCAGAAGTATACCAACACCGCAACAGATGCAGTCTACAAAAACTTAGCATGCGTCATTCTATGAATCTCGATTTTCCTCAGTGACCATTCAACCCGTGACTATCCAACAGGGCCTTGATTGCAGCAATAGCTATTGTTGACAGGGCGGTGATTCCTGGGCAGGCAGCAAGGCAGCCAGGCAGGACCAGAGCGGGGGCTAAGCCACTTTGGACATCCCCACGCCACGTGACCCTTGTTATGTTTCTAATTTCCATCTCCTTCTCAGTTTCCCTCTTCTATCCTACATCATCTCCCATCATGTTTCAATATCACGAACATCATCACCACTTCCATATATATCAACAGGCGAGGAGCAGCCACTTCGATGTTATCAAGCTGAATCGCTATCATCGTTCGGCGCTACCGGCCCACCAATCCGAGTCCGAGACATTCGCCGCAGATCGCAGTGCTCGTTGATTGTTGCGCTCATGCGACCTGTCATTTCTGGACCGAAGATTTCCCCGTGCGAGCAGTCCAGGCTGCGGACCTCAATGCGTGGACAGTGGGCTTGCCACCCAGCGACCATGTCTTCCGCCCGGGACAGGGGCGTGGGCGGGGAACAGACTGGGGCCGTGATACACAGGAGGGCAGGAGGATTGACTCCAGACGCGATCATGTTTGCCGAAATGCTCTTCAATCATGCGTGTTTCGCCGGTTCCGAATCGGCGCAACGCGGCCTGCTCGGACTCTTGGCGCTCCTGCGCATCGCGGAAGAGCGGCGTGCCGGGCTGGTGGGGTCGAGTGTCGACAACAATGAGGGATGATGGAGGGACGCCGTGCCTCTCAGACCAGAGACTAGCCATCCGAATCGCCAATAGTCTCCCAAACGAGTATCCCGCCTCAGTTGCGGCTCGAGATCCTGCAAATACTGTGCTGCCCAGTTCCGGAGAGTGGCCGGACCATCGGCTGTTCCGAAGAAGATATCGGAGATCAGGGTCACATTGTATCGGCGATCCAGGGTCGGCACCATGTCCTCGAACAGACTCGACTGGCCGAACATGGGATGGATCCAGACTTCGCAGATGGAAGCGTCGAAGGTGTATCTTGACAGTTGGAGCCTATTGTCAGTCCAGGCTACGAAGCCAAGCCCGCAAGTGGACGCCATAAGGGCGACAAGATTGCGATCAGCAAGGATAGCTTTCTACTCGTGATCTACCAAACTGGTTGGGAGATTTGTCGATCCCCTTGTCTCATCGCCAACTGAAAGGAGGTCAAGGGGTTGACAAAGAGGTCACCAATCGACGCATCGGAGCTACAAGCCGCCAGCTGCAACAGGGTTGACGTCCAGGATCCGTTAGCATTACCTTCGCCGGCAACCATGAAAGCTACCAAATCCGATGCTCGACCATGGCTCCCTTCGGTGTTCCTGTGGATCTAGATGTGAAACAACATAGGCAAGGGGCGAGGCCTACTGCCGGGTTCGCCAGGTTGCCGTTAGACCCACTACGTCTAGGCGCATTATCTGATCAGCTGTTTTCAACTGGATGCTCAAGGGGCTGCAGGCGGCGACCAGGGCTGTCGGACATTCTAACGATCCCCAGAGAATTAAGGATGCTTTGCAAGACGCGGAGAATGGCTTCCAATCGCTCCTCAGGGTGGGAAGGGTCCAACGGCACGTATGCGGCGCCGGTCTTGAGGACTGTCAGGATGTTGACGATATTCTTGAGACTCTTGTCGAAACATATTGGCACTAGGTGTTATGATTGGTCCCTGGGCAGTTGAGCCCTGAGTCTGTCAGCCATCTGCGTGCTGCGATGGACCAGCTCCCCGTATGTCACGAAGCGGTCGTTCTCGAATTGCAAGACGATCTTCTTTGGCCACCGTGCGGCAGCCTGATCGGTGAGGTTATGGGCACAGAGATCACTATGAGGGGGTGGCCTCCTGGCCATCTCCGTCCAAAGTTTTTCATAATCGCCCAGCGTTGTGAGTTGTTTGATAGCCGCACCTAAACTCCACTTGCCAATTTGCAAATGCACCTGCTCGAGCCACACCACGGTTGACAGGAATACTGCAAAAATTCACGGGCAAACCCCGGCTCAAATATCTCCTGATGATATCTAATCTTGACCAGAAATGATGTGCCCCGGCTGGGCATAATCTCGACTACAAACGGCATGTCACTTTCAGTTTCGACTCCCATCCATTCCCAATTCCCGATACCATTGGATGGATACGACTCTTTTGTCTGATAAACGAGACAGATCTGAACCTGCTCGCTCGATGTGGGAACGAGTGACTTGAGGTCGCCCACGCTCAAGGCATGGGAAATGTCGCGCGACGAGCGGAAGGACTGGGCCCTGGGACCGGGCGCATCGTCGTCCCCAAGACTAAAAGTGCGAATTTGTGGTAGGAGGGCAGGTCCAATCGTGCGCTGTGTTTCGGAGCTGAGGTTCTTCGGCCCGACGTCATCTCCAAAAACACCGCTTCGTTGGCACTTTGGAAAATACACAGTGTGATACTAAAGGCCAGCCGAGCGATCCAGGCCGGAACCGCCACCTGGTCCAATCGAGCAGCAAATTTCGTCGCAACTGGGCGAACAATCTCGTGGGTTCGAACCGGTAGGCTCTGCCTATTCTGGCCCAAAGGCGCTGGAGGGTTGGCGCTGCGCAGGCTCTCCTGGAGAGAGGCCCGGGTTGGCTTGTAGCGCAAACGCGCCAGCTCTCGGTCCATATCAAAGAAGTCGGATGTATCCGTCACCGACCCGGGAAATAGCATCTCCTGTCGAATTTATACCATAACAAACCGTGCTGACCATCCGTCCATCAGCGAGTGATGGTAACTGACGGTGATACGCCATTCGCTGCGGTTGAGAGGCCCGGCCAGTGATAGTGTTCACAGCATCGATCTATTCTATTCTCCGGCGTCTAGTGCAGCCAAGTCATGGAATTCGAAAGCAATCATATGCGACTTTTTTGAATTTGTCGAGGGCAAGATAGCTAACGGCTGGGCCCTTTGTCGCACGTAGTCTGAATTGAGCACCGCGATATGCATCTCAGTTGACCCGTTGGCACCGGCGCTAACCATGATCGATCGTAGTATAGCATGGTTCCAGGCTATTCAATGAACGGCACAGTTAAGGCGGACGGCATCCACTGCCTGACATGTATGAAAGTGGTAGGTTTCGATGTAGGACCGGTTCAGAGGATCGGATTCTGTTGACCAGATTATCTCCTGCATTTTCGAGGGCAGATCACGCCGATTGGTAGCATCTCGGACGTAGAAATCCACCCTATCGTTTGACGTTGTTTACTTCTCAAAAAGAATGTTGGTTAATCTATGGAAAGGCTCACTTGCAATCTAGTTCAACAAACGGGCGCCGAAGTTCGTCTGGTGTTATGGAAATCTCTCCCGGCCATGCATTTTATGAACGGCACCATCATGCTCTCTTCGAAGTTTCACCAACAACCATGTAACCCCGTATAATATAGAAAAAGAAAGAAAAGTGCGTGGTTCTTGTGTCTGGAATCTCTCATGCGTGGTGGGTCAACGATTTCCGCCGGCCGAATGCAATTCAATCTGAAGGTCCAGAAACCTGTTTCTGCAAACCCAGTGAAATGTTTCCGGCGCTCAATGCAATCTGCATGCCGCAGGGTGTAGGTCCCTTGAAAGTTACTCATGATTACTGGCATACGTCAATGCTCAGGCACACACCCTGCATAAGTCTTGAGTGTGTAATTGCTCGCACAGCTCAGCACATGCATGCAGCTCGTATGGACATCACGCCTCCAAAATCACCCTTCGATCCTATACAACAGGTTCTAATCAGCGTCATTGGCTCTGCGATTTACATGATATTTCAGAAGGGGTCATATGTTTCTGGTGTCTACCCGCTGGTACCAAGATAGCCCCGGCAAACGGTCCGATCCGCGCGGTAAACGGGGAGCAATAGTACAGTAGTTTGCCGCAGTTGATTGTCCACCATACTCGTCGACGTCAGCAATTGTCTTCCTCCACTTACCTTGTCGGAGTTCGACAAGTACGTACCCTGTCTTTTCCCAGAAACGGCCATTAACGTGAAGTAAGGGAAAAGTGCTGTCAATCATGCGCCAGTGATGGAACCAAATCTACAAACAAGCTTGGAGCTCATGCCAGCAACCACTATATTCTAATGAAAACAAAGTAAAACAAAGGAAATAATTTTCTCCCCATGGCTAGCTGTTAGAAACCACAAATCCAACCACATCAGGCAGCGGTGGAATCGCGTCATTATCGTAGAATGTCTGTTGTAGAGACTCTAGCACCAGGTCCAACTCCAGGCAACTTTCGCCTTCCTCAATCTGCAGCAGCTGACATACCGAAGGCCACATAAGAGAGTCCACCTCACATTTGCGAATCCGTTTCGCTCCCTTGATATACTTGAACAATTTTCACTTCACTTCTCTGTCCAGTCCGCGTGATAGGTCTAGGCCTCCATGTGTTCCCGAGTGGCCAGCTGCAGCAGACTTTCCACCAAACAACCCGGAGTTATAATTCGGTAAGAAGAATTTTGAGAGATGGCCTAGCGCAATTTGGTAGCTGCTAGTCGAGGATCATCAGGGTTCATCAAACAGAGGTTGTCGAAGTCCACCTGGCCAAGCGGGACTTTCGGCACTACCCATTGAGAGTTGGACTTTTACAGCACCAGCAGCATCCTCTTGGGGTCGTGGGGACTGTGAAAATACTTGTCGGGCATCGGTTTCTGTTCTTGCGGCGTTGCCAGCCGGCAAGTATGAACTGTCCAGTATTAGTACGATGTTAGATCGGGAGTATGACGTGAGGTGAGTCCACATACCAGTGGCATGGATGATGATGATTGTCTAGTGTACGCTATCTCCATACTGTGCCAGAATAGCACCGCAGGAGCTCCGGCATCCTCTAGCCATTGAGCAGCTATGGAAGCTATACCTCCAAAGGCAGGGAATTGAACATCTTCGGCCATATTTCTCGCGGCATTTGGATGGTTCTTTGTGTTGACAGGTCAAAGGGAGAAATGTACGTCAAATGAGAATTGAAACTGGAATTCAGGTTGGTCCGGCGAGCTACATGGTCTAAGAAAGAAGACGGTCCTTATATACCCCATGTTGAGTCCCTTGCTTTTACAACATTCAACATTACACAGAGCCCATCCCAGGGGGTGGCATCTGCAGAGCCGCAATGGTCTTCCTTGTCAAAGCGAACAAGGGTGATGCGCCAGGATTAGGGCCGGACAGTGCGAATGACAACGATGATAATAATAGTCGGCTATCTGCTTTGTGTAAACATAAATAGATCTGGCCTGTAGAGTAGAGCAGGTGGTGGCGGAGTAGGGCCTGTCGCACGGGCTGCGAGAAACAAAGGCATTTGATAAAGAAAGGTTGACGGGCATCCATCACAGTTCATTGTCACAGTCAGACAGCCCCTCATGGGTTCAGGAAGAACAATATGATATTTGGCTTTGTATTGCGGTCTTACTTTACTGTCGCAGCCTATTGTTCATCTAGACTGCAAACATGGATAGTAAGCATATGCGTATGGTTGCTAGGATGAGCAAAACTAATTCGTGGTAACAGCAAGAACTGAGCGTGCGAAAGGAGGCACCTCTTCCGATAGTAGAAAGGAAATAGAAGGAGGATCTGGTTGCCTTGCGCAGAAGTAGAATCTGCCGAGGGTCTCGTATATTGAAGCTCAAGTGCATCCCCGTCTGCCTCTCATCTTTCACTGAAGATCCCAGCTAGAAGGTTACAGTAGGCCAGGTAGTGAAGATAGCACATGACCAGGTTTATAACAGACTGCGCCTGGCCCTCTAGAGAGACAAGCCACGCGATTGAGTGGCTTCTTAGATCACATCGATCGATACCCAAAAGATCTGCTCTTCTCTCTAGCTTTCCTGTCACAGCAGCCTGTGAGATCCCATTCTCTTGACGTCTCAATACTCCGTACTGAATAACCTCAAGGCGTCCTGTTTCCCGTCTCTCCAGCGTCGATCCGCGGATTTCGCCATCGAGTGGAGCCTCTCGTCCCACTCAAATTGTGAGGGGTACAGATTAGTGACCGCCCATCTCATCCATAAAGAGAGGAATCGCTGACTGAATTTCTCATTTCAGTTTCTTACAGCCTGTCCACTTTCTACAGTGCTACTGCAACCTACCCTGCGTATCTATCGGCCATGAAATGGCTACTGCGAACCTACCGCGTGCCGGCCACCGCCAGCCCCAGTCAGCCTACCACGTCGAAGTCCCCTCTTGACTCGATTTCTCCCGTGGGCCCCAATGTCAATGCTATCTCCGTCGATTTGGACGAGCAGGCCCCGTTCGCTGCCATTCGAGATCTCTTCGATTACCTGCATGCCCACCGGACGAGGCCGCCCAGCTGAACGCCATCTATCCGCGTCGCGGCATCGTCAAGACCGCAGCACTGCACAAGAAATCGTCGGACCAGAAATTCACCATCGACCTGTCCCCGGCCCGGCGCTCATTGATGCCTGCGGCGCTGCACCGGTCACTGGCCGGCCACGGTCTGGACGAGGTGCTGGACTTGTTCGAGCATGTCAACACCACCCACGTCCCGTCGATCCTGTCTTCGCTGAGCGTGTTGGCCGGCACCAACCTAGCGGCCTCCCACCGCGACGGTATTGTCAACTTCCGCCTATGCGACTATCACCCAGACACCGCGGCCCGTGACTGCGCCAACGGCTGCGGCGCGCACACCGACTACGGCACCTTCAGCATCATCTTCCAGGACGGCCCACAGGGACTCGAGGTGGAAGACGAGGTGTCCGGCACCTGGATGCCCGTGCTTGGCGACGCCACTATCGTCCTGACTGGCTGCTGCGCTCTCATCCTCGGCGGCGGTCGCATCAGGGCGGCTCGGCATCGCGTGCGTCGCGCCCCAGGCGTCCGTCGTCTCAGCGCCGTCCTCTTTGTAGCACCTGTTACCGCGACAAAGCTGCAGGCGCTGCCGGGGATTCAACCGATCCGGCCCTTCTCGCGCGAGATCATGCAGTTCCACAAGAACGTCGGGTGATTCAAGGAGTTGATGGGCAAGCGGTGGTGGTACTGTGAGGGCAACGAGGAACTGCATCCGGAGGAGGTTGCCATGACTCAGGACAGTGAGATCGAGAAGCCGGTTTGGGGTGGTTCTCTGGTCTGGTGAATGAAGCATGAAAGATGGAGGATGATTTACGATCTGACGTGCTGCTGCTCTCTTTGTTTGTCTGGTTTGTCTGGTGTGTCTGGTTTGTCTAGTTTGTCCGCGGAAATAAGATGACGTCATTTTCACTCGATGCCTGAGGCAGCAGGATCACGCGGCAGAACTTGCCACCAATCAGAAATCATCCCTTACGTAAATGCCAACATTGAACGCCTTTCTGGAGGTACTTTGGTTATACACCTCTTCCCAGCAGAAGGACTCAACAGTTACTCTCGCTTATACTTGTCTTCCTCTTAATGTTGCCCCTTCCTCGGCGGGATCTCTTTTCCGGTGGCTCGGCGTCCTGCGGTCTTGGCACCTTTTGGCCAGTCATCATTCTTGCATTTACGTATTGTTCCTTGCTTACTCTTCTAGGTGTTTTGGTCTCAAATAGTCTTCTTCTAGGTTGTATTGCTCCGGTTCAATCCATCTACAACTATTGTCAAGTCAACTGGACCAGCGCCCAGTCAGGATATATATTGTACCAACCAAGACCCTGAGACACGACAAAGGTATGGGGTAATTGTCTATGGTATATACGTGAGCCAATTCATAATCTCTCCACCTCCATAGACGGACAATATTTCCGGTTCAATTCAATTTTGCAATTACTTTTACTTTCTAAACGTAAGTATTTATATACATCAAATATACATGTACATGTCCCCTCAACACCATGCAGTGTAGCCCAGCTGATACCAAATACCGACGATTACAAGTACGATCACGCATTGTTCGCGCACGAGAAACTAGCACTGCTGGGGTTATCGTGCAGCGCCTTGCCGGAGACATACAGACCGAGTCCACACTATGATATGTTAGCATTTCATCAGAGTAGACGGGCCAGAAAGAGAAAAGGACGCAACATACGACACACGCCGCAATACCAATAATAATTAAATTGAGGATAGTCAGCAGGATTTTGCTCAGGGAGGAGAAATAGCGTCCTTTGTTGAGGAAGAGCCAGAAGAAGCCGCTAGCGCCAACTGTTGCATTTTATTAGTATTGATCTTCCACTGAGAAAGATTGCGAAACCAGAAGGAAAACATACAAGTGAACCAGCTGGCAAACAGCGATGCCTAGAGCATGCAAATTAGCACCTATATCTTCCAAAGCACGGAGGCAAATCCGGAGGCCAACTAACCACTAGACTGAGAAGGTTGCTGAACACAGGAATAGCTTCGGCAATAATCCAAGCAATAACCCACAGTGCAAGAGAAAGCAGCACCCAGGATCCGGTAGCAACCAGGTCCTTCTTGTGCATCCGGTCGCTGTTTCGGAAGATACGCACGTAGACATACTTGCAGACGAGGTGACCGACGACGACACCCCCAATAATGATCTACGATGTGGTAAGCATTGTCCTAGTCAAAAACAGAAGGTCAAAATGACTCACTGTCGGCAAGGCAATGCCATAGGCAACCTTCCGCACAATCGGACTGGCCGATCCCAAGGCGGGCGAAGTCACGTCGTCACCAGCATAGATATAAATCACGACAGCAACGACGACGTACAGAGTGGTGTCAGTGGTTTGCAGCAGAGCCAGAGCCTTGGGATATTCCTTGGGGTCTTTCAGCTCGGAGATAAAGCCGAAGAAAGCCACGTTTCCGGCTAAGATCCTACATTAGCGCATCTCCCAACAGGCCAAGGAACAAAGACATACCGAAAGAGAAGACAATGTTGCACACGGCCAGGAAGGCCTTGTACAGACTCGTGTCGACAGTGGCATGGATCGGGCCATCCCATGGTTTATTGACACCAACACCAACCATGGCGATAATGACAGCCGAGAAGATACTGACAAAAGCTAACCAGCATGTTAACGATACATACGATGACATTGTCAACACCGATCAGACACTTACAAGCCACTGAAAGGTAAGACAGCTTGGTCGCCGTCCTCGGCAAGCAGAGGACATAAGAAACGACCATGCTGATGACACCAAACACAATAGAACAGGTGCCATGATCCGTGATCGAGTTCATAGCCACGGTAAAAGTTAGGATATGACTTGCCATAATAAACACCAGGAGCAAAAGCTGGCCGGTGCCCATGATTTCACGGCCAACAGCACCCAGGAGCACTTCGCCAGCATCTGCCATACTCTGGATGTGCGGGTAGCGCTCCCGGAACTGTCCAATAACGTAGCCGGTATAGGTAGCAAGAGCGCCAATACCAATGATCAAAATAATAGCCCTGGATGAGGTCAGTAAGCTCCGAGCTCGATGAGATAAACAAAGCACCTACGGCACAAGACCCAGAGCAGCCACCACGGCGGGCAGGGAGAGGATTCCCAGAGACACAGTCTCCGCAACCATCACTAAGATGGGTCAGTAATTAACTAACACGGCATATAGACTACGACAGAACTCACTGAAGCCGCATTGCCTAAACAATCCTGATTAATACATAAATGCCAAATTTGCATGTTGAGAAAAGGTGAACTTACCACCAGCTCAACACTTTGTACTTAACCTCGGCATACTCCTCATCTCCAAAGGTATCCTGAGCGGTGTCGAGCGGATCCTTCTTCTCATGCTGCTTCTCAGCATCATGGGTGCCGGCCTCGGCCTCGAAATCGTACTGGTGAGATGCTTGCATTTCCTCTGGTCTTTCGATGATTTGGATGTCAGGGTGCGTGAAGAGGAAAGGATTTGCTGCCGGGAATCAGGTTCAACAGATTTTCTCTCCCACTAAACAAGCAGAAAGGAGAGCTTCCGAATCTCCGCCGCACTGACTAGTCGCGAAGAGGGGAGAAAAGAAAAGAGAAGCCAAAAATAAAAAATAAAACCGAGCCCCACGAACAGGGATGGATATACCGATAACCTACTGGGCCGTCCGACCAGCTGAAGGAAGCTAGCTATAGTGGAATCGCGAGATAAGAGAAAAGCCGACAGAAGAAAGTTCAGGATCCAGAACCAGCGAAGAGCTGAAACCACCACCGACAGTGGCCTGACTCACCCAGACCGTGGAATTCTGCAAATTCGGTGCCTGAGTGTGTGGGAGACGCCGCTTTCCGTTAGGTAATGGGTGGCCCCAGGCATCCACCCCACGTGGGGCGACGGCCAGGGGGTGTGTCTCTGACCAATGGGGGTCCGCGGCAAGCTGCAGCCGCCCGCCATTGCGCTAGCCGAAGAAGGCTAGACGGATGGGTCTCGCAAAATTGTTACCCAATCATCACAAAGAGATTCTGCCGGGCGGGACTTCGGCTATTCGATCGGTCGATCTTCCTTGTTCGGGATGGAGATGCTCTCGCGATTCCACCTTCCTTGAACCATTTGGCATATTCTCGATCAAATGGAGACTTGTTTCGCTTGATTTGAGTTCCTAAAGGCTGGTTCTGCTCCAAGGTCTCCATCCGCTAGACGAACCTGCGTTCGAGCATGCCGTCCCTGCCGCAGGGATCGACATGCAGCTGTTTCGTCGGTGGACTCAATTAATAATGGAATCTGTCCGAGAGGGTCTGGGACCGGCAAATGCTAGATCAGATACCTGAGCAGATGGAAGAGTTTTCCTTGCACGTGTGACTTGCACTCAGACATAGTTCGGTGTCGAACCCGAACTAAACTGGACTGGGATCAATGAAATAAAAATGAGTTCCACTAGGCTACCTATACGGAGTAGGTACAGTAGTATATCGGGTATAAACGACAACGATCTACTCCCTTCACCTTTCGGTCATCACGGAAGAACCAAGAAAGGGAAAACAAAAACAGAACCAAAGAGATACAATAGATTGGCTCATACACGTCCATCACAGCACATTAAACAACAACCCAACCAGCGCAGCACACATACTGGAATCCCTCCCGCCCCCTCGACTTCTTTCCTCAACCAAACCGTCTACTCATAATCGTAGAGCTGTTTCTGTGGTGGCACGTCGCCCCGCAGAATGTACTTCTTGAAATACCACGGCAACATCCCCCAGTAATGGTTGATGTGTCTGCGCGTCGGGATGGAGAAGACCTGGTCGAGTTCTTCCAAAGACAGCGCTTTGGTCTCGGGCAGACAGAAGTAACAGAAGATCCAGCCGAAGAAGTTCCACGCCGCGTACCACCCGAAGGCACCTTGCGGGGTGAACGCGTCTCGCAGCGGCAGCCACGTGAGGGAGACGATGAAGTTGAAACCCCAGGTGGTGGCGGTGGCGAAGGACATACCCACGTCACGGATATACAAAGGCTAGGGATATCAGTTAGTCGGGAAATGTATGTTCCAAGCAGAGAGAGGAAACTTACGAAGGCTTCTGCAGAGTAGGTGAAAGGCACTGGACCCTCACCGGGCGAGTACACGATCATGTACAGGTATATACCCGTGGCCACGCAGGCTGTTCGCGCCGTTTGCGAAGACTCGGGGATATAAAAGGAGAAACCGGTGAAGAGCAGGAAGAGCGACATGAGCGGGAACGTGGTCAGCAGCAGGTTCCGACGACCGAAGGTGTCGATGGTGTAGACGGCGGGCAGGGCGAAGATCCAGTTGGTGATACCGCAGCCCAGCGAGGTGACCAGGGCCACGCGACGGGACAGGCCGGCATCGCGGAACATGGACGAGGAGTAATACATGATGGCGTTGACTCCGCAGAACTAAAGAAAGAAACGGTCAGACTGCTGCAGCATCAACAAGCGCTGACAGGAACATACCTGCTGCATGAACATGACGAAGAAGGAAGACTGGGCGGCACGGCGGTTACGAGGCACGGTGAACATCTCCCGCCAGAGTTGCTTGCCCTCGCGCATCTTCTCTTCGACCTTCAATGCCGAATGAATATAGTACAGGTCTCGAGCGGCCTGGAAGCTAGAAGGACGCAGCTGGCAGAGCGCGTTGAATGCGTCCTGGTAGCGGTTCCGCATCATATACCATCGAGGGGACTCAGGGCAGAAATAGACCTGTGCGCAAACAACCATTGGGCTGGAATGGAATTAGTCACCATTGCTGAGATGCACCTGAGAATGGGACATACGGAATAGCGGTGGATCCTAGCATCAGTCGCCAGTTCAAACCGACCAGGCTGTCGCTGTGGACATCCATGAAAGCGACCGACGCAATATAGCCCAGCATGATACCGAAGGCCGTCCACATTTGCCACATCATCACCAGCGCGCCACGAATGTTAGACGGCGCGCACTCGGCACCGTACACGGGGGTGGTGGTGGATTTGGCACCGACGGCGAACCCCAACAGGAATCGACCCAGCAGCAGGTTCCACCAGGTGTGCGCCGCGGCCATCCAGAAGGAGGCAGCAAAGGAGATGAAGCAAGAGATGAAGATGCAGCCGCGACGGCCAAACCAGCGATTCAGCGGCGCCGTCGTCCAACATCCGATGACGGCCGAGCAGAGATATGGTGCGCCGTTCAAAAGGCCCTGCTGCCACCGATTGGTGACGTTGAACTCGTCGAAGTAAAACTCCTGCGCACCGTTGACTGCAGTTTGATCCATGCCCTGCACGATAGCGGAACCAGCACAGAGAACTACATGACGTTAGCCAACTCGAACGGCCCGGGTAGAGTCGCGAAGGTGGAGGGGACCTACTGGTCATGAAGTACATCATCCATGGTTGGTGCCAGCGATGAGTCTTCTCGCGTCGCAACAGCTCCTTGTCGCTTTCTTCCAACCCGTTCAACTGTTCGAAGACCTTCGGGTCCTGGGCCACGAGGGCGCCTTTCTTGAGATCCTCCACGATCTGTTCGAGGTTCTTCTCGCGGGCAAACTCCTCGACATCGCGGAACAGCTCCTCCTGGGTTAGACCGGCAAGAGGGTTCTTGAGCTTCGTGTTCTGGGTCACCGGGGCAGAGTGATCCTTCTTCACGTCGCGCGACCACTGGCGAGCCAGATCCGCTGCATTTTCTTTCTCAATGGAGACGGACGACTCTAGGTGGTTGGAGGTCTCGACGGGAGCTTCGGGGTCGGAAGGTTTCTCACCCATGGCGAGGGGTCAACGAGGGGCAGATCGAGATCGAAGATCAGAAAAGTGATGACAGGCAAATGAGAGAGCTCAGAGGGGAGAAAATTCTGGGGCAACAGACATGCCCAGGGAGGCGATGCGGGCGCTTTTAACGTCGCCCGTTTGCCTGATGCAACAAACAGGGGGGTTAGCCATGGATGGCATGCAACCTTCAGGCTCGAATAGAACAAAAGAGAAAAAAGAAAATTTTTTCCAAGGCTTCATCCCCGCAGAAAGTGACTGGTCTTTCTCCAGACTCCAGACTCACTCGGGGAGGGTCTCCCCACCGTCTCCAGGCCAAGAGGATTAGAGTCCAAAGAAACGCAGCGTGGCGCTCTTAGGCTGCAGATGGCTTAATCCTGGCCGTCAGCCCGATGGATTGAGGATACCAGTCGGAAGGGCGCGACGGCCAGTTCCGTGCACCCAGCCCGGTTAAAAATGCCGCGTACGACGTCGACGGCGCAGGGGAAGGGCTGGTAGTGTTGAAAGATGGCAGAGCTTTCAGTCGGTGGCGCCGCGAGTTAAGCCGGTCTTTGTGTTGAGCCCTTAAGTTTGTACCAGTCGATATTGAACGGGAGAACCGGTGCCAAGATATACGAGACTGGGAAATCTGGGGGAAACGAAAAAGGCAAAAACAACTGGTGGATCCGACTGATGTTTTCATGAGTCAGACACGAGATAGAGCAAACAACAGAGAAAAGCAGGCCACCCCTCCGACAGAACACCAAATGCAGCAGGCAGGAAAATGCTCGGCGTGCTTGGCTCCCAGGGAGTTTGACCAGTCATTGGCAGCCAAGAAGAGAGGCCTTTGTCGAGTGATGATCATGTCCGCCTGTGGCAAGAAGTCTGCATTGCCATCCCAGCCTGACAGGCAAGAGGTCAGCTTGACCGGGATAAGGATTTTCTGTTGCCCGTTGACATTACCTCGGCGAGAGCCCGTATAGCAGAGACCGGGACAAAGGATTTTCGAACCCGGGGACCGAATCCTGGGGATGTTGCACGGCAGAAAATGGGGGCTGAAAAGCATTCCGTGGTTAGGAATTTTTGTGTCGGCAGATTGACAGGAGAATGCGACGCATCTCCTTCTCAGCGACAGATTCCAAGAAGAGCATACAGAAGAGGAACAAAACGAACAGACAAAGGCGTGCTTCTCTTGGCCGGACACCACATGTTTCGCATGTTCCACGTGGACTCTTTCGTTGTTGATCTAGATCAAAAGACTGGTATATGACATGATGGGCTACAAGTTTGCATGAAGACGCTCAGCAGATGACTTCGACGCCATGGCCTGTGCGACGCCAAGAAGTACGTTGATTCGAGTGGCATTTCAGGGTGGTATTGGAGGATTAGAAGGATGGATTCACATTGATTAGAGGCCAACTTCCGCTATTTATTAGGAAGTTGACCTTGAGCGAGAATTAACCCGATCGGTTCTCGTTCAGTAAAATATTCTGTATAACGCTTGCGAGTTGACGAGCGGTTCCCCAAGTACGAGTACGCAGGAATATGCGACAAAGCGAGGGCCAACAAAGACCAATGAGGGATTCGAGAGACTGCGTCTTGGCCCCAAGACAATTTTAGCTAAGGGCTCGCCGTGATTGGAATTTCCAAGACTCCAAGACCTCCGGTCATTGAGGTAGATTGCATGAGATCATCCTCGTCCGGTCCGGTTGGCATGCCCAGAAATTTCCCTTTGGGGGCGAATACGATGACAGCTGGGCAAAAGAATCAAGGGTCTGAACGGGTGCCCCAGCGTGCAAAGGCAAGTTAGCGCACCGGAGATTTCTCTGGTCCTCCAGTCTCTCTTTCCACGTCTGAGTGTCGTTGGAAATCTGATCAAGACTTTGCACGGTCGCACACGTGCCCTAAGGAACCCTACCTTGCATGTCCTCGCATGACCATCTTTGAATGAAACCGATCGGAACATCACGGAATGAGTGTTAGTGACGACCCTACATGGCGGCTCTTATGGTACTCTGTGCAAAGCACCTACTCTCTTTAGTCTTCAGTCGCTGTGGTTGGCTGAAGCTCGAGAACAGTGCTTGCGCTAGGATCAACAGCTGTCCTTGCGTAGCAGGCGCGTAGTGCTCGAACAGTATCTTGTCTATTTGTATTTCGTTGGTGCTTCTAAGCCAGAGGCAACCATCGCAGTGCATGAATACACCATACTACAAATCAGTCACGTCGTTCGGTCCATCCCAAATCCACCGTTCATTCGTGCTGGCTCTGCGGTCGCGCGACTCCACCAAGCCAAAACTTGAATAAAGTCTACCCTAAGCACTGCCATCGACACATCTTTGCACTACATTCCTCTGTGAGAACAGATTGTTGTGGGGGGCTAAAAAGAATTATGAGACGATGTCTTAGTAGAATGTTCAACTGCTCTATGCGTGCATATTCCTGTCAGATCTGGGATTGGATATGTTGACTATAGTATTGCCGCGCAGATTTATATATCTCGCACTCAAAAGGACGCACCCTCTGTTTCTGCTATTAGATTATGAGTGTTTGATAATCTTCCTATGGGGCAGTTCTCCCTTTAAGAACCTAGCCAATATATCTACGTCATTGCATTGCGAGGTCCAACGCAGGGTCTAAACCTCTCAGCCACCTGATCTGCAACTCATCCCGCAATTGGAAATATACACAGAAAAAAGACGCAAATCATATTTAACCCGACTAGACAGCGTCCAGCAGCCTTGTCCTCATACTTGGCCACGATTCGCGATCCAAAGAATGGAAAACATCGCCACGACGATCGCCCGAATGAGGTAAATCAGCAACAGGCGATCGCTCAATCTACGGTGCTGAGCCCCTTCGTGTTCACACGTCGATCAACGGTTCTCGAGTTATAAAGCCCATATCAAACGACTCTGCTGGCATTGTAGTATCAACTACTCTTACAGATATCCCTCGGAATGCAAGTATCCAAAGATTTCTCGCAGGACGGTCACCCGATCATCTTGGCACTGCGCGTAAGCGCCGTGCTGAGCTCACTGGTCGCATTAATTGTTTTTGCCTGGGCTGTCCAAGCCCATAAGAGTGTCTATACCGACGTCAATGGCTCTTCAATATGCCTTATAGTCATGATAACTGTAAGTGATCGTCGGTGGAGCCAGCCCTGATTCATTTGCTCACGCTCGGTCGGTTTCCTTAGGTGGCCTATGCTTTTGTCTGGTCAACGGTCGCATTGATCGTACTACTGCTGTTCAACCGACCCCTACATGCCGGCATCTACATCGCCATGGACTTTCTCGCATTTGGCGCCGTGGTGGGTTCGACTATTGCGTTGCTGGCGGTGCTGGAGCCATACGGAATGGACTACCAGTGTGTCAAGGACCCATGCGCGGTGAACGTCGGCCAGGTCCAGGCGTTTGGGGCCGCGATGTCCCTTTCGGATGGGTAAGTTCTCGGACTGTCTTGGACCCTCCTGACCGAATTCGGTAGATTAATCTATGCTGGACCAATGTAGGACGCTGCATTTGGCGCTGTTTGTCTGGGCATGCTGGGCATGTCATCGATCGACGGGGAAGACGCAGGGGCGCAAGACGGTTGACGAGCATTAATCTCTTCATCCGCGTGTTTTTGTTGCTTTTTGCCGTGTGTTGAAGGGTTGAATCATGTCTAATGTTTAGTACTTAATGTTTGATGTTTATCGCCTGTCATGTCCTGGTTCACCGGCAGTGAGTCGAGTCAAACCGGTTTGTCCCGGCAGGGCTAGGGTTAATCTATCCGCCACATGGCCGTTTCACGACAGTTTCAACCTGCTCCGGCAGAAATTTCACCGGCATGCAGGGGGGGATGGGAGATATCAGAATCAGCTAAATGACAGCCGGCTCCACTGGCCTATCTCGGGTCTTTCTGATTGGCAACGGCGGCCAATCTGCAACGCTGGGCTCGGTGGAATTCCTCCGCTGGTTAAGCTTGCTCCGTAGCTTCGTTGGCTCCATCACGGCTTTAAAAGGACGTCAGATTCTCATTCCCTGCTGGATCTTTTCGAGAGTATCATCTTCATTCATTCTTTGCTCATTGACTGAGTCCTTCATTCCTTGCGCCGGGCCGCATTCATTCTTTCTTCCTTTCCTTCTTATCGTCGACTTCATTCATTCCTACGTTCAATCTTTTCAACCTTAGAAAAGCACATTCTTTTTTACATACAAGATGCCTTCCATCCAGTCTGTGTCTCTTTTGACTTCCTTGTTGGCCGCCACTCGCGTGGCTGCTCACGGCCATGTCACCAACGTCGTCGTCAACGGCGTTTCCTTCGCCGGTTTCGACATTGGCAGCTTCCCCTACATGGAAGATCCTCCCAAGGTCGCTGCCTGGACCACCCCCAACACCGGTAACGGCTTCGTGACCGACTACTCGTCCGAGGACATCATCTGCCACCAGAACGCCACCAACGCCCAGGGCCACATCGCCGTCAAGGCCGGTGACAGCATCAACATCAAGTGGACAGAGTGGCCCGAGTCGCACCACGGCCCCGTCATCGACTACCTGGCCAAGTGCGAGGGTGGCTGCTCCACCGTCGACAAGACCGAGCTGAAGTTCTTCAAGATCGACGGCGTCGGTCTCGTCGACAACTCTGAGGTGCCCGGGACCTGGGGTGACGACCAGCTGATCGAGAACGACAACAGCTGGCTCGTGCAGATCCCCGAGTCCATCGCTCCCGGCGAGTACGTGCTGCGTCACGAGCTGATCGCCCTGCACGGCGCCCAGACCGCCGGCGGTGCCCAGAACTACCCCCAGTGCTTCAACCTCAAGGTCTCCGGCTCCGGCACTGACGAGCCCGAGGGTGTTGCCGGTACCTCTCTGTACAAGTCCGACGGTCCCGGCATCGAAGTGAACATCTACTCCTCCATCTCGTCCTACACAGTCCCCGGACCCGCCCAGTACACCGGTGCCTCCTCCATCAAGCAGAGCACCTCCAAGGTGACCTCCACCGGCACCGCCACCGTCGGCAGCGGCAGCAGCGTCCCCAGCACCAAGGTCGCCGTGCCCACGGCCTCCAGCGCCCCTGCCCAGGCTCCCGCTCCCTCCACCCTGGTGAGCGCCACCAGCGCCCCGGCCCCTACTCAGCCTGCCGTCACCAGCCAGCCCCCCGTGGTGTCTCCCCCGGTTTCCTCCACCGCCATCTCCTCGTCCGCCTCGGCCGCTCCCACCGGTGCCAACAAGCCCTACGCTCAGTGCGGCGGCCTGAACTTCCAGGGCGCCACCGCTTGCCCCGAGGGATACACCTGCCACAAGTACAACCCTTACTACTCTCAGTGCATCTCTTCCCAGTAAGCAGTTGATCTGCTAGGGAGAATCCCATGGCAAAAGCAGTTCGCTTGTGGGTGATGTAGGATATTAGGTTGGATGGAAGATAGACTCAATATCAATCTATACTGTTTTAATCACTTTCAGTTTCAGTATACTCTCTGCAAGTAAATTACATTGAACTTATCAATTTTAACAAGAACTATAGCTATGAACAAAACAACTGGAAACAAAAAAAAAAAAAAAAAATCAAACGGCCATGCTCTGCCGAGGTCCGGATAACTATTAGTATGTCGCCTTTGCCAGATTATTCTCAAAGTTAGCATCCTTAAACGGCACATTCCCATCCCCAAAGTCCGTATCCTCCAACGCCTTCTGCGCAACCGCGGGCAAACTCTCCCACGCCACCAACGGCTGTTCACCCCCAACCGTGCTCGTCAATCCACACTGGTGATTAACCGGCCAGACACTCTCGTACTTGATCAACGGCCGCGTTCCCTGCAAGGTGTATCCATCCGTGGAACAGTCCCAGCCGCCGTGCGCGGAAGGACACACGGCGAGGACGTTGTCAGCGGAGGTAGACGACGCGTCAGACAGCCAGACGATCACGCCTTCCCAGTCGTGACGGTGGCCGAGTCCCGTGCTGGGCGAGTCCTTGGGGAAGTACCATGAGTAGAGCAATGCATGGGCGTCGCCGGACGAGGAGTCGCCGGAGCGCACGTAGACCTGTCCCGTGCTGGAGGCGCAGTCGGCGGAGGGAGCGCCGGAGGGGTTCAGACCGGCACTTTGAATTGTTAGACATGTATACTCTGTTGTCTGACACTCGAAAAGGGGATGGAGAGATTCAGTTCAGGGGTGATACGGGACTTAAAAAGGATACTTACTTGGTGTTTCCGTCCGCATCGACAGCCGGAAATGGCACACACCCGTTCACCACCTTGAGATAGGGCTGATAAGCCTTGTAAACCTCGCCTGTGGTACCGGTGGGCACGGTCTCTTCGAACCCGACGACTTTGTCATGGTCAATACTATCCGCTCCGACCAGGGCGACCAGCCCAAGGGAGAACGCGAGCAGAGAGGAACGCATGACGGCAAAAAGTAAAAATGACAGCGGAAGGCAGATTGACAAGATTGACAAGATTGACAGACAGATTGGCAAACTTTAACATCTGAACAGCGGATAGCCCTTTTGAAGGCCGTCGGGGTCCGTCAAACCCGCCCTGACGATCAGCCATCGTGGTGCCAAGATGGACGCTCACTGGCGGAGATACTTGGTACACTAGTTGGGGACTAGTAGTTGGTGGATCTTGGTTCTGCAGGAACTGAGGAGGTGGTCATCGGAGAATTTGGGCACGTTGTTCGGAGAAATGCCTTTTTGCATGTTAGCTCTGCATCGTGGTGTCGTGGTGCGTTGATTCTGCGGCATTTGAGCGCTTAGGTTGACCCGTGGATGGACGTGCCATGGTGAATGGTTATCTTCAGCTTCGCATATATTGATTTTGATAAGTTGCATGACGGTATAGCACTATTCGTTATGAAAACGCGCAGTCTTCGATAGGGACAAGTACAAGAGAATTCAATTACACTATGCATGGTATCCGCGCCTGGCGTCGGATTGGCTTCGTATTCTTCAAACAACCGTCTGAGTCCTTCTCCCTCTCCCCCTTCTCGTACGTCGTTAGAGATAAGTGCAATACTATTCAATGACACAATTTGCAAAATCGTAATTTCATTAGGAATAGGCCCAAAACTATCAATTACCTTATGTGCAGAATTGTACTATGTGTTCTCAAACCTATGTACAGCTGGTAGGGAATAGTCTACTCCAAACACTCCAACCCGCCCAGTCTCTCCAGCACCTCTCCCTGTACCGTCGCATTGGCATCCCTCTTGTCACTAGACTGCCCAACCGACACGCTAGCGTAGCATCCGGACAGGACGACCTTCGTCTCCGTAGGAAGCCGGTTACTGCCACACGTTTCCACATCGTCACCAGAGACCAACGGCACAGCAGTGAAGATTCTCGTCAAGACGAACTTGACGTCGCCGACGCTGTCGCAGCCGTCCTCGAACTTCGGAAAGTTCACATTCAGCCAGGTGCCGTCCGGCAGGTACGGTGCTCCGTTGGCCACGACGCGCTCGGTGAAGTTGGTGGCCAGGTCTGCGTAGAAAGTGCTCGATTCAGGGGTGGTTTCGTTCCACGCCGTAGGGGAGCCCGACCGGCCAGAGAAGGCGAGGGCTGGGACTCCAGCCTTAACGGCCGCAGTGGCAGCGCCGACGGTGCCGGAGAAGAAGACGCTGATGCCGAGGTTGGCACCGACGTTGGGACCCGACACGGCGAGGTCGGGCGCGCCATTGAAGAATTTGGGGGCCAGAGTGTCGATGCCGTAGTTCATCGAGGTGACGGGATACGAGTTGACGTAGTTGAGTTCCGGGGACGACTCATTGTATCCCGTGGCCGGGCTGCCGGCGGGGCAGCTGTTGTATTGGCAGGGGTCGGTCAGAGCAGTCGGATCCTCGTCCTTGGACCCTAGGATTGAATTAGCATTTCGTCTATGCGCGACTTTGCAGAGTTCTATATGAGAACATACCGGAACCGCTCTTGTTCTCGGCCGGCGCGGAAAGCACCACGGTGTGACCGGCATCGGTCAAAGCGCTGTGAAGGGCGCGGACATTGCTCTCAGCCCAGCCATCGTCATTGGACGAGACGATGTTGAGGGCGTAGGCGAGAGGCAGAGAGAAGAAAAGGAGCTTCATGGTGTACGGGTTTGCCGACTGACAGAAACGAATCCACGAGCAGCCATGACCGTTTTATATCCCATCCGAGACCGGAGACACCTCGGAGGCTGCGGGAAGTTAACCACGTGGGGAGAAAACGGACGCTGGAAGGAGAGATAATCGCAGTCATTCTACTTGGCTCGGAGTATCTATCCGTTAGACTCAGGCCATCGTGGACACGGAATTGTCAAACCGAGCAGCAAACAGGAGGATTACGGAGTAGTTCCCGCGTGCCCCTGTACTCCGCTCCGGCCGGACGTTAGGAGCTTAGTGCAGACTATCATGTCCAAAACGAGTCATGGCGATGTCGATCTGAATGTCGAGTCGGAGATGACGCGGCCAGTGGCTGTTGGTGGTTCTGCACGTGTGAACGATTTGACAGCTGCAACGAAGTGACCCGTGACAGTCTGCAGCATCTAATCTCGACATGCAGACGTGACGGACTTCTTATCCGGATCATGTACACCGTGTAGAACAGCAGACAAAGTAGGGTTTCCCAAGCAGCTGACAAGAACTGCGAACTGCTAGGCCACACCGCCTCCCCGACGCAGCGATGGTGACGCCTCAGGCCGGCCGGAGCCATGGAAAGCTTAACTTTCTCTCTTCCTTCGACCGGCGCTCCTCGTGTGCTTCCCTTCCCCTGAAAACTCTCGACTGAAAAGAACTTCCCCAAGATGGCTTTCTCGCCATCTGCATCTTCACGTCCATGCCCCGCTTCACTCAGGACGATGGCGCGGGTACGGGCTTAGAGTCGCGCCTCCCCAACACCACCGCGCAGTATGTCTACCCGATGCTCATCGCACTGGCTTGGTGCAACGCCATCGATCTCATCGTGCTGTGTCTAAACACCTTTAAACGCTACGAGGGCAGCTACTTCTGGAGCCTGTTCATTTCGTCGGTCGCCATCATCCCCTTCGGCCTCGGATACATCCTGCGCCTGTTCGATATCACCTTCACCCGCGGGTTTCTCGAACTCGCCATCGTGGACGTGGGATGGAGCGCCATGGTAACGGGCCACTCGCTGGTCCTGTGGTCGCGCCTCCACCTAGTTCTACACCGCGAACGAGTCCTCAAGGCCCTCCTGTACCTAATCATCTTCGACGGCGTCCTCATCCACTCCGCCTGCTCGGCGATGGAACTCGCCAACAACGCCCTCCCGCACTCCCGGCGCGTGACGCTGGGGTTCGGCATCGTCGAGCGCATCCAGCTGGTGTGGTTCTGTCTACAGGAACTACTCCTCTCGGCAATCTATATCCGCGAGACGGCGCGCCTGCTGCGTCTAGACCGGGGCGGAATCTCGCGCAGCGTGCTATCGCAACTCCTCGGCGTCAACGTGGTGATCATCTTCCTGGACCTGTCGATCGTGGCGATCCAGTATGCCGGGTACTTTACATTCCAGGTGACGATGAAGGCGCTGGTCTACAGCATCAAGTTGAAACTGGAGTACGTGATCCTGGGTCGGTTGGTGGATGTGGCGCATATTCGGTCGCAGGGGGAGACGCCACGGTTCCGCATCTAGATTGAATTTCACGTTGTATATACTTCCTATGTTCGTGCGAGCTAGACATACAACTGTTCACGATTCTACGTTCTTTTTCATCCAGGGGGATTCGAACGGATGACGCAGTTCCGGCACCTCGTATTCCCCCGATCAGACCCGACGACGGAGATAAACAAACTCCATCCGACAGTCTGAGTCAGATCACATAGAACAAGTTATATAGCTCACTAGAAATGCCCTCAACGCCTCTATTTCCTCCCATCACGATCATCACCTGAAACCAAAACCCCATCAGTCACAATGACCCTCCTCACAGCCCTCGGCCTCAGCGCCACGCCACCCACAACCCCAATCCCCAACTACGCGCCGTACGCCCTTATCTTCAACTTCATCTGGGCATACGGACTCCTCTCTTCACGAACCCTAAAACAATACTACGGACTCGACCACAACGTGTCCCCGCGACAAGACCTAACAAAATACGGCTCGGCAGCCGTATCCTCCGGCAAGATCACCCAGAGACAACTCGACCGACTCCACCGCAACGAGGCCGCACACGCCAACGCAGTCGAGAACTACACGCTGCTCGTCGGGGCTGTCAGCATGGCCAGTTGGGCCGGGGTGGAGAATACGGTCATTAATCGCAGCGTGGCGGTGTATACGCTGGCGAGGCTGGCTCATGCGGCAGTTTATATTGGGGTTGAGCAGGCGGGATGGAGTCAGTTGAGGGGGGTTTGTTGGTGGATTGGGAATCTGAGTTGTTTGGGGTTGTTGTGGAGGAGTTTTTCTCCTATCTGATCAACTCCACTGGACTGTGGGAGTGGGTGATTTGGAAGGGAGTATATGATTTGACCTGGAAAAGTATTAAATTCGTCTATCCGGAGATTAAATAAAAACTACAGCTACATGGTAGAACCCAATCACAAAAACAAATCATCAGATTAGGTATCATGCGTCGTATCAACTGACGGGGTTCCTTTTGCCGCCCTATACACTCCCATCCCATATACATACAATGGCAAATGTCGAAAAATGAAAGAATAAGAAAAAAGGTGCTCAGCGTCGGTTGACGCAGCACTTGATACCCGACTTGGCCAGGAAGAACAACGATCCGAAGAATCGGAAGAACGACAGACCCGCCGTTCCCCACAAGATGATCTGGAAGAACATGGCCGTTCGCCCGGTGGAGGTGTTCTATTCAGAGCGGTTAGTGATCGTCGAGAGCCGCCCAGACAAGGAAAGTGATCAACTTACTGTCAGGCACATGCGGGACACGGAGGTACTGGTGATCAGCAACGACATGATCAGGTTACTGAACACCCACAGCAGGACCAGCGCGGTACGGAAGTTTCGGAAGGAGTCGTCCAAGCTGGGCGAAGTGTCTTCCTCGGGCTCGATGAACGGCGCCAACGCCCGTTTGACTGTCGCCTCGAACTGACTGTCGATATCCGCCTGCGGTTTGTCCAGTTCCTCGATGAAGTTGTTCTTCTCGCCGTCGTCCTTTTTGGTTTGCGCCGAGGGCAGCGCCTCCGCCTTATCGGATCCCTTGGTACCCCACGACACGTCGTGCCAGTTGCAGAAGGCGTACACCATCAGGATGTTGATGGACGTGGTCATGGTCACGAAGTAGGCCCAGGAACTGGTGAAGATGTGCCACGGGTCGGCGTACAGGAAACTGGCGACAGCGTAGATACCGTAGGTCGACACCAAGGCGATCAACACGATACCTCCACTACTGGAACTGAAGAAGGACGACAAAAAGGCTCCGACACCGTTATCCATGTCGAAATCCATCATATCACCGCTAAAGGCACTTGCGACCAGGTAGAAAGAGTCGACCAGCACGTAGATTTGAACCAGAGAGAAGTAGAGGAAGGACAGAGTGTAGTGAATTCGCGTTCTGTGAAAGTTAGCATGCGCCCTGACGAAATCGGATGTCTAGACTCACCCCTTCGGTCGGTTACCCAAGGCCAGGATGAACTGCAGCATCAGGAAAAACAGGTAAAAGAATTTGACAAAGTTGTTCAGAATAGGGGTGACCTCGTTACCGAACGGCCATCCCTTGTTCTTGTTTCCTTGACTAGGCGTACCCACGAGATCCAGAATGACCGAACTGGTCAGCCAGTAGGATGCTGCGCAAGTTAGTTTAGCATTCCAAGACAAGGAGCAATCCACTTACCCAGCGAGAACCAGGTCATGACGACTTGACAGAAATTGTAGAGCATCTGCAGATGCAAGAACGCGATACGAATGATGCTGTGACCACTGCGGTAGATACGTCCGAAATGCATCATGGCATACAAACCAGCCGCGAACGAACCGTTCAGCCAACGTCGACGTTGACCGATAAACTCAGCCGTTCCCTCCGGCACGTCAGTCTCGCCCTTGGACGCCTTGACGTAACTCAGATGCCATTTGAAACCGGCTTTAGCCACCAATTCGAAGCACAGAATTCGATCCTCAGCCAAAAACATGTTCTTTTTGAAGATGTTCATTCCGTCGATACCCTTCTTACCGAGTCGCTTCGACAGCGTATGATCTCCGTGGAAATACTGCTCGAGGGGCCGGCCCATAATTGCGCGATACCGGTACGCGGAGAAGGCACCGGGCAACACACTGACATAGCCGAAGGAACTCTCCAGCGGCTTATCCAAGATGTTGGAAATTTTATACTCGAAGTTCTGGGAAGCCACGAGTGGGTTGAGGACCTTGCCCCAACCCTTTCCTAACATGGCGTGAATCTCACCACACGCTCCGCCTAGAGTTTTATCGTTGTAGAAGGCTTCCCAGAGGGCCAGGAGGGATTTGCGACCGGGCTTAGTTCCTGCGTCCAGCAGAATGGCGACTTCGGGGTTCAGAATTCGGCTGAAGGCGTTGAACAGCCAACGATGGGAGTTGATTTTCTTCGTGTTCTTCTGTTTCAGGCAGAAGATCATCTGGACGGGCGGCAGGTTGGAGGAATCATTGCCTTGGGGACGGATCAGTTGCTGATTCGCGGTGACCGAAAGCTGGGTGGTATATTCGAACTGCGACCGTTAGTTTTGCGAAGTTCTGCGAATTCGAGCATGGCGAAGAGGCGCCCCAACGCGCTCGGTAGCAAAAAGCATGACTTACGATATGAGCGACCGTCTCGCGACCGTCAACATCCTTCTTCATCACGCCGTCTTGGTAGATACCAACGGTGGCCAGCACGTCCAGGGTGTTTTTATCGCAGGGCTCGATACCATCGAAGACTAGAGCGACCACGATCTTCTGCCAGGCTGGACCTCCCTTGTTCCAGAATTCAGATTTCTTCAAGTTGACGATATCGCGGACATTCTGCATAACACCGTGCAGGGTTCGGGCGGTCAGCACTTTATCTTCGTTGTAGTAGGTGATGGCGATCAACAGCTCGGTGTGTCGGTTGTAGATGGCCGGGCGCAGATTGTATCCGTTTCGCAGGGTGAATTCGTCGGGGTCACAGGTGGCCGCGGTGTCTGCGTCGAAGCAATTAGTCCGGGGATCATCCTCTGGCGACGGCTCACATGCAGGGGGAAAGACCTACATCGCATATGCGTGAATTCCTCCGAAAACGCCTCCTCGGCCTCGCGGTATTCGGGCTGAATGGCGTTCTGAATGGCACTGGGGACGGGGTAGTCGACACTCAGGACGGAGCCCTGCACCAGGTTGATCTTTCTCGTTCCGTATCGGCGAAGAGCGCCCGTCGACCGACTGGCACCGCCGGCCTGGCTGTGCTGCCACGTATCCATCTTGATCCCGCTGCGGTCGGAGGCGCGAGCATCGTAAATGTCGGCGGCTTCGGACTCTTGGTAGGGCGGGGCAGCGAAGACGGTCACTCCGGGGTCGTGCAGGGTGTAGCGACGCAGCGAGTCGGACGAGACGCTGGGGTCTTCGAAGGGGGCACCGCTGCCATAGGGACTGGGCTGGTTGCGATACAGCAGCGACTGTTCCTGATCACCGCTCTCCGAAACTCCGGGCGTTCCCTATTCTATACGTTAGCCTCACTTAAGACAGGGCGCACCAGATCGATCAGACTCACTCCCGACGGACTGTGAGAGTAGTAACTACTCCGACTGTGTTGAGAAGAATGAGATTTGAAGGGCCCCGGGGTACCCATCTCGGCGGTTGATGAGATGGGTGGTGGTTAGAAACGAAGGAATCGAGGGAAATCAACGAGTGACGGGGAGGAGAGCGCAGAGACCTTAATAGGGAAAAGGTTAAAAAAGAAAAAGGGCGTTGCAGAGAAAAAGGGACGAAAATACAATCGAAGCCCAAGGAACAAAGGTCGGAGTCGGAAGATCGACAAACAATCAAGGGATACGGCGGAAAGGCGAAAGGACGAAAGGGAGGAGAAGAAACTGGAAAGGGCAGGGGAAAAAGAAGCGAGGGAAGAAAGCGAGAAAGAGAGAGAAAAGAAGGGTCTGAGTCTGGATAAGGCAATAGGATCAGTCCGCCAGGCTGTGGTGGAACCGCGTACACTAAATATAGCGAGGCTAAGCCTTGATTCCGATTCTCACTCTCCTTCAGACTTCCGACTTTCAGTCTCTACTTTCACTTTGTCCTCTGTCGATGTTCCAACGGGACGATCAGCTTAGGGCAACGTTCAACGTGGTGACAAGGGCTCCGCTCAAGGGGAGTTTGAGATTGGATTCTAAATTCGCAGCGGTCGAGAAACCGGAGTACGGATGGGAAGTTGGAACGCAAATAGTACGAAGTATTCAGTCTTCTGTCTTCTAGTATTGCAGGTCAAGCGACCGTGAGCCGGCAGACGAAGGGGAAGTTGGCCGTGTCGTCACCGGATCCACCGCGCCTCCATCCATCAGACGGGAATCTCCTGGATTGCTTTCTCTTTCTCTCTTACACGGTGTAATCCTTCCATCTTCTCTTGCCTCCATCGGGCCATCTGGCCATGCATGCACCCTGCATGGGCACAAGACACCGGTCACCATTGCTCAGGCTGGTGGAGGAGCAAAAAACTGTGCGTGCCACTGGGATCCATGGCGAAGTGAATCAGCTCCAGCGATGACTCGAGTGCCATTGGCCCTTCCCCATCGGCTAAGACCGCAAAGTTTCACACAGCAGCGACTGTTGGTCGGGCGACGCGCACCCGGTGGAACCGTCCGAATCGATTTCGTCGTTTCGGTGGCGCAGGGTTGTGACCCACTGTGGAGCGGGGAGAGGTGATACACCTGAAACCCATCTGGGATCATCGCCCATCTGATGCTGTGGTGGATGGAATATAAAGGAGACGAGGCATGACGGGGGATCAGGGATGGATTTCAACTCTGGAGTACTCCGTAGTCTTTCGAACTGTAAGGAGAGATGAAAGAAAAGGAGCGAGAGAAGAAGAAGTTCTTTTGCTCTGAAAAGCGGCCTGGCTGACTCATCCGGGGCCGCGCTAACTAAATTTAGCCGGCATTGCGCTGTTTGTTTACGCTGCCTGGGTGCCTGAGTGCCTGACGGGTGTCCAGGCACCACATGCCGTAGTGTACACAACGAGGACAGATCCGGTATGTACATAACTCGACTCTTGTTGTTGTTGACTTCCACATACTTCATTACCACTTCTCCTAAATCCTGCCAACTCGCGGTATGTCCTCGCCCAACTCTCATCCACTCGGATCCTCCTGTCACCCCACTCCTTCCAATCCAGCCCGATCAGGACCTGCAGAGCCCTGGCCGCCGACGCAAGGAGTGCGACGTGACCTGTCCGACAGGTGGGCCAGTCCAGAAGGCAGAGCCAGAGGGCCAAAGGGTAAGGGATGCCCAAGGCTGTGCTTGTCTGTCTGACGCTGCTCCCGATGCCTTTGTTCTATTTAAACCCGCCTATGGCGACCGCCAGGGAAATTTATAGGCGTCGGTGACCGGGAGTACCTTACAGTTGTCCATAACGTGCGATTACACTGTGTAGTCCGTACACCGCTCCGATAGCCAACAAAGTATTCAATATGTCGTATAGTCTCACCCGTTTTCCCTCCCCTTAAGGAATAATCAGGGATATTGCCATAAAGATCTATATTTAGCCAGGAGATAATCGTGAAATATCAATGTTTCGCCTCGTATTTTCCGAGACCATGCTATAGGTACTCACCCAATCCCATCCCGTCCCATCCAGATGCACTGAAACTATTCGAAACTATTCCAATACTTCGGCTGGTTCTCCTGACGGACCGGGTGTCATAATCGAAAGAATAGCGTAAGATCCATATCTGATCTCCCATCTCCAGTCTGAACGGAGTAAGTGTCATGGCCGAAAATGGCGTGGCGCCGTGACGGCGGTCCGATGCTGCAGCAATCCACCGAGTACGGAGTAGACGACGGTGTCTTTTTCTGCATTCGGAGTATGGGATGTCAATCAACAGGAGACCCCACAGGTCTAGTCTAGACTTTTCACCCAGATGGGGACTCTGTAGTGTTGGTTTGATGTCGCGTCTATCCGAACCAGCGGAGATATATATCCGTCACACGAACAACTCGGATTTGCTGGAACGTACTGTACCTACAAAGAAAAAGAATAAGAACCAAGCTAAGGAGCTGGATTGGGTGGTGACTGGATTAAAAGTAAATTAAGGCTGTGGAGTAATGTAGCTTATAGCTATTCAAACACGAAAGGACCCCAGATACAGAAAAGCGAACAGTCCACAAACAACTCGATTCAATCTCGCTGAATGTTGCAGTCGCCTCTCTTTCTGAATAATCGACCAAACAATCCTGCAGTACTTCCAGTCTCCGAATGTTTCTTCAATATCGCGATCGTGGGCAGATAACGCGATTGCTCACGACGGCGATAACGGCGACCATGGGAACTATAGGGACCATAGATACCATAGCGACAGAGCCGGAGCTCCTTTTCGGCGTATTGCAGAGGCGACATACCAGAATTACTGACGATTGTGAGGTCGGCTCCCTTTTGGATCAGAACCATGACGATGTCCTCACGGCCGCGGGAGGCAGCGTGCGACAAGGCAGTCCGCCCGTCGTTATCTTTAACATTCACATCCACACGTGCCATATCTAGGAGTGCAGTAATAATGCGGCATTGGTTATGATGTACGTCTGTCATAGGACAGCTTTGCATAAGTCTTTGGGCTGCCCGTAATAGCGGGGTGCGACCAAGTCTATCCTGGGCATTGGGTTCAACAGAGTCTTGCATCAAGAGCAGCTCCACGAGTGGCGTATTGCAGAAGCAAATCGCGTGCGTGAGAGGTGTTTCTCCGTACCTATCTTCGGAATCCGGGTCGATATCGGCAGCTGAGAGCAGAACCTGAGCGACTTCGAGAACCTTCTCGGTCATCGGGGAGTAATCACAGGGATCATCGAATCGGGTGTAGCCAAGAGCAGATATTGCCAAGGCGAGAGGTGTTCTGCCTTGGCTACACTTGACATTTACATCCACACGGCCGTCCTCCAGGAGAACTCTGCACACCGATGGTCTTCTGCACGCCGCCGCCACTGATAAGGCTGAATACTGAAACCAATCTCGACAGTTAGGGTCCGCTCCACGCTGAAGTAACAGGCGGACCGTACTGTCGTGTCCGCCCCTGGCCGCTTCCATCAGGGGGGTGAGTCCGGCCGCTGAGCGGGACTCGATGTTGACTCTTCGATATGGCAGCAGTAAGTTGATAACTTCGTCACGACCCCCACGTGCAGCTAAGGATAAGACAGACTCCGATAATTTGTTGATGGCGTAAGGAAGAGCGCCTTTGGCGAGTAATGTCTTCACAGCCTGAGTCCTCCCTCCCTTGGCCGCGACCATCAAGGCGGTGTTACCATGTCGATCTGTAACCTCAACATTGATGTCTGTGCGCGAGAGTAATAGAGATAGCGCCTCGGACCGACCTTCATAGGCAGCATGGACTAGGAATGGCGCGCCATGTGCGTGACATTGGTCGTTCACATCGACAACGGCCTGAGTCAACAACAGGTGCATGATGTCTGTATACCCAGCATACATCGCGATCCGGAACGAACTTTGTACCGTATGTCCCATTCTGGCACCAACCCCGTATTTGAGCAGTGATAGCACAACCGCTATGTTATTGCGGGATACGGCCACGCTGAGCGGGCAACCTCCCATCCTATCAGTCTTATCAAGGCTGCATTTCTGCGACTCGAGAAGCAGGTTGGCGATCGTGTGCTGATTGGCAGAAATGGCCATCGTCAGCGGGGTGCGATGGTCGATGGGATCTACGCAGCGGTTTGGATCGGCGCCGTGTTCTAGCATCTTCTCCACGGTGCCAGCTTGGCCCCTGTCAACCGCCCAGACTAACGCTGAACTGGCATAATGGGCGATGTTGTGGCGGTAGAGATTGAAGGTCAGGAGCTCGTGTAGGCGATGACTGCATCGACTGAAGTTGTTGATGTCTTTCTCTAGGGTGAGAAATTGACAAATGAGAACGATTAATTCATTCGGTAGATCAAGCAGGAAGAAGAATTCCGTGAGTGGCTTGGTGCGAGGGAGTCTGAGGCATAGCATAAGGCGACGGCGTTTAGACAGTTTGTCGGGACTCATGATGGGCAACTTTGAAGTATGGTAAAAGGATAGAGAGAAGGTGAAGTTGACCTGATCGAGACTGTATGAGGGTATGAGGGATTTGACGAGGGGTTAGAGTCATCGGCTGGAGCCATTCCGGATATTACCAGGACTGACGTCCACGCGATATCATGTATGAGTCTACATAGGAGAGTTTAAAAATGAAACCTTCAGCCAACGATCCGGGTTTCCTTAACCTAAATAACACTTGACATCTCGAGAAACACAAGATATGAGACTACTCAAAAACAGAAAGAATAACACGAACAAAGCCAGGTATCCGACAGCCACAGAGCTATTATGGCTTGACGCAAAGATCAAAAGGGAGTCGATGGTTTGGGTGCGGTCTATTTTCACGGCGCGGATTAAACCACCGCATGGTTCTTTATTGGCCAGGAACCAAGGCCGATGAGGCATGTGAGTGCCAGGGGAATGTGTCTAGAATCTATCTCTTCCGACCATTCAAATACATCAAAATGAATGAAGTGAGCTGGTGGTACCAACTCAACCTACAAGATAGTACTCTTATACCCTGCATGGCGTAGCCGCGGGGACAAATGAATTTCCAATGGCATAGTAATGCCTATATGATCTTTCAATAGTCTTGTTGATTGCCATTATGAGGATAACGAGATGCTTTCGAAAGCGATGCAACTTGCTTGGGGAAGTTGAGGCCAAACTTGAGCTAAGGTGGTATCTAGTCTGAAAGTGTCCACTACCGTATATCCTTTTCTGTGGCGCTCGGATGCCACATACCCTGAGCCAACTCCACTTAGAAAGACCTTTGGTATGACTGGTGCAAGATCTGGAATCCCTGAAGTGTTGAAAAGAAGCTAGTTTCCGCTTGGGAGTGGCACAGGTCCGTAAGATTATCGTATATTGGATAGAGCCGCTGCTGAGAGACCGAATCCTGTGACTGATTCTGATATCGGAACGAATCTGTGCTACAAACGATCCCGCCTTTTTGTGTGACAACGCTGGATCGAAGCAGGATGAAAAGCGTCTTATACAAAGAACCAGACTGTGACCACATCTACAATGTATTGAGATCGAGCGAACTTCCGGTTTCGGCATGTATCGAAATATTAGCAACTGTAGGTATATGACATACCCAGGAAATTAATCCCGAGATCCCGACGCAAAATAAAAGCCGTAGTTTGCATCGAAAGAGAAAATATTGTGAGAGGAAATGCGAGTGATCACAAGGACTCGACAAATCCGGGAAATGTACGACTTCCAGACGTGCGATGCAGATACCCCTGCAGCCACCTTGTAACTCTGTGCGTAGAGCTACAGAAGGTGCGTGGATTTAAGGATCATACACATTCTTTCGCGGCCCCAAACAACAAACATAACAGCTAAACCGGGTCAATTTGTGAATAATGTCTTTGAGAGAGTGTTCTGTGCCGTATGATCGTGCTGGTCTTCATGGCGTGGAATCTACATTGTCCCTGCCTCTCACTGCGTGGAGGCTGCTGACCTAAGAGACGAGACGGTTGATCCGTTCAAAAGGCCAACTTCCAACCCGCGCAACCATCGAGACCAACACGTTCACGATGCCACCGAGAACATCAACCACAAAAGGGCCGTCGGGAGCCGACGGAAAACCAACATGGAAGTCCAAATTCACGGACAAGCAGTTAGAAAGGAAACGACAGGTCGATCGCATATCTCAACGCCGCACGCGACAGAATTCTAAACAGGTCGCCGCGCAGCTGCAGGAGAAGATGAACCTGCTCTCTAGCGGTGACCACAAAGGTCTGCTGGAGCAGATGCTGGCGGAGAATGAAGGATTAACCAGCAAGTTGAATCTTTTCCAAAATCGACTGGATCAGATTCATCGTCTCTCGAATGAATGCCTGGAGGTTGAGGATGTGCCGAATCCTGCTAGAGGCCATCGGTCTGTGGGCCGGAGCTTGACATCCTCCGGGTTTGATAGCACTCCAATGGGGGATGGAATACCTGCCGATGTTGGAAAAATGTTCTCAAAGCAGCCTTCGATCTTCCTCCATATCATAGAGCAAATGAGGGAAACACATGGTGGCGACATGCCAAGACTCACCCCTAATCGCTTCGTCGAGAGCACCATGGCATGGAAGTACTCACAGGGTTCGACGGATGGATTGGACTATCTGGTCCAGCACTTTCAACTGCGGGGATTTACCATTAAAGGTAAGGCATTTTTTATCCGTGCTAAGTAGAATGCTTACCCACTGGCTTAGACGTGGTATATTGAAAGATTACTACCGAAGACTTTTATCCGACTCTTCTAGCACAGCTTTTGCAGGACTGTAGAGTTCCTCCCTCATCAGATCGATCCCACATACATGAACCGCAACAGACGAATAGAAGGAGAAACCATCTAGACACCCTTTTCCGAAAGACGGCTTACCTGGCGTACCAGCTCATGCGGCCGTGGCGCGGCTGCTACCACTCTCACCTGGAGCTAGAGGCCCTATTTTGGGCCCAATACCGGCACCTTCTTGTATGATACCATCATCCATCCGGAAGAAATAGAGAGACCGTTACTCATTTCGTTTGTGATAGTTCTTTGTTCTCCCGTCTACCGAAAATCTTGCCAAATGCTTGCCGTGGTACCGTCCGACGCCGTCCATGTTCCTCTACGACCATCCTGGTTACATTGACTTCCTTCTTTGGTGAGTATTATCAAAATAGCAGACATAATGCGGGATGATTGTTAGTAACATCCATACAGGCCTCACCTTCACGAGCAGTTAAAAGGCAGCTGGAAGAAGTACAACACCGAGAGCCTGATCGGAAACCTGATACGGAGATTCAACGTTAGCAATGCAGACATTGACCCCAAGCAGCCACAGATTTACGTAAAAAATCGCGAGCTCCATCTGTCAAAGATCTTCGAGAGGGCCCTAGCCGATGCTTCTAACTTTCGCATGCAACCCCACCTATTTACGCGTTCCCCGGAGGTTGTGAATAGCGGTTCTCTCGTTGCTCCCAACCCACCAGCAACGGGAGACTCTACACGCTCAACACATACAGTGTGTGGTGCGTCCAATACGAACGTGCAAACCCACCCTTATGGACTAGATGAGCCGATTTGGACGCATCCTTTTCCATCCGACAGTTACCTGCTAGGCTCTATCACCAGTGCGGTTCCAGAAGTCCCACCCAAACTGGACTACAGGATGACCCGGTCCAACGAGACGCTAGACACGGAGTGTATCGACGGAAACTTTCTAATCTGGAATAATTGCCAGATGGGCTCCGGCAACTTATGGACGCTATAGGGGGGGCTTTAAGCCAGGTCAGCAGAACCCAGCTGCACCAAGCTTGTGAACATAGGATTAAGGAGTTTGTAACCCTGGACAACTATAGCTTAGCAATGCAAAGCCTCATTCATTCAGCCGCAATAACTCCAGGGTCCGATCCCACAACTTCGCTTCGCCGAGAGGATCATACGTCCAGGCGGCAAGACCGGGACTTTCGCCGTTCGCATCTGCTACCGCGATTGAACAATCTTCTAAGTATCTTCCTCCAGCTCCGTCCAATTTCCTCGAAATAGCCGCCCAAATGGTCGTAGACGCGCCCTGCTCGGGGCTTTTCCAGTACTTCTGAGAATTGTCATCCTGTGTCCATAACCGCTTCTGTTCCTCAGGAATATACCGTTGAAGATTTATGGCGATCGCCTCTGGATGCAAACTCCATGCGTGTAGTCCACGTGCACCATACCTCCGATCGATCTCGTTGGCCGTCCAGATATTCGCCGTTTTGCTCTGACCGTACGCTTTCCAGGGGTCGTATTCACCGACGAGGTTGATGTTGTCAAAGTTGACAGCGCTGTACTGATGGGCGACAGAGGAGACGATGATTACGCGCGAGTTGAATGCGGGTTCCGAAGACGAGAGGAAAACGGGTTTCAGTAGATGAAAGAGGAGGAAATGACCGAGATGGTTGGTGCCGAACTGGGTTTCGAAGCCATCCGTAGTTTGACCTTCCGGACAGGCCATCACAGCGGCGTTTTCGATGAGGACGTGAAGTGTTTCTGAACGTGCCTTGAATGCATTTGCACAGGCGTGGACAGACTTCAAGGAGCCGAGATCGAGATGCAAGAAGTGAACCCGTGGGCTAGGGGCGATGTCGTCTAGGGCTGCTCGAGCTCTATCAATGTCTCGTGCAGTCAGATACAACGTAGCTCCAGTTCTGTACAGTGCACGAGCAGTCTCAACTCCCAGCCCGGACGAGCATCCGGTGACCAGAATGACCTTGCCGTCCCACTGACCTTCAAGATGCTCGTCCTCGATGATTTGACAAGCGATTGGCCGAGCATCACCGGGCCCTGATGGAGATTGATGCACTTGTGTGTAATTTGTAGGCATTCCTGGATGTAGTCGGGTTCAACGGGACATGGATATGGGTAGTAGACATAGGAAAACGAGTTGTACCGTGTTAGGAGCAGGAGAGCGTTGTAAATAGAGATTGCGAGCGGGAATAGCCAGCCTTTACATTCTCCTTGGATGATGGGAGAGCATTTTGGCAAGAAACCCCTGAAGTCCGCGACAGAGATTTTACCTAAGGAGTGGCTGATGAAGCAAGATCTAGGACCCTGTGATTAAACCAACGCATGAATCATGTGCTTGTCGGCATTTCTACGAGTCGCATCCACCGAATCGTATCCACCGGAGCCGTTGCCACTGAGTCGTAGAATTCGACTCGTACTCCGAAGTAGAGATGGAGTCGTAGACATCGAGTCGTATCAATCTTGGCTTAACCACAATGTCGATCAGCCTTGGCATCCTTTTTCCAATAGGACTAGTGGAAGACGCATATGCGCAAATGGTTCTGGTAATCGGTGTGCTATATCTAGGAATAGCAGTCCTTATACGAAGTACAGGACGATGCAATGCCAGCGACTTCCGATCCCGTGCAGTCCACGGAAGCGATGCCACTTCATCCGGTCCATCGGGGGCTCATCGCGATGGAACTAGGGCATGTACACAGTTTGCATAAGCCGGATGGCGGGAAAAGAAACCCGTCACGTCGGATCACGGAAGGACTGAGAAGTTCAAGCAACAAGAGAGGCCTGGAGACAGGAATTCATCCCGAGTATTTAGATAGGAAGGAGGAAGACTTCTCTGCCCTTCCCATGCTCATATCAGCGTAACATATTCTCCATCATGGACTAACAGAACCTGCTCAACCTTTTACACGTTCCAAAAACGTTGACCTTCATTTTCATCCTTTCTGTTGCCTTTCGATGCATGTTATGGGCGAAACAAGCGGCCCTGTTCGCCAAGCTCCCTAAAATCCAGCAGGATGGCAGCAGTAAGGCCTGGCGAAAGATGTATCTAGACTCTGCGCGCAAGCTGGATCAGCAGGGATATGAGAAAGTATGTTACCCCCTGAGAGCAACACTTGTCACAGCTTTAATATTTAGGACAGTTCAAAGACCAAGTTTGGGTGATGCCGACGTCCGATGGTACGGGATGTCAGATATTTTGAATATTCGCAGATACTGATCTTTGTCCCACTTAGGCCTCAAGAACGTGGTTATTCCCGGCCAATTCCTGGCGGAATTGAATAAATTGCCAGGCAATATGATCAGCTTTCCTGACGCAGTGCACAAGGTCAGCTGTTGCATCTTGATACCATGGAGCGCAAGTATACTGACCGGACAGCTCATGGAAGCCAAATACACGAAGGTCGACCCTGATGAACCGCTTGCCGCTTACTCAATCAAAGCGGACCTCAATCCGGCCTTGTGTACGATTCAATATCTCCCCGTTTAACAACCTTCGCTCACACTAGTCAGCTCGACTAAGCCCCATCATCTTCGAGGAGGTTGAGAGGGCGATCAAAGACGAAATAACTCGCTGTCCAGATTGGACTCCCGTATTCATCTACCCGAAACTGATAAATATCATTGCGAAGGTATCGGGACGTATCTTCGTTGGCCCAGAACTGTCCCGCGACAAGGATTACCTTGACACCGCAGTCAACTACACCACAGAGCTGGTCAACGCAATCCAGGCAGTCAAGAGTATGAAGCCCTGGCTCCGTCCATTTTTCGCCTCCAGACTGCCTGAAGTCCGCAAGCTCAGAGAGCGGGAAGAACTCGCAGAACAGTTCTTCGAGCCAATTATACAAGCTCGCCGTAACGCTGCCCAGGACCCTCATTACGAAAAGCCCAACGACATGCTTCAGTGGTTCTTAGATCGAAGTACAGACTACGGCATTCAGTCTACTCAACGCATCGTCAAACTACAGTTGTTAGTGATCTTCGGTGGAATCCACAACACCACTGTCACAGCGACCAACATCTTGTACAATCTCGCCGTATGGCGCGAGTATCTCGAGCCGCTGCGCGAGGAGGTCCACACCGTAGTGGCAGACACTAGCAAGGATGAAATGAATTCCCGCGCACTGCAACGAATGGAAAAGCTAGACTCGTTCATGAAAGAGACGACTCGCTTTTACCCGCCGGAAACGACTTCATTTTCTCGCAAGACTGCCCAGGGCATCACTCTCTCGAACGGACAATACATCCCGCCCGGCAGCTTGGTTGAAACCCCATCGGATGCCATCGCGCATGATGAGACCACATACTCTAAGGATGATAGGTTCGATGGGTTCCGATTCTACAAGATTCGACAGGGTGCGACGGCAGCAGAGCAAGCTCGGAACCAGTTCGTTACGTCAAACGACAAGAATCTCGTGTTTGGGTATGGAAAACATGCATGCCCGGGAAGGTTTCTGGCTGCAGCGGAGATCAAGTTGATTATTGCCAAGATCATCTTGAGATACGAGTTTCGAAACGAAACCGTTGTGAAGGAACGGTATCCTAGTCATGCATTTGGACGCATGGTGAGTCCCCACGATTCTACAACCTCGACGAATTTGCTAAAAATCTGGTAGAACGTTCCCGATGCAAGCAAGCCGTTACTCTTCAAGGAAAGGAAAGAGTAGGAGTTTGGTTTCGAGAAGGTGGACTCCACGCTATTGAATTCCACGTTATACGAGAAAACAGTTCACCGTTTTAGTTGGGAGGACTAGATGCACTGTGGGGACAGATGGTGGACAACGACACTAGGATTCTCAAAGACCTAGATAGTATGAACTGCTCGGGGGAAGTCACCTCATGACATCTCGAGGCTAAAAGTTTGAATTGATTTTCTGTGATAAATAACACGATCGCAGACCGAAATCGTATTTCGTAGGCTCTCTCGGAACGGTCGGTCCATTCCGACACAGGATCATCAACTAGCGAGAGTACAACCATCGGAACTTGCGTGATAGGCGGAAAACAGGGCGAAAATGGTGGATCATCGACTGCAGGTATACGGGACCCGAGGACTCCGCGTGGTCCAGGCAAGCCTTACGCCGTTGCAGGTAGGCGCTCGTAATCAGGCAACGGCGTATGCAGTCGCGGAAAGGGCGGCGGCGGTGGTTCCTGACGATGCCGGCCGGAGTCCGCGGACTAGTGAAGCTTGAATTCGTTAGGTAACGAGATGTCTTGTTAACGTGGCAGTAGTGTGAGGTTTCTGATAGAAGATTTTCGATTGGACACGACCTCATGAATAGAGTAGGCTGCTAAAGCTGGGTTTCTACACTTGCGAGAAGAGAGGGAACGTGAGAAAAATCTCTGCTACGCTTGGTGATGGGCCAATTAGGTCAAGTCGGAGGAGACAATAACACGACACAACAAAGAAGCTGAAACCGAGAAAGGGCAAAAAGGTGCAATAAATGAAAGACCCCTACGGCGGGAGGTTTACTGCATTCATCGTAGCGTCTGGCCCACTGGATTCAATTCTCTCGTCGCTGAGTTGTGGTTCCATGGCGCGCATCCGGACTGATCTCATACTCCACTCCGGCGGGTCTGGCTCTCCGTCAGCCTAGATGCTCTTTACAAGGCTTGGTGCGTGAGCTTAATTCTGCTGCCTGAATTTTCCACTGCAAGGGTGACACGTCGAAAGCGAAGGAGGTCTAAACGGCTGATGCTGGCGTTTGTGTTACCACCCTTGACGGCATGTACCGTACAAAGAATGAGACATGATCAGATCCTGCTCGTCAAATGGGGTGAAATAGAGAAAGGATCAACGAAATTAAATCTATATTAAAAGAAAACACAAAGAAGAAGGGGGACAAAAAATAATGAAAAAAAATAATGACAAAAGAGACAAGGAAGTCCACTCACTGGTCACAACCCATGCCCCTAAAGCGCAATCCATGACCAAACATTAGACCACAACCCTCCGCTCCATTGGATCAGAATGACATGAGACTGTCCGAAACCAGTGAGCCACCCAAAGGCACAGCCAGCGCCACCCGGCCTCACAGCCCAACTGAAAGGTCCCATCGGTAGGGCCTGCTATTAGGAACTAATCCCGGACTGCTGAATGCGACTGCCTAGGGGTTGCAGGACCCTGATCAGGCTAGTGAGGGTACATGCTAATCGCAATATATAGGGGTTGGACCATTCCATGCGTGGGCCGTCCTCGGTTCAACTGCGTCATGTTTTCCTCACACATCTTTCGATAAAAGCCGTTACCCACCCTCAAGCGTACACCCTGCCATAGCTCGCTCCTTTAGTTCTGAGAACATCCAGACCTCCATCTTGAGTCATCGAGATGGCTGCCTCATCATGCGAGGAGCGGCCTGTCCAGTCTGGAAAAGGTAGGACCAAGCAGCCACGGCAGACTAAGGCGATGAAAAAAGGACTGTTGCTTGACAGCGTGGGTCCATCACTGTTACGTGAGCTAGACTCATATCCTAGCCGGCATTTCTGCCTCGATAATTGCGAATTACTCCCTCCAACCGACAAGTTCTTATCCCCTCCACCTCAACACCCTCCGAGACTTAGTCGCAGCACCAGTAGTGACAACGGCAGCAGCGATAGCAGTCGTACTCTCGTCGATCACAGTTCAGGATCAGATACACCATCCGACCATATCCTGGGCAAACCACGCTACCCGACATTGCGCGAGCGACGAAGTTTGCCGTTCCTCAGGCGCAGACCACGATCCAGTACGAAAGCCCCCAAGCATGACCACGACCACGACTTCAGTACACGACGAGTTGTAGAAGCCCTGGCCCTGCGATATGGAACTGTTTCACACATGGGTATGCTCGACCGCAGCTACCGATTCTTTGTCAACAAATCCCACACCGCCGCTCTCTGCTATAAAATCCTCAATCACGTCGCCATTGTTAGCGGCGACCCTCTCTGCGAGTCCACTCGATTCGACAGCGTCCTCGACCAATTTGCCATTTACCGAAAAGAACACTCGCTAGACATCGCTTTCATGGGGGCGAGCGAAACATTCGCTAAATATGCGCGACAACGAAACTGGAACACAATGCAATTCGGGGTAGAGCGAGTCCTGAACCCTTGCACCAACGACGTACTCCTCGAGCGTAGCAGCAAGCGAGTCATCGTCCAGAATCGACAGCTCCTGAACCCAGATAAAGGCGGCATAACACTGGGCGTATATGTTCCCGCCTCCGGAGAAGATGCAGCCTTCCAGTCCGAGCTGATGTCCATATACGACTCATGGCGCGAACAACGCAACCAAAGCAGCACGACATCCCAAGCATTCATTACAGTTTACGATCCCTTTGACTATCCGAACCTCATGACATTCATATATACTCGCGCTGCCGGCGGCACGGTGAACGGATTCGCTGCACTACGACGCATCGGCACACACAACGGCTACCACATCGATCCCTGCATCGCAGCACCCGGCGCACCGAAGGGAATGTCCGACCTACTCACCTACGCGGCGATGGCACTGCTTCACCATTCAAATGTTTCCTATCTAAGCCTGGGGTACGAGCCCCTTACCGAGCTAGGCGAGGTGACCGGCATGTCACCGACCTTGGAGCGACTTACTCGGTCCTTATATCACCACACATACCAGCGATTGCCAATTCACGGCAAGAAGGCATACCATGACAAGCTGCGGCCGGACCCATGTCAGGAATCGGGACTTTATGTCATCTTCCCGGCCGGGATGCCGGGCGTGCGACAGATGGTTGCCATGGCGCACATGGCCAATATAAGTATCCGGAAGTTGGTTCGAACAAAGGTTGAAAACTCTCCTGGCTCTGGGAGACAGAAGGAAGCTAAGGATGAAAAGTGACATGCAGGGGTTTCTTTGCTAGCTGCTGGTCAGCGTTGCTTCGTGGTACTTGGGCTAAGTAACATGGGTACTTTTTGGTATGAGGCATAGTGTGAACAATCTTTTGTATTATAGATTTATAATTCTCTTCATGTTTGTTGCGTGTATCCGTGCGATAGAACCTTTCCCCTGCTTTTTAATTTTTAATCCTAATCGATTTCAGTGCTCTGGTGTGGTCGGTTTGCATAACAACGATCGGAGGTTCCTCTGCTGGAGGGGATGAAACCACCCCCTTTTCATTCCCTATTTTAAGTTTCTCTTGAATTGCGATATCTTATATATGCCCACTTGCTTATCTATGAGAAAGTAAATGAGGTCGGAAGAGATAATTTGGCATGATCAGCCTCGAACGAAGGTTTAGAAACCCAACCTCGGATAAAGCCGCGGAACCAATAACAACCTCCATCCCAGGAAAGTTATGGGGATGACGTCCTCCACTCTCGGATGGACGGAAGTGTCAGTAGAAATTAACCACTGTGAAGTGTTATAGGGGTGATGTGGAGCTTTTCATGACGTAGAAATGCTTATATTCCCTTTTATTTAAATAAAAACACCGGGCGCTGGTGGACGAGGCTGATGATCTAGGATCACATACCTCCCACAGAAACAGACAAGAACACATCATGCCCGACCGTAAGGCCCTCTTGAGATGCTTTGCCTCAGGCTAACTGTATCTAGAATCGCAAGAGCCCCACCGAAGCTTCATGGATAGAATGTTCCATCACCACCAAGACCGGCAGAACGAGGGAAGACAGCAGCAACAGCCGCAGCAACCAGGCCAAAGCCAGACGCAGGACCCGGAGAAGAAAGAAAGTGAAGTGGACAAGTTTAAGGATTACATTGAAGAAGACGAAGAATTGGAGCGGGAGCAAGGATCTTATGGAGGATTAATGTAATTGTAATTCTCTTGGATGTAACTGGGTGGTTGACCAGACCATGCGCAAGTTTACGATCGTTTGTTATTGGGTAGATGTGGTACCTTTCTGAAAGCCCAGGATGTTGTGTTTCTACAAGTATAATTATGTTATCAGACGTGAACTGTCCATGACATTTGGATTGGATTGTGTTAAGCCACTTTGACCCGTTCACACTCCAAGTTGATCGACATTCAAGGGTATGGCGTAACAAGTAGCTGGCCGTTTGGCAATGCGAGACAATGGCATTCACGGCATAAAGAAGGCCGCCGTTCTTAAGAGTGTTTGGAGTGAATTCGATAGTTGAACCATGATGTGACTAGGGATCGACACTCAGCTTTGAGAGACTGATTAAATTATGTGGCAAATGGGAAGTAGAAAGACATCATAGTCATGAATCGAAGATCTAGCCATGGCCAGCAATTTCATATAGCCTCTTCGCTGATCTGAAAGGAAGAAGTCCTAGAAACTTGCGTTTGCGTAATGAGCTGCGGCATGGCGAATAATACGCATCCAAGTCATTGAACCGTAAGTCATGATTAACTCTCTAAACTACAGCTTTCTATCTGCTTCTTTATACTCTTCTCCATCTTCCATGTCGTCTGATAGATCCAAATCATCCCACCGGGCGATAAAGAGGTCCAGCTCTGCCTCGCCGAGGTTCTTCTCTCCCAGAACGGTGACAGCGACATTAGGATATAAACTACTGAGTCGTTTACGATCATGTATTTTCCAAGTCTTGGAGGAGAATTCATGGAAAAGGCCGCGTGTCTGGGGAGGAAGCGCAATGCTTTTCAGCTGGGCGGTAAGTTGAAGAAGACGCAGCATCCCCTTAGCCAGTAGCCATCGTCGGGAGAGGGCAGAGAGGATGATACAGAGATCTACGAATGCTTCGGCACTCTTCTCATTATGAAGCCCCTCCAGGAGGATAAATGAAGCCAGGGTAGCGTACTGCGCGTAATTCAACGGCATCCAATTTGTGGACCAACGGGAACGGTGCGAACTGAGGATATCTCGGATCTGTTGTGCAGCAGAATGGCGAAGGTACCGCGCGTGGTCAATAGATATCACCGGCGTTGCTGGATCTGGCAGGTGTTTGATAAATCCGAATATTGTCGCGGTAGCCGCATGGTACTTCATGCTGCGATGTCGATCAGCACTAAGCCCATGGGGATGACGGCCACCCTTACTGCATATCCATCACGCTGGGCGTACTATCACACCCAAGGCTGGTGCATGCTGGGATGTGTAGAGACCATTTCCTGAGGTCTCGATGAAAATTATCGACCATGGTTTCAACATCGCAATACTGAGATGGCCTTTGTTCTTCAAAAAAGGAGGTGGAGATATTAGATATAATCGATTGCAGCTCGAACGAAGCTTGCAGAACACAATGCTTTTGTCCGCGGAGAGGATCTGCTGCCAGAGGATATGGCATCCATGCACCGTCGTGGTTGTGATCTGGAAGAAAGGGGTCCAAATGAGGCTGCTTCATCACTAGCGGCTGCTGGAGCATCAAGGTAGCGGTTCTATCGCAAGTGGTCAGTCAGAACAAGGTACTTCACCCCGCAAAGGAGGATTCTACCCACGAGGTGAGATTAAACAAACCGAGGACCGCCGTGTCAAGCGCTCGTATCGTTTCATGCCGGCATTCAGCTTTCTCAATAAGATGCGTCCGTTTCGCAATGATTTGGCGCGTGCTGTCGCCAATCTCGACGAGATATTTCCAGCCGAGTCTGTCCTTTCCCATGATGCAAGAACTTTAGCCATGGTTAGATCAAAGTTGAAACGGCCTTCTATGTCCGAAGATACCTTGTGTACAATGCCCCGAGGCCTTGGACGCTAGTCAAACTAACTCTACCTTCTTGCAGGACGAGAAGATCACTGGCCTCGTGATAGAAGTGCAGACCTTTGGAAGTAGGATCGTCTTGTGTTGCCATTGCCTCGGGCCAGTTCGAGAACCACTGTTACGAAATATGTCAGTTCATGTTCGAAGGACTGTAGTCTTCTCTTTCTTACACATGCGACAGAAAGTATAGAATTGACCAAGAGCGGAGAGCAGAATTCAGACTCCAATTTGCCCGACCTCATGTCCTCGAGAAAAAGGTCCTGATCAATCCAGTTTACCGTCTGGTGTTCCCACGAGAAATATAAGGAAATCAAGTGGGACACAAAATCGTTATCATCTGTGACTGAAGTCCACGGCCGAGCAGGGACACGGTGGACTGGGATATCCGTTAATCGCTGGATATTCAACAAGTGTTGACGAGCGCTGGGTGTAGGAAACAGTGCGTCTTCGCCATCGGCCTCCGGCTTTACCACTGAATATGAACTTTCTTTCGAGCCTTGGGGCTCGACTTGGTCGGTCACGAACGACCGAAGGTCGTCAATGGAGGCGTTGCTGCGGATAAGGTTCATAGTGTCGGAGATGTGAAGCCGGTCTTCATCGCGAAGAGTGTCCACCAGTTGAATAAGGAGCTCTCGATCCTTTTCGAGATAGCTTATCCGGCGTTTCAGAAGGATTTTTCGGCGTTCGTCGCTGTCTTCGTCGACCACGCATGGGGTGCTGGTTTCGAGACATCGTTGGCAAGGGATGCCGCCAAAACACTAGGTCAAATCCCCGATCAGCGCAGTGACTGGGGAAAGCTGCAACGGAACTGTATACTTTGATTTTCTTTTGCTGGCATCTGATACAGGCCCTGGAAACATTTTGTCGCCTTCGGAGTTGAGAAGTCGCAGCTGCAATTAAATGCTGCCTCGCCGGAGCGAGCGGTCGCGGGAACATTGTGCACACTGCGCGTCAGGTTGGGAAGATGGAAGCCGACAGGACATCTCCGAGAGAGACCTTGATTTAAGATAAGAACATTATGTTAGAGGCAGACATGGCGGGAAACACACCCGACAGGGTCTTTTGTGAGAGGGGGGTCCGAGACAAAGAAATCCTCAGAAATCCTCGATCGACAACGCGCTAACCGACAGGAGCAAGATATCTGATCTCTAAACCGGTTTTGAAAATGGCCTCTGAGTGGCTGGAGTAATTATCCAGAACGGATAACCCCACTTAGTGCATTCAATGGATCCACCGCTGGCCGCTGTGCCGTGAGATAGGTTGAGCGATGTCATTGAAACGTTGCTGAAATCAGGGAAGGATATGTCAGATCGTCAAAGGTTAGACTATGCGAGCCAATCTTCCCCTTTCCTTGAGTACAACCCTATCTATTTGCCACAATATGCCGATTGTTGGGGCCAAGAAACGGAAACTATCGGTGTTCATAGTAGTGTCATGGTGAACTCATGGCAAGTGTCTCCTTACTCCGTTGAATGATTAGACACTAGACCGAGTCTTTGAGAAGTATTCCGTGGATGTGCGTATGGCAGAGAAGGCCCTTAATATAACTCAGTCTATCTCTCGGCACCCTTTTATATGAATTGTGAATTTCTTCATTGGAGGAATGCGTTGTCCTCTAGCAGATGCTACAAGGCCGTGGACTCGTGACTCAGCCGTCTTAGGGGGTTAGTTAATTAATCAGTTGAAGCTCTACTAGCTTGATAAAAAAGGCGAAATTCACACACCGCACACGCTTATTGGTGATACAGGCTCAGATAATGCTTCAACGCTGCGTTGGTAAGGTAGGAAGACTATCACGCAATCTTTACTTGATTTCCGCGCGACTTCATTTCGCTTGACTTGCAATCCGGCCACATACTTCGTAGCTGCGTCGTCTGAGCTTCTGCTGGTATTTCAAGTAGGAATTAGTGTTACTCAGAAACACAATTGCCGCGAATACCTACACCTAGGAAGCGGGAGAACGGACTCGGTGGGCCTGAAAGCGCCAGTTTGTTAATCGCTGAAGTCCTTGCGAAATCCATTCCGCACAGCAGTGGCCAAGCCACGCGGGAAACATTTCCGTGAGGGTCACGCCAAGCAACATCGTCGACGGATTACACCGACTTCCGTCCCATTGCGATTGGACCCTAAGCCTAGGTTCAAACACCGGTGTGAGCCCTTGACTCAGAATATTCATTGGTCTACCCAGTACATTCGAAAAGATCTTCACACTACTACCCCAACTCTATGGGTGAGGTGCTTTATGCCTTGAAAAGCGGTTATAGCTACACCGGCATGTTCGCAGGGGGATGAACCGGGGATGAGAACCCATATTTATCCGAAGATCTCAATATATGGAAAGGATATATCGAAGGGGCAAAGTAGCATGCAAGGACAGCAAAGACGCTTGAAAACTATCATAGCCTTATTCTTTTGGAAGGAGGTTACTATTCACACGACGATACAATCAGCTTCAAGCGCATAAAATCATCATATTGTGGCACGTCTATGTATAACCAATCTCGCTATGTACATTCAAGGAAATTATTCCTTGCTAACAGCCCCGGCAAACGGACATCCCGCGGCAGCAGACTCGGCGCCCTCCTCTTTCTTCTGGTCGATCTGACGGAACATCTCCAACGGGTCAAACCAGACATCTATGCTCTCCAGCTGCAGTTTATCATTCACCTTCGCGATCACGATACCCTGGATGTCGAGTGTTTCTCCATGAGCCTTGATCTTAACCTTCTCGGCAGAACTATTTATCGTTAGCGCATCATCCCACTTCCTCGGCACAATCAGCAACAAAAAGATGCACTCACTCATTAAACCCAACATAGTCATTGGCCATCACACCCCAATGTCTCCATTTGAAGATAACCACCGGGGGACCGCTATACACCTCGGTGACTTCCCAGGCAAAGGTCGGCATCATGCGCTTGAACGACTTGTGGCTCTTCTCGAAATCATTGTGCTCAGGATCGTAGTACTTGTTCGGCGTGATGAGGGCGTTGTACGTGCCGACTTTGAGCATGTGCTCACCGGACTGAGGAGTGCCGCCATTCAGCGAGAATTTGTATTTTGTGTGATCGATCGTGCGCCAGTCGGACAGGGAGGTCTTGAAGGAGGCTTCGATTTCCCAGTTCTTGACTAAGTTCTCGACGAGGAAGGGGAGGCTGCCGGATTCGTGGAACATCGTGCGTGCTGGGATAACATTAGTATTGTTTTATCGGTGAAGGGGCAAATAGTTAAGGTGTGGCTCACTCTGTTCATAGAATGCGCGCGTTTTGCTATAATCGGGAACTCTGCCATACCGCCAAGCGGCATCGGTGTCCTTGAGGACGGCATTGGGGTCAAGAACGTAATCTGGGAGGCCTTCAGTCATTTTTTGTGTGTGTATGGTCGTTTGGGATGAGTTGGAAAAGAGAAAGCCAAAAGAGACTCAACGGCCGGATATGGCCAGACTTATAGGCCCCTCACCAAACTATGGAGGCGATAACAGTAATCAAAGAGCCATGGCTGGACCACCCAGACAGAGACTAACTAGACACCCATGTCGAACGTTGCAACGCCACTTGCATTGGACAATCAATGTGAGGACGCTAGTGTGAGTAGCTGAATACCAACAGCCACCTTGGCAATAATCCAGGCCCCTCCTCACAGCCCACGAAGAAGGAGATTGGGGCGATATCTGACTCGCAGTTTGCGAATTTGATCTTCATAAGCTGCGGCATCGTTAAGCAATGATCAGATCCGTAATGCCGACCCATCCCGGGGGTGACAGGGAGTCGAAACGCACAGATGACAAGATGTGCAGGCATTGGCATTCGGGCCACATGGGGAATGGGATGTGGGGTGTTCTTGGGAACACGAGGTCCATGTCAATTGGGAGTTCGGGAGACAGAGGCAGTGCAAGTGGCCACTTGGCGAGGGACTCGGAAATCGCGATTCCCATTTCTTAATCTATTAAACTCTGGCGGATCGAAAGACCGAGGGCTATGCCATATGGAGTAGTCCGTGCCAGCCTATCATCTTGTTGCCATTACGCCAGCCGTGATATTAGTCTATGGAACCTGAGATCGAAAGAAGATTGACCAATATAATACGGCACTAGCCCCTGAGCTAGTCGAATGTCCATTGCATGAAGTTGCGACTTACGAGAGTTGCCATGTGCCTCGGCTCCGAATTATCACCCAACTTGTCTCTCGGGGATCAGCATCCGGATCCAAAAATAACGCATTCGTATTAGATGCTGAGAAAGTGAGATCTTCTAGAAATCTCCCTGGGCAGAAAAAAGTAACATGAAGGTTCCCGATGCTCACTCTCTCACGGTCAAATCCGAATGGAGATGTGCAATTTTGACATAATGGCATTGTTTGCCACGCTTTCCGGTCAGCAGCTCAAGTCCCACCCGAGGTCTTTTACGATCTTACTTGCATCAAGGCAAAAGGTCTGGATTCAGACTCTAGAGAATCTGATTGAGACAGGGCTTGGCGAACTATTTCAAACGGAGACAATGGAGCAGAGCGGATTTTCCGTCCAGCCCGGGGAAACGGAGACCTTGGTCCGGGCGTGTCGCTAAGGGATTCGGTCTTAGCATCTAATATAAGTTAATATCGAGGTGTCTTAGGGCTTCTAAGTTACCCAATCACGGCCTGTTAGATAGTGGGACTTTGAAGCGGGCGATTCCGTTCGCTTGTGCTCAGGGCTGGCGTGCCTTAGTTAGTGCGTTGGAAGATTTTTCCTCTTGGCCTGTTCTCCCGCCGGCTCATGAGGCCAGGTTTCATTTATGCGCAGTATGTCCAAAATAATTGAACGTGGTAGCTTTGCTAGTATCTGGTAATTGCGACCTGCGGGCGCTCACCTGTTCAGAACAGTACGAGAATACTCTTACAATTTTTGTCATAGTGCAGATCAGCGAGTCGAAAACATGAATAATAGTCCGTTCTAATTGACTACGCCGTGCATGTATACAAGCCTTGACTAGGTCTGATAGATGGACAAGCAACTTCGACCCGGTAATAGTGTTGCTCCAAAATTACCCACGGAGAATAGTAACTAGGAAGATGCAATGCAACTTGGCCTTCAGAAGAACAAAAAGTAGGCAACATTGACTGAGCGAAAACCTTTCCGTTAAATCATTGTGCATCGATCTTTCCAGCTTGGCCGTGGTGTCTAACTTTATACATCATGCATGCCGGAGCCGCGTGCTCGGGGGCAACGGCTCTGAGGCATGATTTACACCGTACAAATGTTTTCTCCACATGCCACCTTGTACCATACTAGTAGTCGTAATAATGAGTGTCACACGGAGGCATTATTGTTGACATGCTGTGTCTTGTGCCAACTAAGTATAAATGTTTTATCCTAAAATCCTTGATCATCAACTTTTGTATTTTTTGGTTTTTTTTCATTTTTTAGTTTCTTTCCCATGTCGTATAATCTGTGTCATTGGTAACTTTGTCCAAAGGATGTAAAATATTTGACTCTTCCGGCGAATGTGTGGATATATATATGTTTTGGGAAGAGCGAGAATATTGCCAGTCGTAGTCAAGGGGATCATTGAAAAGAGGCAGAATTGGAAAAGACGATTTCACGACAAATCTCAGAACATCATACAATTTAAAACCGTTCAACTATACCTTGAACGTAGCTCAAGGTCCAGTATGATGAGTGACTATACTCGCTGTCGAGGCGGCATGCACAAGAGAAGCACAAAACGGGATAATCGACGGGACCCACTTATCCCGATCGCTGTGAAGATGCACCGATCGCCCTGCTATACAAGCCGGATTGGCAGTCTCCGTGTATAAAGGACAAGAAGGTATATTTATTGGGCCTTTCTGCACTCATCAGATCAGCTATCTATCTTCAAAGAACAAGTTTTACTCAAGCGAAACAGAATCTCAAATTCCGAAACACCACAAATGGGTAACCCCAAACTTATCTTCGGCGCTGCTTCTTTCGGCATGGACTTCGCCAGCCCCGAGGAAATCCAGGAAGTCCTGGATTATTTGAAACGAAATAAAATCACCCACATTGACACGGCCAGCAGATATCCCCCTATCGCGCCTGGTCGCTCCGAGGAGCTGTTAGGGGAGACTAAAGCCGTCAATCAGGGCTTCACGATTGACACCAAAATTTTCACGCAGACTAGCAATCAAGGGGGGCATATGGAAAGCAGCGCCGTTGAACAGTCCGTTAAGATTAGTCTGAGGCGAATTGGCATTGATCAGGTATTTAAATCATCCAAACGACGGTGTCAAGTGGTTAATCAACACAGGTGAACACCCTATACATTCACTATCCCGACCTCTCCACCCCGCTGGAAGAGCAGGCAAGAACCATCAACGACCTATATGCAGCAGGGAAATTCAAGCAAGTTTGTAACTTCAGTCCTGAACGGAAGTTATATACTAAAAAAAGTGCTATAGTTTGGTGTCTCAAACTTTAAGCCCGATCTGCTGCAGCAATTCCTCGCTATCTGCGAGGCCCACGGCTATGTCAAACCTACCGTCTACCAAGGCGACTACAGTGCTGTGAATCGCGGGATGGAGAAGAAGCTTCTTCCCATCCTAAGAAATTATGGAATTGCTTACAATGCCTTTCGGTAAGCCATGTTTCCATTCTGTGTAAGAAGGAATTTGACCGTCCTGCAGCGTTCTAGCCTCGGGTTTCCTTTCCGGCAAATTCACCCACGGCACAGCCGAGGATACACGCTTCAGCGCCGATAATCTCTTGGGACAATTCATGCAGGGACTATATGACCAGGAGGTATTACACTCAGCACTGAAAAGGCTGGAGATTGCGACCGAGTCTCTGGGAATTACTACCATCGACGCGGCACTGCGATGGGCATATTATCATTCGGCACTGGCAGAGAATGATGGGATAATTCTTGGGGCGAGCTCGATAAAGCAGCTTAGATCAAATGTGGAAAGCATTCAGAAAGGGCCGCTGCCGGATGAAATTCTCCCTATTTTCGATGGTATATGGAAGGGGCTGGAGCCAAGTAGAGGAGACATCATATGAGTTGGGACCGCTTGGCTCTCGCGACGAGAAGAACAACCCAACCATGAATTCCTATAATCCGAGCATTACGTGCCTCTAGGAGACAGGAAACAAAAAGACCAAGGCGACCACAACTTAAATTGGTTATTTAGACGATAAAGCTCAACTCTAGTAAGGAAGGGCATGAAAACGTGCCCCTCCGGTGGCGCCCTCGGGATGATATTTTTGAATTTGTAATAGAGCAGATGCCACCAAGCCACCAAGTGGCGGAAGCCCCTATCTATGTTGGAGAGGATAAAAAAGCATTGAGTGATTGCATGCCCAGACGTTGCCTGTGAAGCTAACTGGCGGTTGACGCGGTCCACCACGCTAGTCGATGAGACGACCCCGAGGAGAATTGACATCATTTAACACGGCAATTCACAATTTGGCCGACCAGCCAAGGTCTGCCCATAGATAAGGGCGTTATAAAATAAATTTAGCTTGTCGTTACAAATTGAAAGAAAGCTTAAAGCGCTGAGTGCCGAGGAAATATGGGTTGAAAAACCATATCATCACATCACACCGAAGAGAGAAGTAGACCCGATAAGTCTAGATCTAGCGGAGGTTTCCCGGGTATTCCCTTTAGTTCTCATGTTACTATTGCGGAGACAGGTGTCATCACTGCTTAGCTTTTCCATTGACCATTAAGACCACTGGGGGAGCACCGTGGACCTGGGTATCTCGAAAATCAGTACCAAATGTGGTATGTTGGCAAGCAGCACGACTGCATGAAGCGTCATACGTGCAGGAATGAGGATGGCGTGCCATCTTGCAGGATGATGGAATGGGCCGGAAACTCAAATCCCTTGTTATAAAAGGGTGCGCTGATCTCGTCTACTCATCGCCTGCTCGTGCGGGTGATACGATTATCTTTCACCTATTACAAGTATCTGCTCCCAGAAGATGGACAGGGATAGCGAGAAAGGTCCCAGGGTGACCATACAGTCCAACTCTAGGTCTCAAGAATCCGTCATCCAGGAGGGTGGAGTGAAATACACAGCAGAAACCGGTGTCAACTCGACAGCTGTTACCTATCAAGATGCCTCGGGCGCACCGGTCGAAACGGACTCGCCTTTAGGTTACTCTGTGAGCTTTTGGACCAGTCTATGCCTGAACATTAATCAGATGATCGGGACTGGTATATTCTCAACACGTAAGCTGGCCCAAAGTCCTTACCTTAACTACGATCCTAACTCTCTCAGCCGCTACCATTCTCTCCGGCGTGGGCTCCGTCGGTCTCACCATGATCTACTGGTTTATCGGCTACCTCCTGGCACATACGACACTGGCAACATATCTGGAGCTTGCATCATATTTCCCTAGTCGCTCTGGTGCAGAAGTGGTCTATCTGGAACAAGCATACCCAAAGCCGCAATATTTCTTCCCAACGACCTTCGCCGTCAAACACGTCGTCTTTTCATTCGGAAGCAGCAATGCTGTTGTCCTAGCTCAATATCTTTTTGGACTTTCCGGCCATGAATACACAGACTGGCAATTAAAAGGCGTTGCCGTGGCAGTTTACACGCTGGCGTTCATGGGTTAGATTCCAAAGGAGTGTTGGAATGGAATGCAGCCACGGCTAACGAATCATGCAGTGGTCAGCGCCAATACGAAATGGTCCTTGAGGCTAGTGGTTTGGTTTGGATTTGTCAAGATCGCAACTCTGTTGTTGTACGTGTGCATCCTCAGCTAGGGCCTAGACCCCAAGATTAACAGTGACACAGGATCTCCATCGCGGGGCTGGTAGTGCTCGGTGGCCACACCAAAGTGCCCGATCCCCAGATGAACTGGCGGAATGCGTGGGAGGGCTCTTCGGAGGCAACTGCGTATGGCGCCACAAATGCCATGGTCAAGTTGATCTTCTCGTATGCAGGATATACCAACGCATTTAGTGTTGCCAACGAAATCAAGGTATCCCTTCTCTCGCCCATCATGTCTACGTGATTACGCTGATCTCTATCAGAATCCCATCAAAACTCTACGCTGGAGTGCCCCGTTCTCGTTGCTCCTTGTCACAGGCTTATATATTCTGGTAAATGTTGCCTACTTCTCCGCTGCATCGAGAGAGGAGATCTTGAACTCGAAGCAAATCGCGGCCGGCATTTTCTTTGAGAAGCTCTTCGGGTCTAACGGGTCTGGACGTGCGCTGAATGTCCTCATCGTGATCAGCGCATTTGGAAACCTCATGGCCGTGTTGGTCAACTTTTCGCGCATGCTGCGAGAGACTGGAAGGTAACGCCATCTCAGTGTTCACATGCCTGGGCAAGTATACTCACGCTTTCCTTAGGCAAGGAGTTCTCCCATGGGGAAAATTCTGGACTTCTACGCGGCCGTTCGGAACGCCGATCGGCCCGTATTTTGTGCAATGGGGAATGACGATGATTATGATCTTGGCTCCACCTGCTGGAGATGCATTTAATTTTGGTTCGTATATCCACACCCTCGGCGACTGATGAGCAGAGTACTAACAGCGAACAGTGGTCGATCTATCCGTTTACCCGACCAATATATTCAACTTCCTGCTCGTGTTGGGACTGCTCATAATCCGTCGCCGTCGGGCAAGACTGAACTTCCCCAGGCCCGAATACCGCGCCTGGAATGTCGCAATCGCATTTGCAATTCTCACTAACATCTACTTGCTGGTGGCACCTTGGTATCCACCCACGGGTGGAGCCAACGGGGGAGATGTGAGTTTTTGGTATGGCACGTACCTAGTGGTGGGAATTGGATTGTAAGTGCACCTTGCCCCACGCTTCTGCCGACCGTTGAAACTAACTAAACCAGGCTATGCCTTTGCGGAATATACTACTACATCTGGATAGGAGTGATTCCCAGGATGAAAAAGTACGAATATCGACAGACGGTGGTCGACTTCGAAGACGGATCAGTGGCGCATAAACTGGTCAAGGTCCCGAACACAGAATTGGCGCGTTGGGATAATGAACACGATGCCGTTGGACGATTGCGTCATCGCACGGGGGCATCAGGAGGAGAATAAAGAGAGCTTTTGAGTGAATGTATGTAACATCACGAGTGTTGCTGGTTCACTATAGGACTCTACTCTGCTTGGAGAAATGTATGGTCAAAAGATCGCGTCCAACCACAACTGTAATAAGAAAACGACACAATATTCCGGACAGAAAGAGGTACTCATAACTTCCTCTCAGGGGATTTGACGAACAGCAGAATTCAAATGGACTTGGCAGTAGGCAAGCTGCAGTAGTGCGGATGGCTCATGGCGGGCATGATTGACGTGATGCAGTCAGCGGAATAAATAGATCCCCAGCTGCCGTGGGGAACCTCTTGTCCGATTCGTTCCATAAGCAGAGCTGACTCGGCCATATTGGGCTAACAGTATTCACATCGAAGGTCCAATTCCACCATGGAAAGTCTCACAGCTTCATCCTGTGTCCTTAACGAGACAACTCTCGAAAAGAGAGCTAGCAAGGTTTGCCTTAGTGTCTGCGCATCGAATAATGCTAAACCGGTCAGGCATGCGAAATTTGCCGGCAGAAGAAAATAAAGTGCGACGAAAGCCAACCCTCGTGTCGGTATTGCCGTCGCAGAAAGTTGGTATGCCATTACAGGAAAGACCATCAACCAGCGTAGGACATCCTCAGTCGGTGGAAGCGAATATCATGTAGCTGACACGCGAGCATAGGCGCGACCCGAGTCTCCATTTGATTTTGGATCACATCAGTCAGCTAAATCGAGCGTTCCAAACCGTGGAAGGCCGAATGAGCAGGCTTGAAGATTTGTCCGAGCCCTCTGTCCTTGCAAGGACTGGGGCTCAACACCCAAACCATCCTAATTTTCTTGTTGAAAAGATAGCGGCAGAGCCACGGTCAACCTCATCGATCCTCCGCTGGGAAAGAATTCGCGTGATGTGCCCTAATGTAGCCCGGCAATCAGTAGATGGAGACGCCTGTTCCACCTACGCATCCACCATCCAACCTTCGTTCAAAAGCCTAGGCCTTCAGGTCCAGTCCAACGAGACAGGACAGGTGCTCTTCTATACTCGATGCTTCCTTGACCTAGTCTATCCGCTCTACCCGATCATGTGCGAAGATGCAATCTACGACGCAGTGACGACTTGCATTAAGGATGGGTTTGAAAATGACATGACATCTGCCCTCGTCATGCTTATGGTCTGTCTCGGAAAATTGTACTCGTCTCCATCCTGCGTTGACGAGGCCATTGGCTATCTAAACATGGCGACGCAACTACTCGGTTGGCTTCCTATGGCAACAAGTTTGGATTATGCACAGGCACATGGATTGTCGGCTTTGTGCTTCGCAAAACTCTCCATGCTCTCGACGGCATCGGGCTATCTTCACCGTGCATCGAGAATTTTGCACCGGTTTCTTCTAGTGCAAGCCTTCGTTTCTCCACCACGTAGCATCCACTAACAAATCATTAGGAGAGTTCTAAAACCGCAAGGCACCAAGATCACTACGCGAACGACTAGCATTCGACTATACTGGGTTCTCTTGAATATGGAACGGTATGAGGACTTCGCACGGATATGATAGCATACTGACGAGAACAGTGATCTCAATTGGGAAAGCAATCTGGAATGCAGCAGCCAACTATCGGAATTAGAAGACCGCCTGCCGCTACCATTCGAATGCATGGCCCAAGAGCCATCCACCGCCAACCAGCTACACAGCCCATACACCTCTGTCATCGACTCCTGCTACTCCCTCTTTCTGGCAGAGACGAGTCTCCGCCAAATCCTATGGCGGATCGCGTGCGCCCCCGAGCTCCAGGAATCAACCGCAAGCGTGCCACAACCACCACGCACATTGGAAGTCATCGCAGAGCTGGAGGTGCAACTGTCCGAGTGGCTCGTTTGCATTCCCGGATCAGCCGGTTGGTCGCCGGTCGCCGGGGCCGGCACGATCACCGCGCTGAGCAGCCGGATCAAATTGCAGTACTGGTTGTGTCGATTCCACGTCTACAAGGTGGCGTTATATCGCAGCTTTCAGGTTCCATATCAGACGGTTTTCCCAGAATCGATCTCGCAGACATGGTCGGATGCCGCGTTGGTGGCGGCGATGAACAGTCTCTTGGTCTTTGTTTCTGAGAGCGTTATTCCTGATGATATTATGGCAAATAGGTATATACCTTTCGTGTTTTTATGGATCTAAGAGTCATGCTAATCTTTCTACAGGTTACTCACGGTCACAATTCTGTTACGAGCGGCGATAAAGCTTTTTGGGCCCGAGAGGCTGATTCTATACTGCCAAAGCATGTCCACAACTCCTCAGTCGCTAATTGACCGGTCGGTCGAGCGCATTCAGTCATTGTCTATAATAAACTCGCCAGTCGGAGCGCCAAAATGGCAAAGCCGATGGGTGACGAATATTTTACAGAGCTTCCTGCAAGATATCTCCATGGAAACAGCACAAGCATAACACATAGTCTCATTCAACGATATCTGATAATATTTTTCTCACTTTATCCACTCTCTTGCGACCATTCTAGCCTTTCCTGCCTTTGGAACAGCTGTAATGGAAGTAGGATCCTTAATGCCTCTAATCGGATCAGCAGCGTCTTTACCTTGTCCATCCACAGGATAGATCTCGAACGTAGCAATCAAATGAAACACAGCTGTATAGACCAATCTAAATGCTAGATGCGAGGCTATGCACATCCGTGATCCATAGCCGAAAGCGAACTGGTGTGTATGTTTTTCGGCATTGTCGAGCCATCGTTCCGGTTTGAAAATCCAGGGGTGGGCAAATGCGTCGCCATCTTGAATATTGTTAGCCCCGTCAATGGAGAATGATAGATAAACAGGATTTCCGTACCTCGATTGCATCCCCATGCGTTCAGAAACACCATAGTTCCGGCTGGAATTGTACTTCCTTCGAAATGTACCGACTCTGTCGTTTCCCTGGGCATAGCGAGTGGCAAGACCGTGTAGAAGCGCATCAACTCTTTAGTCAAAGCATGGATATATTCGACTTCCTGTGTCTCAACGTGCCCTCCAATGAGGGCTTCAGCTTTTTGGAGTTCATCAAATGCGCGTTGTTGAATGTCTTGGTTATGTGCCAAGAAAAGGATCGCCCACGCGATGGTAGGCTGCGTGCTATCTGCACCCTGTATAATGTCAGTATGTTTGTATTCACGAAGGAAGGCGTTAGAAGAACATACCGCCATCATACTCAAACTAATACTCAGCAGCTCCTTACTCGAGAGCCCAACAGCTTCCGGATCTCGCAACACATTCCCCTGAATGCAGGGTTTATCGGTAACATTGTTCACGGCTTCTTTCAACCGATTCAGCAATTGATCGTTATACGCGATCCGACGTTGACCAATCTGTGCCGAGTATGCAGCAGCCGTTCTCCATAAAATCGGCTCAAGCAGTCGAAGAAGGGGGATGTAATTGGTGAGATTCTTGGATGTTGACCTGTATCGCGAGATCTCGGTCTCGACAGCGACAATTTCCGCATAGAGAGAATCTTCTTGAAGATCTTTTGTGCTCGAGACTCTGGATTCTATTAGTTGACGCAGAGGTGCAGTCCTATTTGTGAAGGTGAGAATACCGTGTGCCATAATTCAATGTCAGCACCAAATTGAGGGACAGGCGATGTATCGTCGAGTGAAATTCCACCTCGGCATTCTCGCGTGATGCGTGCAGTAGCTCTTGAATAAATTCCCTAGTTTCCAGTATAATGATCTTTTCAATTCTTAGCCGCTTTCGCTAAGATAGCTAGAAGGTAAACATACTGGCTCATATGACTGAACCTTCGGACGATTCAACGCTCCAGCGGCCAACTTGCGCCGGAACTTACAGCTCTCATCCCACGGACTAGTCCCGATACTGGCGACGCTCTTACTCACCGTCTTATGGAGGACATGAAAAAGAGGGCGTGAAATCAAAGCCGAGCTTTGATTCAGAAAGAGCGACTTCGCTGATTCGGCCGTGTTAACGATCACAACAGGAATATTACCAAGTTGAACTTGATATACGGGTCCGTATTCCGCTGACCATTGGCGATATTGCTCGGCCGAGAACGATTGAGTGACCTGTGATATTAGCTATATTAATTGTGATTCCTGACCATGTCGTACCTGGCGTAAGTTGCCGATGACCGGCAGCCCTTGGGGTCCTGGCAGGCCTTTGATGCGTCGGTTCCAGCGGATGAACTCGTTAACCAGTAGATACCCAACCAGAATGGCCACGGCCGCTTCTATAGAGACGATTATGAAACTGCTAAGCGACATATCGAGTGAATGAGACCGTCATGGGTTTTGTCAACAGGCGAATTAAGCCTTGAGGTATGTATTTAAGCGAAGCTGCTGGGCGCACCACATTTCGTACAACGGCCTGTTAGCTAGTAGGAATTGGAGAAGCGAGATGGCAGCTGTTTCCAATCCAATCACGCAATGGTGAGTGTGTCTGAGGAATGAGTGTATCATGAGTGGATAAATCCTTCGACGCCAATATTTGTTAATGCTACGGATGGCGGACCGGAATCCGAGTTACAGCGACGACTCAATGCGGGGTTGTCGGAGGAATGCAGGGATGGCATGTCTGCGTCAGTCCTAGTCTCCTCGAATTAGTGGAGTTGATGGTTAGATAACGGAGGCAGATCCAATGTCTAGTCTACACGAAGTACTGTGCTTCTTCCCCTCACGCGGATGCAATCAACATCCACAATGACACCATCTTCCTACCTAACTTCAATTGAGCACAATAAAACTTATATTCCACGACCCACTACATTTTATGCCTATCAAGTCCTGATACTCCAATCATTGGCACCCGGTTTAGGGCCCTTCTTCCCACCGTGCAGTCTAGACCTCGTGCCGGAGAACATGAATGGCAACCAGCTGTGTCCTTTAGTCCACCGTCTTCCTTCCCAGATAGCCTCGCTTGGAAGCGATTCCTTCGTGCCCTCGCCTCGGATCCACGCCCCGATCTGTTCGATCTCGCCCCATACGCGCAGGATATTTTCGCCGGCAAAAAGCCGCGCCTGTTCGTCGGTTGCGCCTCGTTCCAGAAGAGCGGCGACGAGGTCGGGGTACTTTGAAACATCCTGAAAAGAGATTAGAAATGGCCGATGCACAAACCAAAGGAACTATAGCTACCTCCAACCCGATCGGAACCTCCGGAGTTCCACTATAATCGCCTCCAACACCGACATGCTCCCATCCGGCGACCTCGGCGATATGGAAAATATGGTCTACCACGTCGCGAATGCTCGCACTATCCGGATCCTCCATGTTCAAGAACCGATTGATGAATGTAGCCATCACGATGCCGCCATTGCGCTTCACCCCGCGCAGCACATCGTCCGGAACATGGCGGAGATGGCGCTGGAGGGCATACGCGCCTGAATGTGAGAAAATGACGGGCGCTCGGGTGATAGAGAGCACGTCGCGCATAGTCTGGTGCGAGACGTGCGAGAGGTCGATCATCATGCCTAGACGATTCATCTCCTTCACGTATTCGTGTCCGAATGGAGTCAGGCCACCGTCTTCGCCGCCCGCCGCGACTGTCGACGCGGAGGTCGAGAAAGCATTGTCGCAATTATGGGTGGTGGTGATATAGCGCACTCCTAGGTCGTAGAACTGACGGATTGCGGCGATCGAATTGCCAACTTGGTGGGCACCCTTTGGCAGATGGAAGAGATGGTCAGCGACGGGAATTGGAGGAGGCATGGGAGATGGTCATGTGTACCTCGAGCCCTAACATGCTGGCGATTTTTCCACTGCGGAACGCCTGTCGCGCGCAATGGGAGTCTTCACAGTAGGCCAGATCGGACGTGTAGTTCTGGATCAAGCGTTTCGCCACATCTATCTGCTCCAGGGAGTCGCGCACCGAAGTCTGCCAGCACTCCGGTCAATATCGTATGCAGTTCGATCAGTGCCAAAACCACCTACCGTCGGGTCATCCTCATAACTGATCTGTTCGCAGTCAATGTAGATACTCCAAAACTGGCCGCCCATCTGCCCCTCACGCATACGAGCCAAGTCTGTATGTCCCAGCAGCCGATTGCTGAGGTTGAAATCCGAATAGATCTTATTTTGCAACTCCACCTGGATCAAGTAAGGAAGGTCATTGTGCCCGTCAATTAACGGCGTGGTTTTCAGTATGCGTCGTGCGCGACCGAGATAATCTGTCGGATGTGGAATGTCAGGCGCATAGAACAGTCCGGTCGCAAGGTTGTATACTGGGGCGACTAACACTGCAATTGACGCCGTCGCTAAGATGGATGGCCAGTGCCAGAATCTCCGAGTCGGCGATTGCCCATTGCGACGATTCGCATGAAGAGTGACTTGGTTTGGGTTTTCATCGAGCGGGCGCAGGTTATCGGTGTTGCTGCTGGTTGCAGGCCCGACGTGGGGTGAAGTGGTTGACATTTTGGCCTCTGGGTTGGGAGTGCCACTTAAGGAATCAGTAACTTCTATATCTCATCTACGGTGCACGGATTGCCCTCGCGTAGGCAGACTTGTTCGGAGTCCCCGCAGTGCAGTTGGAGATGCCAACAGCCATCCCACATGGATGATAGTCATTCACATTATCATCTTGGCGTGCTGCATCAGAGCCATCTATGAAGTGAACACGTTTAATTGGGTTTGCGACCGGCCATCCCTGTTCCTCATGTTGTCAACAGACCGAAAATGACGAGCTCGCGATAGCGTCGGATGCGGACCGAAATCCGGTCAAAAACACTACAGCCGTCGTTTTGGCAACGAAGATAATGAATAATCGAGCTGTGCTCTTCTTGCGTTGGGGAACGTATGGGAAACTAGTTTTATCTGGACCGCGTGGCGATTTCATGACTCGACCTGGTTCACGGCTCGACATATATATCCGTTCGTGTCCGGCAAAGGCTTCAAGAGCCAAGGAGCTCCCACTACAGTCTGCTTGTGACTAGGACAGCAAGTCCACAATGGGTGCCTTACCGACCGAGACGAAAGTACACGACGACGTCGAATTTAATTCCCAACCAGACGAAATCGATTGCAAAGTAGAGAAATCTCTCCTGCGACGGTTGGACATTGTCTTACTTCCTACACTTGGTAGCAACTCTTTGCCATGACCTAAAAACGCATACTTGCTAATCTACAACACAGCTCTCCTCTACTTAACGCATACTCTCGATCGAGCAAACCTCGGAAACGCAAAGAGTGGCACCCTCGAAGCCGACCTCAATCTGCACGGCAACCAGTTCTCGCTCGTTCTGATCTTATTCTACATCCCGTATGCGCTGTTCAACATACCCGCGACCGTTCTCTCCAAGCGCCTCAATGCAGCCCTCGTCATTCCAGTTCTCGTCATGGGTTGGGGAAGTTTGGCCATGATCACGGCGGCAGTCAAGGACTTTGGCGGGCTCCTGGCCTGTCGAGTGATCCTGGGCATGATGGAGGCCGGCTTCATGCCTTGTGCGACCTTCTACTGTACGCTGTTCTACACGAGAAAGGAACTTGGACTTAGATTGTCGCTGTTCTTGATGATGGGGTTTATTGCTGTGAGTAAACCTGGATTGGTCAATGGGAAATTACTCACGTCTGCAGGGCGCTATCAGTGGCTTAATTTCATGGAGCGTGTTCCAATGGAATGGACAGCTCACAGTATGTGTCCTCTTGATGATATTTGCCCGTCATACTAAGCGAAACAGGGATGGCAATACCTCTTCCTGATTGAAGGAGCAATGGGCGTCGCAGTCGGCGCATGGGCCTTACTCTGGCTTCCTCGCAGCGTGCAATCCTCGCGGTTCTTCACTGATGAACAAAAGAAATGCGCCGGACAGCGGATGGCGCTTGAGACAGAAGATTTCTCCTGGATCGAGGGCCTGCAAGCCCTGAAGGACTGGAAGATTTGGGTCTTCGCGTTCTGTGCACTGCTATACGGGGTTGGCGTTGCTAGCAGCTCTAACTTCCTGCCTGTACGTTGACATGTCTCCCAATGCCCGACTAGTCTAACAATCAGCAGGTTATGATCAAACGTCTGACCGATGACGCCGTCCAAGCAAACCTCTACACGATCGGCCCCAACTTGACCGCAGCCGCTATTCAGCTAACAACATGCTACCTCTCGGACCTGACCCAACAACGTGCCTGGTTCTCCATCGGCCCCATTATTGTCTCCATGATCGGCTGGATCCTCCTCGGCTCCTTGGACCTGGTGACGCACGTCAAAGTTGGCTACTTCCTGACATATCTCATCACATTCGGAACCTTCACGCCCGGGCTGCTCGTGCCCGCATGGGTAGGCACAAACACCCCGTCAACATCGACGCGCGCCGTGTCCTTGGGTCTGCTTTCCATGTTCCAGAATCTCGGAGGCATTGTGTCCTCAGGGGCGTACAGAGCGCAGGACGCGCCGATTTACCGACCGGCGTTGACTACAGTGTTCGCGTGCCAGGCTGTCTTTGTGGTTATCTGCTTTTTCATGAGAGTTCAGTATAAGCGCATGAACCAGCGGTTAGACGCAGGGTTGCCGGTAGAAGGACATGAGAAGATGGGCGGCAAGATGGCACCGGGATTCCGGTATATGCTGTAGATTGCAGCTTGCACTCATGTTTGGTATCAAAAAACGGATAGACGGGACACATCTACATAGATAAATTCCCAGGATCTCCGCGCTAGAACGCAATATCTAATTGATGCTAATCTGTAAATACCCACAACTCATGTCCAAATGCCTAAGACAAGACCTCCCCACTTCCGGCAAACTTCTGAACCTTGATTCCCCTGGTATACACACCCTTCCCCTTCAACCATACATTTAGCTCACTGGGATGCACCACATGAAAGACCAACATGGTCGCAAACATCAATAAGGCATCGAAAATATACAAGAATACTTCATGAGAGATCAAATACCCGTTATTGCCCTGCGCATACTCAATCAACCTGAAGATCGATCGCACCAGAATCAAAAGACTCGCCGCGTAGAGCACATAGATAATTTCCGTCCAGCGGAGAGGTTTTGAAAGCGAGTACGGGGTTGGATCACGATGCATGCGCATATGGAAGACGGCGGACGAAATCATGAAGAAGCCAAAGAAAAGGACTTGGATGACGAGGCCGCCGATGATGATATTGGGGCCGTTTTCGGCCATTTTGGACTTCATGCCCATTAAGCCGGCGCCTGCACTTAGTCAGAATATTGGAGTTGAAACGTATACTTGAAGGAGGAGAGGTTACCGGCTGCCTGGAGTAGAAAGGACAGAACATCACCCGTCACGAAGATCTTGGTCATCCATTTGATCCTGATCAGACTATGTTTTTCGGCGTGGAGGACCACGATGAGACGGCCCAATTCCATGTAGATACTCGCGGCGAACAACGCCGGTGCCACGAGGGGAAGAACAGATTGCACGATGAAGGGGCCGAGAGTCCAATCCGGGGACTGGTTGGCCGAAACTGCTCGCGCGCAGTAGCCGATCCATTCAACTACCAGAGTTAGACATTGGTTCAGTTATATCAAGCCAGACAGACATACAGTAACCCCCCAGGACAAAGGCGATGAAGAACCATGTTCGCGTGCGGAAGAGCTGGTAGGTGTGGAAGATAGTCGTGAGCAGGAAGCAGATGATGAAGACCACCGCAGCGCCCAGAGACGGGGTGTAGTGAAAGAACCTGAAGCCCTCTCGCGCTTCGAGTTGTGGCATTTTCACAGACAGACTGGCCAGGATCTGACTGTCAACCGTAGGAGTGTATGCGAGAGGGCAGACTTTAAATCAATCCGAACAGTCTGTCCAAGTGAGTGGGCTGGAGAGCATGGAGAACAGTATCGAAAACTTTACTTGTTTGGGACAGAAAAACTTGTCAATAATGTCTTGCCTAGACCCTGGCATAGAGAATAGAGAATACCATCCCCCCTGTAACCCCAATGTGGATAGATCTAAATGTTCATCTTTGATCTTGACCCCAGCGAATTCTCGTCGTATTTCTTTTGCGACCTTCGCACAACCAATCATGATTCACACCGTTCCTGAGCTTGGCAGTGAATTATTTATAATCGACAATATTCCAAACTCATTGGCTTTTGAGTGGGTCAAGACCCATAGGACTGGCGTAAACCATTCCCGAGGAGGCAAAGTTCACGGACATCTCGGAAAGTGATGCGATAGACTATCGTCACCCACATGGTTTCGCCTCTCCCCCCCCTTTAATTCTTGCTGCCATGAAAAATTATAAGCGAGGATGCCATTACGCCGTTCTCATAAGAAATCGCACCACGGCTGCCTCCAATGCAAACAACGGAGGATAAAATGTGACGAGGCTCGACCCTACTGCGGTCCCTGTCATCGCAAGCAACTTTCCTGCACATTCCAAAGCATCGCCCCGCGACCTCAACCGGCCCCCAAGCTAACTAGTAGCCCTCATGCGCTCTCTCATGGCGAATATGGTCTGCCTCTCTCGGAGCTGGAACTCCTACACCAGTGGCACGTAGCTACGGCGCGCTCACTCGCTCACGAGGCACATCTTGAAGATGTCGTGCGCATCACCGTGCCTCAAGAGGCGCTCACCTATCCTTTCCTCATGCACAGCATTCTCGCAGTCTCGGCGCTTCATCTCAGCTTTACCAGCCCCACCGAGCGACGCCGATCCTACAAAGAGGCCGCCATCCGCCACAACAACCTCTCTCTCACACTATGCACTCCTCTTCTCAGCAACGTCACACCAGAGAACTGCCACGCGCTATTCGCATTCTCCTGTCTCACCGCCGTGTTTGCCTTTGGCGTCCAAGGCCGCGATGGGCTCCCTAGCGCCCAGGGACTGATTGACGTGGTCGAAGTCTTCAAGATGGTCCGCGGTGTCGCATCGGTCGTGCAACAGGCACGAGCATGGATCGAACAGGGCGGAATGCGCCAACTGTTGAAGATCGGCAAGCTACGCAAACGAGCCGCGGGCACGGTATACGACCGAGAGCTGTGCTCGCATCTACAGACCTTCATCGAAGAGCAACTACAACCGCGGGAGCCCTGCATGCATGAGAACGTCGACATCAGCGCCGTGCTCTTACAAGCCGCAAGGCGCCAACTCGAATTATTGAACATGTACATGACTATGGAAGACCCCAACGCCATCCTCGCATGGCCGGTGCTTCTTGATGCACAATACCTGGATCTTTTACTGAGAGTGGAGCCGACCGCATTGATCATTTTAGCCTACTATGGGACAGCACTGCACTTGCTGTTTGACAATTGGTGGTTAGATGGTTGGGGGCAGTTCATCATGAACCTTGCGTCGATGCGGCATGGCTCCGTGGGGGATTGCAGGATAGCGTGGCTGGTAGATGTTATACAAAGGGATAGGGAATATAGATTGAGGACTGCATGACGGAGGCAATTGGAAGGTATGGTCGACTTAATCTGCAGCATAGTTCCTGCTATGGCGCCGAATTAAAATCCATTTCTGGGGTTGATCTCAGTTAGCCCCCAAATTGAAGAAAGAGTCTCTTTTTGAGTTTTGACTGTTCCAGGGAGTTCCCATACCCTGCGGCCATATTTGGCGCCTAGAGCTCGCTAAAATATGCTTAACGCATCGAAGCTTGATCAATTGAGTTAGCATAAATTTAAGCTTGGTTAAACTAACCGATATAGGCACAATGCCCTTACCCCCAAGGCTTGTATTGAAAACTCGTCATATTAAATGCGGAATGCGGAAAGTACTAATAAACTTCATGTCGTGGTAACAGGCTTGGCTGTCAAAACTAGGGTTCTAAGCGACTTCCATGGCAATAAACGAGGGTTTGACAGGGCAATATTCTCGTTGCTTGTGCAAACAACATAGACGTGGAAAGAGGGGATGACGTTGAAGATGTGATGCGTCCTACTTCCTTCGATAGCCGCCGGACTATACCCAAGGTTGTTCATTGGCCCACAAACACTGCCATAACAAGGGCAAGATCATGCCCCTCAATTTGGATAAGGTGCCTTCCACCTCAGATTCTTTGCCCCGCATGTGATGCGATTCTCCTTAGCTTGTGAACATACAAAACGTCCGACCCTCTATCAATATCTGAGGGCGTCGTCGCTCTCAGTTATTTTGGTCTCCAGATGTGCAAGGAGATTGTATCCTACAGTCGAGCATGGCGGGACTGGGACAAAATCATTCGAGTTCTCGCCAGGAAAGCAGTGAGCCTGCGTGCACCTCTAAAGACGCTCACGGACGGGATAGAAGAAAGCCAAAACACCAAACCCGCGATGGTTGCAGACATAAAAAACAAATCCATATAAATCCACAAATCCATAAATCGACTAAAACAGGCTCTCGAACGATACCGATCAACAACCTCCTGCAGAGGGGATACGGGGAAGGTGAAGAGCGAGGTGAAAGGAATAATATACCCCCCTCGGAAAGACACCTTGCGTGAAATGGAAGAAAATCTGGACGGTCTACAGAACGTCTTACAAACGACATTGTTAATATATGTAGCCTATGTTCAATCACAACCTTGATGCTTAACTTAACAGCAATAATTGTACAAATACTCTCGACAGAAAGTTAGGAAATCATTACAAGTTCAGAGGACAATACTCGAAGAATAGCGTGACATGACTCCCAAAATCTTCTCCGTTCATAAGGATAAATTCCTAACATGTAACAATTCAGAATTCCGGTCTGAGGCTATTTCATGGAAAGAGGATGCCACCACCGAGCTTATTAAAATCCTGAAATGAGCGACTGATCACAAGAGATAAAACCGTGTCTCTGATACAGTACAGAGGCACGGATAAAGGACAGTATGTGGATTTTACCCATAATCTGTCGAAATAGGAATGGTCTGATCGGCATTTAGGAGTCATCAAGGATCGGCACCTCGCTCTCGAATGAGAAGCTCACAATGGCAACAACAAAACAAACACACTTACTATTGTCGGTTATTGAATATTGCCATTGGCGCTTCCTGCTTCCTAATGAGAGGTGCCGGTGGCTTTTCTATCGCACTCTACCTGCATATCCAATCGGTTCGAGGCAGCAACCCGGCTTCGAAAGATTGACTTGTTGAAAGCCAAGGTCGGATACTTTCGAGAAACATACGATGTGATGCGGGATTTGCGACAACCATTTTCGGGTGGTGAAATACTTCCTTCTGACCTAATCCACACTGGAAGTGGATCTATCGTTTCGCTCTTTGATGTAACCGAATCTCCTCCGCCTATTATAATTCGAATTAGAGACTAACGAGGTTAGATACTATGCTACCCTCTATGCTTACCCAACTCTTCGACGGAGACCGAGTCGCTTTCTCTCCTTACAGCATTCATGTTGAACTGCGGATGCAGGCCCAGGACAATCAAGATGTATGATCAGGGATTAGGAAGCCTGTGTCAACAAGTCTATCTTGAACACAAAGATCTGGTGTGGATATATAAACTTGCTGAACATGGCGTCCCTTTCAGCATTTTTCGTCCGCCAACCAACAAGCGTTTTAAGACGAACCTACGGCTCATCCTTTCCCTGGATGAGGATGGTAAGAGTGTAGACCCTGCACTTAGTTCACCAATTTTAATTCTCTCAATAGTGCTACAAATTGCCGAAATTATAATTCGAGAATCCGAAGAAGAACTAACAATAGCGCTCAATTCTGGTCTTTCTTCACCCAACGAAAAATTGGCGGACTGCTCCCTACTCCAGTTAGCCTTCGGATGACCCCAGCGTGTCAAAATCCTCCTGGAGGTAGGAGCAAGTCCGTCAAGAAATACAATCTCAAAATAGTTGATGGCAAAGGATACATTGAATCCAGTGCTATTTGGCTTAAGACAGGCTGTCTTTTCGATGTCGATTGTCTTTCACAGCTCTGGATGTCAAATGGTGCCACTCAATTGTCTACGAAGGTAGACGAGCTTGCATTGAGAAGGAAGTAGCTATGGCAATTGGCACAATGCTCTGTCCCTCAAGACCAATTCCCAGTTCTGGATCAAGCTGTAGTCTGGATGCGACTTCCGCCAAAGTCTATAAGAAACTAGTTGACCACGACAGAGATATCCCCCCATCACTGCTGGTTCTCATCGACCCTCAAGTGCCATCAGTCTACAGTCAGATACACCACGCAACGCCGTTCCAGATACTATATGACGCTGGCTTCCGTGACATTGATGTAAACGATGTGACGGGGAGGACACGGGTTTAGGGAGATAAATCTTACCCCCAACGCTGCGATAGAGACACTTCCCATGCCCTGCACCAGGACCACATTGCCCTTCTTTGGCTCCCGCCCGTCAATTCCAAATAGTCCGTTCCAGGCCGTCAAAGCGGAGCATGTAAGCGTTACCGCTTCATCAAAGCTGAGATTCCTTGTCATCTTGACAAAAGATGTGTCATAAAACACGCCACAGGGTCGAAGGGTCCCATCAAGCCGCTGGCCAATTCCACTGCTAATGTCGGCAAATGTCGCAAAAGCGCCCTCAGTCATACCATATTTCATGTGTGTGCAAACATGATCCCCTGGTTGAAATCTATTCACAGACGAGCCAACGGCTTCAACCACTCCGGCCGCGTCGGAGCCAGGCACGACATTCGGTTCGATAGTAAGACCATGTACGCCCTGAGTCATGGATCAGTACGTGTTATGATAGTAATAAAATGGCCAAGAACCTTCGCAATAGCAAGATCGCGGTGGTTTAGAGATGCTGCTTGGATTTTGACGCGCACGTCATGATTTCCTAGCGGTGGCAACGCCTGCTTCTCAACAAATTTGAGACTCTGGGCCCCTTCTGGCCCGTCATAATCCATGCCTTACTCGAGAAAGTCATGTTATCGTTGAATTCAGGGTGATAACTTGTCTGGCAGATCGGAGTTCTGGAACAAGGGGATTCAAAGAACCAGGGGGGCCTTAGCATAAAAACCTGCCATATCTCCCGTCACTTGAATAATGAGCCGGCCGCTGCTCGCCACCGTTGAATCATGAAAGACTTCAAATTGGGAAGATCCCCACCGGACAATCCACAATCCCAACGGTTACCGAGAATTCGGGTTCATGAAATCCACCGAGGCGTACACCGAGTAATGGTACCGAATAGAAGATGCTCGATTCGGTAATAATAAGCCACCTACAGCACTCTTGTATAACCCTCATTGTTATGATATACAGTGATTGACTAGGCCTGTCTTTATTCATGATCTTACACTCTCATTCACATTTGGATGGGCAACGGGCTTATTTTGGAAGCCATCCATGCAATCAGAGGACCCATTCTTAGAGTCAGATTACTAAGTTCCGTACGGAGTAGCTTTGAATGACGACTCCACTTTCGTTCCAACTTGTCGCGCAAAATTCAAAACAAACTTATGATATTCCATTTCCCACTAAAAAATCAAAATGCATCTAGACCACAAAATTCCCTGGAACACGGCCGCCAGTCATTTCAAATATATACAATCTAATCCTCACATCACACCGCATAAGACCGACCTCTTTGCCCGAGACCTTCCCTCCCAATCCAATGACTTGAACCATTTCCGTCGCGTTCTTATCGCGACGATCCGTGAATTCGCCCTTGCCCAAGAAAGAAAGGCCCTGGATGTAGCGGGAATACCTGACTCGGCTCCTCTCTTTTCGGAGACCCTTCTGTCCTATCCGGAGAGCAAATATGGCCTAGGTCCACACGAGACGAACTCTGCCCTGCACAATCCTCTTTCAGACCAACACCGAAGAATCGATTATTGGATTCAGTCTGCGGCTGACCTGAACGATTCAAATAATTTGAGCTATGGGACCGGCGACGCGGACTTGGCCGACGCCGTGAAGATGTTGATTGTCACTGTTGCTGAGGGCGACCCGGTCGCATCGCAAGAAGCCAAAGAAGCACTTCTCCGGCTCATACGGCATCCTCGAGTTCCGCTGGGAGATCTATGGAGTCTTCATTGGGGTCATTCGTTCGGAGTCGATCACGTGGCGCACAGAGCCCTAGAGATGTACATCTCCCTGAATATATTTGCGGCGGTGTTTGAGAAGAAATCCCCGAGTACTAGCGAAAGTGCTCTGTTCGCAAGCACGACCTTCCAAAAGTATCTCAACGATGCCGTGGCGAATTATGACTACCCTGCGCAGAACATCCCGCATCGTGCGTTCTGGCGATCAATGGGGGTTTCAATTGAAGGAAATGTTGAAGGAGGTGATGACTCGAGGATAGACCCATTGGATGTTCATTCTGCAGACGAGACCAGATCAAAACTAAAAGCCTATCTCAAATTGTGTTTTGGCATTCTCTATACCTTTGATGTCTATCGGCGGGAGCTGCTCAGTGATGATGCCGCAGTTGACAAAGAATGGAGCTACATGGTTACTGGCACCATGATGTGGTGGGGGTGTGATTATGATTGGGATAGTATGGAATTCACGCAGAAGGACAAACCAGCTAATTAATTAGATACAACCCTGGCTTTCTGTTGCTCCCGTGATTCTATCTTTCCTATAGACTGTACTGCTCGATTCGTAACGCAAATATGCCGAGTTGGTGTTTATTAGCGATCTGACCGTGGATTCCTATGAATAGAGGCCGCATGAGTAGCCGTGACAGATTGATTTCAGCAGTCCATCGGCGATTTGTTGGGAATATATTTCCGGTGCACAAAGTTGGCAAATCTATTCATTCCTTCACGAATTAGGCCTAGTCAGCCAACCATGCTCCGTGCATGGGATATAGCAAGAGAAGGAGAATAGGTGGGAATGACTTCTTATGGTGAACACTCATTCTGCACGCAGTCCCCTGTAGCTTTCTTTCTTTCTTTCTTTCTTTCTTCGTTTGTTCCTGTCCTTATAATTCAAGACCACACGCGGTGATAAGAAATCGACGCCGTCGATATGAAGAAGCTCGTTTCTGATATGAAGCGCCTTTTCTATGTATGCCCGCGGAAATCCTTGGCCACACAGCTCTGGCTATCTGCAAGGGACGACGCAAGGGGGCCCTGACCGACCTATTGCCGAGTTACGACGCAGCCCAATCAGAAGGGTGATGAGGCGAACACGTTAGAACGACTGTGATGATGTAGAGTCCCATAATACTGTGCTTGTTATTGTCTGCAAAAGACAATAAAGTGAACGGACTGGGCCTTTCATTTTCAATCATATCAAGGTGGTGAATACCTCAGGCATCATCGTCCGATTGACCTACATCACGTGCCCGCCATCTCATTCGGCGACTGAATTTGGGATCGGCGTTCGACATTTCGGGAATGTGAATGGTGTCTCCAGGATCAGGTATCCCTTCAATAAAAACGTCATCCGGCAGCCATGTCTCGCATTTATCAGAAATAGTCTTGGCACCGTTCTAGCCGTGGGACGTTGGGCGAGTGCCCGGTGCAGAGATTTTACGATGATCTAACAATATCTACGTCAATATGTCCGATGAGCGAGTTGAACTTTGACTGTTCTTGACACTTGAGATTTGCGTTTGTTTACTATAAGCTTACAGATACTTCCCAGTGCACTAGGAGCAAATTTAAAGTCTCCCTACGCTCAATACATGGAGTCCGGGTCGCATTCTCAACTCACCCACGCGGGCGCAGTCCCTGCCGGACTAGAAAACGCCCTGCCAGCGCCACGATGCAGCGACCTCGAGGCCAAGAGGTCCAAAAGCGATGTTGGCTGGCGCCGCGTTGTGCGAGACTTTACCCCAGCGTAGGTGTCTAATAAGCTTGTTGCTAATATTCGTGCTAATAACTTCATAGGTGGTTCTCGGTAAACATGGGAACTGGGATAGTCTCTCTTCTCCTTAACACCCTACCATATAATGGTCCCTGGCTGTACTACATCTCCATCGTCGTCTTCGTTCTCAATGTCGTGTACTTTGTCACTTTTTGTGTTGTCGCGGCTCTACGATACACCCTGTATCCCGAAATATTCAAGGCGATGATCACTCATCCTGCGCAGTCGATGTTTCTAGGCACGTTTCCTATGGGGCTAGCCACGATTATCAACGTGTTCTGCAACATATGTGTGCCAGCATGGGGCGACGGTGTAGAGTACTTTGCCTGGGCTTTGTGGATCGTGGACGCGGCGCTTTCCGTATCAACAGCAACCGTCGTGCCATTCATAGTGTACGAATTCCCGCCCTACGTATCTCCTGAGTTATCCAGATCTAAACCAGACACATAGGATGACGCGCAAGAACGAAATCAGCTTATCTTCAATGAACGCTGCTTGGCTTCTACCCATTGTCTCGTGCATTGTCGCTGCAGCCTCCGGGGCCGTCGTGGCAGGCGTGCTCCCCAATGCGCAGCACGCTCTTTGGACTGTCATGGTCAGCTACGCGCTCTGGGGAATGGGTGTTCCACTCGCAATGATGGTCATGGCCATTTACCTGCAGCGACTTCTTCTCCACAAGCTTCCGCCTAAGACGGTTCTCGTCAGCGTGTTCTTGCCTCTGGGTCCTCTAGGCCAGGGCGGTTTCGGGTATGCATTTCCCGACACTCCTGACACCCTCTAATATCACTAATCGAAGATATGCAGTATCCAAAAGCTCGGCGAATGTATCCTAAGCATCTTCCCCGAAACCCAATCACTCCATGGCTCCGCAGGGCTCATCTTCTACGAGGGCGGTTTTATCATCGGCCTGATAATGTGGGCATTCGGGCTCATCTGGCTCTTTTTTGCCGTTGCCTCTCTCATTCGGGCCCGGAAATTCCCCTTCAACTTGAGTTGGTGGGGACTAACTTTTCCGCTCGGCGTGTATGCGATGTGCACCTGTCAGTTGGGGAGAGAGTTGCCGTCGACATTTTTTACGATACTTGGGACTGTAAGTATACTAGCCTCTCATATATGGGTTTCGGGCAGCTAATTTTAGAAGATATTCTCCGTCACGGTCGTGCTCCTATGGCTCTTTGTCAGCTTCCACACGTTTAGAGGGATTGTACGAGGCGATATCTTTGTCGCGCCATGTCTGGCGGATTTGGAAAGGAAGAAAAGGGAAGAGGCCCTAAGGAATTAAGAACACCAGATGCCTGGATATTTTCGCGTGGGATGGGTGAATAGGATATAAGCTTGGGGAAAATATTTCTTACGTTCCTAAAGACAGCTCTCTCGAAAGTAAACCATACTTGACTCGCTCATTCGTGTTATGATTTATTTTCATCGGTGTATTTATCAGAGCTCTAGCGTTGGTTTTCTCTACAGATGGGGGTGGTGAAATGTAAATATACCGCCGTTCAATATGGTCCTTGCTTCCAGAACCTTGAGAACATGCGGGTTGGAGCTGAAGGCGAAGCGACAGCAATGTTGAAGATGGACACCTGGGTCACAAAGACAGGGAGCGATCAGTGGGCCCAGGACTATACCATTCACCCCTGTGTTATAGATGGACTGGCACAGATTATCTTCCCAACACTCCAAAAGAGCCAGCCGATACTACACGAAATTGTGAGCTATTGGAGCTAGCGATTTTGTGCTTTCTAGAGGAAGCAGTGTCTTTTCTGGAAAGCAACCCGTCCGTGTCAGTGCCAAACTATCTCCACCAGTATGTCACATGGATGAAACATCAGCTTCAATTGCGCCACACTGAAGCGTCTCAGGCAGAGGCCAGTCGTCTGCTTTCAGACCCAGAGGCACGAAAAGAACTAGTGTCTCGGGTGCAGACTGCTGGACAGGATGGTCAGTTCTACATGCAAATCGGTCAAAACCTGCTTTCTATTTTGTCCGGCGACGCTGAAGTGATGGATGTTATGTTTGAGAGCAGCTTATTCGACCAATTTTATGAAACTGTGCTTGCAAGTGCCCATGATTCATATCCCATTTCGGTCTTGGTCGAGCATCTATGCTTCAAAAACCCTGCCTCCCGCATTATTGAAATCGGCGCTGGGACTGGGGGCCAGACTGTGGGTATTCTCAAGGCCCTTTGTTCAAACAATGTCAGGAAATGTGCCCGATATGATTACACTGATATTTCCCGCGCCTTCTTTCCGCGTGCGCGCACAAAGTTTGCCAAGTATGATGATATCTTACATTATTCCGTCTGTGACATCTCCAAAGATCCAGTCTCTCAGTCATTTGAACCATTTAGCTATGATCTTGTCATTGCATCTCATGTTCTCCATGCTACCCCGTTTCTGGAACAGACATTACAAAATGCCCGTCGACTTCTGAAGCCTGAAGGGAAGCTCATATTGCTGGAGACCACTAATGTTGATGCCATTGACGTGGGATTCGTGTTCGGCCTTCTTCACAGCTGGTGGGCTCCTCTAGAAAGCGAGCCTCGATCGCCTCTGAGTCCATGCATCACCGTGGATCAGTGGGACAGGCTGCTGAAATCAACCTGCTTCTCTGGTGTCGATATTGAGGTTCCAGGGCAGGAGAATACGCGACGGAGGTACAGCAGTATCATGATATCTACCGCAGTGCCTGAGCAAGCCAGACTTGCCGAGCCCTCGCATGATCTTTACCTCGTTCGAAATGGCAACGTTGCGGCCCAGGGCGAAATTGCGCAGTCGGTGCAAGATCAACAGGCCTCATCAATATACACACTTGCAGAAATTGCCGAGGTCGAGATTCCGACAACCGCAGTTGTTGTATTCTTTCTTGAAGTCCAGGATGTGCTACTAGACGGGGTCTCGCCCCAGGATTTCAAATTGTTGCAATCGGTACTTTTAAGGACGCACAGTACCCTGTGGATTACTCAGCCAACTGATGATGAGCAAATCCCTCGGCAGCATTTGGTAGATGGACTTGCTCGCAGCTTAGGTTCTGAAGACTCAAATCGAAAGTTGGTGACCCTCGCGCTCAACAAATCTAATACCGTGCGACGATCAACAGACTTTATCCTGCAACTTATTACAAACATCCAAAGGTCTACTGTCGAGTCCCTGGAGACACACTATGCTGTCAAAAACGATCTTTTATGTGTCCCTCGCATTACATTGAATAGGCTGATGAGCGAATCTATTGCTCTGAATGCTCAGCCGCACGTGAAGGAAACCCTGACACTAGGTCCTGAAACTTCTATATCTCTCAGGGTACGGCCTCCAGGAGGTATCGAAAACTTGGAGTATCTGGAGGACACGCTGACCGAAGTCGACCTTGGGCCAAATGAGGTGATTGTGCAGGTCAAGGCGTTTGGCCTGACACTCCGGGAGCATCTTATTGCGACCGGAGAGCTCAATGAACGCGGGCTGGGCACAGAATGTGCCGGCGTCGTATTCAAGGCCGGTACTGACATACAGCTTCAACCGGGAGACAGTGTGTGCGCTATCGGATTGTCAATGGCACGGTCATTTATACGTGTAACAGCAGGTGCTGTAGCTCCAATTCCCTCCCGCGTGTCATTTGCAACCGCACCATCCTTACCCACAGCACTTTGGCTAGCGTATTACACCTTATGGAATGTGGCGAGACTAAACAAAGGTGAGACAGTGCTGGTTCACGGATTTGCCAGCTCGTTTAGTCAAGTCGCAGTCCAACTCGCTGTGGAGCTCGGTGCGCGCGTCCTAGTTACTGCACGCTCTGTCTCGAAACGAGATCTTCTTTGCCAGAAGCTCGGTCTTTCCCAGAGTATCATCTTTGTCCCCGACGATCCTTCTACGTGTGGAAGAATAAATAAGATAACAAAAGGGCAAGGCGTGGATGTGGTAGTTGGTTCGCTGTCAGATATGAATACCCCAGATTACTCGCAATGTCTCGCTGCCGGTGGTCGTGTTGTTGATATCGGCTTGAAAAGGAGCGAAAATACCTCTATTCCTCAGCTCAAAAGCCGAGGACTCAATGGCTCTTACTCTTCAGTCAATCTAGCCGACCTTCTTCGGCATAACCCCGCCTTGGTCTATCGGACCTTCCAGCAAGCCGTCAACCTTTGGTATCAGCTTAGGCTCAATTTCCCGCTGCCTCTGCACTCTTTCTCCGCGGCCGAAGTGAACTCTGCTTTTCAGCATTTCCGAGACAGAGACACTGTTGGAAAGCGAGTTGTAGAGCTGACGGACGGGGAGACCATTGAAGTACGTTCTGACAGTCCTCAGCCGTCTCTGTTCTAACAGTATGTAGATCACCTGTGCCTCTAGACCTAAGTATTCCTTTGAGCCCCGTGCCTCTTACATCATAGCTGGGGGGCTTGGTGGGCTCGGCCGGAGCTCTGCTAGACGGATGGTCAGTAGGGGAGCGCGTCATCTAATTCTTCTTTCTCGCTCGGGCCCAAAGACTACTGCTGCCCGGGAGCTCGTCAACGATCTTGAGTCACAGGGTGTCTCGGTTGCTACGCCTAAAGTTGACAATAGTGACTTCAAAAGTCTAAAGGAGGTGCTCGATGATCTCTCTCAAACCATGCCTCCAATCCGAGGTTGCATTCAAGCAACGCTTGATTTACGTGTATGTGTTCTCTGCCGTGCGCCTAACAGCACTTGACGTTCGGACCCTGACCGCGCAATCATAGGATGGTCTGTTTTCCAATATGCAATTCGACGACTGGATCACGCCCCTTAAGGCCAAAGTGGCCGGATCCTGGAACCTCCACAAAATCCTCCCATCGGACCTAGACTTCATGATCCTCTCATCATCCGTCAATGGCGTGTTTGGCAGCCCGGGCCAGGCCAACTACGCGGCCGGAAACACCTTTAACGACGCACTAGCTGAGCATAGACTGCGAAAGGGTCAAAAGGCAGTGTCGCTAGACCTTGGCTCATTGATAACCGAGGGTGTTGTCGCTGAAAGCCCAGTCATTATGGCGTTTGTGCGCCGATTCGGTCATCTAATGGAGATCACACACGAGGAACTACTCACTGTTTTAGACCACTACTGCAATCCTGACCTCCCAATCCTGTCACCTGACCAGGCGCGGGCCATCGTAGGGATTAAATTGCCAGCGGAAATGATCGCGAACGGCCTCGAGCTTCATCACTTTATTCGCCGGCCACTCTTCAGTCATTTATTCCGCGTACAGCTTCGCGGCGCTGAAACAGACTCTAGCGCCAGTGCCATTGCCACTGCCGGGACCATTGACCGGCCGGCTGCGCTGAAAGCTGTGACGTCATGCAGCGAAGCGATGCAATTAGTGACTGAGTGGACATGCACAAAACTCGGCTTAATCCTAGGCATCCCAGTGTCTGAACTCGATCTGAACAAGCCGGTTCACACGTACGGTGTCGATTCTCTGGTTGCGATCGACCTTAAAAACTGGTTCAACCGAGAGATCGGCGCTCCCATCGATGTGTTTGATTTGACGGGGAATATGGCTCTTGACCAATTAATTGCGATGGCGGTCCGCAGGAGCCAGTTCTGCCAAGCAATTGTCGATTAATCTCCATACCCTCTGGGCTTGATGCCGATTCCAACTCTCATTAAGAAAGAACTGAAAGGCGTTTTGACACTAGACACTGGTCCCTTTCTGATCCGCTCAGTGTACCTATTTGCGTGGCGGGCGTATAGTACGCCGCAACATTGATATCTGTATCAACTAACTTACCTCGATTAGCGATGGTGTTTACATCCTTTCTTTTCCGTAGGTACGACGTAACTCATTTAAGCTTTATCCAATACTAAAAGTGTTAGGATCAAGGGGTGGTATCAAATCAGGAAAGCAATAAAAGCCAGGGGAATAGCAACAGAACTCAGTGAATTGACGTTGAAACAGAATACTTTCCCCCGGGCGGATATCCTTCTTTTTTGCGACCTTGTCTGTCATCCATGCCAGCCCCTACTGAGATATACAAGTCGCTACACCAGTTGAGCGCTTTAGAGCCGCCGACCTGTCAATCAATCACGCCTCGCGCAGTGGCCGTAGTCTTGGACAGGACTTGTTTGACGAACGACGAACCGGTTCCAATTACAGCACGGCTCTCCTGCAATCTGCCAGACGTGCAACCTTGTACTGGTACCTGCAGGCCATTAAACTTAATGGTCAGTCGGGAATGTGGGGACCATCTTAGGGAGTATAACGGGCAAAAGTAGACTTGAAACTAAAGAACGGATAAAAGGGGGATCGCCAGTTAGAATACAGGCTTCGAGAATTACTTAGGCTACTCAGCCTTCCGCTCATCCCGTGTTCAGTGATCGGATCAGGCTGCTCAGGGCGTGCTCGGGTCTTCTTGGCGAGTAAAAGGCGGCCAGGAATGAATACTAAAGCAGAAGAGAAAGCTGCCAATCTCGCTAGAAATTCAGATAGAATACGCGGGACATTACCGAGCCCGACTAAGTCAAACTATTTATATAAAGTTGCGATTTGCCAGTGAAGGAATTCAGGTCCAAATAAACAGCAGGGAGTTATAAATGCAAACTTGTACTCTTCTGATGAATGTGTTGACGATGCCACGTTAGTATGTACCCTTGTGCTGTTCACCGAAAATGCAATGTATGATCAGCCTGAAACACTGAATCAGTGGTATATAGCCAAAGGTGTTCTAGCTTCCATTGTTTGCGCACGTCCAACTAGAGGATTGAGAGGTTTCGTGGATTGATTTGCCTGTGACGTAGAGTCCGAGGCCGCACTGTACCCGTTAGCACTTAGTCCACAAGACTATCAGGAGGAACATACAATAGTGCAGGCAATACCAACCACTATCAGCTGGATAATGGTAATGCAGCTTCTCTTCGCTGAGGAAAACAGTTGGCCTCTGTTCATGCCCAGTCCAAATATCGCGGGCAACCCGTCTGCCTGGTCAGTTTCAATCTATGTAGAACGGGTAATAGGCACTTACAACTAAACCAACTTCCGAACAAGGAGCTCTAGAGTGGGCATTAGGTTCGCAATAGGCAAGGTATGTTCAGAGAACTTACAATCAAACCCAGCATATCATTGAACACCGGAATAGACTCGGCAACAACCCAAGCGATAACCCACACCACAAATCCAATTCCCAGCCAGGCCCCGACGGAGCGGAAACTCCGGCTATGCATTTGCGATGATCCGCGGAACATCCGAACATATATATATTTCGCAGCGACGTGTCCATGTATTACACCGGAGAAGACAACCGTTGGGATGGCCAGTCCCCAGGCGACTTTCTTCATGACTGGCCCTGCGGAGCTCAGCGCGGGAGATAGGACGTCGGGGCCAGCGTAGCAGTAGATGACCACCGCCGTGACAACGTACATGCAAGTATCAACAATCTGCAGCATCGCAAGGGACTTGGGGAAATCTCGTGGATCTTGCATTTCAGACATAAACCCGAAGAAGGCAACGTGGGCGACTGGTTATTCGTTAGGAAGCGGCATTGAGGAGCTAAGCAGACCAGACCGACGTACTATATGCAAATAAGATATTCGTAACGGCGAGAAACTCCTTCGCGAATCCGTGGCTGGTCGCAATTTGAAGGCGATGAGACACCGGGTTTTGAACTCCAATTGCAATCATAGTAAAGATCGTAGCAGTAAGAATACTCGCAAAGGCTAGAAGAGTCAGCGTCGCCTTGATTTATTCCCTTCAATTTCACTTACATATCACCGATATCCTATATACCCTTTTCATTCGCCGCGGCACTGACCCGATGAAGCTCACAGCCAGCCCGACCACCGAGAATCCAATTGTACAGGCCCCATGGTCCGTGAGCTCATTCATCAGCACTGAAAACGTCAGAACGTGACTGGCCATGAGAAATATTAGAAATATTAACTGGCCAACGCTGAGAAACTCCTGCGCGAATCGGCCCAAGAATATCCCGGCGGCATCACTCATGCTGTGGACTTGAGGGTATCGTAGTTTGACTTTGCCGATCAGACTTCCAGTATACCAGGCTACTCCGGACATAACCACGATGATGATGACGGCTCTATTCGCTGTATCAGTAGCCGGTTCAGGTTCGAGAGGTATGCATCGACGTACGGAACGATTCCTAGAGTTGCAACCGCAGATGGCAGAGACAAGATTCCCAAAGAGACATTCTGTGCGGTCATTACTGAAATGAATTAGACATAATTCCATATAATAGCAACAAACACCCACGCATTCCACTCTGCCTGAGAAAGGTCAGCGAGTCAGTACAAGATCGTGAAATCCACCAACTTACCACCACTTCATCACTCGATATTTGACCTCCGCATTGTCCTCATTGCCAAATGGATCGTCGGTCGGGGATGGCACTTCTTGCCGGTCTTTCTTCTCATCATCTTCGACGTCATGACTGGTGCTCGGCTCTTCATACAGAGTCTCGGCAGACTCCAACTCTCGAACACTCATCTTCGTTAGCACAATAACTCATAAACCAAGGGAGCAACAACAGTTGAGATCGGCACCCAGAGAGTGTTTAAGAAAAGATCGAACACATGTTTACCCTATGCTATCCCTTGCGTCTGGGCTCCACCTTCCGGATGCAACCAATGATCAGCTAATCGACGAGTCGAGACAGGGTCATAAATGCTTCGAGATCGGTACATTCTGGAGACTCGTTGCCCGTGAAAGAAGTCCGATCAAATCAACGTGACAGGCCCTGTGCGGTCAACTTCAGCATGAAAGGCGCCGTCCTCCAGGGCGGCTTGTCATTAGCGGCATTCGGGATGTTTACAGCCAGCCTTTGCTTATGTAGGAGGCGTTTTGCCCCTGCTCTTGAAGACTCTTATCTATTATTTTTTTTGTCAGCCACTTTCTTTTTATGCAGGCATTCTCTTGAATTGCGTGAGTTTGTTTTGTTTCCGACCTTTCCTGCCGGCAAACGGCGTTGTATTCGGAACTGACGGATCAAGGGGACCAAGCCGCAAACGGTAGAAAATGTTATGATAAGTGAACACAAGTCAATGCTTGATATCGAATATGTGCTGATCCGATCTCGATATAATGCGAAGTATGCCGCTAACGACTTTCCTCTACTTTTCGACCTTTGCTCTCAGTGGAGAAGTCGATCCCAAAATATATATCGCGATGGGACATGCGCTTCGACTTGAGCATGTCTAAGCGCAAGCTCTAACGTAAGGGGATATTGTTGAAGGGATCCAAGTAATAGGTCAAGTTGTCTGGGGTTCTCGCAGCACCGATATCAAATGTGGAGGAAGTACTCCGTAAAGTAGACAAGATAGACTGTACCAGACACACCTTCCAAGTCAGGCATAGCGTTCACACACTAACCGTATACGGAAGGTGCGATCAGCCCTCGAGTTCTGCCAGATCCTGCTTTACCGCCCAGGTCGTGCCTTACCGCCTTACTGCCTTACTGCCTTACTGCCCCTTTCATCTTCCCTGATTGCTTCACTCTCGCGAAATCAAGCCTTGGTTTTTCCCGCAAGGCATGGTAAGACATCCTTTTTATCACCGACTTAGTCTATCTGTATACAGTACGACTACTCTAACACGCTTGATTAATCAAAGGAACAGAAAATCGCGCAAAGTACGCCTCCAAGGCCGCCGTATCCTCTAGATCGCCAACAAAAGCAACATGTTGATCAGGACGTATTAGCACCAAACACCCCTGCGACCCGATCCCGTACGATTGATACGCATGACCGCAACCCTCCCCATAGCCCTCATTGTCTGCAAATACGTGATCATACTCATATCCGCCCTCGGGGTGAAATGGTCGAAATATTTCGGGAAGTTCCATGAACTCAACCCTCTCGTGGCAGGACGAATGGACCAGATGGACAGCAATTGATCCTACCAAACAATTGTGGATATTCTGGTTGATCTTGGTGAAAAATGAAGTGGGGCGTGAAAGTGATACTGCAAAGCCTTCTATTCGATCCCTCTGTGTTTGGTCGGCAACATTGCCCCCGAAGACGACTATATTCCACTGGCCTGTGCTGCGAAGCCTCTGCTGAAGATGCCATGGGCGAGAGTCAATCTGGGATAGGACTCGATAACTCGGGAATCGACTGCCAACTTTGATACCCTTCGCAAGGTGATGTTTGTTCAGAGGCTGGATAGATACTGTCTTGATGACCGGCTGCCGATGCTCAGAAGCCGCGATTAAGAGACCTGGCTCGTAGGTCACACCGAGACCAGATGCGCTGGAGTTTTCCTCGCTGAGCGACGATCTCAGCGGGCTGATCTCACCGCGAGATGTGAGAGCTTTGTCTACATCGGCTGGGGAGGAGATCCCTCGGCACATCCGTTTGTCAAACGAGACTAATCTATCCCCAACAGGAAGCCGCTCACTTTGGTAGGTGTGGAGTATTTCCGGCGTAGCCATTCCTTTCACAACGCTTGCTAGCTTCCAGCCAAGGTTGTATGTATCTTGCATACTGACGTTCATGCCTTGCCCGGCTTTCGGCGAATGTGTGTGGACTGCGTCGCCGGCGAGAAATACTCGCCTTTGTATTGAATAGGTGGGGCAAAGGCGATGTCCAACCTTGTTCAGTGTCAGCACGCACTTGGCTCACTGCGGGGACTTCATTTACCGTGTAAATCGTTGACCACTGAAGGTTTGCTGCCTCGAATGTGTAAGGTTGCATCATGGCCTTAGCAACTATAACTAGGGCAGCAGGGTGATAGTTGTTCTTGAATTTGGCAGCCATTGTTGGCGATAACTGGATATAGAACCTCACCAATCGATCCTCTCGAGGAATGATCATAAGATTCCCTACCCTCGACTTGATTATACATCGTTTTCGAATATCGGCTTGATCGTGGTGATTAGCTTGATCTAGGGACTAGACCTGTTGGGAACTCTTACGGAAGTCTGTAACAGGGATGCAATCAATCACCCCCCAATTTTCATCTGACGACTCTCCTTGCAGCGAGAGGCCGAAATGCTTCCGGACCCAACTCTTGCCACCATCGCAACCTACGACATACTTTGTCCTGAAGACAGACTCCCCCTTGGCCTCTGGCCCATTGCACTGTTAGAGTGTTAGAGGGATGGTACATAAACCAGCTATTGGTACTGGCTTGACTAACCTCGCTGTGCCACTGTTTTAATTTAACCTCAACCGGGTTGTCGTTCCGGCTTTGGGCACGGCTTGCGTCAATCTGAATCGATGTGGGGACGGTGCCCCATTTAACCTTCACATCCCCATGGTTCTTCATGAAATTGAGAAGATGCTCTTCAATCCGGCCCTGGCCAAGCGTGCATTCCTGAAACCTAGAGAGCCCGGGGTTATGGTTCATTGCCATACTTTCCCTGTGGATCCCGTCGTGCGAGTCGGTCTGCAGCTGTCAGCGAACAAAAATCACTTTGGTTGACACATGTGAGACACTTACCCACAGACAGACTTCAATGGTGGGGTTGGACTCCGACCAGACTGCATTGGCTATTCCGAAACTGTCTAGGATCTCAATTGTCCTACTCTCTAGACCGTCCGCGTGCCCGGCTTGGGTGCGAAATGGTTGTCTTTCAACAACCAGAGTTTTGACACCTGTCTGGGAGAGCCAGGTGGCTGCCATAAGTCTGAACACGTCCCAATTAGTACCACTTCATGGTCGGAGAGGATAGAGGAATGGAATAGATACCCCGCTGGACCGGCGCCGATTATAATGACATCATATTGGTTGTCGATAGTCATTCTGACAAAGGCGGTGGATAGGTATGCCGGGAAATAGTTCTAGAATAAACTGCGTGTTCTCACCCGCTTAGACGACTGAGCAAAATCTAGCACATGAGACGCCTTATATACCGCTTCTCCGAGGCTCACCCAGAGACTATCAATGCTATACGCATGATTTTGAATTGCCCCCATTAGAAATTCGTCATTGAGAAGCTTAATCCGTCTGTTACACAAACGGCCTTGACCGGCAGGACACTCGATGCAGGGGTCTCCGAAAGGTTCTATCAGGGAGATCAGTCGCTAGAAAGCAAGTTCGCTGTCTGGAACGAACCCCTTGCGTCGGTGAAACAAGATCGGTCCTTCACTGCTGGGATCCAGCATTCTTGACTCTGTGGGGCGCATATACGCTGAGCCAGCGAGGGCCAGGCACGCCCAACGTCAGCTGAGCCGGGTGAGGCCGCAAACACGTCGTCGTTGTCTTATCATCCCTGTTGACGGGCTGAGGTATTTATGATGCGACCCGTCCACTTCCTTCGCTCCTAATTTGTGCGGTGATCAGATGGGGCAGTAGCGTCGCCCTGTTTAGACTCTTTCTGGTAAAAATTGCATCATGTCTTTCCATCTGGACTTAGTCAAGGGATCCTGGGCCGAAAGGCTGGGCGTCCTAAAAGAAGGACATCAGGTGGTTCTGGATGGGCACTCGCTTAGCCTTGGAACTCTTGTTGCTGTCGCCCGGTGAGTTTACCAGGTTTTTATCGAAAACACCAACATATGCTAAGGGGCTTAGTGGTGGTTCGAAAGCCCGTATTAAGGAGTGCGAAGAGCTGTACGAGCGCGTACAGCAGAGTGTTAACACACTTGTTACGAGTCTTGACAGAGGAGAGCAGGTGTATGGTGAGTTTTGTCATGCCAAATGTCTGATTCAAAACATAATCTAATAAGTCGAAGGAGTGAACACTGGACCCGGGGGCAATGCTGCGACGAGGACCCGCCGCCTGGAGATGCTTCAGCACTCCTTTCTCCAACATCACCAATGCGGGATTCTAACGGGCCCAGCGCTGAAGTCGGAAGCTCTCGCTCAACGAGGAGATCTAAAGGACAGCCTACCTGTGGCTGTTGTTCGGGCAACAATGCTGCTGCGCTGCAATTCTCTTCTTCGAGGGCATTCTGCCGTACGGGCTGAAGTAATCGAATTGTTACTTTGTGCAATGAACAGCAATATTACACCGGTTATCCCTCTACGGGGTAGTATTTCTGCCTCGGGAGACCTATCTCCTCTTTCTTATCTCGGGGGGCTTGTCGAAGGAAATCCCGATATATTCGTGCAAATCAAAGAAATGGACGGATATCGTGTCCTATCTGCAAAGGCGGCTCTAGAACGGATCAACGAGGTTCCGATGACACTCCAGGCCAAGGAAGGCTTGGGGATAATGAATGGTACGGCACCGAGTGCAGCGGCAGCATCTTTGGTTCTATACGACAGCCACAACCTGGCGCTTCTCGCCCAGGTGCTTACCGCCATGGCGACCGAAGCGCTCATGGGAACCGTGGATAACTATCATGAGTTTGTTTCCGAATGCCGACCGCACCCAGGGCAGGCGGAAGTGGCTCGGAACATCAGGTCGTTCCTTTCTGGATCGCGTCTATCTCCTGTATTAGATGTGAACAAAAAGGGCCTAATCCAGGATCGGTACGCTCTGCGTACTGCACCTCAGTGGATCGGACCCCAGTTGGAGGACCTCGTGTCAGCAACCCGCCAAATAGACATCGAAATAAACTCGTCCACCGACAATCCTCTGATAGATACCGCTGAAGGGCGCTTTCACCATGGAGGAAACTTTCAAGCTGCATCTGTCACGTCCGCAATGGAAAAGACCCGCACAGCGTTGACGATGCTGGGAAGGATATTGCTCGGACAATGTGGGGAGCTAACGAATCCCATGTTGAGCAGGGGGTTGCCTCCAAACCTCTGCGCAGATGACCCAAGCTTGTCGTTTGCGATGAAAGGCTTGGACGTGCACATGACAGCCTACTTCTCGGAGCTGGGATATCTTGCCAACTCGGTTGCCAGCCACGTCCAGACGGCAGAGATGAATAATCAGTCCGTCAACTCACTAGCCTTGATATCGGCCAGATATACCGGGAAGGCCGTCCATCTCCTCTCCATGATGTGTGCAGTACATTTGTATATCCTGTGCCAGGCCTTAGACCTTCGTGTCTTGACAGTAGACTTTCTCGAGACAGCCAAGAAAGAAGCAAATGGTGCTTTCGACGAGGCGTTCACCAACCCCAAGGATTTGAAGAAGATGAACTTCGAGGAAGCATGGATGTCTATCGAAAACGCCTGGCTAGAAACGAGCCAACTGGACCTCGTTCCGAGATGTGAGGAGGTGACCGCGCGATCCGTGAGTCACATTTTGAACGCCGAACTGAGTACCGAGGGTACTCCAGATCCCTTCGTGTGGAACTCGGCCAAAGCATGGAAGATCAAACTTTCTGCGCTTCTCTACAGGACCTATGACAATACCCGGAAGAAGCTCTTCAAGAAACCACAGACCCCGGAATACCTCGGAAAGTCATCCAAAGCTATGTACCTATTCATCCGCGAACAGCTTGGCGTCCCTTTTCACCAGGGCGTAACTGACCACCCCATCTTGCCGAACTCCGATGAATGCCCGGATGGCAAGAAGACGATCGGGTCTTACGTTACGCTCGTCTATGAGGCGATTCGAGATGATGAGATCATCGAGGCTTTGAAGAAGGTAGTGGGACTTGAATAGACTTTGTCGCTCTATGAGTACTACGATCTGCAAGGCGAGGATGACAACATAGGAGAGATTTATTTTAAGATATGGTTGAGATGACCAATCCAATTTCTTGACTTGATGGAGTCTTTGTGCTGGAACGATCCGCTGTGCAGGCTAATAATGAACGCTGGACCACACAGCCTAGTGTTATCGAGTGATGACCTACACTATCCAAGGTAGCATGATAAAATTAAACCGAAATTGACTAAGAGAGAGAGAGACAACCAAGCCACAGTCATCATTGATGTGCTCAGCTTCCAACGATCGGGTATGCATGACACCAAATTAGGAAATAGTCAGGTCGTGCAAGGCCGTTGACTGCGGGATGTGTTTCGTGATTCAACTTAAGGAATGATGGCCTGGGCCAGCAAAGAGTCTCAAGAACTATGAGACTTTAAATCTTCGTGCAGGCGGAGAGGTGGCTGATGCCGTAATGCAAACTTCACGTAATGTTGTACAGTACTTCCTTCTATGGATTTGAATGCATGGGGATGTACATCCGAGAGATTGTCCTGGCTTCCGGGTACAGCATAACGGCCGAGCGTCTCCGGATCTGCATGTACATTGAATCACAGATACGACACGAGCTATAATCACTACCGAAATGGGTAAATGTGCTGTCAACTGTAGATCAATTATAAGAATGGGTAAGCCGTAAGCTAGGGGCTCAATGATATCATAGTGAAGAGATCGTATGCCTTCCGACATTATCCAGATTCCTGGAAATCAAGATCTGTATGACGCATGATTTTTGAGTTGTTAGAGAGACACCCCTTGCAAGAAGACAGTGAACGATGCTGAGGTTCACGATAAGGGGCCTAGGTCGCGGGCAGGAAATGACGTTCTATTGAACAAAATGCTATTAAGAAGCCTATAAAAACTGCCTGGCGTATGTGAAGAAACTACAACTCCAGAGGATTGTTTCTAAGACTAAATAGACCAACTAACCCAACAAAGGACAATCTCAACTTGAGAATGTCTTTCTATAAGCCGGAAGAAGAAATATTTGTCGGTGCCTCTGTTGAAAAACCTTTGACGATATTAAATGCTAACTCGTCGACTCAACATGAGCAGCACAATGACGGACGCGAACCAGCCCTACTAGCCTTCATCGAATCGCATCCTGATTACAACCAAATAAAGGGCTCACCGGAAAGAATCCTTGCCGCCATTGACCAATACGGCCGGGAAAAAGATTTTCTCATGAACGTCGGGGAGCATAAAGGGGAGGTTGTGAGAAAGAAAATTACCGAGCATAAACCTAAGGTCATGATAGAATTGGGCGGATACGTTGGGTATTCCGCGATCTTGTTTGGCAATGCTCTGAAAAAAGCGGGAGGAAAGAAGTACATCAGTTTGGAGTTAAGCCCGGTGTTTGCTTCTGTGTCAGCTTCCTTGGTCAAGCTGGCAGGTCTTGATGATATTGTGGAAATAAAGATCGGCCCTTGTCGAGATTCGTTGCGAGCTCTCGGGAAACAGTACGGCGACAGTGGCTTGGACATGTTATTCTTTGACCACGCGAAGACCGAATACGTCAACGACCTCAAACTGTGTGAGGAGCTAGGCTTGGTGGCTCGCAACACAGTTGTCCTCGCGGATAATGTCATTTGTCCTGGCAATCCTGCTTATTTGAAATATGTCAGGGCCACGCCATCCAAGAAACAAGAAAGAAGCCAGCATGAAGATTCTGCCGGAAGGAATGACTATTCCGTGGGAAACCCGCAATTGCTCTACGATACATCCATTGTGCACGCATTGGAGCCAACCGGTCAACCGGTGAGTTCAGCTTTGATTTCTGACAGGAGAGCTTCTGACGTGTTGCAGGATGGTATAGAAATCTCGCGCTGCTTCGGGGTTGAGGCTTAGACAGTTCCTCAAGATAGGCCTGATTTCCAGAGGATGTCGTAATTCTATTTGAACTTCAAATACAGCGTCTATCCGTGTTAGGTTAATGTTATTTACCTTTTTTGCTTTAAGCTTTGTTAATTGGCCAGCTTCCAGAGTACGCGGTATACAGGCATATCGTCTAGGTTCCCCATATTCGCAAGGTTCAATTTCTTTCGCTGACAACAAAATGGCGGTTCGAGGCTAGAGGGGCTTGTGTTGCCTTAGCCCATCCCACGCCCACATTGGAAAGCTTATTCTTGAAGAAGGCACGCCATGGCACCATGGTATGACTTTAGACCGGACTGTTTGATACTCTATATTATAGTCTCTACGGGCGCAAGTAAATTGACAAATTTCAAGGCAAAAGCTGCACATCAATTCTCTTATGTTTTCATTTCTAGAAAAGCACTGGCGTTGAAGCCATGAAAAGGAGCAGCTGAAAACCGCACTCAGATTCTCTACCACCGGATGTGCGCAAAGCACAGACCAGAAGGTCCCTTGTCATTACTCTCGCGCAAAAAGCCTTTTAAAATACTTGTCCACTGAAAGTGGCTCGCGCGGGAGAAAGATATGGTCTTGGAACTGTCCAGGGGTGGGGTGCGCCAACAAGTACCCTGGCCCTGCACATAACGAAGCAAAAGCAGGAAATCGGTCGGAAATTCGCTATGGAACTGCATTCCCTCAGGGTTAAGGGAAGGCTTTGCGAGCCAGTTCTTGCATCCTCGAATAAGACCTCTCTTAGGTTGACTTGTTTCCCAGAATGTCGCTCGAGAGACTTTGCAACTTCGCCAAAGGTGGTGTGGTCTCCGCGAAAGCCGACGAATCTGTTATTTGGGTTTTATAGATGGCAGATGGTAGACACAATAAAATCAGCAACATCGTGCAAAGAGCCGTAATCCATAAGAGCGTCCGGATTGCCAACAACGGGTGATAGCGTATTCTTCTGCGTTGGAGTCTAACCATGGGCAGAGCGTCTCTTCTCTCGGGGTATCAAACAACTCGCCGCAGCCGACAACAGTATATGTCATCTCGCCTGATTTCACGGCAGGGTGTCTGGTAACGCTGTCGATACTTTGGATTTTCTGTATCCACATCTGCATCCAGGGCACATCAGCAAGAAATCCCTTTGCATTGGAATAGCCAGAAACGGACCACTTACCGGATTGATTATTGGCTCATTCCTGGGGATGAGTGGGATCTGGCACATGCCGAATTCACTTGGGTAGAAGCGTTTCACACTAGCAAGGGCCGCACTGTCTTGGATGTATCGCTGTCGATCAAGGAGCTCCCGCCCAGAGCGCTCAGCACAATGCCCACCCCTTGTAACTTGCTACCAAGCTCCTCGGGCGAGGCAGTCAAGAGATCGATATTCACAGACCTGACGGAGTCTGAAGGTGCGGAAAGGCACAATGCCGACCTAGGAGAAATGAAAGCCATAACCTCAAACCGCTGCTCCTTACAATCCAATAGAGCTCGAAGCAAGGCATTCCCAATACAGCCGTTTGCTCCAAATAGGGCGACCTTCTGGCTGTTGATTGACATTTTACTCTATGTGTTTGAGAGGACTGGAAAGACGTAAGACGATACGAGGGACTTTAGCTATGCGACTTAAATATGAGATATGGAAGGGCTCTAGCGGTTCTTCCGGCTCCGTGAATAATGCATAGATCTCGAAGCTTTCATCATCTGACCTGTAGCAGATCTCATAGCGTATGCTGTCCGTCACCATCATAAACCGTTTGAGAATTTTGCAGAGTGCCTTGCAGTCTAGGTGACCCTAAAGCTTATTCGAGCATGTGCATATTTAATATAGCATTCCGTGCCACAGCGACTCCTGGGAATAAGATCGTCTTAATATGCTCAGAGCAACAGATAGGATAAACGTAAGCGGGTGGGCTTAAAAGGTCAATCTGAACATTTTGTATTAACCGGACTTGCCCTTTTCTGCTACTTGCGCAGTACCTTTATTTGCCAATGATCTACTCAATGTGGCAAGCTAGCGCACGAGTGCCTGTATGCCGAGTATAGCTTCGCACGGTAGGACGAACCTTTATTCAGTTAAACCTCTGCAGCCTGTGCCTTTGCTTCAGGGAGTCCAAGCCTGCATTTTCCTCCGGCCTATGGACAACCCGAGGTGTGACGATAATTTTACGCCCAATTTAGCTCCTAACAGGATGATCAATGAAACAGCTATGGCACATCAATCGGACATGGAATGAGACACATGGCCTGGAGATACTTGGGTTCATTCTGCCAAGAGCGCTTTTACAGAGAAAAAGTTGGTACACGGAAAGAAATGAGGAGTTAAGCTGCTAGCTCATGTTTCTAGTGATCACAATTCTGTAAAGGCCAGAGACATCTCAACCTTATTCCTGTAACTATGAGTGGGTTGATTTGCTTGATGTTATCATGGAAACTCATTAGTCACGCCTAAATAAGTTGTGTTCTCATTTTTTAGGTCCCCGTCAAACTCGGGTCTATTGACATATCTTCATTGGATGGTCGGCCCTACCAAATGGCTCATGCTCTTCAGCAAGCATTGACTTCCTGGTCGCTAATGAATATCGGATGCGAAATCGGAACTTGGGCTAAAATTGTGCTATCCGTTGCATCATCCACGAATTGATGGTGTAATCTTCCCACCATCATCCCGGCCCATGGCGATCTCCGTTGATTGATCGGCAGAGAAAATTCACATTGCAACCGGTGACTTCAGTTACCTTTATTGCCTCAGCCCTACCAGGATAAGTCAGATCGAATCATGACGGGCGACTGTCGGATAATCGGATATGCGAATCCTTCCCAATCCCAAGAAATGCCGTGGATTCAGCCGAGCGACGCCATCGTCTACCATGACTAATGAAAACCCCATGGGACAAGGGTCCCACTGCGGGGGTACGGGGTAACTAATCCCTCGAATAAATAGAATGCCCTGTCGGACCCTTTTCTCTCGGAAATTTCCGCTGGAGCTGCGACCCAGTCATCGAGATGAGCATGGCGTTTGAGAAGTCAACGACGCCGCGCGATGACGGTGCCGTCGCTCATGTAGAACGAGAACCATCTGGACAAGATGCACCCGACAATGGAACCGAAGAGAAGCCTCCACCTAACGGGGGTCTAGAAGGATGGTTGAGCGTCGTCGCCGGTTTTTGTGTTTTCGTTAACTCTTGGTGTGTATACGTTCGGTGGTCAATTCCGTTCTCTCGCTAACCCATCACAGGGGTTTGATCACTACGTATGGTGCTTTCCAGGAATATTACCAGACGGTGCTTTTGCCCGATCAACCTCCGTCATCGCTATCATGGGTGGGAAGCATTCAAGCGACTCTCATTGTGATGGTGGGAATTGTCACTGGGCCACTGGTTGATTCCGGCTACCTGCGACCATTGATTGTCTGTGGCAGCGCCTTGACAGTGTTTGGTATCATGATGACCAGTCTATCTACAAAATACTATCAAGTGAGCGAACTGTAATCACTACCCTCTCCCGAATCATGATTTATAATTCTAGATAATTCTAGCACAAGGATTTGGCGTGGGCCTCGGCGGCGGAATCGCCTATATCCCAGCTCTTGTGGTCATCTCTTCCTACTTCACGACGAAGCGACCTATCGCAATCGGATGTGCATCGATCGGATCCAGCGTAGGCAGTGTCGTCTTTCCCATCATGTTCCGCCAGCTTCAGCCTAAGATTGGCTTCCCCTGGACTGTCCGCTGCATCGGCTTCATCAACCTGTTCCTTGCCCTAATCACGTGTGCCGTGCTCTGTCGACGTCCGGGCAAGAAGACCCGCGCCAGAAGCATGATCGACTTTAGGGCGTTCAAGGAGCTTCCGTTCATGCTATACGCTGTCTCTCTGACTTGTATCATGCTCGGCTACTATATCCCGGTATTCTATGTCCCATCATACTCCCGCGTCGCATTACACACAACCCGAAGTCTATCCTTCTACATGGTCGCTATCATCAACGGGGCTTCGGCGTTCGGTCGGACATTACCATATCTAGCTGGTTCGCGCGTAAAACCAATGGTCATCTTACTCTGCGCGACAGCTGCCGGTGCCATCGCCATGTTCTGTTGGCTCGCTGTTAGCAACACGGCTGGGTTCATCGTCTGGGCTTGCTACTGGGGTTTACTCAGTGGCGTGCTTGTCACGGCTCCGACCTCTATCGCAGGCCATCCGGTTATGTGTCCAGACCCTAGCTATCTCGGCACGCGCATGGGAATGATGTGGGGAATTAGTTCATTCGGGTCTTTGGTCGGGACGCCGATTGCGGGAGCGTTGGTTGACTTGACGACAGCAGAATTCTGGCGAGCGCAGGTCTTTGCAGGATGTTTGATGGTGGGAGCTGTTCTTTTGCAGTCTTGGCCCACTACGGTTGTGGTCAGGCATGATCGCGAGAAGTCGACTGGACGCTGATGCGGTTGACGGGTTATTGCTAGTGCTTGGAATGTTACTCACATATATCACTGTCAGCAGGTAGGGGTAAGGAATACCTAGACTTTAGACAGCACTTATCACAGTCATATAGGAGAGGTTATGACCATGAAATCTTCAATTGCTTCACATAAGATTCTTGTCCAGCTATCCTATCATTCTTTTCATTGCGACTTGCTCACCAGAGCACCCAAAACATTCAATGAACATCTACATCGACCAACAACTGCGCCACTGGCCAAACTGTTGCGATGTGGCTTTCTTTCATCAAATACACACGGCCAAGGACTGTTTGTCATCCATCAGAATGCACTATGTGTATGAATGCGAATATAGTCTTGCATTGCGGAGTAGAGCGTTTGCACTGAATTCCGAGATGACTATTTATTGCTTCGTAGTTAAGCTTGTCATATTCTCGCTGTTCGACTGTCATATGTGTCTGTCCTTTCGAGACAGCCCTGAGAATAAGCACTCACAGGGGCGTAAATGCAGGATATATATCCTTGAACAGCTCAGGTTCTCAGTGTCTATAATCTGGGTCGGCTTGGGCGGTTTAGGCTTAGTAAAGTTAAGGAAAAGAATAATCTGGCAGCCTAATATTTATAATTATATTAATAATAATATCTAGAAGTGTATACGGGATGTAGTGTTCAAGAGCGGAAACATTAGGAGTTCTTCGAGTAACCTTCTTACGATGGTCTCTAGCGGCTATAAATATAACAAGTATAATAAAAGTATGGGCTATGTTGGTCTGTCCATCGATTTAATGAAGGTATTGTATTGAGCTCGAAGACCCAAATCCTAACAAGGGGGGGAAATAAAAGTCCCGTTTCTTCTGTACTGGTACCCCTGCTAGTGGCGCATCGTAGAGAAACAAAGAAGCCACCTAGTTTACAGAGAGCTTCCGATTCTTGGATATTCTGGTTCGTCATTTTGGGAATGCCCGGTCGTTAAGTTGGCTTGCACTATATCAGTCACATAGCCGACAGTATATAAGACTCTCACACAGTCATATTCCATGTGAGATTTCCATATTAACGACATAGACAGGAGCGAGCAAAGTCTTTTCATAATGGTAAAGAATTGCTCGGGTAGCGCGATATTGTCACTGCCTTCAGAGCTGTATGGTCAAATTGTGGAATTCTGCGTTTCGGGACCAGAGCAAGATGGGACCTCTGGGCAAACTCTGAAACGCCTTCGACTGGTGAGCTGGCCGTTTTACCACGCAGCAACTCGTCTACTTTTTCAACAGGTCACTTACCTCGCAACAGCCCATGACCCCATCTCGCGTGATGCCTTGGATAGTATTATGTCTAGCGATTTTGCAACGGCGGTCCATCGGCTTACAGTAGGTGCTGGTTATTATTGCCAGGTCAACAAGAGAGAGGAATATGACCTGCAGTTCCCAGAGATCATATCAGGATGCCTGAGTAGATTTGAAAATTTACAATCTATTGAGCTTGTTTGCCTGGCTTTTACTTTGCACAAAACCCCTCCCTGGTTTGAATTCTGCCACCATAGTATGGGCGAAAGTCTTCTCAAGGCCCTGGTCAATCGCCCACCCCGCAACCTGGAGCACCTCCGCATCGTGAATTTCGGCATATCTCATGACAAACTCCCATTGGAATCACTCAAGCCCGTGATTGAAAACCTGCGGAGTCTCTCCATTTGTTCCGACGTCAAGCAGCGCGGTGACGCGACGACAGAATCGGGTCTGTACTCCGCGCTGAGATATGCGCGGAAACTGCGGGAACTCAAGATTGAAGGTGCCACTGATGCTCCCCAGACTTCTTTCAATCACCTTCTTCCTGAGGCTCCGCTCCGCGCTCTGGACATTAGTGGTTTGTTCTTTACGTTTGATGGAATTTGCGAGATCTCTAAGTTCGCAAAAACTCTCACGACCCTGTACATTACACACAATTGGCTCACCGACGGTACTTGGGCAGAATTCATCGAGACGCTATGGGACTTTCCACTCCTTAACAATGGCTTACTGGGCCCGAACTATTATGTGAAAGACACGATGACCACTGCAGGTCAGGAAGTAACTGACGAGCAAGAGTGTCACTCCTTTCACAAGAAAAAGATGACGGCACGCGAGGCCTGGGTGTCCAATGATACACTCGAATACTAAATTCTTGTTACTGGGAGTTAAAAATTTACGTTGCATACATCCCTGTAGTATCTCGAATCTCTCTCGGGACTGACAAGGCAAACTAGATGTAAATGTTGACATCATAACTAGAGTTCAAGTTCTGTTGTTGGTAGAGTTGACTTGTTCTACGGGTCTCCAACATGGACATTCATCAGTTGCTATAGGTAAAGAGCTGTATCTTTCAGAGTCAGGGATATCTTTCTCTCATGTCATTTATTTGGACCCCTTTTCAATTGAAACACGACATAGCAATACTCAACTTCACAAGAGGGAATCTATGTCGTATAAGATCACACTAATTGGACATCGAGTTGGGATTAATCTTCCACACATATCCTCTTGTTGAGTCAATCATCCGTTGAACCACAGTACCTTCTTCTCAACCATCTTTTCCTCTTTCTTATATACACCAAACTCTATCTCTCTGATTCCTAAGGACATCATAAGCCGTGGCACCATTTTTCTTCGTCCCCCATAACTTACACAGAGATTCTCTGTAATCAACTCCACCATATTTTGACTGTTTCCACCTGAATAAATTTCTAAGCAAAATCCTCCCTTCTATCTTACAGTGCAGCCGATTGTTAATCTGAAAATCTATGAGAGAATTTACGTCAAAACTACTATAGCGGTTCCAACCCGATTTCTTCAAGAGCCAGTTATGTATAGCAATGATTAAGGCCTCACGTAGGCAATAATAGAAGCGTCAGATTGTTGTAGATTGGCATGAAATATTGAAGTCGGTGAAGTCTTTTAGTGAGAACCATAGTTGACAACCCCTGAAGCAACAAAAGGTCGGTGAAGCCACCAGGGCGGCGACGCGCAGATCACCCGTTCTTGGCGCGTCGGGAATCGCCCGTTTTCAATCGGCGACTCGATCTTGGTGCCGTTACAGGTCATTTGGCTATGCTGGATGAATTTGAAATGAGGGACGTGCACATATTTCATGAATTGAAGGCCAAGGATATGGGTACAGGGATTAATGAGAGTATTTGTCGGTCTTTCGATTTTGTGAGGGAAGATGCCTAGGTTCTGTGGGATTCGCATGGGTAGCCAAGAAAAAACTCTGCAGGACGACACGGATCGACTCTTCAAAATTCCATGTTTCTGTGCAAAGAGGAAATCTGAATGAGAATAATGCTGAACTACTATAGACTATGCCACATGGTATAGAGAATGAACCGAAGCCGAAAGACGATAGAACAAAAACTCGGAAAGATAAAAACCCCGAAAGAATGCAGCAAGCGCTGGGAAACAAGTGGTATCATAAATCATGAATGAGATATCCTCTCTAGGACTTTCAATCGGATGACTCAGGCTTCAAATAAGCCCGGGCCTGCGGAACAAAACAGGCCTTGCCCGTGGTTTCGTCGAAGATATGGTAGCCATAATCCGCAGCATTGGGGGGAGTGTACACTAGCTAGCAATTAGTATCATCGTCATGTCCAAGTGTCCGGGTGGAAGCGTACGATGTAGAGAAACAGCAACCTGGTTGGGATTGGGATTGTGCACGCGATGAAGCCCAATATCATCCGAGATATACGTGACCGCGTCCATCGGGTGCACAGTCTGAGACTTCAGTTGTAGCGGTCCCGACTTGTCGGCTGTGCTCTTTGGCGTATGATAGACCGTTTCCATTAACTCGCCAGCGAGCACTTTCATGACGCAGTGGGCATTGGCGTGGTCATGCACCGGAGAGCCTTTGGTAGGGTTCCAGACCAGTAACAGCTATTCATAATTAGCCTAGTTCTATAGAGTTTAGAAGAGGAATGCGTACAATATTCGCTTTAGAGTTGATGTTCTCGATCGTGTTTCGCGTATAATTCTTGCTCGTGTCATTGTGGAAGTATTGAATCCAGTCATCAGGATTCGACGCATATTTCCTCATAACAGATATCAAATAGTCCGTGTTGAGAGAACTATCGATACCGCCAGTTTGGCCGAGGTGCGACTTGATATCGCGGACAAGGTCTTGGAGGTCATATGGCTGAGGGCCAGGGCAATGCGGCACAGGCTGGGTGAGGGGGGCGGATAAGGACAACATGGCAATGGAGCTATGGATGGTGTCTGTATTGACTGGATTGTAGGAATTAAGGAAGAAAGAAGGTCGTGCACGAGGGTTCTTAAGGTCAAAGTGTCCCCTGAATCTTCAGTCGCCGATTGAAGCGTCCGCGGTCTCAATCGGCGAATGACGTTGGGGCGGTTGGCCTCGGAGCATCGCATTAATGCATAAGACCTGCCATGACAGCGAGGAGTCCCTGATGTAAAGGGCTATACTAATGCAAGGAAAAGGTGGCCTTGATTCGAATGTCTTAACATCTAATTTATCGTAGATCGTACAGGAAACTCGCTGTTGAGCAAGTGCAAGCTTGGTTGGTGACTGAGGCATCAACGTCCACGTCCGACGCATTACGTAAGACCAACGGCCCAAGTGTTGAAGACCGGCGAAAAAAAAAAAGCAAGAGTGGTCAACCTCCCAACCATGAAACAGGCATGCCTCCTCTCAGATCGAATCGGGACAGTGGGCTGGCCGCCTTGGCCTGTACCGAGTGCAGGAAGCAACACCTGAAATGTGACGCTAGCAAGCCTTCTTGCTCGCGGTGTTCGCAGAGCGGCCTCCTCTGCCAGTACCTGCCTTCGCGACGCGGCGGACGCAGAAAGCCACGTCACGACTCGATGTCGCAATATCAAACTCCAATTCGTAGAAATGAGCTCAGTGTCAGTATTACCTGTCTTTGGATGGAGAACAAGACAATAACAGAAGGCGAGGCCGCCAGTAGTCCCCGACTTCAACTCTCCCAGCTAGCAGTTCAGCTCCGACTAATGGGCACGAGAATGCGCCGTCGCAAGGACGCTCGCATCCTGATTTTGGAAGCATCTCATGGCCTACATCTCTTCCTCAAAACGGCACCGGCCAGAATGGTCTCGGTCATCAATGCCGAGCGGGAGATTTCGATGATCGCTTCCTCCGGTTGTTCTACGAGAACTTTCATGTTGCGCATCCAATCCTGGTCCCTTTCGCTTTGTACAAAGACCGAAATTATCCCCATTTTCTTCAGCTGGTCGTGAACTTTGTGGGATCACACTACGCACCATCTAGCTCCAACTTGCAATTGAAGGAAGGCGTTGAGGCTGAACTGACATCCAATCCAGATCGGTCGCCATGCATGGTCCAAGCCTGGTTGATTTACTCCATTGCTTTGTACGCACGGGGGGAGCAGGAGAAAGCCCAAGAAGCGTTCTCACATAGCACCGAAGTAGCATTCGAGTTAGGGATGAACCGATGGGTGTTTGCGTCAACCTCGCAGTCTGATAGATCGACTGAGGCGGAGAGCATAAGACGAACGTGGTGGGAGTTGTATATCACGGACATCTTCATGGCAGTCCAACTGAAGAACATTACTTTTCGCTGTAGCGGCGTCACCCCGGAGGTGGGATTGCCATGTGAAGACTCGGTCTATGCCGCAGGATGTGATGTCCCGACGCCGCGTAGGATGCTCGATTTCAAGCGGCGGGTGTTTGCGGAGGAAGAGACGGTTTTTTCATCCTTCAGCTATCGCATCGAGGCTGCGACAATTCTCTGCAGAGTTCTGGTCTTGAACCGATTACGCGACTACCACCGCGACCACCTACAAGCCATCGAGAACGCCCTCGTGAGCTGGGTCAATCATCTCCCACCGAAAAAGCTGGATATCGTGGACTCATATGGGAATGTCGACGAGATGATGTTCCAAGCACACTTGATCATTTCCTATGCTGCCATGTTGCTTCATCTGCCACGAAGTGACCTGCAGCCCTTGCTAGCCCAGCCAGACGATCGCTTCTGGCCTTCCGCGACCTGCCATCTCTCATCAACCTTTACTCGCCTCGTCCATAGTATCAAAGCTACTGAAGCATCACGGCGAATATCTGACTCGATCTCAGTGTGCCCTAACATCCAGAAACATTCTCCATTCGTGATTTCCGCCTTAGCGCTTTGCGGAATGATCCAACTCGCCACATCGATCAGCCACTCCGAAGAATGTTTCGATCACCACTGCAACCGCGTCACGTTAATCCTTGGGTGTTTGAAAAGCACGAAGCGAACCTGGAACTCTGCGGAATCCGCATACCATTGCTTGCGGTCGTCTGCAGCTGATATTCTTTCCGATTCGATTGAAAGATGGAATGCAGGACCGCTGGAGAAGATCGTCCCGTCCCAAGCCACCCCGAATGACCTGGAAAGGACAGCCCAAGGGGTGCCCGCGGTGACAACAATTGCCGAGGGACAGAGTCTTCTGGCGCCAGAGCTTGCACCGGCATTCATTGATCCGACGTGCTACAATGCCTCGTTCTTTAATTGTCTGGCAGAATTCGATATTAATTGAACCAATGCACGTCGGTACTGTAACAAGGGGCTAGGATCCGTGGTCTGGAGCGCGACCCACGGAATGAATTAAAACATATGTAAAATCCACCGGTCGGCACAATAGAGCGGCCTGGTAAAATCACCGAGCCGGGAATGAGCTGGCGAACCAACTGAGCTGCAGACAAACAGCAAGAAACGGGTCTATTCATCTGACAGGTCATTTGGTCACACAGCAGGAAATAGCGATGCACCATGCAGCCAACATATCCTTGCATAGAGTCAATCGCCGACTGAATTTGGGATACACAGACTCTCCGACGCGGGATGCAACGTCACATTTCTCTCATACTTTCATGTGAATATTCTATCATAGGTAGTACGTGTCTTGATTCAATTCCTTTAGGCTTGATCACTATAGGAGATCTAATCATGCGAGTTGAATCCCCACTGGTCAAGCAAGGTTTCCATATACCTACTGTTGACCGCCCTGACCTTGCGAAGTTCTGGAAGACGTTCTTGCGTATGTTTAGTCTCCAGCACCACTGGAGACTCGTTCTGTGTATCCCTTAAACCCTGGAAGAAGCTCAGCAGGGTTATGCCTGGATTCGAATCATTCCCTGCATTCGTTGCCGACTTCTCCAATCGATCGACCCATTCTGACAAAGAAACAATGTTCACCTCCTTCCCCAGCCGGTTTGAAATGACAGGGAGAAGATCCTTGTAACATGCCAGTTTCGGATTCGCGAGATGGTAATAGTCAGCCGATGGACCGATATTGTCATTTCCTGAGTGCATCGAAACCACCAGGTCGGTAATGACAGTTGCCAGTTCATCCACCGGGATCCAGTCTAGTTTGCTCGCCGTCCCCAACGAGTCTGGGACACACCCAATGGACCTTGATGCATCCAGCAAGACCGGAAACCAGTTGGATCGAGGCCATACTTTCTGCTTCACGATACGACCAATAGGGCCGGTCACCTGACCTAAGCGAAAAATGGAAGAGCGAGTGCCCGTGTGCTTTGAGGCCTCTTCGAGCAAGCGACTAGCGAGCAGTTTGCTTTGCCCGTACCCTGTTTGAGCCTTTTTTGGGTCGCTCAGCGGCTTCTCAGGTACTGGAACGTTCTGATCCCATTGTTTGACAGTCGCGATCGACGACAGGAAGATAATCTGCGGGTTGTACGTGGCGCCGTAGGCAAAGCGGACGAGATTCTCGACTCCTTGGATATTCGGCTGGAACGACAATAAGGTCCGGTTGAAGTTCACAGGCCATTGACAGTGCATAATGACGGTAATAGAGTCGCACAGAGTCGAGCAGATACTAGGGTCAAGGTCGAAGTTGGCTTGGTCGAGGTTTCCTAATAGGTACTCCACTTTGGATGAAGATCTGGTCCCCTTGGTATCAGATGATGATGATGATGATGCAGCTCGATCCTCGATCCGCCTATCAAGGCAAGTGATTCTCCCAACTTCAGGACAATGTGAAAGAGAGTCCAGGATGTATGACCCGACAAACCCCGTGCTTCCAGTTAAGAGAACGTGGGCTTTCTTCTTATCTGGTGTTCTCTGCATGGGCTGTCTTGGTGAAAGAGACGACAGACTATCGACATGCTTTTGTAACAGTTTGTAAAACTCACGCTCTCCCATATCGCCTTGTATACCAGAGTGGACGTGTTGGAAAAGTACATCTGTGAGCTTCCTGGCTGTCGGGTTTTGATAAACGATGGCCACGGAAGGTGCTTCTTTCGAAGTGTCCTTCGACCAATCCTCCCGGGGTTTGAACAATGCCGTGTTGATAGCTGTCACGAGTATATGTGCCCCTCTGGAATCAAGACCACTTTCGAAGAGGTCATTGTCAACGTTGAGGTCATCCTTTGAGACCAACCGTTTGGACATATCCAGAATTCCGGAGCGCAAGGTCTCTTCGGAAGATGCATCAAGTTCAATGCTCAGGGAATTTGTCTCTCTTGCGTACAGGTGATTGATTTCATCCTCATAATCATGCTCTATGGCACTGCGACGAAGATACCCTTTGATGTTCCGCGCCAACGGCTTCTGTGGATCTGCCCATATGGTGTCTTTCAGGTTGATTTGCGCGTCACGAGTACCTTGAAAGTTTGTGTCGGCCAGAGCTTTCTCCAATCGATTCATTATAGGCCCTTCTCTGTCTGCGGGGGATGTATCGAATTCCAACTCGAGTAGTAGTCCCGGATAAGGCTTCTGATTGCCGACCACCAACGCCGCTCTGACTTCAGGAATAGCCGCGATAGCATCTTGAATCGGCAATGGGTTGACTTTCTCTCCTGTCGAAAGCACGACGATGTCGTCTTTGCGTCCTTGATAGACCCAGTAATCCTTTTTGTCCGAATGCCTTCGGAAAATATCTTTCACAGGAAACTCCTTTAAGTCTGGGAAGCTGTGAAATACGGCTTGGTACGGGAGGTTGCTTTCGTTGCGAACAATAAATAGTTCATAGAGGCCAGGGCTATCCGGAAAGGGTCGTAGGTCTGCACCGCTGAGCGGATGGAAATGGTAGCAGTTCCAGTAACGGGCCTGCGTTGGATATAGAGGCATGGAGCCACATTCTGTGGTACCGAATCCATTCAGAAGTCGAGTTCGCGAGGAGATTGCATTGCCTGCCCGTTCAGCGATAGGACCTACTTTCTGTGATCAGCGATGACATAAGAAAGGGTTGCTTAATAGTTCAAGTAAACTCACCTCCCCCGTAAAGAATCCAGTCCAAGCTTGGGACTACCGTGGACATCAAGTCTTGGTCCTCAGCAATCTCATTCACGGTCTGGGGAGCCAACAAGGCACTATCTGGGCTTGTGATCTCAACCACCTTCCTAAACATCTCAATGCCTGGCGGACGTCGCGGTGGCCCAAGCACCAGACAGCTCTCAGCGAATATAAAAAGACAAGTGAGCTCGAAACCAGCAACATGAAAAAACGGAAACGATTGGTAAGGGCGTTTGGCTCCTATCATGACTTCTAGGAGACAATCTTTTCCATCCTTGTACCGGTCTGAAATTGACTGCTGGATGTCAATCGTAGCGAGTGCGGCATGGGTAATAGGGACAGGTTTGGGAAGGCCGGTTGAGCCTGAAGTTTGCAGGACCTAAGAGGGTCAGTATCGGGTGAACAAAGAGGCTTCCTGTACGGATTCATCTCACAAGAGCCGTCTTGCCACAGGCGCTCGCCCAGATTTCGTGGTAAGGATAGGTCTCGGTATGGGAGCTTTTGTTTTTGAGCAAGTCAGCCAAGTCATCCAAAGCATGGAACGTGATTGTGCTGTTGGGAGAGATCTGGTCCGCGATGTCACTGCAAGTATGATCGAATATGAGTAGTTTGCACCCGCATTCTTCGAATAGATGTCTGTGAATGTAGACGCTATTCCGCGGCGAAAGCAAGAGTGCCTAAAACAATGTTAGAGTCGACTTCAGATACCTGTAGGCTAAATGGCATACCGTCGACCCAATCCTGTTACAGGCCAGTGCAAAGAGTAGATGTCTCAAGTCACTCGGCCCTAGGTATCTACAACAATCAGAAGCAGCCACGCAGTTAGAAGGAATGCCCGGCTCACGCTATTGTGGTGTCATTGTTTCCATAACCTTCGGGGCCGAGTCCATCCAGCCACCGGGCCTGTTGGTCTATCAAGCGCCTCAAATCGGAGTACGTTACTGGAAGAACCCGTTCATGAGACTCCTCGAGAAGGACCTGGTAAAAGACGACCTTGTCCGGTGCATCTAAGGCGCATCTGTCAATATGATTGAGCAGCAGACGCTGTCCGATCTCATCCTGCTCAAGCTCGCTTTCGTGTCTGCCTGCCATGATAATTGATTATACGGGATCAGGCAATGCTCTTTTAGAGAGTGTTCGACTTCTGACTGATGCCGTCCTAGGCCTAGCTTTAAGGTTAAATACCCGAAGGCCCGTTGAAGATATCGATCGAAAGCAGCACATTGCACTTGACGATGATAGTTCACGAGCGAACCCTGTTTGGAACCCCACATATACCTTGATATCTATTTCTGCAAACCACTCTAGGTCTACAATTACCCTGACCGCAGACCTTCGTAAGGATGGATGACGTCAGCGATAACCAACCAACCTGAACGCTCTTTTGCCACCATCATGATCATTGCCGCATTCGGGTTGAGAGATGAACCTTGTATGCCGGACCTCTCAACTAGGAACCTATTAGTATCAGGTGGATCGTGCTGTGCATGGCTCCAAGAAGGGCTAATTCCATGCTCACAATTGCGGAAATCCTAGAAGTCACCAACGCAAAGCGGCAGATACTTATGACCCGGGTAATGCTTCCGGCGAGTTCTAGAGACGCATGCTAATGTTTGCGCTCACAAGGATATGAGGGGAGTTCTGCAGTAGCTATGAAGCTTGCAACCGCACCCGAGAATCCTGGAATTCCTGGATACCTGAAGCTTGGAATGTGATTAACCCTTCTTGGTTATAGATCATCCTGGCGAACAGTGCATGTCGTGACGTTTTCGTCGGGGACGCAAGGGTTCTCGAGCTTCGCCTTCAGGATCATCTAGATCCCAAATTTATACGATTTCCTAATTATTAGATCATGCACATGTATCGAAACGGTCATGTGCAAGGGGACTGTCAGATGTCTCAGATCTGATATCGGCTTCTCGGAGAAGCTCGGAGATAAGTCATGTCCCCCCGAGCGAGAATCCCGACGTACGGCAGGTCGTCATAAATAATAAACTAGCAACCTACAAGCAAAGTTTTTCCACCTGCAACGCTACATACCAAAATGGCTCGGAATATTGGCCTGGTTGTCTGCAGCCAGCGCAATCCACGCGTTGGTCCTCAGATCGCAGATTTCGTGCGCGAGACGATCAAACGGGCATTTCCCACCACGGGTCTTTCACTGATTGATCTTGCCGTGTGGAACCTCCCCCTGTGCGACGAGCCAGGAATTCCTTCGCAGATCAAATTACCCGATGAATACACCCACGCGCATAGCAGGGCCTGGTCGCGAGAAATCACGGCACACGATGCCTTCATTTTTGTTACTCCACAATATAACTGGGGATATCCAGCTAGCATCAAGAACGCGCTGGACTATCTTTATCACGAGTGGAAGGGAAAGCCCGCTCTGATAATCAGCTATGGAGGTCATGGTGGGGGGAAGGCGGCGGAGCAGCTGCGTCAGGTTCTACAGGGCTTGCGTATGACACCGGTCGAGAGAACTGTCCCCCTGACCTTTCCGGACAAGGATGTTCTGCTTCGGGGGGCTTCGGGTGAGGATCTGGGTTTGACAGACGAGGGCGGCTTTTGGTCCGCTCAGAAAGAGGAGATTGTGCTGGCTTTTGGTGAGCTGCAGAGGATGCTAGAGAATTTCTAGATCCTGCAGCATTATCCAAGGAAAGGTTTCAGAAAATTTGGAGGAACAATGCTGTCTTTGTATGTAAAAGTGAAGTTTAAGCAAACTTGTCTATAATGAAACATCTGGTGCTTGGCGAACTTGGCCAGAGGCAATGTGTCACCATAGACGAGGCGATGCGTAGTATTCCTACAATTCAGTGTCATGCGACCAAACTCTAAGGGCACAGTACTACTGCGCATTGAGCCCTCTTTCCTGGTGGCTGAACTTTGAAGCTGCAGTTCTAGTGCTATTAATTTGGGCCTCGGGGCCTTCGCCCTTCTTAGGTGAAGTGAAAATGGCGTTTTACCGACCTCCACATAGTAAACTGATAGCCACGCTGCTGGTAGTGACAACACTGGTCGAAGCAGCCAGCATCTCCGAGCAGAGTTTTCTTGCGGAGGATACCATCATTCGCGATGTTTGCATAATCGGCGGTGGCTCAACCGGCACCTACGCAGCTATCCGACTGAAGGACCAAGGCAAATCAGTCGTTGTGGTGGAAAATAGCGAATATCTCGGCGGACACACAGAAACATACGATCTTGGAAATGGTCAGCATTTTGACTACGGCGTCGAGGGCGTATTCAATGACCAGTTATCGCGGAATTATTTTATGCGACTCGGAGTCGACTGGCGAACACTGCTTCCTGACACCCTTGTCACCGAAAATGTCAACTTTCAGACCGGCATTCGAGTGCCTCCTCCAAACGATACCCTGAGCATCGTTGCAGGTGCTCTGCTCTATCGCAGCGCCATCGAAAGATACGAATACCTCCGCGACGGCACTCTCAATCTTCCCGAACCCGTCCCTGATGAGCTGTGGCGTCCATTCGGCGAGTTTGTAACCAAGCACCGGCTTGAGGGGGCGTTGAGCTTAATCTTCACCTTCAGCCAGGAGGTAGGCAATCTGCTAGACGTGCCCACCATATATGTGATCCAGAGCTTCGGGCTTTCGCAGATCGACGCTCTTCTACGAGGCTTTATGACACCGACCAACGGAGGCATGGACCTATATCGCAAGGCGGCTGTCGTACTTGGTCAAGATATTCTTTTCAGAAGCAGCGTTACTCAAACCGAGCGATCATTTCGCTCCGTGCAAGCTGTTGTGCAAGGAGTCAACGGTACCACAAAGTTGATACAGGCTCAGAAGCTACTCATCGCCATCCCTCCAACACTCCACAACATGCAGACCTTCGGCCTAGACGACACGGAGTTCCAAATGTTCCAAAAGTGGAAATGGAACAACTACTACGTCGCCGTCCTCTATCACACCGGCATCCCAGACGCCGTCACCGTCATAAACACCCAGCCAGAGAACGGACCCGGCAGTCTCCCACGAACTCCATTCGCCTGGCGACTTCGATACCCCGGCGTCACCGGCTACGTGACGAGCGAGATAATCGGCGACGAGAGTCTCACTCCGCAGGACGCAATCGACCTCGTCATGTCCAGTCTCCGCCGGATGAAAGGCGCCGGGACTTACAACGTTACGGCGCCGGAGTTGCTTCTGCTAGCGAATCACTCGCCCGCGTCACCTATCGTGTCTGCGGAGGATATTCAAAACGGCTTTTATCGCCGGCTGTATGCGTTACAAGGACGGCAAAGTACCTTCTATACGGGGCGGAGCTTTTGTGCTGATCATTCCTCGATTTTGTGGGCTTATACGGATACTGTCATTGCGAAGATGTTTCCCTAGCAGATCGCTGAAGGTGTAGGATTCTTTGTTCGATCAACTTTTTCTCCAGTTAGTTCGTGGTTGACTTTCCCCTTCGCCGCTCGTCTAGTGGCTGTTATTATTGGATGCGGCAACCATCATACCTATGGAAAATTGGGATGAACAAGACGAGATCTTGTATGTTCTTTGTGCCAAATGTGTCATTCTCTCTCTAATATAACGTAGAGCTCACATAATTAAGTTCCCTTAAACCTGATCATGGCGAGGGGTACGTAAGGGTATGACGAGGCACCCCTGCATACCACGGGGGTTGAAGGCAATAGCTCATAGGAGATCCGGTTACCAAGGATACCGCACTGTACGATGGCAAGGGTCGTAATATTAGAGGAATCAACTGATCACCGAGGCTTTGAATGCAATCATCGTGATTTAATGCAATCGGTCTTCCCAAGTAAAAAGCGATCTTCGACAAACTGCAGCCTATGTGACGATCTGATTGGCTGAGATGGAATTCCCCGGATGAGTCAGCTTCACCGTGGCGCCAAGACCCGAGACCGAGCCCGACTCGGACTATCATCTCCTTTGGGAAATCCCCGAGTCACCATGTGAAGTACATCGTCTCTCCATAGTTTACTACTATATAGCTTCAGTGCCATCTTCAATGGTGACATATGGCTCTTTGAGATAAATTACAGCAAGTTCTAATTAAACGACTGCAATGTACACCAACGCCGAAAAGCCTATCTCTGTGGATGAGGAGCATGTTCCTCCGAAGCCACCGACATTTCCTGAAGGGGGCCTGAAGGCATGGATGGCAGTTCTATCCTGCTGGTGTGTGATGTTCAATACATTTGGTTACATCAATGCGTTTGGGTGAGTGGTTCACAATTGATCCTCAGCTGGTGTCCTGGCACTAAAAACGTGCCAGTATCTACGAAGCATACTACGGACAAACGCTTCTCAGAGGCCAAAGTGCCTCAAACATTGCGTGGATTGGCTCCCTCCAAGTCTTCTTCATGTTCTCAGCAGGCCTAATTTCCGGGCCACTGATGGACCGCTACGGTCCCAGGGTAAGTCTCATACCCCACAGGATTGGCCTATATAGAACTGACGACCGTTAGGTTATCCTGATTCCATGCTCGCTGTTGTTCATCCTGTCAGTCATGTTGACTAGTCTGTCCAAAGAATATTACCAGTTTATTCTAGCACAGGGAATTCTGGGAGGGATCACCAATGGCCTCACATATACCCCTACCTTGACCGCTGTCAACCAATATTTCTTCAAACGGCGTCCACTCGCAATAGGAATCGCATCCAGTGGATCCTCTCTCGCAGGAATCCTCTTCCCCATCGCCTTAAATCGCATGCTCCACCGCACCGACCTCGGCTTTGGCTGGACAGTCCGCATCCTCGGGTTTGTCATGCTGGCCTTGAGCATCATCGCCTGCGTCTCTGTGACCTCCAACGTTCCGAAACGACGCACCGGGCCTCCTCTCCTCCTCGAAGCATGGAAGCATCCGGGCTACACGATCCAAATCATCGGCCTCTTCCTAGTGATCTGGGCGCTTTTCGTCCCATTCTACTTCATCCCCGGCTACGCGCAGTCCATCTCCATTAGCGTCAACCTCTCATACTACCTAATAGCCATCGTTAACGCCGGGTCCCTCATTGGTCGACTTCTCAGCGGCGCCGTCGCCAACCATCTCGGTCGATTTAATACGCTATCTGGGGCGTGCTTCATCTGCGGGATTCTCATCTTTTGCTGGCTCCGCATCACCTCACACGGCGGAATGATCGTCTTCTCTGTGCTCTTCGGCTTCTTCAGCGGCACCGTCATCTCGTTATTCACGGCGACGATCGCCATGACGGCCCCTCAACCGAACCAGATCGGGTCATACATGGGTATGGCGCTGGGTGTGCTCAGTGTGGCCGGACTAACGGGGACACCAATCACCGGGGCCATGATAAACAAATACGGGAACTATGAAGCTGCGATTATCTTCGCTGGGGTTGCGTCGCTGCTTGGGGCGAGTATAATCTTTGCTGCAAGGGTTGTTATTGCGGGGATGAAGATGGTTGCTTGAGGTTTGCGGTGGAATAGAGGACGGCAAGAGTTGGAGGAATGTACATGTAATAAATCTTTTGTCTGATAGTGATAGAGCTATAGATTATCTATATAGAGGATATATGTATAGACGCTTGAGGAAACATAAAGAAACGTAACGAATAATCAAATACCTAATAACAATGTGCTGAAGGTACAAACCCGGTCCATGCATCAAATGCCACAACGCCTGAATGATTTGAACAAAGAAAACCAGCCATCCACCCTCTTTATTTAGAAGCTTGAGGGAAGATAACCGAATTAGATCAACATTTCTAATCAAGAATGAATGAAATAAGTGAAATCAAGGAATTCAAAGAAACAAGTAAAATGAATAAATAAAATAAATTTCCAAGCATCCAATGGTAATGATAATAATGCATCGAAACTTGGCGCAAAGCCGGGTATGTGAAAGAAAAGATATTCAACCTGCCGAACGCCCTCCATAACGCCTTAACGATTACGCCAGAAAAAAAACAAACAAATAAGACAAATCGACAAGGATTAAGGAATTTGACAATGGACTCATGCAAAATTCCGGTGCCCCTAGACGGAAACTTCTCGTTTCACAAAGGATTCATCCGCTTCTCCAACAGGAATCCCACTTTACGAGGGAAGTACTGGTGTTCTAAATTCTTATCACAGAGGATTTGGCAAATGTAAAGCTTTTGAGTTGTGGTTCGTGGTTCAGCGTTTCATTGCCTCGGGAGCTCCCTTGAACGATGCTACAATCTGCACCGATTCCAACGGAGATTTATTTCTACAAGGAAAGGATATCTACTAATGTTATGAAAGTTTCAAGGCAAACTCAATGCGTTTTGGTTAATTCAGCCTTTTCCACCAAGCCAGTAAGTGCAATCGCATATATACTGCGACTCAGTAATTGACCTGATCCGCCTCCTGACTCGTCCACGGCATGTACCGAATGTTCTTGTCCGGACGCTGGACAACAATGTCGACATCGCCAAAAGAGTTCCTGTGGAATGTTACAGGATGAGATCCCCAGGCCTTGCGACGCCGATGGCGAGCTTTCTTGGATTTCTTATCCTCGGCACAGCTTTTCGGATAGGTTGAGTATTGGGAGTCAATATCCGCAGGGGTCCACCGTCGGGTCTGGATTGCGGTTGTCGGCTTATCATTACCCTTGAAGAGAGGATGACGCTGGCAGTCAACTCTAACAATACGTCCCAATTCAGGGTGTAGATGAAGAGCAACGGCGCGAAGCGTGTACGAGGCCAACGGGTCAATAGGTTGGGCTTGTTTGGGATCCTCCGAATCCAGACAGGTGGAGGCAGTGAAGGCAGCGGCACGGATGATCTGATCAACTGGAATATACTTTCGGTCTACGATCACCTTGAACAAGAGGTGCGAGTGCAGTTGAACATATCTGACGTAGGCGTCTTCAGGAGAAATATCCTCGTCGTTATGGACGACGGCGTATACTCCGTGATCCAGGCGTCTAATCGCTTCCTTATACTCATCCTGGAGGTTCGCATATAGACGAGGACCAGTGTAAACTGACACGTACCGGATAAACTCGGGCATTTTGGGAGGCAAGTTTGAGTGGTTGGACGTCGTGTATTCCTTGTCGACTTGTCGTTTAGAGAAATACACAGGCGATGTTAAGGGAAGGAGGATATTTATTGGTTGAAGAAACGGGCAGTTGATAGCAGACCCCTTTATATAATGATATCAGGGTGTCGTACTTGCATGTTTCGGGGACTCTCATTAAAAGCCATGCAAAAAGTATCTCCCCGGGATGTTTGCCCATTGTCTCGTTGGTTCGCCTTTGACTGACTGGGAAGGTGACTTCTGTGATGAAAGACATAGTACCTCCTGTCTTTGTCAGACCAAGAACGCAACCACATAGTCTCATGCTGCTTTTTCTGCCTTATCAAAGACCAAAATCCTTGTTATCGCTATCATCCTTTCCGTAGCAGTCAGCAATAAATGAGATGCAACTTGCAGCACATGATTTGTTTCAGACAATTGTACATGTCCTATTCTATGTTAACGATGTCTTGTTAACGATGTCTTTATCTGATATTAATTCTTGTTATGCTGTCGTAATATCAAAAGACGTTAGCTGTGGCTTCTTCAAGAGATCAGCTCGTTCAAAAATGTCGGAGTATTTTCGGGACACGGAGGATAAGGCCCCATGGCAAACCCCTTATAGGTTCCATCCGGCCTACACTATACTAGACTATATCTTTACCTGATCCATGTTAGTTTGGCTATTATTTATGATTCATATTTTTCTCTTCGTGTGTGCGCATATCAAGTGACCTAGCTCCTATTCCAGACGTACATTCGGCTCATGGTAAAGCATGGCCAGGAGACAAGACCCAGTGAAAGACAGTACGAGTCTCAAGAAATCACTTCCAGCAAACCAGACTCCGAACCAAAGCTTCAATCAAATCCACTCTGGGTATGAGTTCTTCCCGTCCTCAGACTGACTACCAAAGGAAGGACCATCAATCTCTCCCTCAGAATCACCCGACCCGTCAGTCCTCTTCCCAGCGCTGCTCTCCACAACGCTAAGCGGCACCCAAGAGGACGCAACGTTCCTCACGTCCCTCATCTGATGAAGCTCCTCCTTGAAACGAGCAAGATTTACCTTCTCCTGAAAATATTGAACAGCCTTCTCAGCCTCCGACGTATCATACAAGTAAACGACGTCCACCAGCTGATCGGAGATGGAATTAACTGCCGTCTTATGACAGCCCTTCTGAGATTCCACACTAGCTGGGATGTCAACTTCAAATTTGTAGATGAAGGAGTCATCGCCAGGATCTTCTGTGAAGCATTTATTGTCGTATCTTTCGAGCTTCCCAAGTACCAGCTTCAGAACCCCAACGTTGCGCAGGCCCATCGGCTCGTGGAAATAGAGCACCATCCAGCGGGTGCCGCCGAGGAACCTCTGACTCGGTGATGATATTGGGGTACATTGTTGATGGGGTTCAGAAGGGGTCTCTGGAGAGAGTTTAAAACGGGGCATGATGAGGACAGAGACAATGAGGGTTCGTCGATGGGGAATTCCGAGGCCTTCGAGGGACGCGAAAGCTTTGTTGGGGTGGTACAATGAATCATATCATACCATATCACAAGTATATATAACTCGAATCATCATTTCACGATGAGCATGAGGTTCTCCAGAAGTGGTATCTCCCTATACAGTGAGGCAGATGCGGCCATGCACTGAATGTCGCGTCGGTTTGCATATCCATCTTCTTTGAATTGTTCCCTATCTGCTGAGCCCAACCAAAAATCATTGTCTACAATATCATGGTAGAGCACAATTTCATTTTAGTCAGTAATGTGGAATATTCCGACCTGTACAAAGCAAATCACATAAATATCTTCTTTATCAAACATGCTTCTTCTAGATAATGCAGAAGATCAAATGCAGGCTAAAATGCAAATGCAAGCAACGGCAAAGGCTTCACGAATTATCAGCACAAGAGAAACTTGCGCTGCTAGGATCGTCGTGTATCGTTTTGCCGGAGGTGTAGAGACCCAGACCACACTAGATGGATTAGAAACGCGAGACCGGAAGAGTTTTAGGAATTTTTCTTACCAGAGTAAGGCCCACGACGATAGCAAGAACGTTGATGCAAGATAAAAGGATCTTGCGAGGCGATGCGAACCAACGCCCCTTGTTCATCCAGAACCAGAAGATGCCAGGAAGCGCGAAGGAGAACCAACTTGCAAACAAAGAAACCTATCCCCATAGTCAGCACGCAGCCATGTATACCAACGAAGTCAATTCACAATCAAACTAAGGAGACTGTTGAAAACTGGAATAGACATGGCGATGATCCAGGCAATGATCCAAAGACAGCCCACAATGCCGACCCAGGACCCGACAGATACGAAATCCTTCGTATGAATGCGTGCTGTCCCGGCATGCAGTCGGATGTAGATCTGTTTACAGGCGATGTGGCTGATAATCACACCAGCAATAACAATCTAGAAACGTGAGCTTAGTTCTGCGAGCCGGTTCGGGGACATACTGTCGGTAGAGCAATTCCGTAGGCGATCCTCGAGATCAGAGGCCCGGCGGATCCTAAGGCAGGGGAAGTCACGTCTTCTCCTGCATATCGGTAGATAACTACAGATGCAACAAGATAGATGGAAAGGTCAAGACCTTGCAGCATGGCCAGAGACTTCGGAAATTCCCTTGGCTCTTTGAGCTCTGACATCATAGTGAAGAAAGTATTGTGGGTTGCTGAGTGAACGTTAGAATGGGTTTCTGCAGTCCAAAATGTAGAACTGACCGAAGGTAAAGACAATGTTAGATGCAGCCGTGAAGCCAGTGACTAGGTCGGTCTTCACGGCGGCCTTGACTGGTTTCTCGTCGTTCTGAACGCCGACAGCAATGATCGTTAAGAACAGGGCGGCCATGATGCTCGTAAACGCTTAAGAGGGTCAGTATGCACTAGATATTGGCCGAAGCATAACCCCATCAACAACATCAAATGTCCCATTTGCTCAGGAATAGCGCATGACTCACAAATAGCCGAAAGCCATGTCATGCCCTTCAGGGTTCGGGGAAGAGCAAACAAGAAGGAAAGCACTAGCCCGACAACCCCAAAGACGATAGAGCAGGTGGCATGTTTGGTGATCGTGTTCATGGCCACCGTGAAGGTCAATATATGACTCGCCATTAGAAAGACCAGATACAAAATGTTACTGCCGAATAGCAACTCCCGGCCGAAACGGCCCATTAAGACTTCACCGGCGTCCGCAGTGCTCGACACATGAGGGTACCGCCATTTGAACTGCCCCGTCACATAGCCTGTATAGGTGGCCAAACCACCCAGACCGATGAGAATTCCCAGCGCAGGGCCCAGTCCCAGTGCTGCGATTGCCGATGGTAAGGCGAGAACACCGAGAGAAACGGTCTCGGCCACCATGAGCAGACCGCATTGCCTAGGTCGAAAATCAATGACGAGCGAACCGCCGGTGAGAAACCGATACGTACCACCATTTCAAGGTCTTATATTTGACCTGCGCGTGCTCCTCGTTGCCGAACGCATCCTCCCGACAGGACCCGATATCAACTTTGTCCCCGTCAATCGGCAGATCATGCTTTTCCTTCTGGACATTTTCAACGTCGACGGCTTCAGAAGCCATGCTAGGCAGATGGTGATCCATTTCTCGAGTGAAGGCGCATGCATCCAAGGGAGAGAAAAGCTAATCAGGCAATCCAGGATGGCAATCGAATTCCAGGCGGTGGAGTCAGCGCAAGGGACGGAGTCACGGAAGAGTTTGCCAGTCAGATGTTCCCCGTTCACCGGGTGTGGGTCGTCGACCAGAGATTGATTAGTATCGAGAAATCGCCGCCGTGGAATTTCTCCTCGTGCAATTTCGACGGGGGTCGCATTCGGAGTCCCCCACATAGTCCGCAGAGTTAGGGCTTCGTTACGTAACATCGCCATGTTGAGTCATTTTCAGGGCGCGAATTCGCTGCAAATCCGTGACGGCGACGGATGCGAGAAATTATTTCTTCGGATAGTCTAGTTCAACTTGCTGTCAAATTTCCCTTACTAACTCACTTTTTGGCGGCTGTCGAGGTCCCTAAGTCCGGGGTAACTCACGAATCCCTTGTTCTTTATTCTTCGTGTGGGATCCACTCCGGAACCAGCGAAAAGCAGAAAGCTCCACACTCCTTCAACCGAAAGGGTCTAAACCAGGGGCGCCACGGCATGAGTCTGTTTGTATTTCGGCTGTCAAAGCAAGATGATCAGTCTTGGACACGGTTGAAACGCGGGTGAAAGGAAAATCGAACGTTTCGCCCCATGTCATACCTGAATAGCCGGCCCTGGATCCCTGCTACCTGTTCAAGACCTAGGAGTGTTTCCCACAAGCCATCAAAACTATCTCATGATGAAAATTTGGCTTCCAGATCGCTAATCAGGATCTGTGAACCTTGGTTTTCAAATTCCCATCTGCTGACAGGTGGTTGTTCGCCGAAGTACGATGCCATACTCATGCAACTTTTACATTCCACCCCTCTACCAATCTGCCGCCTAGTCGACTTATTAAGAGACCATGTTAATAAAGAAAGGACAGTAAAACCTCAAGCATAAATTCGTTATCCTCAGAATGACAAAACATAGCAAATCCCGTAAACACATGGTGGCATAAAACTTCCCGGAGCCGAATAGGCACTCTGTGTCCTTTGGTCCATCAAGAATCTGCAATCAGTCCTCTCTTCTCACGGCGCCCCATAAAGCTGAAGTACCATGTCGGTTCACCGTGATCAATTCGGCAAAACGTATCGTAGCGATCTCGCGGCTCATCATGATTCCAGTAGTCGTTGTCGTCGTCCCGCCGGAAGTTGACCTCTTTGCTACTCTTCATGCAGTCCAAACACAGGCCGTCAAAGTAATTTCTCACGCGCTGGACAGCATCACGGACAACCTTGTCCCAGTTTATCGCACATTTGCACGAAACCCCACCGGTGCTAGGATCACTCACGTTCATCCTACTGCTCTCGAATTGGCCGAGGCGAAACAGTATGGCTTTGATGCTCGTTTTAGCCATGACGTCTTCCAACGGCCATGCCTTGATCCGCCGAAGTTCTGCCAAAAACCTGAACACCGTGCGCTCTTTACAGTCGCAACTGGCCCAGTCAACAATTTCACAAACGTGTTCGAATAATCCACGATGGAGGATGGTGCGTAGTCGTCCTTTAGCAGCATTCAACTGTTCTGGAGGAATGTAAAGTTAGCATTGACTGTTTTTCGACGTGAGCAGGTGGAGGACATTGCTTCGCGGACTTACGAATCACCCTAGAGGGAAGATGCATTTTGATTTCATTTGTCGGGTTGATCTCATGGATATGGTGCGGCCAATTGTACGCCAATGTTCTGGTCATGATCTGAATTCCCTCCGCGTAGTCAAAAGCGAAACAAGGGAACAAAGTCTGAGCCGCGAATTTAAAGTACAATTCGTCTCTACCACGGGGCTTTTCGGACTCAAACCACGAAGCGAACCATGTCGTCAGCTTGGTACAATCGATATCGTACTTGTCTGCGGTCATCACCAAGTGCCAGATAACTTCAATGGTGATACACGCGAAGGCTATGGTCTCGAGTGTGGAATGGAAAAACCTCAGCCATATCTCCATAGCTCTCACATTGTCACCCTTCAACGTCACGGTACTTTTGCTAGCCTCAGCCCACGACTTTCGCAGCATAGCCTGGAAGACCGGACTGGCCCTGGCTACCTTTTCTCTTTGGACACGAAAGGTACCGACTTTTGCCAGAGGTTTGGTGGCGGTGTCGTCGATGCTGTTTTCTTCGAATCCAGACTTGACACGTTCGTGCTCTTCCACGACGAGGGTTAAGTCGGCTTTGTCCGAGATGTCAATGATTTCCTCATAGAGGCTGTCCGCAGGCTGTGGCTGGGACATCTTGCAATCCCCAAGAGATGGTATCAATTTGCAGAGGTAACCTTGTGTCACTGAAAAGGTTATTCTGGTATCTGTCGCGTCCAGATATGGTCTGTAGGTATGTGCTCACCTTTCACAGTGTGGATCAAGAGTAAAGTCAGGACAAGTTGATTCGGAGTCTCAGCTTGGAATGACTGTCAATCGCTGAAGGGAGAACGGTCGGCCAGTCAAGCAAAGTGAGGACAAGACAGAAGTGATGTTCGACCCGCTCTGAACACGCAGATGGATGAAGTACTGTGACGACAAAACAGTGGGAGGGTGACAGAAAGACAGAGGCGAGAGGAAATTTGAGAAGACTGGGGATGATCCTGGAGACGACCCTAAAGATGATTCAAGAGGAAGAAGAGGTCTTCATGTATGGAGACAACAAACGAGTATGCCTGGATTGCCTCAGACATTCACATGCATCAAAGAAGGCGAGGAAGCAGAAATTACTAGGATGAAAGTGAATAAAACCAGAAACTAAGATAAGACCGGTGTATCTGGTTAGATATGGCCATCTTCACTCGCCTGACCATAAGTGTGGCTTGTAGGAGAGTGAAGGACGGCTGCTATACAGAGAGTAGTTGGCTAGGAAACTATGTCCGGCTGGCCTTTTTTTTTTTTTTTTTTTTTTTTTTTTGGCTCTCCCTTTTCGAAGGAATTCTGGCACGTCTCATAGTGTACTTGACTTCCAAGGTGAAGTCCGTTACTCTCATGGAGTTATCTTGTTTCTGATCTTGTAAGCTTTCCAATAAATATATATAGTTTGCTGGACATATATCTCTGACCTGATGCTGTTCTCATAGAAAGTCAAATGACCGGACAGTAAGCCGCCAAGTCAGACATCTGCATGCCTGTCATCATACCACGTCTAAAGCGAGGAGACCATTACGATCGACCAGATACTGTATACCTCCCATCCCGATAGTTGTAGAACTGTTCCTCAGTGGCCGCGAGACGCCGACATAAGGCCATGACGTATCACGTGCAGTGCCAAGAGCACCCCCCGGCATGAGTCACGGGACGCCCCGGGTGAGTCAGTCGAGCCGATACCGCATCGGGACCCCACCGCCAGTTCTTTTATCTATTGCCCTCTGCTGCTTCTCCATCTTCCTTTCTGTTATTCTCTCCGAACGTCCTGGTCTTGCTCTCTCTCTGCCACTCCTCAATTCCCTCTCTACATCCTCCCATCTAATCACAATGTCGGACGCTAAGCCTCGTGTTTGTCTGGCCTACTCAGGTACTGCTTGTTCCTTTCTGCCCCCGCATCCTGGCGGTGGTTTATTTGGTGTCTGGAGAACCACTGTGACTAACAGTGATTTCTTTTAGGCGGTCTTGACACCAGCTGCATTCTGCGCTGGCTGATCGGTATTGCGCCCATCTTATCACCGATATATCCCCTCTCGCTAATGAATTGATCAGAGGAGGGCTACGATGTCGTCTGCTTCCTCGGCAACGTCGGCCAGGAGGAGGACTGGGCCGCCGTCGAGCAGAAGGCCCTGAAGATCGGTGCGAAGAAGATGATCATTGAGGACCTGCGTCGGGAATTCGTCACGGAACTCTGCTTCCCCGCCATCCGTAAGACCGCCCCGACCGTCTCGCCGAGAAGAATGTGGAAATAATGGAATGACAGAGTGCAATGCCATCTACGAGGGCCGTTACCTCCTCGGTACCAGCTTGGCCCGTCCCGTCATCGCTCGCGCTCAGATGCGCGCTGCCCAGCGCGAAGGCTGCCAGTTCGTCTCGCACGGCGCCACTGGCAAGGGTAATGACCAGGTCCGTTTCGAATTGGCTTTCTACGCCATCCAGCCCTCCATCAAGATCATCGCCCCTTGGCGTGATCCCAAGTTCTTCAAGCGTTTCGCCGGCCGTAACGATCTGCTGGACTACGCTGCCCAGACTGGCATTCCCGTCACCTCCACTAAGGTATGTGTCCAATCCCCGGACGTTGGATGACAATAGCTAATATCCTCTAGGCCAAGCCCTGGTCGATGGGTTAGTTCCCCTGATGATCTGCAATTTGGACTACGCTAATTATTTAGATGCCAACTCTGCTCACTGCAGTTACGAGGCTGGTAAGTTGCTTCCGTCCCTCTATGGCGGTCCGTTCTAACGTCTCAGGTGTCCTCGAGGACCCCGACCACACCCCCCCCGCCGACATGTGGACCATGACCAACGACCCCCTGAACGCCCCCAACGAGCCCGTCGACATCTCCATCGAGTTCGAGAAGGGTATCCCCGTCAAGGTCACCACCCCCGAGAAGACTTACACCGACCCTGTCGAGCTCTTCAATGCGCTTAACAAGCTCGGATACACCCACGCTATCGGCCGTATTGATATCGTTGAGAACCGTTTCATCGGTCTGAAGAGCCGTGGCTGCTACGACTGTAAGACTTGGCATCCCTTGTGTTGTCGGTGTAGACTAACGGATTAGCCCCCGCCATGACCATCCTGCGTGATGCTCACCTTGACCTTGAGGGTCTCGTCCTGGACGGCCAGGTCCGCTCCCTCCGTGACCAGTTCGTTACCCACAACTGGTCCATCCTGCTCTACAACGGCTAGTAAGTTTTACCTTTGGTTTCGGTCATACCCAAATCTAACATCGTCCAGCTACTTCAGTGCCGAGCGTGAATTCATCGAGAACAGTCTCGTCTACAGCCAGAAGGTACGGCCCCCTTTCTGTCCCCGTGGCATATTTCTCGCTAATGAACCCAGCGCGTCAACGGCCAAGTCCGCATGCGCCTCTACAAGGGCAACGCCTACGTCCTCGGCCGCTCTAGCAACACCGAGAAGCTCTACTCTGCCGAGGAAGCCTCCATGGACTCTCTGGAGGACTTTGAGCCTACCGACACCACCGGCTTCGTTGCCATCCAGTCGATCCGGTACGTCTTGCCCTGTCTTTGACATCTGATGTCCAACTAACGTACAACAGTCTCAAGAAATACGGTCTCCAGAAGGCCGAGGAGGGCGAGTCCCTCAGCCGTGCTTAAATTTGTGCTTGGCAACACATTAAAAGGGGAAATGATAGCATGGGAATGGAAGGTTAGAAATGTAAAATGACGATTAATTTTATTGGATATTGAAGCACGGAGTAATGCAGGCAGGTATTCGTTGCTGGATCTGGTCGGGTTTGAATGGTGGTGCATCAAAATAAAAAACTCAATAGAGTTTCGGGTTATATCAATGATTATCATTTTTTTTTTTCTTCAAGAAACGAGAACTAACAGCTAGAACTTGAAGCGTAGGCGAGAGGTACTGAAGCCTGTATCTTGTCTACAATAACATTGGACTTGAAGCTATTACACGATCAAAATAAAACATCGGCAACGTCATCGGAGATAAGAGAGCCAACCACTAGCCAATCAGAATTCCCCGGACCATCTTCAGGCATTAAAGTTACATAATTCAGGCATCCTATCCACTCGCTCCAACTGCCGGAACGGGAAGGTGTCTGGAGCATCGCTGGATGCCTGAGTGCCTTAGAATGTGGCGCCTTGATACCGTGATACCTTAATGCCTGAGGGCCTTCCTCCTCCCTGCCGTCTGACCTTGCTTGTTTCATCAGATCTATCCCTAGAAGTACAGGTGCCTTGATTTAAGGACATTTAGAAGATATTATTTGCGTTAATTGTGATTATAAGAGTCGCCAAACTGCAGTTCAAAAGACCCATTGATCGATATTCACTACTGAAATGAAGTATGGAGGGGCAAGGAGGTTCAGCCTTTATGATCGTCGGCCTTCATAGCCTCAGGCAGACTTCTGAGTGGTTACTAGCGCTTCTTACACACTATTTGGAGCCGATCAATAGAATATCAGGGGAGTCGCATCCTACAACCATCGATCAACAACAAACATAACAGTGGAAGAAAAAGGAAGGGTCAAGCCAAATAAACACTCCTAATCCCCTCAACCCACTCCCCAAACGAAACCACCCTGTCCTCACCAACGCGAACCTCCCCAGGCGCAAGAGGATCTTCTCTCTCCGGAACAACCCAGAACTCATGGTTCTTTTCACAGACCGAAAATAACAACCCCTTATCGCCCTTTACTTTTTCAAAGCACCCCCTCTCTAAGGTCAAGGCAATGCAGTCCCTGCACCAGAACATCTCGCGATCATAAGGCCAGCTACCCGCGCAGTCGCCATCGCAGTGGACTTTCCCGTTCGGGCCTTCAATTCGCGCCAGCAGGGACAGCGCAGCGAGAGCGTTGGCGTCGTCTTCGAGCGGAATAAAGACGCAAAGGAGGGAGATGTACGCGAAAAGATCGTTATCTTCGTCGTCGTCGGATAGCACATCGAGGGCTTGTTTGACGAGGTCTTTGGCGAAGGAGCGGGCTTTGGCGTGGTCGCCTTGGGTATGGTAGTATCTGGCGAGGTAGAGCTGAGGAGGGAAGATAACGTATTGGCCAGAGGAAGATGCAGAGGAGGTGGGGAGGTCAGGGATTAACGAGGCGAGTTTATCTAGGTAGCTGGATGCGGCCGTCAGGTCTGGTCCTGAGGAACGGGCGTAGTGAAGATACACCGGCCCGAGTTTGCTGATCAGCAGAGCTAATGGCGCAGTCGGGTTACTGCAGTGCGGGACATTTTGCTGTAGGGCTAGTTCCCATTGAGCGAGGGCCTTGGATTCGCGATCGCGCAGGGCGTACATGGCGTTGCCGTAGTGATAGCGGATGAAGGCGAGAGCGCGGTGGTTTTCGCGGTCGAGGAGGAGGGTGATCGAGCGTTCGTAGGATGTTTCGAGAAGAGGGAAATGGTTGGTGTGAAGGGCCGCTTGGAGGATGACTTGATGGAAGCGGGTGTATGGGGCCAGTCCGATGAGGACATCTGAGAGATAGAGCGAGCCGGGTGAAGACTGGATGGTTTCTAGGGAATCCGTGATGTCGGACCAGCGGTCTTGCTCGGCGTAGAGGGACAGGACCTGGAAGACGCGGCCGTAGTCGGTGTGGTCGATTTCCATTGCTTTGCGGAAGACTGAAACGCTCATGTCGTGCTGGCTGCTGCTCCAGTAGGCCGTGCCGAGACTGAAGAGCAGTTTTGAGAGGTCCAGTTTGTGGGCAGGGTTTTCAAGCCAGTGGATGTCTTTTTGGAGGCGCTCGGCGACGGGCTTTAGGATGGCGATACCTTCCTCGGGAGAGACCACGTCGGCGAGGAGATTTGAGGCGCGCCAGTCTCGCGGGTCGAGGTCAAGAGCTTGTCGGGCTCGTGATTCCGCCCGCTCAGTGTAGCCAAACTGAGCCAGTAGGATTCCGATCTGCACATGCCAGAGGGAGTTCTTCTCTTGGGCGTGCAGGGCGACCTCGCACCATTGTTCGACTTCCTCAATTTGCTCGAGGGTTGGAGTGACCGGCTCCTGTGGAGGGCCTCGTTGACTGTTTTGCTTAGACTGGATCTGGGTACGTCAGCCTTGACCGGGGAATCAGGAAGGGGGAACATACCTTGTTGACATATCCCAGCAAGAACAGGAACGAATCCTTAGTGAAGGGTTTGAAGTGTGGTTCCTGGACGAAGTGAACGGCCATGCGCTTGGCAGCCGGTTCTAAGAGATCTTTATCACCCTTTAGCAAAACATCAACCCATTGACGCTGCACCTCAGAGGCTCCAGAGATGACGGCCGAATCGCTCAGCCATCGCACAATGACGCTCACGCTGCTACCGTCATACAACCAGGCCCCGCGCACTTTACGGTGGACGGTAGGCGAGCTCGTGGACTCATCACCATCGAGCAATGTATCGAGAGAAGCGTCGTCAGTGAAAAGATGCACAAGGCGACTCCCGACACCACTCTTGCAGGTTATATCCGCAAGAGCAAGATCGACAGCTGCCAGATGCTTCAGCAAGTATTTCCGAGCATATGGCAGCAGACGGGTGCGCTTCTTATCGAGCTCCTGAGTGAGGATCTCCAGGCAGGCCAAAGCCATATTCGTCTCGCCCGTATGAGGGTCATCCTTATAGACGGAGCTAGTCTTGCGGGAGGACTTCTGGGCGAGATAGTCGTCGAAGTTGAATTTGGCGTAGACGTCTGGCGGACAGACCGTCATGAGGAAATGTTTAACCATCGCCACTTCTGCCGGGTGAGTAGCCTTTGCGTCGTATTGCTCTTCTGCTGCGTGCGAATAACTCCTCACGGGAATAAAGTTCTCGATCTCAGAAGACCGAAAGTCAACCCTTCCGTTATTGTTGATTTCGAACAGGGGATACTTCATCTTGAATTTCTGTTCCAGTGGAAGAAGAGACCGCTCCCCGCTCTTAAGATATAACGCCGCTGCCATCTCCTTGGGCGAGAGAAGATCTCGACAAAACACAACCCAAAGGATAATCTCGTTGATTTCGGCGATCTCCTTTTCGGACCGGATTTCGTTCAAGGACTCGATTTCTTCGATAATTTGTTGGGATCGCTCTTTGCTGGCGTTGTCCAGCGCTTGCTCGATGTCGGTGAGATATTCGAGTTTGCCGATGTGTGCTAGCGTGGTGTCGATCTTGAAGAAGTCGCCTTTCGTTTGCTCGCAGAGCCTGTTACGGATGCGCGCGCGCAGCTCCAGGATACCGAACCGCGATCGGTCGGCCACGGCGGGCATTCGATCCATCTGTCGCTCAATGTATATTTCCACGTCGGATTGATTGTTCTGGCTAATAGCGATCGTATCGAAGGCAATGCTGTCCACATTGGCCAGCTGTTGGAAGCATCTAGAATCACCGGTGAGAAGGACTCTGATATCCTGACCAGGTGGTGCCGTGCAGGCTCGCTGCAGGAAGCGAATCATGCCCTCTCCAACGGTATCACCAAGACCGTCAATGACGATGAACAGGGTGATTTCCATTTTGGCGAGGTCTTGGTTCCCAAAGAGCAAGTGCCTGGATATATGCGCCGGATCTATCTCGCCATGTGTCTCGCAGATCGATGCCGCCGACTTCAGATACTGTCGCTCAGCCTGGCTGAACTGCCACACAAGCGATTTGGCCACATTTTCCAGGTTCGTCGCGCTCTTGAGCTCTTCTCGAGACTCGCCCTCTAGGAAGTAAAACGCCGAGGCAATGCGTGTGCTGGTCCCTTCTTCCACCTTCTGCTGTCGAAGATGGCTGATGATTGTCGACGCGAGGAAGCTCTTCCCTGACCCCTCACCACCATCGATGGCCAGAATAGGGGATTCAGACCGGCCGTGCTCCCAAGTAGTAAAGGAGGGGTGATCGAAAACCCACTCCCCGGTCCCCGGAATTCTTTCGCCCAGATAGTTTCGATAGATGGTCTGCCAGAACGGCTCGGGCTCCGACCGATCGGCAGTCAACTTACTCTCATCAAAGGCCAGCGACCGCAAGATCGTCTGTGTTCGGTAGACCTGATTCTTCTCCTTCCTCAGCTCTGCCTGGTACTCCCCAACTGAGTCCACTAGACCCTGCGTTAAGGCTAGATTGGCCTTTGAACTGGACGCCGCCGCTGAGGCCAGCGAGAAGGTCTGCGCCGCAACCAAGCGGCCCTCCTTATCGACTAGATTGGCCATCTTATCCAATAGATCGGTGACGCTATCCTCTCTGAAAAAGAACATTTTTGAAACCGCCAGCAGCTTCATACGCTTCGATCGCAACTTGACCGTGCGATCACAGATCTCCACGAACAAAAGCAAATGCTGGCAGGCGACCTTGCTCAGGTTCGCGTCCATGCCGGCCTGCACATGGTACTGCAATCGGCTCAGATAATCAGTACATTTCTCTAGCAAACCTGCCAGCTCGTCATAAATCCCACGGTACCCTTGCCAGGCGTCGATGACGAAACTGAGCGCGTTGAAACATAGTTCGGACGGACCGAATACCTACACCGTACAGTATGTTAGCATCAACCCACACAGACGATCTAAGTAATGAGAAGAGGGGAAAGAGAAGAACAAGAATACCGAAGATGCCGCACCCGCCGCAATCCCCCCGACCGTCTGCACCAGAGCCAAAGTGCGCTCAAACGTCTTCCGCACCGTCTCCTTCGCAGGCGAGGACTTCTCGCCTTTCTGCGCGTGGTCCAACTGCGCCAGGACGCCGTCTATCCCGAGCGGTTTAATGCGTCCAGAATCCCCGCCAGCCAGTGCCACCACGCGAGCTTGCACTTGGGACCATATCGTCGACAGTTCCTTGTTAGTGGACGGGTCCAGGCCTTGCGGGACGTACGCGGTGGGCGTAGACAGGGCCAGCGACGCGGTGACCATTTTACGCGTATATCCAGAAGCAGGTAAACATAGCAAATGTGCAGAAGGGTGAACAGAGAAAAAGGTATGATTGAGTAGATTTATTATATCCTGACCGAGCTGCCGTCATGGCGGGGTAGATCTCTCAACTCGCGGCGATGTACACAGTGTATGGAGTACAATGACGAGATGGGCGTCCATCGTTACTGAATTTAGATCGCACGGACCGAGATGTGGTTGAGAATCGACAATGATAATTGGGTCCAAGAGACTAAGAGTTTGCGCGATACGATGGGTGTTCGATCGGCGTCGATCTTAGTGGGTTCAAGGCGAGTCTTGATGGGAGAAAGGAAGCGAGAAGAGAGAGCAGAGCAGAAGAACCGGGAGGCTGGGCAGGATGTCCCCGCTAACCGCATCGGGATGATCCTGCCTGACGAGAGGCTGCCTGGGCGCCGTGATGCCTTGATGCCTTGGTGCCTTGCGGCCGCAGTTGTCGTCCTGGTATACTCCTCAAATCATGCAGGTGCCCAACCTGACAATGAGCTGCTAGCGTCCTGTTTCATTCAGCTTGTACAGCCAAGGGCCGATACATACAACTGATAGCTTGCCAATGCACTTTGCGATCCGTTTCAGACCCTGGGGGATCTTTTCAACGACTCTATCTACGACGGAGACAGCGAATTGAAAGAGTCGGGTTCCCGAGAGCTTCTTGGTCAGTGGGGCCGCGACCTGAAGCAGGTTTGCAATCTGCTGTGGAATTACCGCTGTTTTGAGCATAATATTGTTTGCCTGCATCTTGGCGGTGTCGTTCATGTTGATCTGATTCTGCTTCTCGAAGTCTCTCAAATCTTCATCCAGCTTGTCGGCCACCTCAAACAATAACAAGCAAACAGCACCACCGCCACAAAGCGAGGGGGAAAGGGGAAAATGGAAGGCCTGTACTCCTGAGATTGAGGAGTTCACTTGTGAATCAAGCATCAAGCTACAAGATCATGATGTAATGCGAAGAATGAGCAAACTTCTATGCCGGATTAGGACCAAGGATACTTACCATTTGCCAAACAGACACCGACACAACGATTCCAATACCTTGAAGTGCTAGCCAGTGAAGCAATCTACAAATAACTTCTGAATGTCATTCTAACCATATCAAGTATTGGACTTGACTATGGTCCGAAAACAACTAAATAAACGGGTATCTCAAGCACGACGACCCAAACTACACACAAACGAACGCCTACCCAGGGCAAGAAACAAAAGAAGAGAAACTAGGCGGAGAATAAGAAAATGGAGGAGAGGTCATGCCCTGCGATTTGAGAAGAAAACTCCAACCTATCCCTCAAGATGAACCCAACCCACCTATGGAGACCCACACTCCCACCCCCTCTGCAGCGGCCAACTATCAGACGTCGGAATCCTAACATGCCCTCGCACCTGGCGCTGAGGTAAAATAGGCGACCTCGGCTGAGGCGAGTCACTAGACGAGAGAGGGCTATATTTCTTCGAGGCGAGAATATCAACTCTGTTTAATAGTGTCAACCAAACAGCTCTTAAGTCCCATACTCCACACACACACCAGCTACTCTATAGGATATAGACCTAGAGGGAAGAAGAGAAGGAAACTCACATCAAAACCAACGGAAACAAACACTCAACCGCATAAACAAACCGATCTAATTCCCCCGGCACACTAACCGCGCTCTGAGCCGTGACCTGCCACGAATAAGTGACCGCGCGTGTAACGCCCACAGCACAAAGACTAGCCAATCTAAGCTCCGTCGTTCGTAACAAATATCGAAACACGGAACGAGTGGATGAGACTTTAGGCGAGAGGTCGCGCGCCTTATGAAGGAGACGGATGAGGAAAAAGGAGCTCCAGGATTCGACGAGGGCGATGGTAACGAAGTAACCGACGTGGAGGTAGGAGATGCGGTGTTGGAGGGACTGGCTGGATGAGGATTGGATGTCGAGGAGACGAGTGGTGAGAATTACGAGACGGAGAGCGAGGATGGCAAGCATGAAGAGCCAGAAGATGATGAGGAAGATGACTCGCGAGCGATCGCGGAGTGTGTGCGACAGTATTTGGTAACTGTAGAAGGAAAGGCCGGCTTCTTGGATCTATTCAATCTTTATCAGTCGGATTTGAATCGGGAAAGGGTGAGGTAGAGGGAATATACCAGCCAGAAGATATCAGCGAACGCGCTGCCGACCATACGATTGAGAACCGAATGAAACGTATAGTAGGAAAAATAACACAATCCATTCGCAGCCGCACACGCAGCCGACACCACAATCGGAATATAACTCAACGGACTAGGCCGAGTAATCAGCACCGCCCAGATCCCGAGAAGAGTCGTAAACAGCCCGATGGTGCTGAGAATGGACCAGCTGAGCTCGAAATACGAGACGTTGTGGATAGAGCCGGATGAGAGATCCATTGCGCGATCACAAAGCCAAGTTCACATTCTGCAACAAGTTGGTTAACGATAAGAAACATGGACAAGTGTCAAAGATATAGATACGCTGGCTCAGAACCCAAAGCACACGGGGCAGCGGGATCGGCGCGTCCAAGGGGTATGATTGATGGAAACACCCCGCCACGGGTGCATATAATCTGGGGAATTGGGTCCATGCGCCAATAACAGGGAACCGCCGACAGACTTCGGAGGAACTGGAGAATGGCCGTGCTAGAAGAAGCATTCTGGCCGTTGATCTGCGGGCGTGCGGAAAGCATCATGTCGCAAGGCCGCACAGACCTGAAGTTTCCAATGTTCAACCAAGTAGAATTGGAAACTGCATATTCCAAAAAAACGAATAATCATTCAAGTTTGAATGCAACTCTATCACCAACATTATATACATTGACACCCTTGCTAATTAGCAGCCAAAACAGCAACCGACCAAGCAGGCAAAGTAAACGAGAACTTCCCGCTCTCCGCCTGCACGTCCTTCTCCGACGGTGTGACCAGAGTCTGCGCGTCCGAGTTATAAGCCTCCGGATCGTCATCCGCCACGACGGTCAATTTGCCCGTCGACAATCCGTCGATCGACACGCTGACGTCCTGGGTGTCCTTGCCGAAATTGGCCAGCTTCACATAGTACGTGTCGTCGGCGCTCGAGGCGACCCAGTAGACGGGTCCGAAGGCCGAGTCGGATTTGACTTCCTTGATGGTGTCGCCGCGGTTGGCGGAGAACATCTGCTGGACGTAGTAGCTGGTTGTTTCGTGGACCATTTCAGGGGATTGTGTGAAGGCGACGAGGTTGGGCTGCAGTTCTTTGTTAGTTATGATAAATGGCAGGCGAATGTCAAGTAACATACAGTCCACTGAGTCGAGTTGACCAGCTGCAGAAGAGGAGCGTAGGCAGCCATCTTAACCACGTCGCTGTTCCTCTCCAATCCGATCATGAAGACAGCTTCGGACACGGCACCCTCCATGTCAGGCCAGTCGCCCTCCTGGCGAGAGTATTCGCCGATAAAGTAGGGCACAGAACGGTCATTGTTGTCGAACTTGTTGAACTGGGAAACGAGGCCCTCGGGCGTGTTGTAGTTGTGCCAGTCCAGCCAGACGCCCTCGGGGAGTTTCTCGGGCAGGCAGGAGGAGTTATCGGTGCTAGCGATGAGAGTCAGGTCGGGGTACGCTTCGTGAATGGCGTCGTAGTAGGCAGTGAAGCGCTCGGCGTAGGATTCGCAGCCGCCGCCAAGGTTATCTTCGTTGCCGATTTCCACGATGGTCACGTCCCAGGGCTCTTTACGTCCGTTGGCAGCGCGTTGACCGCCATACGTGGTGCTGGAGTCACCAAGAACGTACTAATCTTGTTAGTAGTGTTCTAAAAGGGGGAGTGGGAGACGTACTTCGAGCTCGTTCAGAACTTCGTCAATGTACGGCTTCAAGGCGTCGCCGGTGAACGGGGTGTTACCACCAGACCCGAGAGAGAAACCGGCATAAACATCCAGGATGGGGGCCAGACCCATATCCTCGCACCAGTACAGGTACTCGTCGAGGCCTGCATAGTCAGCAAAGTTCGCACATTGAGCATTCATCGAACATACCAAGTCCGTCGGTGTTGTAGTACTCCCACGTTCCAGGCCGACCGGGACGTTCCTCGACGGGACCGATGGTTTCATTCCACTTCCAGCGGGTTCCTTCATCGTTGCCCTCCCTGCGCCAGTTAGCGTGGTCTTAATAATCCAGTGCAGATACTCACAGGTTGTTACCACCCGGGAAACGTAGGAAAGAACCCTTGACAGCCTCCAAGTTTTTAGCAAGTTGAGGTCGCAGTCCATTGGCCCTACATAATTAGCTATATCCTGCCAGACCGGGTACATCGAGCACTTACCGCGACTTGTAGGTCTCTGGGAACAGCTCCACGAACCCGAAATACAACGAGGACCCCTGCAGATCGCTACCGTCGACCGTGATCTCGTAGACAACCGCACCATCTGGCGCCTTCTCCGTAGGGAACTTGACGGTGGCCTTCGTGAACTCATCCGCCTTGGACTCCTGGGCGAAGGTCTTCGACGCGTATTCCGTGCCAGTGTAGTTTCCAACGAGACGAACAGTGATGTCGCCGGAGAACTTGCCCTTGATCCAGAAAGCGCTCTGGAACTCGGACCCGTCCACCGGAATGCCCCAGTAACCTTCATTGGAGAAACCGACCTGGCCGCTGGCGTCCTTGTTCACATCCAGACGCAGGGTGTGCGGGATGGCCGTGGTGAGTGGGTTATCCGAGTCCACAGCGATCGAGGCATCTCCAACAGAGCGCCACGCGGTAAGATCTGGCGAGGAGCCCTGCAGACCGTTGTTGCGCAGCATTTGGCCATAGATACCGCCGTCGCCGGAATGGTTGATGTCCTAGTCCGTCAGCCAAACTCCAGTTCAAGATGGTGCAGTACAAACCTCAAACATAAAGCCATAGAGCAGCGAGCTGGAGGAGTTGCCTCCATCCTTGGAGACCTCCAAGGAGAGCCCGCTGGCCCGCTGGACCAGAGGAAGCAGGAAGGAAAGGGCACCGAGGCCCGAAAGCGTCGAGAAAGCGACCATGGCGATTATCGTGCTGTTGCCTGTGCTTCATTTTGCAAGAGAATACCCCAGGCTTTATAGACGCGATCTGAATTAACCGACTCGCTCAGAATGAGACGGGAATACATCGGAGAAGAGAGGAATCAACCGAGATGTGGAGGTCTGGGGATGTGGAGGTCCGCAACTGAGCAGGAACAGGAAGGAGAGGAATTGATCTCCACGTTGAAGCTGTGTTCTTGGACTGTAGGACCGAATTAACCGTGCGCCTTCTCCGTAAGGCCGCCGATGAAAACCGGTTTGGGTTCCTGGCCAGGTTTCTCCGAGACAGACATCTGAATCGTACGATCGTGACGATCGTGGCCATTTCGGTGTCGTTCAGGAACAAACTCAGATCTCAGCTTTGATCGTCACGAATTCACGATACATAGTCGGCAGCCCTGAAGTCGAAAAGTCGATCTTATGTTGTCGGTCAACCAGCGGACAAGCTTTGTGGCTGACCAGCCGAAGTAGTGGACTTTACCAAAGACGCCGGTAGCCATATCATTATTGTCTTAATCCAAGAACATACGACCAGATCGAGCCATCACGCCAGCCAAGAACCGCATCGGACATACACCGTACTCCAAGAAAACCGCGCGAGGCGACTCTTCAGCGAGGCAGCAACAGCTTGGCATCGTCTACTGCAACATGACGTTGGCCACGCTTTTCCCCCTCATTTCGGCTCCGCATTTTGACGCGCACGGCAAAACCCCGGCGGAACTGTCAGTCCGCGTGGTGAATGGTTATTAATATGAAGGATTAAGTCCTGAAGGACTAATATTCAGACCATAATATTAGACCAGACTATCGTAGAACAGGGAATTGAACGGACGATCGCCGATGACCAACCAATGTTATTTCTGGCCGCGAGACAAGCGATGTGAACCGGCCGCAGCTAACTCGAATGGTCGGGGGCCGAGGACAGGAATCAATAGTTCATGTGGGATGGCGATCTTGATTATTGTTGCGCAGTAGTGAGGACGGTAATGGTCGAAAGGACAAGGGAGATAGAATATCCCGCATGGTGACGATGCAGGAGTAGGAGAGATGCTTACTCATCTGTGCATCTGTGCATCGACTAATGCACACGTTTATTCACTACATTGTAGAAGCTCTGCAGGGACCGCTTGCACCGCGATGGTCAAATCAATGCTGACAGGAGTGTAATTTCAGTCAATACTAAATTGATTGTTTGATTTATGTATGAACAAGTGAGGATCTACAACGTGCCTATCTAAAGGTAAGCAAATGGCGAAATGCTTGGCTTCTTGCCTTAGGCATCCAAACGCTACGTACCTACGAACTGCTCTACAAATACGAGATTAGGAGAACCCATGTTACATTTTATATGGATTATTTAGATAGGAAGATGAATATAGAGTGTGATGTTGAGATAATTGAGGTTATGAAACCCTTCTCTACCTAGTGAGAAAATCATCACCATGTTCCGCCTGTTTCAAAATATATCGCGAAACGCACATTGAAAGTGTGTCTAAAAACCAACAATCAAATTTATACTAAACCCTGACAAAATTATTGATACACACTTTTCTCATCCGGCATCTCAACCTCCCCTGCCGAAAAAGTACAATGCCCCAAGTTCCCCTCCAAGCGCACAGCGCCCCATTTGACCGGCAACATAGCCACATCCTCCCCGTTGAACTGGATCTCGGCAATCCCGTCACCCCCCAGATAATTCGGATCGAAATAAGGATGACAAGCCGCGGCTATAGCAAGACTACAACTCCCCGCGATCGGCATGCCAGATGCGAAGCGCTGAGAAGCGAGACCGCAGACGCTGAGAGCGATGAACGCGGCGACGGCGACGGCGCTAACGATTGCGATAGGCGAGAAGCCGCAGGTGATCAGGTCTCCGGAGGTGTCTCGCGCGTGGTCGGCGGTGTAGGCTTCGACGGAGACAATGAAGAGGCTTTGCGAGATGAGCCAGTGCAGGACGGCGGAGGCAAGAAGGAATGGTACACCATAATAGACAGGAAGAGAGAGGAAGTACGACTGGCGTTGCGAGACCTGAGGCGAGACGGAGACGCGGAGTCCACTGCGGCGTACGGCGAAGCGGCTCCATTCAGCGGCGAGGGTCATGGCGGAGAGGAGCGAGTTGGTGGAGAAGTAGAGCATAGCGAAGATGATCTGGGCGGCGTTGGCGGCGAGGATGTTGATGCCGATCGTGGTGGGCCAGTAGTCGCCTTTGATGAGGGTCTGGGCGGTTGCTTCTCCGATGGAGACAGTCCAGACGCCGGAGCTGTTGTTCATCTCACTGAGACCGTAGGCTAGGAGGCCGAGACAGAGGGCGATAGCGATGAGCCAGCTGTAGGTGTTAGCAGGGTAGGCATTGGGGGCTAGAGGACATACATGATCACGACGAATCCCCATTTGGCGAACGAGGCGGCGGAGATCCATCGTTTGCTCTTCCTTTCGAACATCACCGGTTTGTCAAGAGCTCGATAGACAGGCAGGCCAGAGTTCAGCTCGCCAACGATGGCCCGGCTGTGGAAGCACTTATTCTGGGTGGACGTCTCGGGCTGGCTGAGGAACGACGCGATGGAGTCGCCGACGGTCAGCAAGGGAGATTCTTTCGTGCCGAGTGAGATATAGCATAGTATCACAGCATTAAACAGGTTAAGCATGATAATGATGAGCGTCATTGGGAGAGAATACTCCAGCTTGCACTGCTGAGGTAACTTCTCCGCCAAACAGTAGTTCACTTTGTACTCGCGGGCAGTAGATTGGACAGTCCAGCTGTCGTCGTCGATTTGATTATGAATGTCCGGCAAATACGCATCACAGTCCTTATCTGCGTCACCAGGACACAGCCACCGATAGGGATCAGCGCCAGGCTGGGCCAGTAGGAGGTATTGCATTGGACTGAACACGCTCTGCGAGTGAAAGAACTCGAAGTTGGGCTCTTCCACGTCGTCCGTGGCGATTAATAGATTACCGTATGTCGCTTGAAAGGTCGTCGCATAGGAATCCACACATTGGGAAGCATCCAAGCGCTCCAGAGATCCATTCCGCGCCTGCTCATACAGACCCTTGAACGACGGTCGGTACCCCCCGCCGATATCGCTGATCTGCGAAGAGTTCAGGTCACTCTGCCCGAGGACCGACCCCTTTCCGGAAAAGACATTGTAAGCGTGAGCGGATTGCGTGGCAAAAATGGTGCCATTATAGCTGTGACTACTGAGCAGAGGTCGGACGAAGTAATAGGAATGCTTACAAGAGATGGAACGGAAGCGCCGTGAAGGCCAGAGCGATCCATAACAGACAGCGCTGGACGGAGACATGCGCCAGATTGCGAATACTCTGCACGCCAATGTCCAGCCAGCGGCCATTGCGGTGTGCTCGATCTACGTCGCATCTCGTAGGGGCAGACAGGCATTGCTGCGAGGTCAGCACACGTTCCAAAGGTCAACAGTGGCATACATACCATGCCATAATTGCTGGCGCCCAGGATAACCGTGGCCAGCACGTTGATGAGAAAATGAATGCCGACGTTAAACCTCTGCACCTTCTCGCAATTCCCCTCATACAAGACCCCACGACTCCCCTGAACCTGGTTCTTCGCAGCGGCCCAAATCAAAAAGCCCAAGTTCAAGAAGAGAACCACCAAACTGACCAAGAACGACAGAAACACGACCAACCGCCAACTCCCCGCCCAGACTCGCAGCTGACTTTGCCGCCAGCCGGACCTATCCTCGAAGGTCAGGTTCTCGGCGCTTCCATGACGGTCGGATATGCGGAGGAGTTCAGTTTCCTGATGAACGAGGCCTTTGTGCATGGTCGGAGGGCGGACGAGTCCGAGGGCGAACGCGAACGGATCGTGAGAATTCCATCTAGCGAGATGGGGGTTTTATTAGAAGTCGATGCAGGGATTGGATTGCAGAAGAGGCAGAATGGGGCTGAGAAGATTAGCTGCAGGTTGAAACACCCAACGAGTGAGGGTGATCATGATTGGTATGCTGCATTTGGCCCGCGCCTAGGTAGTCGCTGGGGCATTCATCTTGATTTCAAAGTTGTTCACAAGCCGTGAAAAAGAGACAGATGTAGGGCAAAAAGGTGAACTAGGTCTCAATGCAAGTTAGAACAGAGCATTCAGTGCATAAATCACAACCTTGTTCTTTTCGTCTTATACTTCTACAGTCTTCCCTGAGATATTGCCAATTGACAGTTCGCGCCCTCATTTGGCCCCTCCAACAACTCCACCATCTTGGCATGCAGAAAGCTACTCGATCGCGATAAATATAGCGCGACACAGCCAGCGCCGCTCGAACCTGAAACAACCCCAGATCCTGCGAATCTCAGGACTTACCAGAGGGGGAAGGGTTCGTGACCATGTCGAGCCTATACTCGAAGAGGATGTGAATCTTCATTTCGCCCGATAGACCATTGACCAAGCCGGTTAGTCTGTGGGTTTTGGCCCCAAATGCAGTCGCTGGTTGGGGGTTTGCATTTTACGATCTGCATGGATTGTAGGGTCGGTTCGGATATGCTAGTCCTGGTGAGGCAGTTGTTCATATGAAGTGCTGGATTGTACTGTATAATTTGTGAATGTGTAAGGGAAGAAGATCTACAGATTTCTTTTCGTTTTCTAAACAGAGTTTCTTCCCGAGTTTGTACCGGATAAAGGAACCATCTAGCTGGAAATGGTAAGTTGTTCCATGGTCCTCTTCGCTCTGGCTCGTGATGTTCATCGTCGATGATGAGGTATGATGCTGTTCTTGCCACCCCTTAGTTACGTCATTGAGTGTATATAACACCCATACCCATACCCCATACCCCGACTTTCTGCTACATAGATCACTTGAAACTGCACAAAAGTTACTTCCTACCTCCTGGCCACCAAAGCAATTCAATCTAACTAAATCAAACCAAACAAGAACTCAACCGAATACATCAAAATGCCCACTCAAACCCGCCAAACCGACCTCCTCAACAACCCCCCTACCTCTAAGGCGGATGCCCAAAGATCCTCCTCCTCGGATCCCTCTGACCAAGAAACAACTCTTACTCCTACCCGTGATGCCTCTAACTCCGGACCCGAGCATCCCAGCAAAGTCACCGGCCAGTATCATTCGGTGAAAGGCAGCATAGTCGAAAGTATTGGGAACCTCACGGGCTCTGAGGCATGGAGGGAGTCAGGGAGACAGGAGCATGCACAGGGAGAGAGGGAGGTACAGGATGCGGACCAGTTGTTTCCTATTGAATAGTCATTTTCCCTCTACTCTTTCTTTGGGGATTAGGATTCGTGTATAGCCCATGCCACGACCTGGCGGGCTAAATTCTGAGGAGAAATACGGAGTTTGATAAGATATGATACTGTATGATATTGAATGGTTGATTTGGTTTTGTTTATCCGACCGGATGGTTCTGCTATAACACCTTGGAAGAGGATGAAAAGACTTCTGTTGTGAATTACTCAATTTCTCTATTCGCAATGCGATCGTGTCACTATGGTAGGAAGAGCGATTAAAATTATGAAGTATAGCACCTCCCTTGCGAACCAACCGTCCTTGAGTTGCGATTTGTACTGAAATGCGACCGATAAACTACAAGAAAAGAATCAAATAAGGTCAACCCCACGGAAAGCGGGATACCAACCTCTCTAGTTACCCACCTGAACTCTGCCAGAATGCATGCCATTAGCAGAACTGATATACCTACCTACCTCTGGCGAGCACCTCATTGACGTCATCGCTCTAGAGATATTCAAACGTACGGAGAGAACCCTGATAGAAGTGCAACCAGCAGAAGACACCTGCAAGTAACTAATCGGGTACAGTACATTCCAACCAAACATCCCCTTCACCACATTCCTATCAACTAATCAATCAATCAGCCCCCGCCATCGTCCATAAACCAAGTAAGAAGCAAGCCAGCGACCGACCAGGATGCAGTAGCGAGTGATTGGATCCCGTGGTGTGGATTGATGCCCAAGGCGCGATGCTGCCCTCGAGGCTATTGGAGGCTAAATAAAGTAGAATACAAGTATCGGATGGACGGAAGTCAGAAGAATGCTACATCACGTTACATTAGGGTTGAGATGTGACGCAGGACTATTCATCAACTAGGTGTCACCGGTGAATAGTGACAGGCAAGTACGTTAGGTTGACAGTTCAGATAAAATGACATATAGATGTGGCGCGGAAGTTACCCGGTGAGAGAATATACATGGTGATCGAAAAATGACATGGAAGAAATGTGGCTGCGCGGATGAATCTATGCATAATTCAGGCGCATCGGGTGGATATGGATACGTAGGTAGGTGCCGGCAGACATTCCGGACAGAAAAGGGAGGGAAAACGAATATAAAATGAAAGTATAGAAACTTGAAACACGCCAAAAATACAAAAGAAGGTTGTGATATCACAACGACGCATCGGCAGATGTCTTAGCCACATTCGATCTAGAATCATATCTATCCACAAAACGGAAGGGAAAATGTCCACGAAGAGAAGAGAGGAGAAGAGAGCACAAAAAAAAGAAAGCTCCACGAAGAAAACATACGATCCACTTGGGTAATTGACGCTACTAAATGACAGCGCATAAAAGTCCAACCAGCCAACCTACACCGTAAACAAACCAATTCAGATCCGATCCTGAAGCTCCGTCGCAGAACGAAAATCGCAGAGCAGAGAAATCAAAAAGAAAAACGCCAAGCCCCGATCCGACCATGCAATATGAAGATGTTCCGTCAGATGTTCTTAATGTTCGTTGTCGATCATAAGTGACCGGCTATCGAGAGCCTTTCGGATCCGCGCCTTTCGCCTGTTCCTTTTCTGCGCGAGTTAGCATGGTCCTTGACTCGGGAAGAAAGGTAATACCTCTGGCTTGCTTGATTTGTCGGATGGTATCATTATGTATTTTCGTCCATTGTGCTTGGTATTGCGCAAGGTCGGGCTGAGTAGAGTCTTTGGCCTGGGCGGAGGACTTGTCCATGATGAGGCTGACAGGCAAACAGATGATTTATGAGAGGAGGTACAGTAGGGATGTCTTGGCTGTGGCTGATGCTCAATTCAGGCTGAATGCTCAGGGAGTAAACAAAGCAGCGAAAATGAAGACAGGAAAGCAACGACTATTTATCCTCACGTCGCAACTCCTCATCCACCTCAAACCGGGCAGCCATGTGGTCCTGTCAGAATTTTCTCTACCGGATTGGACCGTTCCAATCCTCAGTCTTAATTTCGACTTCGAATTATCGAAATGAAGAAAGAAATTCAATCCCGTGCCTACTGTGTATGTCCACAAGGATCATCGAAACTTCCCTTGCATTCGGGAAGCCAGGACGAGCGAGGAGTGGAACGGCCGCCACTCATCCAACCCCCCGATTGGCCGGGGAAGGACAATTCCGAGGACGAAGACAAACGCAGGGCCGAAAATAACACGTAGTTCGCAGGATTAGGTTGTGTGACGGTCTGTCGGGATGCCAGGTCCTGCGGCCATTGGTCGCGTAATGCTCCGATCGTTAACGCGGATGCAGTTCCGGTCGATAGTGGGATCCGGGTATTGGGCACCGATCGGTATCCTTGAATTCCTCTGTCGACGGCCACAGGAGTGGTGGATTGGTGGTGGAGTGGTGGATATCTATGGATGCGGTCCTGTATGGTTGATCTGATCTGTGGATTGGGTGGGGACTGGAGACCTGCTTTCGTATTGATAACATCTGATGGATATACGGAGTACAAGCTCTATATATAGGATGTCTGAAACATTGCACCAGCAATCATTCTGGTTTTTTAGGCTGTGCCTACCTCCCTAGACATGGCTACCTTGGCGTGAAACTAACCCTGTAAGCCAGGTAACCACACCGCGACAATTCTCTACAAGAAATTCCAATTCCACCCGAAACAAGACATAATAATAATCAACTAATTCACCGCCACTACGCCCTCCGTCCTCACCGCCATCCGATCAAGCAAATGGTCGGCGCGCGGATCCGCGGCGCTTCTTCCGCCGGCGGTTTGGCCAAAAATCCCGACTTTTGTTCTTATCCCTGCCGTCCACACAGCTGGTCTGTCGTGCAACCCGTGCTGTCAACATCCGGTCCCTGCCAACTTGAATGAAGGATCAGGGGGTGTGCTTTTTGTTTTGTTTTTCATGGTTTGTTTCTCTCGTAGGTACTGTACACATGACCGTCTGACTCGAGCTGACTGGACGGAGGGCTGACGGCTACGTCATCGGAGGGTTCTGGCGCTACCGGCGGATGAGCAAACATCAACGGTCAACCAGGATACCTTGGTGTAGTGCCCATGATGCCATGACGATGATAATAACACCGACTGATCTGATTCGCGCATTGCGACTGAACCCGAGGAATATCCGATTGATGGCGTGTGCGCTCCTCGACTCTCCGCCGGGAGTACTTCCCCGTGTCTAGTGTATCTAGTTAGCGACTACTAGTCTACCTACACCTGACGAAGGATGGAGGGGCAAAGGAGGGGCAATCCTAGGAGGGGCATTACTGCAGACAATCCCCTCGGTCAGTCTTCATGTACAATGGTGTCATACCGCTGCCCAAGTACAGAGCCTGCACTCCAACGACTTCATCCAGATGACCTGCATCAGCCAAGACGCGAAACAAGCGAATATCCCATGCTCCGCGCAATGCGCCGGCCACCCGGCAGATTATTTCCCTGTCCTCCGATTCGACCGGTCGATGGATTGCCACTCGACCGGGCCAGTGCTAGCATCCCTGCCGATATTTACGGATGACAGGCACCGTGACAAGCCGCAGGGCCGGAGGGTCAGGTAGCATTGCCGAGGGGTCAGAATATACTAGGATGCAGATGTGACAGGCAGGCTTGCATGGACAGGGGGGTTTGAGATGTGGCGGTGAGATATCTATCAGATGGCGTAACATGAGATTTCAAGGTATTGATGGTGATGTGGGAATGGACAGGGGTTGCTATTAGTTGCTTCCCCGCCATGACTCGTGACCAGATCGTGGGATATACTACCCCGAAGTAAACAATTCATGGAAGTGAACACATCATCGCCAGGAACGACCAAGGATAAAGCGATTCACGGCTTCCAAAAATTGCCGCTCTTGAAAGGGGAGTTAGGACCACCATAGACCAATCTAATCTAAGCCTGTTTGAACCTATTCGGAGGAATTGTCATATCCTTCCTTCCACAGCTATCGGAAATGGTCCGCTCATTTCCACAGTGTCGCGATGGACGTAAATCATGTAGAACAAAACCATGGCCAGTAACTTGAAAACTGAAGAGACAGAATATATGCAATGCGAGTTTATATAAGACAAACCTCTCTGGTTGAACACAGAGTCGTTTGCTCTCCTAGAAACCATAGGCCAATCATCTCCGAACATACTAGAAGAACATTATGCCCTAAGATCTGCTATATTTGTTAAAGCAGCGATGGAAGTGGAATGAAATAAACCATTGTCAAATAGCCAACAATGCCAATGTTAGAAGAGGGTGATCACGAGAATGAAGTGGACCCAAGTTAACCCACTCTCATTTGCGACCATCCTACTGCCCCCTTTGCTCTGCTCTCCTCATGATGTTGCTTTTATATAGACATTTAACATAGGAAGGTCTTCCTTATAACAAAGAAACCAGGTTCTTCACCTACATATACGTCAAAGAGATAGAGTCTGGCCACTGGAATCGTGCGATATTCGTGCGCGGTTGAGGACTGTGTACCATCGGTTTGCAGATCAATTGATAAAATGTGGTAGCTATATTTGTATGTGCAATTCCCGGAAGAAAGGTACTCCAAACAGAAGCATGGGAACGTTCTTAGAATCCCTCCAGCTCATAACTAGCATACATAAACGGCCCAGCCCCTTTGATATCATTCTGCTGGATAGGAACAGAGACATAATACTGCGATCGTCAGCCAACACTCCAATAAAGGCGTGGAAAAAAACTCACCTCAAAAGACCCATTACTACTCAAACTGCCCACCTCCACGGTGCCCTCCCAATTCAACGTCCCATTCTTATTCACATCCACAAACCCATCAACCAACCCCTGATACCCCTTCTCCGCCGCCTTCCCATAATCCTTCTTCTTCAAATACCCCTTCCGAATCCCCTTCAGGAACCCATACGTAAACATCGCGCTCCCACTACTCTCGATATAATTCCTCGGGTCCTCGGGGTACGGCTCGTCCATGATAAGCCACCATCCGCCGGAAGACGGGTCTTGGGTTTTCTTGAGCGCAGAAGCGAGGGATTGGAAGCGGCGGAGGTTCTTTTTCCAGCCCTTGTGGCTCCGGGGGAAGATGTCGAGGATGTCCACGAGGGACATGAAGTACCATCCTAGGGCGCGGTTCCAGACGTGGGGGGCGGAGCCGGTGACGGGGTCTTTGGTTTGGGTCGTAGAGGTTAGTATTGGGAGTAGGGTTTGTATCCTGGTTCCCTGGGTATAGGGACGGGAAGGAGAGAAGAAAGCATCGGCAAGGAGGCAAGCGGAAGGAAATCAGGGAAAAGAGAGAAGGAATGGACAATAAAGCCAGAAGAGGCAAGGAAAGGAAAAGAGAACATACCAGCCCAAACAGCCTGTTTAGAATGATCATACCCATGCGCCAACAACCCCGACTCCTCAATCAACGTATGTTCCTCGATCAAATCAAACTGCAACAGAATATCATCCCAAGCCGTCTTGTTCTTCGAATCAAACCACGCAGTCCACTGCGCATAAAAGTTCGTCGACATATAAATCCCATCCAACCACATCTGATTCGGATACGTCGGCATGCGATGCCACAACCCACCCCCGGCATTTCTCGGCGTAACATCAATCTGCCTCCGCAGGGTATCAGCCGCGATCTTATACCGCTCGTTACCGGTCCTCGCCCAGAGATTGAGCAAGTTCGTCCCGATGCGGAGGTCATCGAGGGAGGTTTTCTTGGTGAGGTTGTAATCAACTAACTCCCCTTCAGAGGAGATGACGGCGTCAATTTGCGAGGTGATGTAGTTGAGCAAGGTCTCGTCTTGGGTTTTATTGTAGGCGAGTTCAATGCCGCGGTAGAGGACCCCGTTGGCGTAGTTACGCGACTGGGTCACGGATTTGGAGAGGTAGGATGTGGCCATCCATTCTGTGTAGTTGTTGGCTGCGTGGGTAGTAGCAGCTAGGCCCAGGCTGGCCAGGAGGATAGTGGAGAGGAGCATGCTGAGATACAAACCCTCTCTTCTGTAGAACTAGAGTGGCAATTGCAATTGTAAATTTCGTGGTTTCATGCAGAGTATGGCCTCCGCAATATATACTCCAGCTCGGGTAGAATAACCTCAGGAGGTGCCAAGACACGGGAAAATAAGAAAGCTCCCCCTCACGGAGGAATTAGACCACGAATCATTCTTCCAGCTTGGCTGGCACTGAATGGTGGAATCGTCTGTCTTATCCGGCGGATAAGTAGTTAGGGTGGCTGTGCTCATGGCATGGTAGATTGGGTTTCTTGACATTAGATTGAGGAGAATTGTTCAGGTCTACACCGGGGTAGTGAGCAGAATAGAGTGACTAGTATTACTACGGTACACGTATGGATAAGCTAGATACGACAATCTAGAAGAGAGAGTTTTGCTGATAGATAATCACAGCACATCATCACACCGAAACGAACACTAACGCACAGCAACCTGCGTTCCATTCCTCGAACACAGGGTTAATGTCAAGCTTTCCTCCCACGGGCGTGGATCGCGACTCTCCAGCACGGAAAACCGCTGCGCCAAGCGAACCGTCACGTATCCGGCCTCTGTCAGCGCGTACTGCTGGCCCACGCAGATCCGAGGGCCCCCGTTGAACGGCAGATACTCCCATCCCGGACGCAGCGTGGCCCATCGCTCGGGTCGGAACTCCTCCGCGTCAGGGCCGTAGAAATCCTCCCGCCGATGCATTGAGTAGGTGCTATAGCCGACGACCGTCCCCTTCGCTACAAATACCGGAGACTGGCCGTTGGGACCGCCGCCGACGGGCAGCACAGTGTCGGTCATGGCGACGCGGCTGTTCGCGGGGACGACGGGGTGCAGGCGGAGGGCTATGACGTCAGTGATAAGAATCGACAGGGATTGGGGAACGTACATTCGTTCATGCAGTACTTGAGGTAAGTCAGATTGCGTAGTTGCGCATACGTCGGCACGCGACCGTCCAACGAGGCGACCTCCTCCTGCAGTTTCGCCCACACGTGCGGATGCTTCGCCAGCATGAAGAACATATTACTCAGTAACGAAGCGGTAGTGTCACGTCCCGCCAGCAGGACATTCATCAGCTCATCGCGGATACGCTTCCGGTCGCCCGTCTGCTGCGCCAGGCCCTGCAGGAAGAGATACTTCTTTTTGTTATCGGCGTTAGCGTCGGTGTCGGCACCGTCCTTTTCCTCGTCGTAGTGCGCGCGGTACCGCAGCGCCTTGTCGACAAACTGCTCGACCAGCTCGTGGCAGACGCGATTGCAGCGCTCGGCGCGGCGGTCAGGGAACAGCTTGCTCAGACGGCCGATTCGAGAGTTATGTGCGATGGCGTCCTGCGCGTAGTTGAAGGAAGCGGCGAAGTCACGTTCATTGTCTTCTTCCGGCACGGGCGAGCGACGCTTCTTGAGACTGTGCACGCTGTGGCCGAACAGAAATTCAGTCGCCGAGTCGATAGTGTAACAGAAGAACAGCTCCTGGAGGTCGAATGTACGTCCGTCCGTCGGGATCAACGCCAACAGGTCGGCCATCAGCTCCTCGAAGATCTCCAGATGCGCCACCTGGTCCTTGCTGAAGTTGGGCCGGATCATGGCGCGCGACTGGGCCCAGTGTTCGCCGTCGGTGGTGAAGATGCCATGGCCAAGCAGAGGCCCGAAGGCGTGGATGCGATCGCCCAGTCCGAAATCCTTGAACTTGAGGGAGAGGAGGGTCTTGACGTTCAGCGGGTCGCGCGTGGCGATGATGCGGGTGCCGAAGCGTCTGGCCTGGAAGGTATTGCCGTGATTGCGGAAGTTGGTCAACCCGCGTTCGAGGAACTGGTGTTCTTTGGCGGACTTGACGCTGTTGTAGACGTTGTCAATGCCGAAGATGGGGTCCTTCATGTACAGGGACGGCGGGGATTCGCAGTGATTCTCCCGGGCGATGCGGTAGTGAGTCCATTTGCGCTGCAGGAGGGTGAGGATGTACAAGGCCAGACAGACGGCGCTGGCCAGGACCAAGATAGACTTATGTGGAGGGTCCATGATGCAGACAGGGGTGTTGATCTTGAACTGCAGCACACGAAACCAGGGGGGAGAAGTGGATAGAAATAGGCGACATGATAGACCGCGGGTGGCTGCCCGGAGATCTTCGGCAGTGGGGATTCACTGCGGAGAGACAAGCAGAGTCGGTGAATATCGAGGATCACTTCAAACTTCTGAGGCGCACATCCTCGGCGAGAAGGTTGGCCCGTGGAGAGTCCGACGCGGGAGTTCGTATCCCTTGTGACCGTCATGACTGCATCGGGCTGGATGCCATTGCTCCATCCGGCTGATGACTCAGCAGTCGGCCTGCCTCGGCCTCGGCAGTGAGCCAATGAGAACTTGGTGGGTCCCGCGGACTGCTGAGTCACCCTCAAGGCGTCACGCTGATTGGGTGATGACGACGGTGGCCGACGGCGGACCATCGCAAGCTTCGCCGGATGCGGTTAGCGCGGGATACGCACAGCAGGGTGAATACTCAATTTCCTCAATCGGATTACAATAACAAGTTCAAGTGCATTCATGGCTGGCCGATTTGAAATCGCCCGGGACTGATTACGGTCGGTTGACAATCAGAACAAATCAAGTTTCCTACATAAATCCGGCAGCCCGAACATCCGTCTGCATAACTTCTCTCGCACCCGACATCCGTGCTCGCCCTTGTTCATTTCTTTCCAGCCGGAGTATAAGTAGATCCTCCATTGCCGTTGTTGTAGTAGGTGCTGCCGTTGGGGTTGGAGTAGTAGTAGGAGCCGTTGCTGCTAGGGTTAGCTCATACTTTCACATTGACAGCACGGAGACTACCTGTTCGAGTAGTGGTAGCTGTTGGAGTTGGACGCGCTGGAACCGTAGTCCCGGGAGCAGTAGTGGTTGCCCTTGCTGGTTAGCATGCCGATAACAAAGGGAGATCCTGCTTACCTGGCTGTTGGTGCCGGAGCTGGTGTAGGAGTATCCTTTGCCGGAGCTGGACATGATGATGATATGCAGTGTCTGGTTGAGATAGATAGACTGAGGTCAGAAGAGAAGGGATGGAGGGACGGGACAAGGTAAATAAAGAAATGGAGGGGTAGAGCGGGTTCGCCCGGTTTGCATACTCAGAAGCGGGAGGACGCGGCAGAAGGTGACCTGTCAATCGTTATTCACTCTACGCATCCGACTCATTCCATGGTACAGTGCCCAGGAATGCTAAGGAGACATGATGACCCACGAAATTTAGGTACTTACTTCTTGCTCTTGCCCGGAGATGTAAAGCCAGATTTGTCGTAAGAGATGCTGCGGTTGGCGTTGGCGTTGGAGCTGGAGTTGGAGTTGTTCCTGCAATAGTGAGTAAGTTCGAATTCCAATGCTGTGGACAATGCAACTAACCGACTAGAACTATGATTACTGGAGGGGTTAGAGTCGTGAATGCAGTAGTCACGGGAACAATGCTCGCCCTGGTGGTTTGTCAATGGGGCCAGGAGTCAGCATTTGAAATGGTGCAACATACACGATCGCTCGTCCTGGAGATCGAGGGTGCATTCTTTGCCAGAGCTAGACATTGCAATTCGGAAGTGAATATTGGGGCTGAAGGGCGTCTGCATATGAATCTCGATGAAGGGTAATGCGAATGTAATCGGAGATCCAGTACCTCTATCAAACTTAAGGGAATATTTATCTGCCATACTTTATCACAGATTAAAGGCAAAGCCCGTCTGTTCGCTGGTAACTGAGAGGTTCACCTAATCGGGTGGTTCCATTTGCTTACTATTCATGGGATGCACCGCACGATATGGCAATAGGACTGTGTTGCATGGTATCCAAACTCTTAACACACGCATTCTTGCAGGCTAAGTCAGGGAGAGAGAGGTATAGGAACCCTTCTACTTTGATCGCTCGTCATCCATTATTAAGTACTCCAGAGTATGGGAAATCAATTGACATGCCAATTATCATTAACCATTGACTTGAGCTAATCTACTAAACCGTTCCTTCACGTCCATGCGTCCGATCAAATTTCGAGATCAGGCTCACGGGTAGGATTGTGGTCTGCTACACCAAGACCGCAAGACCCTGCCTTCACTTCTCCTTGGCTCCAGGAGGAGTGTACCACGCATCACCCTTGCCATTGTTGTAATAGGTGCTGCCGTCGGGGTTGGAATAGTAATAGGAGCCGTCACTAGATCTGTTACCGAGTGGTTCTCAGCTGGGAGGGGAGAGAATATAGGTGAAGTCTTTGCCAGAGCTAGACGTGATGAATGATGAATTGTTTAATTGGGATTGCTGAGGTCAGTGTCTACAGCAAGCTGATTCGTTGAACAGAAGGCTAATGCACTGATCTGAAGGCGCAGGAGGAAGGCATAGAGAGAAGTAATAATGACCAGGCACCCGGAGGTTTACTCCGTCATATCTCGTGACTACCGAAAAGGGCAAGCGTGGTCTGAGGTCGCTTGTCCTTGCAGGAATGGCCCATTATGGGTTCGAATTCAGTTCTTCTTCGCTTCACGATGAATCCTCATATACAAAACCCTTCCACATCAACCCATATATCGAGATATCCATCAGCCTTTCAGTCGCATCCGCCCCTAAAACATCCGTATCTCCAGTTCAATCATGTACTCCGATCCAATGACCCGTCAAGTCTCCCTGACCATTTAAAGGTACTTCACGGTAACCTCACCTCCAGACACAGAAGAAGAAGTCAAGACCTCGCCATTCTGTCTGATATCAATCAGAGTCGCACCGGACGGCCCAACAGTCGACCCGCCAGTCGTGGCCCCCGCACCAGTGAAGGTAACCGTTCCAAAGTCCGCAAAATTGACCAGGGAGCCACTAGACTCAAAGTCCTCGACAATCCACTCCGCATTAGTCTCACACAGATCACCATCCACGCCACCACTGAACCGATGAGTGACCTTCTGGCCAGTCGAGACATTCTCAACCGTCGCGGTACCAGCCGTCTTGCTGCTCGCATCCACTGTAACCTTGATCTTATCCCCGACCGAGATATCAAAGTCATCAAAGTTATACGCGTAGTCGGGGTACCACTCATACCACGCATCGAACGAGACGGAGCCGCCCTGCGCACAGAAGTCGATACCAGTCTGAAGAATGGCACTGGTACAGGTATCCCCATCGATACCGACCCATGCGGAGGCGCAGTACTCTCCGCGAGAGGAGCTACCAGTCGGCACGGACGGGTTGGGGACCGTGAATTCGCCGGTGACAGAGGTGTAGCCGGATCCGATGAGCACGGCACCGGCCCAGTTGGAGCTGTACTGCTCCTGGGTGGTCTTGTTGAGCTGCAGGATCTCCTGGGTATCCGGGACCAGGGGAGGGTTGCTCTTGCGGTTGGCGTTGCGCGCCTGGATGCGGGCCTCGTTGCGAGCGCGACGCTTCTCGGTCAGAGGGGCGGCCACGGCGGTGCCGGCGAGAAGGGTAGAGCAGAGGATGGTAGAGATCTTCATGATGAAGGATTGAGGATTTGAAAACTGAGCCTGAGATGGAAGATGAGGAGTGAGTTCGCTTGATGATTGAGTCGATTCAGCAGGAAACGGCAACCCATTTATACCTCGCTGGACGGTATCCCCATCGAACTCCTATCCCTGACACTGATATCGAGCGATGATACCATTCTGCGAGTTTCGACGAACATGCGCCGTCCATGGCGACTAGCATGAGTTGGGAGAGTTGACCGACAGCTCCGTTCAAACTATAGTATAGACCTGCGCTCAGACATCGGGATTCCGCAGCACCGGAAGGATTGATTGGCGCGCGAAAGGGCGAAACCCAACTGTCTGCAGAAAGCACACTAGTCAAGCCACTCAGCACAGTCCATTATCTCTCTAGTCAAGCAATTGCCAAGCTAACCGCAATGCAGACTACGGCGCATGGCCCGAGGCTAGCGTGGTCGGCGATATCTCATTTTCCCGGGCGGAGTCCGACGGTCTGAATATATCATGTTCTCCTTATCGATGAGATAGCACAGAGTACCAATGGAGGATGAATTTCTGTTGGTCCGGCACCGGTCCATCGCAGACACTAACGCTAAGACAAGCCTTCAGGCGAATAACAAGCATTTCGTAATACACGAATGCGGGGGTTGCAATATATCCAGCAGTTTTGTGGCGTTATAATGTAACGCTGCGTGTGATTCATTTATTAATTCTGCAGATACTCGGATACCGGGTCATTCCCAATGACTCGTGCCTGAATATGCCAGGATAACTTGTTCCATATCAGTTATGCAAGAGTCAGGAGGTCCTCAACTAAACAGCTCTTTCATCCGAGTATCCGGCAGCGACTGCAAGGTGGTTGCTGCATTCGATTGATGCCATTTTCAGTGGAGCGACCGGAGAGGTCGTCGAAGAGGTATGCGAGTCATGGTTGACTATTTCCAGATAATCGTGCCCGCCGAAACTCCTACTCCTCTGAAACATACATACGTTCTAACACACCGTCTGAATTATTTCCACGACAGCACCAACTCTTTGGCGGCTTTCTTCACCCGGCTGATTTTCTCCCTTAACGACACCGAAAAACAAGCTGCCTTCACCGGATGTCGAAGCTTCTGACCAGGCGCGCCCCGAGAACAGAGAACCTCATTTTCGTCACTGCTTGTTCTCGTGAATACTATCTAAACGAGATTTCTATAGTCCGCAACAAGCAGTCCGAGACCATACCGAGTTGACGACGAGAATTGAATGTTGAAGTCGGTCTTCTTGTTCGAGGCCTCGGTCATTAATCATTATTTGACTGTGCCAAGTTATTACCATTGGCTATTCTACTTCTGGCAGTACCTGAGCAATAAGTTAGAGAGTAACCTACTAGGAAGTACAGGAAAGTGAAACTCTGTTTTTATCTAGCAGTCATATCTAACGACATCTTAAATGAATCCAGCACTTTTAATACCCTTATATTCGGCGACATCAAGTCCAGCCTACCATCACATACATCCCCAGCAAGAAATGAATACCAAAATTTACCCGCTGTAGCCCAGGGTAACCTGCAGAATAACCTGATCATCCCCAGAGATATTTCCACCAATACCACCAATATCCGTCTCCGCAGTGGTATACGCATTATCCACGGTTGCCGCATCAGCCGTGATACTGGAGCAAGTACCTCCATTCTTCTCACAGATCTGCATACCCTGGACCTCCAGACCGGCATTCTGCGCCGCAATCGCACTAACATCGAACCCGGACCAGCCGCCGTTGCCAGCGGAGCTGAAATCAAACTCACCCCACGTAGCAGCGTACCCGCCGCCGTTGTCCTTGGGGATACCACTGGAAGACGGGGCGGCAGCGAATCCACCGTTCGTGTCGTCCGCGAGAGCCACGTACTTGGTTTCACCGGCGGCGATGTCCAAGTTCAGGGCGGAGTAGCCGTACCACCCGTTCATGAGGCCGTCGGGACCATACTTGTTCCAGAAGACGACGGACCAGTCCTCGGAGGAAGGGCCGGTGATCTCGAGAACGTGCTTGTAGCTCGAGGCGGAGGAGGAGGAGACCTCGATGATGTTGCTGCCCCAGGGGTTGCCGACGTTGCCTTTGTAGGTGATGTCGGAGCCGGAGGAGGCGGTGTTGGAGCCGAAGCCGGCGGTGGAGTAGCCGTCGGAGCTGGTGGAGGAGGTAGAGGAGGGGGTGGAGGAGACGGCGGCGGTGGTGGACGAGGAGTAGTCCTGGCGTTTGTTGATGATGTTGGTGGGGTGGGCCAGGGTGGTGGCGGAGAGGGAGGCGAGGAGGAGAATGGGGTTGGTGAGATGCATTTTTGATGAACTTTTGGTGGAAGGAAGTGTGGTGTGTTGTGGAATGAGGTTGAAAGTAGAAAGAGAGAGTTGAATGTACTTCGCGTCAAGCGATACCTTATCAATCAAGATAAGTAAAGAAGAATAGAAAGAAGTTAATGAATGTGAATAGTTGGAGTATAGAACACACAACACAACAGAAAGAAGTCTGACACAATTGAATCAGGGTGGGAAACAAGTCGAGATGGACGGGGGATTAAGACCTCTATATACCCATCACCTCCTCCCCAAATCAACCAGCCAAGAACAAAAAACGCTCACTCGGTCGATTGCCTCACGCAAGCCCACGGTCTCGAACGCCATGGCAGAGCATATGGATTGGCGGACCCTGGTCCAGACTGGAGACGACGACACAGGCCAGGGAGACCTGCGTCAGCAACGGCCACGACATACAGTGGACTGCCGTCTGGTGCCGTGGAATGGACTGGAGTTTAGAAATAGAGTACAATGAGTGTCATCGACTGTTGTCAACAAGGCAAAGAACGGTGGACCGGCTCGGCAGTCCAGACTGGGCTGGTGTGTGGAATGGAGACAGAAGACAAGAGACGATTGGACTTGGACATCCAAAGCAAGCCGATTCGACCAGCCAGCCCACTTGCGACATTCTGGAACCAACGAGTGGACGGTTCCTGGATTTTAAGTTGAGATGCCATTGGGCAGAGTGGAGGATGAGAAGTCCGGGCGTCAGCGGCTGGTCTGAAGGCTACACTGTCAGGAGTCTCACTGTTGAGACCACCGGTTTTGAGTCTTTGATGTGCTACTTTGTATGGACGGTCTTGGTTAGGATTGACCTTGACAGAGCCGGAACCGGACCGATCAGACGGCCTGAATCAAATCTGAAACAGCTCAAGAGTGAGCAGGAGTTATGAGACTGAGAAATGGATGTTTGAGAACAGGGGACAGAAAATGCAGTGATCCTGCAAAGTCTGGACTCCTATAGACCAGCGGGTCTGATCAAAATCTGTGAGAATTGAGAATTGTTGTGTAAAAGATTGCTTTTCGACGCGAAAGTCTTGTGTGTGGAGAGGCTAAGACAGCTAGTCGTAGCTAGTCAGCTCAGTTACCCACTTGGCTTGGATACTAACTCCGCTGTGTTTACACTTGTGCTGTGTCTTCGTCAACCGACAGACTGTTGAAGTTCTTCACTCAGTCTGCGCAAAGTATATCCCCATCACCGAGACATCACCACCCAAGACAACTTGATCCCTAGAACAACCTACAAACCCCTGACAACCACCTACCCAAAATTCAAAACCACAAGAAAAGCACAAAAACACTCCTGAAAATCCCCTTGGCGACCCAAGGAACGGCGCCTCTCGCTCAGGGACAAAATCCAACAAATTTCTTGCCGAGCCCTGACTAAGCGTCACTCAACCAATGGCAAAACAATCCACATCACAATCTTCTGTGGATGCATTCGTAAGAGGACACCGACAAGCCTCCGTTCCATGGTTTAATGACTTGTGGACTGAAACAGAGACACAAAAGTACCTCGCTCATTGTCGCCGGTGTTGATCATCTGCCGCTTCGAGGAGGTCTGAGCCCTAGTGGGGTATTCTTGGGATCAGGAACACGTAGAAAGAAGACGACAAAGATTGGGACTAGAAGGAGAGAAGAATTCAAGAACATCCCCACTGTCTATTTTCAATCAATGATTGGGCGGTGATTGAGAAAATGTATTCGCAAGTACCTGGCCGCCCGTCGGAAGCCACCTCGTCAGCTCCCCACGACTCCGGCTGGTTCGCTCACCCACGACCAACTCTCGGCAAAATCCCGTTCACATGAAAGAAACGTGGTGTGCCAAAGAGGAAGGAAATCTCGTGGAAATTCCTTGGTGAGTCGTTGCCAATGTATCTGTTGGTTTAAGTTGTGGTTCGGAAGCCACAGGACCAGTGTGTGCTGGGTAGCTTTGAGGAAAACGTTGGCGATGGTTTTATGTTCCATAGCAGGCGCTGGATATCCTCGTCATGGATTCTGTGACGGTGGCGATGAATGTGCATCGAACGAGTTGATGATGATCACAGTGATGGAGACGGCGGGGTTAGAATTGACCGTGGCAGACAGAACTATAGAGCTAGTGACGATGGAAATTCCAGAAGGCATTCTATTTCACTCTCAATATCAAATCAACACTCCCCAAACACCTCACGGATCATACACCGGCCTCCCTCATCATACCAACTCAGCTAACAAACATTATTCCCACAAGACTGATCACAATGATACGTCCCCACCCAACTATCGTCCCCATAAACATCCAACCCCAGCAACCAGCCATTAAACACCTGATGCAAATAATCCAGATTCTGCGGGACACCATTACTCGTCCCCTCGTCGGAGCACGGATATCCCTCCGTCAACCCCTGGTCCCCATTCAACCCACTCCCCTGCACAAACCACCCATTATACTTCCCAAATGCCTGGATCGCGTTCCCGCCGGACTCTTCAATCTGGCTCGTCAGGTAATTTGCCCCAGCGTCGACGTTGTCCTGCACGTCGTCGGTACATTCGCCGTTGGGGTAATTCGCGCAATCAACCTGCATGAGACCAGGGGTGGGACCGCCGGCGTCGGCATTGCAGGATGATTCCTGCATGGCGAGGACAGCGAGGATGACCGGGTCGATGTTGTATTTCGCGGCGCTGGACTGGAAGTATCCGTCGTATTGGGCGCACGGGGCGCCGATGCCGTTGTAGAAGTCTGAGAGGCTGATGGTGTAGATATCGGAGAGGGAGAGGAAGGGTGGGGTCCAGCCGTCAGAGGTGATGCCGGTGTTGAGCCATTCTTGGGAGCTGCACATGGGATATTAGTGGATTAAATGATGTAGTGAGGTTTTATATGATAGACGATAGGGTGTATTGAGAGGAGGATGAGTGCATGTAAACATACCCATTTGGTCCGCCGTCAGCTGTAACCTCCTTGGTTGAACCCTCGGCTTTAGGGTTCGCGCCGACGCCAGGGTCGACAGACTGAGCGTGCACATGGGCAGCGAGGAGAGCAGCGAGAGAGAGAGTCTTGAAAGCCATGATGACAGAATCTTACTAGAGTACTAATCTGAAGAAGAATCATCATCTCTGGAAGTCAGGGGATTTATACCTCCCAGCGCATCATCTCCAGATCCTCCCGTCAACTTGACGATTTACCTATTCCGGTAACTGATATAATAACTAATCACGGAAGACTGTTCCTGCTGTAGTCAGGAACTCGATCCTTCTCTGCATCATCGCACCAGTCAAGACAGTCCCGGTTGATACGAACAGTCAGCCCTGACGGCTTGTTCTCACGCTAGTCGATCGCCTAGCTATATGGGGAAGACCGGTGCGAGTTAGCGTCGATGGACCGGTAAATACGAGGTGCAGCTCACCAGAGAATTGTGAGCCCCTTTTTATGTCGATCTGCAGGATCGCGAAAAGTCTGCATCTTGAGGAGTTCCCCGATGGGGTAGGTCGCAAGAAACTATTCCTTGATGTACTGCCATTTACTGTGTAAGAAGTGTCCCGCGGACATACACAAGAAAATTTGCTCATTAATCATCCTGTCCTGTACTTATGTCCCATCCATTAACCATAATCATTAAAGATAAACCCATGTCGTACTCCCTCCAACCATGACCCTACCATGAATCCAAGTCCAGTTCCAAGCAGAGACCAGACAAACCTTGGAAAGAAAGCTTCCTCCAACTAAGCTTCCTTCTTCCCCTTCCTCCCCTTCTCCGACCACGGGAAATGAAACACCGGAATAATAAAGAAACTATTACTATCGTCCGCAATACCCGCCAGCGCAATATACCACGCCAAGAACGCCGCCAGCAGCGCGAAGAACCCGCCGGATTTGATAATGGCAGCGTTCGGGACTTCCATTGCGTCGCGCCGCATATAACCGATGCCGAGCAGCAGGAACGCTAGATCGAGGGACAGGAAGAGCGAGAAGAATGTCACCGTTGACTTGACGGTGCAGGTCACGAGGAGGAAGGTGAATATGAACCAGCCCTGAGTTAATTGATGTTATCATCTGTTGGATGAGGGAGGAGTGGTGAAGACATACCATGAGGAATAGGCCCAGCGAATCATAAAACATTCCCATTGATCCATTGTCTGCTGCCTTTAGAGCAGCTTGAATGTTGAATCCGCCCGGAGTGAAGACGATAGCCAGGGAGATCCAGAATCCGCCGTACGAGGACAAGGCCGTAGCACCAAAGGTGTTTCCGGCGGCCATTTCCCTGTCAGATCATTAGCCCCCGTACTCCACCTTATCATCAAAGAGGAGTAAGGGAAGGCATACCACATCCCAGCCAACAACTGCACCAACCCACCATATGCAAACGCCGACCCAACCACAATATTCGGCTCAGTGACATCGCGCGCCTGTATATTGATACATCCCAGAATGAACGTAGTCAACGCGAAACCCGCCAGACCCAACGGCGCCGGGTTACCAATTTTACGATTCTTCACAGACCGATACAAACCCGGCTGCAGTTCACCACCGAAGGCCGGAAGCTGGGTCTCGGCGGTATTAACATGCGCCAACGGACCAAAGCCGACGTGGTACGAGCGACGATTTCCCTCCTCGTCGTTGGCGTAGCTCATCCGAATCGTATCGGCCGCCATGCTATATCGGTTCCCGGCGTAGCTGGTGCGGTTGTTGTCCTGTGTGATGGCATCGGGCGCGTGGTCGAAAACAACACTTTGGCGGTTGGGGTTGATATTGTCCTGCGCGTAGTCGTGCGTGATACTGTGATGGTGGGCGTGCCCATGGGTCGGTGCCTGGGTCTGGGGGATCTCAGGGCCGCTTTCTTGAGTGTCGGTCGCGGGACTGGACATATTGGCAGGTGTGGATGAGAATGAAGATGCTCACACTGGGGACACGAAAAACCGGAGAGGGTGGGCACCGCGGAATTTATGTGCCAACCCAGGTCCCACGAATCTGGAGCTCTGGTCCCTCCCACGCGAGATCGACACATTCCGTTCGTCCATGGTGGATCTACTACAGAGAATAGGGAGTTCGTCGGTTCGAACTGGTGATGGAATGGATGATCGATCAATAGTTCACCAGCTGGATCACTTTCGGGGCCGTGTCATTGGTCACAGCTGTGCGGATGTCCAATTGCAGAGCTCTCCCCGGAGGGAGACAACGTGGAGAGAAGGAAGAAGTCCCGACAAAGCTAAAGGAGGAAAAGCTTTGCGGCGCACTCATTTTTGCGAAGCGGGCCGGATGGGACTATCACTGGGTGGTGGGATCCACTGTGAAGTTTATGCGCCTCGCTGCAGCATGCCGGTCATGCTTACATTGACTGACAGCTTGCAGCTTGCCATGGTAGCGACTGCATTGACAGGTTTGGAGTAGCGGTCGATACCCCAGATTTCTTCACCTGAACGTTGGAGAAGTTTCTCCCATCATTGTGTGAAGCTATGAAATTTTATCCTACACTGACTCAGTCACAGATTTATTAATCTCGTTTCCGCAAACTAGCGAACTCTCTTACTGGTTTAGTAGCAAGCGATGTCGAAGCTAACTGCTAGAGCTGGTGATCGTATCGAGGCCCGGCCGGAAAAGGACACATTAGGAAGGTAAGTGGAGACAGAAATGGAGCTCGTTGGAGATTGGTGCACGGAGCAGCATCCCTCGTCTGTGCGAGCCATCCCGTCGGGATAAGGAGGCCTGCAGCACTTATCCTCCTGCCCTTGCAGGTAAATTGAATTGAACATCCTGCTGGATGAATGGAAGTTCCTGATTTTGGGTACAGAGTGACTGAAAGATGATATTCACAAGTGAACAGTCCGGGTGATCACCTCCGCGCTTGAGTGATATTCACCAGGGCTGGTTGGTCACGTGCATAAAGGGGCCCTCAACCCCCTTCTCCACCGCCTTCCTTCCCTATTCTTCTGCAATCCCGTGATTTCATTCCGCTTGTGGCCGCGGAACTGACTAAGCAATTACTTCATCACCTTGCTCAACCGATCAAGCAATCGATCAATATTGATCGTACGATTAAGGAGCTTGAATCGTATGATCAAGCTCTTTTATTGCATATCTGAAGCCCCTGAAATTGCATAAATATGGCTTCTTTTTGCAGTAGATTAGAATAATCAAGACCTTCAATCGTTTCATATGATCATATAAGCTCGGCGTATTAATCAGCTCTTTGCCAAGACCATTTCTGCCACAGTTATGAGCCTGGCTCAGTTTTAGAGGATATATCGCTTTAATCAATTATTGAAGCTATACAAGCTCTTTGTTTCGAGCAAAACACAAAACGGTATTTCAATAGGATCTTGCAAGAAGAAGCGATTCAACAAAGCTGATCTGCTGCTGAAGTCAATATGACTTTCTTATTTGATTTAGATAACGCCACAAAGGTTAAAGTCATTTTAAAATGCCGAGATGATTGGCATAATTGAATTCTCAACATCAAAAAATATGTCAAACGGTTTGATATATGGAATCATTTTAATCCGAAAGATTCTTCAATTATACAATGTCCTGGAGCCCCCGTGAAGCCAATGAGACCCGGAAAGTTCACGAAAATCAATTTCCGCGTATATCAACTCGATCTTCAAGATTATAAAGATGCTCGAAATAATATTACGAAAATGAAAGAAACGATCAAGGCCTTTATCACAATTCATGTACAACCGCTGATCGAGAAAAAGCGACAATTTAAGATATTGAAGATGCTGAAGGAGCAATATAAGCCAACAAAGAACAAAATAGAAAAAAAGGCCTTATAATAGTACAAAGTAGTTATTAAAAGATTACCACAAAAAGACAAGATCAACGCATGGGTTGAGGATTTTGATCACACTTATCTCGCGATCAAACGATTCAACATGAGCGAGAGCCAAGATAAATACATATAAAAGGACTTTCTTCGATCGATTGAAATCGTAAATCCTCTGTATTTAAGGCTGCATTATTTCAACATTCGCAACATCATTTATCGCACTTTATTGAATGATTTTCGCATTTATTTCGCCAACAATGATCGAGATGACGATTCAGCAATAGCACACAATTTCGTTACGTTTAACGATCAAAGTGATAAACCAATAGATGCCCAAAAGCCTCAAAAAGCAAAGAAGAAAGGATCTCCCTATTGTGTATGCGGACTAAAACATCATATAGATAAATGTTGGCATCTTCATCCCGTTTTACGGCCACCGAATTGGAAGCCGAATAGCAGAGCAATGAAAAAGATCAAGGACTTTGTCGCAGGATCATCAACACAAGCCCAAATGGTCAGATCGATCATTGAAAAGAACTGGAAGCAAGATAATGAAAAGCCTTAAAAATATCATGTCATGGCTCTTTCATTCAGCGTCTCGCTAGATATTCCGCTTAAAAACTGCTTCATTATTGACACCGGTTCTTGTATGCATGTATGCAACGAGATATCGAGATTTGAGGAGCTTAATCAATCAAACGGTAGTCAACTCCATACTGGCGATTTAACTATCGAGATCTAAAAATTCGAAAAAGTCAGAATACGGTCAAATTGCGGAAAAAAAAAAGAGAATAAAAAAATCATTTTTATCAACGTCATCTTCGTTCCAAGATTCTATACAAATATCCTAAGCGCGCAGAAGCTCAAGCAAATCGGCTATGATTTTAATATGGCCCGCAACACGATCTTACGGAATGGCAAGATTATATTCCGTGTAAAGAAGCATTTGTCAGAATTGTGAATCATTAAAAAGAATAAAAGCACTCATTACGGCTTCACAATGATACAATCTGATTGCGATCCACATAGATTAGCAAGATCTCATGTTCTGAAGAGAGACATTGACTTGTAATATTGCCGCATGATTCATCTGAATTGGAATGCGTTTTGTCATTTATTTAAAGCTGTTTAAGGTGTTCAAATTGATCATTTTCAAACAAAATAACATAACAATCTGAAATACAAGATATGTAAGATGTTCAAAGCCCCAAAACAGATCTCGAGGTGATTTATAATAACAGTCAAAGCATTGTTTCAACGTGTACATTTTGATCTTATACAAATGAAGCCTGCATTGAATGATGATCAGTGGATTTTATATTTTTATAACAAAAATTCGCGTTTTTACAATGTTTACACCCACCGATTGAAGAACGGCTGTGCAAAAGCTTTTAATATCTTTATTTAACAGATGCAATATTTCATTAAAACAAAAATCATTTTCTTTAAAAACGATCACGAGCAAACCCTCGGTAATGTGATTAAGCGAAAAGAAGAGCTTAAAAATATCATTCACGAATATTCTGTGATCGACACATCTAAACAAAATGGCGCTGTAGAACGTGCAGAAACCATTCTCATATTTAAAAAAAAAAATGATGATTGAGATCAAGCTGTCTCGAAATCTCTGGCTGTGGGTTATGAAAGAAACAACAAATATCGTTAATCATACTTTTACTGAAATCCTAAATTGAAAAATGTTATACAAGATGATTACAAGCGAAAAGCCAGATATTTCAGTGTTTCGTGTAATCAACTATGCTGCATATACAAGACAAGATCAACCGTTAAGCGATAAAATGGCTCTTCGCGTGTATAGAGACTTTTTTTTTGGCTTTGTAATCTCGAATATCTAGCATATATAGAATCCGAAAAGACAATGTGTTAAAAAAGCGAGAAATGTCGTATTTGACAAAATATGATCCTATGATCTCACACAACCGTTTCTTGAAAATTTGCTTAACGAAATATTTCCAGAGCCATCCACAGAAGTGTTAAATTTACTAAAAAATGAAAATATCTTTTTCGACAAAAAAATTAATCACATTGAAATAGAGGAACTCTTACAAATTGTAAAGAATCAAGAATTAGAAGAAGCTCAAATCGATGAAATCGATCAAGAATCAAGTAGTAAAAGAAATCAAAAAGATCAGAGAATAGAACAGATCTTTTATCACGATAATTCCGCGCAATCGAACAATCTATCAACATCTGAATCAACATTTGAATCATATACTGAAGCTCACGAAAAAATTGATTCAAACCGTGATCGCATTGAGACAATTCCTGAAGGATTTCCAGAAGATTTTACATCTGAAATATTAAATTAAATGTCGCAAAACTCAATGGCTCTTTCATGAAACAAATCACTATCTAAACTTTTGCAAGATTCGCTGCAGAACTCGATATTTAAAATAAAGAATTTACGAACTTCATTTGCATCATTAGCTCAATTTCACAAATTAAAGAAAGATCACAATTCACACAATTCATCGAGATCAGAAAATAAAAGATATAAAGAAAAAGATTTTATCGATAACGGAACCTAGAAAGAGAATATACTGCATACAAAGCGGAAATCAAGACCTATCCAAAAGAATCCAGACTTCTATTATAACAACATGATTACCAACTCTTATATTCCCGATCTTTATATCGCTCAAAAAGCTTTCTCAATAACTATAGAGCTCGCAGAAAGAAAGAGGAGACACTGACACCGCAACGAGCTTTTCTTTCCATCAAATTTCTATGCAGAAATATTGCAATATCCGCTCAAGAATGAATTTTTGCATACTGCGCAAGTCGAAGTAGGAAATCTCAAGGCAAAAGACTGCTTTATCTTTGTTAATCAAGAAGAAGCTCGCGATTCACAAGTTCTTCCGTTGAAATGGGTCTTTATATACAAATTTGATGAAAACAACAATTTCATAAAAGCGAAAAAACGGATCTGTATAAGAGAAGGCCTTAAAAAGGATATTATTGTTAATAATTTCGCGACAATAGTATCTGTTAAAATATTTTGAATCATTATAACACTGATAGCTGCTTTTGACCTCGATACGAATCAGAAAAATATTATGAACGTCTTTTTAAACGCTTTGCTCAAAGAAGCCGTATACATGAGATCACTAAAGGGATTTCATACAAAAGGGAAGATATGGAAGCTGAAAAAAATGCTATATAGATTACAGAAATTGCCATGTCTTTGACAGCAAGCCCTTTCCACTATACTGCTCAAGTTTGGCCTTCATTCCATATCTGAAGAGCAGTGTCTCTTCGTGAACCGATATATGATTGTATTAATCTACATTAACAATATTATCATTATTAATATATCTATTGTCGAAGCCCGAAAAGCCGTAAAACAATTCAAAAAAATTCTCGCGGAAAAATACAAACTACATGACATAGAAGAAATGGACTGATTCTTCGGAATCAAAATCATTTGAGATAGAATTTGCAAAAAGCTCTGACTCTGTCAAGATGCATATCTCGAAAATATTGTTATAAAATTCCATTTGAATAATCTCACAAAATGATCGAATATACCGTATTTAATTTCACTTAATCTCGATCCCCACAAAGACCAGACAACGAAGGCAAAGATCAAAAAATATTCAATAAAGATAGAATCAAACCAATATTCCGCAATGATCACATAATCTGATATTGCACACATGGTGAACTGTTTATCTGAAACGCTTAAGAACCTGTCAGCAAATCATATTCGCGTTATAGATCGAATCATTGCTTATTTCTATATCACACAATTTCATACAATTGAATACTCTGTCGAAACAAACGATCAAAAAATCGCAATCATCGCTTCAGATGTAATCTTTGAAAATCAATCAGATTGCTGAAATTCTGCAAGATTCCTCATAAAGCTCTACAACGAACCCGTAAAATGAAAAGTCAACAAACAACAAGCTATAACAATCTCTACAATTGAAACTGAATTTTTCATTCTATCTAAAATCGCCAAAGCAATATACTGATAGAAGAAGATCTTCAATATCATGGATTTCAATTTCCAACATAAAATGATTGTTTCTTGTGATAATCAACAAATTGTCTGATTGGTCAACTCCGAAGACGTAGAACAACGCTCTAAACTCCGCCATGTTGATATATACCGTTCATGGCTTCGCCAGGAAGCTCAGAAAGATGATCTATACGTACGATGGATCTCTATCGATCGAATGATTGCAGACAGGCTTACGAAGTCTTTTCCGGCTCAAAACCATCACAAATTCATGAAAATGTTAAATCTTGTCAACATCAAGGACCTCATTATGGCTCAAAAAGGGAGATAATGGCCTTACGCAAGGTGCTGAGGGAGTAACGTATTTCACAAGCGAACGTGACACACAAACGAACGTGACACCGCCCGCAACTTAGACGCGTTGGAAAACCTCACCTAATTCAACCATCAACCATGCCTCCAAAAGCGCGTCAAAATTCAAGAAAATTAGCAGAACGGGAAGACAGAATCAAACTTGCTGTTGCTGCTTTGAAAAATCAAGAAATTCGCAGTATTCGTGAAGCTGCGCGTGTTTTTCATATCTGCCATGAAACTCTCAGTCGTCGACTTAGCGGAAGAACTTCGCGCTCAGAAATACGCGCCAACAACCATAAAATGACTCAAAATGAAGAGGAATCGCTTGTACGATGGATTCTATCGCTAGATCGACGTGGAGCTCCTCTTAAGCCATCAGATGCACGAGAAATGGCTAATATTCTTCTTGCTGGCCGCGGTACTACACCTATTCAATCAGTCGGAGTGAACTGGATTATCAACTTTATTAAACACCGTTCTGAAATAAAATCCTGCTTTTCTCGACGATATGACTATCGACGCGCTAAATGCGAAGATCCTAAATTGATGAAAGAGTGGTTTGATCGCGTACAAATCACTATAATGCAACATGGGATCGCACAAGAGGATATCTACAACTTCGACGAGATTGGCTTCGCTATGGGCCTAATATCTAATGCTCGAGTACTTACTAGAGCTGATTATTATGGCAAAACGCGTGTTGTACAGCCAGGCAATCGGGAATGGATTATTTCGATTGAATGTATTAACTCTACTGGTTGGGTGCTTCCTCCGTGTGTTATCTTCAAAGGGAAGGTTCATATAGAGGGTTGGTATGAAAAACCAAAGCTTCCACTGGATACCAGGCTTGAAGTTAATCCTAATGGATGGACTTCTAATGAGATAGGCCTTCGCTGGTTAGAATATCTCTTTATTCCTATGACTACTCACCGTACGATTGGGAAATACCGCCTTTTAGTTATGGACGGCCATGGCAGCCATCTATCGCCTCAATTCGATCAATTATGCAGTGAGAATAATATTATTTCTATCTACATGCCTCCGCATTCTTCCAACAATCTCCAGCCTCTAGATGTGGGCTGCTTTCGAGGTCTAAAAGGCGCGTACGGCGATCTAGTGAAGCAAAAGACAAATCTAGGAGTCAGGCATATTACAAAGTTTGACTTTCTAGAGATGTTTGCAACGGCCCGTGATCTTGCTTTTACAGCAGAGCCTATTCAGAACAGTTTTGCAGCTACTGGCCTGATTCCTTTCAATCCAGATAGAATGCTTAGCAAGTTGAATATTCAACTAAAGACCCCTACTCCTCCAGGCAGTCGATCAACTGATTCAGCGCCTAAAACACCCTACACAACTAGACAGCTGGAAAAGCAAGCTTCTGCAGCAAAGAGACTGCTTAAGGAACGCGCCCATAGCCCTTTACCTTTGGTAGAAGCGCGATTGGACAAGATCATTAAAGGTCATGAATTGACGCTTAATGAGCTTCTTCTTGCAAAGGAAGAAATACGCAAACATCGTGCTAATAATGAATGGGAAAGCGAAAGACGGAGCAAGTCTACTAGGCAGCTAGCTATAGAAAAGGGTTCATCACTTCGAGAAGGCCTAAAGCGATTTCAGCGCGAGAATGAGGTTGATGAAGGTCAAAATACGCTTCCCATAGATCCAGCGCTTTCTGCAGTTGGGCCGCGCGTACGAGCGCCACCGCGCTGCAGCGATTGTCATAATCTAGGACATAAGCGATTGCAATGTCCTAATCGAATTCCCAATTAATTTTTAGATAGAAATCTGATTGTTTGGTTGATAAAGGCTATAGTATCTACCCTATAGGCAGGAATTGGCTGGCGGTGTCACGTTCGTTTGTGTGTCACGTTCGCTTGTGAAATACGTTATGTGGCCGCGGAACTGACTAAGCAATTACTTCATTATCTTGCTCAACCGATCAAGCAATCGATCAATATTGATCGTACGATTAAGAAGCTTGAATCGTATGATCAAGCTCTTTTATTGCATATCTGAAGCCCCTGAAATTGCATAAATATGGCTTCTTTTTGCAGTAGATTAGAATAATCAAGACCTTCAATCGTTTCATATGATCATATAAGCTCGGCGTATTAATCAGCTCTTTGCCAAGACCATTTCTGCCACACCGCTCTTCTCTTGGCAGGATCATGTGAGTATCTCCTTCTACACATCTACCAGTATCTTGCACGTAGCTTTGATGGCCATGGTCATTTTATGCGACTGCCCATCTTGTTCCTTCTCATCCTGTCCCATTTTTCCTTTCTTTCTTTCTGTTCACCGACCTCTACTCTGTGTGTCCAGATTTGTACCACATTCGGATATATATTATCTTGAATCTGACATTCAACTGCGCGGTTCGTACATGGAAAACAAGGAATTCCATTGACTGAGCAGATGATTAACTATGGATACCGGGATGAGAACGACGTTAGTGAATGATATGAAAACAATAACGGGCTGCTAAATTCCTGGAGAATTCTTGGAGAAATCCCGGAACCAAGACGGCACTTTTATCAAGGTTCCAGCTGAATCGAAGCAACTTGGTCGTTCTAGCAAAGCTGCTCTAACCTCGCAAGCCTTGGCCGACAAACCACTGACTGGCATCGACCCACCTACTTGTACCGCCCCTGTTCAGTCTGATGGCGTTCTGAATGGCGCCACGAGTCCAATGCATGCGAATGTCGATATTCTTGCTCCGCGCGTGCATTTGAGTGTTCTTAGCGAGCTTCATCGCTGGCAATGTATGTCTATGTTATGTTTGAATGCATCCGAGTTTAAACTAATGAACTACAGCTGTTGGATGCCTGTTGGCGACGGGAAGATGTGCGGCAGATCTTTTTGTCTGTGGGATCTGCTGATTGAGCACATGGCGAGTTGCCACCAAGGTTAGTTGTTAGTTGGCCTTTATCTGCAATATCATCACAGTATACACAAAGTCTAAACCTTGACTCACAGTTCACGTTCGTGAAGAGGCACGCATGAAGTCTCGTCCCGGAGACCACCCCCAAGGCAAATGAGGCATTGACTTGATTTGTTTACACCGGACAGTGGCGTGCTGCCAAATTTCTGCATGAACCTGCCGCGTCGATGACCAACGTGACCTGCCCCTCTCCCAACACAAGCGCGCTCGCATTGGGTCATGACTATGATGCGTTCGTCATAGACACATCCGAGGATGAATCCGCCACGACGGCCATGGACCGCAACCTGCGCGGTGCAGCGTCGTTCTACAAGCGTATGCAGCCGAATGCCGTCGCGATTCAACAGGCACGCGGCATGATCCACAGGTTCGCCGAGCTTGCAGTGCTGGAGTTGCCAGACCACAGCAACCAAGCCTGCGAGGTCTATTGCGTGTTCTGTTTCGATGGCTGTGTCAATTTTAGACGCGGCATGCGCGACTGGCAGCGCTATGCATGGATGAAGGTGTCGGCTAATACACCTGATATGACGCAGGGCGACTTCGTTGGCACTGGTGAGAAGCCATGTTTCAGCTGGCGCACCGCTATAGTCACTATGCTGGCATGTACATACAGGACGTTCTACAAACGCCTCGAATATACGGGCCCCCATAAGGGGTGAGCGGTTTGCCGCATGACCAGTTCGACGATGACCGCGGCAATCTTCCCGAAAGTAGTCTACTGCGCGCATCTACACAACTGGTTGAGGCTGCTTATCGGTCATGCATACATACTCAGAAGTGTGCAATCTGAGCGCAGGGCGCCCAAAGCTGTGGTGGGCGTAGCCAAGCCCGTTGAAGCACTGGCCCTGGTTGAGTACAACCTGCCTGACGCCGAATGGCATCATGACGCTATTGAGAGCAGGTTTGAAATAACCGATGTGCGAGTTTTCACCGGCACTACGCCCGAGCTCATTGACAATGTGCCCGAGGTGTGGGAACTTGTACGCACGCGCTACTCCGCCTTGGTGCGCATGACCACATTCTTCGAAGATGTCACTCTACACGCGGTTCTGGACACGTTTAAGCATTAGCAGAGTGGTGTGCTGTTGAGCTACCTTAGTGCGGCGCGTAAGCTCACATCGGGCTGGGGAGGCGCCCTTTTTGCTAAGTACCGGCGCGTACTGCATGCAATACGAGCTCATGTCTGTGCTGGCTTATGAGTCTCCTTATATGCTTGTATACAAATACGTGTACGCCTGCCCCCAGGCTCTGGGCAAGGCCTTGCACGCCTGGAAGCTTCAATACCTGCTGTATGGTCTCAGCATGGATGGTAACGAGAATGAACGCCTAGTATACACCGGGCTACCGTTCGAGCCATGACCATGGACCATGACCTGACTTATATCACGACGAATCAATCATGAGAAGGGAACAAAATGACTGCGAAAGCTAGCGTATGATGAGCTTATCGATCATCAGCTGCCACAGCGGAAGCTGTATTGCTTGGCTCCGCTGGAAATCCACGGTAAATCGAGAAAGACTGTGCGCAGCTCGTCACTAGATGGGCCATCTAGTATTAACACTCAAACCTCCCACAGAGGCTGTGAAGCAGTGAGGTTATCTTCAGATACAACCATGGCCACCCAGAATATCCATGAGACGGACAGGATTCCAACCAACTACACACTAAAATGTATGGTCCGGATACTATGCCATTGGTGATATGCCAAAAGTGGAGGAGGCTATCCATAACACGCTGCACAGACCGGGGATGTCTGGATGCAGGCTGAGGCGGAAATGTTCTATTTCCATTCTCAACCCCTGAGCTAATTGCTGAAAAGTTCGTTCACTGGCGTGTCGAAAGACATAAGAATTGGCTGCTTGAAGATAGAGATACAGGAGCGAAATCTCGCAAAGGGAGTTTTTACAACGAGACAACAATTAAGAGAAGCTGGCGCGATAGAGGGGTTGATGTATCCATGTTAATCTTGGTTCGATTATCGTTCGACAGGACCAGATATCTTTGGGGTCCGCCCACCTATATTCCTCTGGATGATCTCTTACCGGACTGGACCACCCACGAGAAAGCCGCCTTTGTGGTGTGATAGGAGGTATTTCTCAGTGTCCTCACCAGGGAAACCCCACTGAACATGGAATAAGTCTTTTTCGTGGATGCAAGCCTCGGACAAAGGCCAATGGTAGCATGGCCGCGCGGATGAAGATGATGAAGTACATAGCCTTGGTGGTAATGAAAGCATCTCGCGACATGCAAAATAGGAATCAATTGAGCCTATAGTAGCTCGTGTTATTCGGGAGGGGATAGAGCAGGCTTCCAGTCTTTTACATCACGGAGGCATCATTGAGAGCACGTTGGATGTTGAGCATGCACAGATCCTCGCGACAAAGAGTTCACGAGTTAACCAACCCATCCAAAAACTTGGGCCAGATTTCTTCTCGCAGCAAACTTACAGACGATCTGCCTATCGCGGTCCTGGGTTGCCGAAATCTCCTACAATTGACCCAAAAGGAACAGAACATCGATTTGCATGACTAACACTCGATCCGGGAACACAGAACTATGGATGGCTGAGAACCATGCATCATTTAGTCATGCAACGGTTGCAACCCGCCCACAAATTGGCGGATTGCAATTAATGCCGCCGATTGGCATTTTATACGCCTACTACCGGATCGTACCGGACGAAATTCTAAATAGCCTGGAACAGAGAAATATAGGTAATGAGAGAGTACTTGACGATCATATACTCCCTAGACAACAGGGAGCTCCCAGAGATATTGGGCTTGTTGGCGGCCATAATGGACCAGGCTGCTATTACTTCTCCTGTGTCATCGTCAACACCATAAAGCGCACAGAAAGCGAGTTCGAAACGGCTGGATCCCTCCCTGCCCGCCATGTCTTTTGTACTGATTGCAGGTTTTATGAACTTTTACCAGCCTATTTGGCACCAACAAATATATGAAGCTGCTTCTGCACAACAATGGACCTTGCGGCCACTGATATTCAAAAAGACGCTTCTTGAGTCCGATCAAAGAACCTAAATCAGACCTATGCGACATACACGCTAGAGGTATTGAGTACATTTTCCAGCAGACAAAATCAGAAAAGCCCTTGAGCTTAAGATGTTAAGTCACCAGCCCGGCTTATCGTGCTTCCTTGAGAAGGAGACATGGTCTCTTGAAGACTTTCCGTCTCTTCCAAGTGTTGCAGGTGACGAACGCCAAGGACGACAAGTGCACGATCTGACGCACCAATGATCCACAAATCCCACTCAAAAACAGAAGGCCGGAAAGATGAAGTTGCCTTGAGATGGATAAACCTGTCAAATAAGGTTATCCTTGCCTACTATTACATGTTGGGGCCTGGCAGAAAGGCAAAATACATCTTATTTCAAAATGGCATACTGTCCGCGGCTGGGAAGAGTTTGATGTCATGAGACTTTACAAGGATAACCCAGCAACGAGTCCCCGGATATCACTTTTTTCTCAACAGTTGCCAGCAAATGTGGCTTTATGCTCACGTCAAAGTGAAAGCAGCTCACTGCAGACGTCTAACAGGAATACAATCTTTTCTGCTTCTGCTTCGGGATCTGCAGGACATTGGTGTCCCCATTCGCTTTGATGTCAGTTGACCTGAGCCTCCAGGCTCTGTGTAGTCAAGTCCGCCTAACCTACTCAGTCAACCCAAATAGCTGGCAAGAACAGGTCAGGTGTGTCGTATAGGCCTGAATACATAGTGTTGGCTCACGAGAGATACTGGATCATATGAATGATAGTGAGATCATATGCGTCAATGGACGGTTTCAAAGGCTCACACAGCGAATAAAGGGTATAGCACCATCACGCCCGAGAACGCTTGAGATTCCCGATAACCGTTTCCCGCCTATATCTCAGTGCTGCCGCTGAAAACAGATAGCAACGTCCATCTAGCTAAAGTGTATTGCAATTATCTCGACAGACGCGATACGATACTAAAGGATGTGGCTGTCCATGCCCTAATGAAGAGACGATTCATGGTATACTTCCTGTTTATTGTCTGTCACAAAAGCAATACCCTATTTGATGGGCCCGATCCGATTTCGCTACCCGTGACAAGATGCTCATGATTATGAAAGCAACCTGCCAAAAGTTCATTGTCCTGGATGAGTGACCAAAGTTTCTACTAGATCCATTATAGCCCTTGGCTTTCCTACCACGGCCACGAAGTGGAATAATGCCGCCCAGTTAGACGGTGTAAAGCGCAGGAACCTCAAACCATGCCGGATTTAGTAGCCAGTCCAGCCGTAACTGATGAACAATACCTTCTATTCTGCTTTCGGCAGTTAACCCAAACCAAGGCCTTCGATCCGCGGAATTTTGGTTCCGGACACTTTATCACCACTGCATTATCACTTGTAATGCAGCCCGAATTCCGATAGTACTGGAGGTGGCTCAATCACAGTCTATCAAATTGGCAGAGTAAGACTCCTTTTTCAAACAGACACCCCAACAGCAAAAGGATCATGCCTTGAAGGAAAGGAAAACGACCGTTAGGAGAAACAGTGGCGAACACTGCGGCTAGTTCCATAATACTCCCTTGACAGGATACAGTGCAGTTTCGCCGCAATTCTGCGTTACAAAACGCTCAAGAACTTGAAAATCGAACCGCAGGCATGCCGCTGAGAAAAAAAAAAAAAAAAAAAAAAAACAGATGCAGGATCATCTACATACTATTGACTGCGGCTAGTCAAAATCCGTCAAAACCTACAATTGGCTTGGACTGGATCGTCATTTCCACTGCTCTCAAGAAGGGGTGTAGGCAGAGACAGAGGGAGAAACACAAGTGATTACCAAACTAGCCATGTGCGGATGTTATATTCACAATCCAAGGAAAGCCTAGAGGGATATAACCAGTCCTAATGCATTGGCAAGCTCACAGGCCTGAAGACATGCAAGAACTGATGTCGACACTCTCATGTGCTAGCTCAGGCTAACAGCGTCAGACTTCTTATATCAGACGGCATCAGACGATCCATTCCATCGTAAAGATGATTGTTCTAAGGCCCCAACTGATTCCGGATGTTACAAAAATGTTATCCTCCTCAGATAGGCAAAGGAATCTCTAGCGACTGCAGAAATTCCAACTATGTGACGCGAATACCACGTACAGTCCTGGCCGATTCTATTGAACAAATGGACTCGAAGTGGGATATATGGAACGATATGGATGCCAACGTCGTGAGCAAGCAAGGGGGAAAGCTCAATCGAGGTCGAGCCAGCCCATTGGATTGGCCGCCAATGTCCCCTAAATAGGACGCCCTACCTCTTAGTTCGAATAGGGCCCTTCCTCGTCACGCTCTGTCTTTGCGCCACGGCGGGCTGGGTGCCATTAGGGCTCTTTATCGTTCTGGGACAGGTTTATTACCGGCTCTTAAACCCGAGATTCACCTCGGAAGAGGAGAAACTTCCTTCGTGAGTCGGACGAAATAGATGGATTCATGTCCCTTGAGGAATACCTTCTTAGGAGTAATTCTTATCATACTACGACGATGTTGAACCATTGTGCAGTCGAGCTGCCAGCCCCGAGCAGCGTCAGCCAAACTATCGAGTCGTACATAGAGCCTATCCGTCGAATCCTTACGCTCGAAATATTCATTCCCTCCGCTTCTCGTTTTGCGCAACCTTTGGGTTTCTCTAGTGTTCGCGAGATCTTCTCCCACTTTGCTCCACATGGATCGACTTACACAACCGATTGTCTAGTTCGGTCTAGATCACACGAATCAACGTTTGCCGCCGGAGTTCAAAGCTTTTTTGTCGAGATACCGATTTCGATATCTTGCTCTCCCAGTTCCAGATAACTGGTTATACGAAGGCTGAGATTAAGAAACAAAAACCAATCAACACCCGCTAAATTCAATCGAAAAGGCTACCAAATCAAAGAAGACTTAGAAGTTGGCGTGAAGCAAAAGGAGTCTAGGCAGGCAGAATAGACCACCGAAACTCACAACTGTCAACACCCTCAACAGAGCGAATGAGTCAGATTGACATGGTACGAGCCTTGTTTTATAACTAGGCTTACCAGCGGGAGAAACATGAGGGACCTTCCGAACCTGGGAAGATGGCAATAACAGCCCGAGGTTCGTCGGTACAGTTTCTCTTCCTTTTCTCGTATCAACCGCCACCTTCTCAAGTTTCGATTTGTGCTCATATGATCTTCATTTGTGACGAGCTCGGGTTCCTTTTAGCTCGTATGTTTTTGTTTCTCATGTATCGAGCTAGTCGAAAATGCGGTGTTGATGTCTCAGCCAGCAGTACTGGCCCTCGATCTTTATGAGGATACCCAGAGGAACTTGAATTGACCATGGAGACAGCTTGGGCATGACTCCCCTCGTATCTTTCCCGATGGGCAGACCCCTTATGTGTCTCCGTACCCGACCTGTCTGTGACTTGCTGGTCGACTGAATGGGGGAAACCAAACTGATTGGCGGTGGCATATTCCTGAGCGACTTCATGAGCCAGGCGTACAAGATCCGGGGAGTGAAAAAGAAAGTTCGGGATTATCTCACAGACGATAGTCTCAGCGTCGATGAATGCTACGACTGCCCCGATACTGAGCTACATGTACATAAATATACTATGGACATTCTATTTTGGCAGAGGCTTTATTGAAAATTATACCATTAGGCTAAATTTCAATTCTTCCAAGGCTATAACCTATTATGGTGATGGAAAGCTCAGTCGGCGCCTAATAATAACACTTGGACTCGCCGAGAAAGAAGACGGTCTATCTGCCGAATTTCATAGGAACAAGAACAAACAATGAAAAAGGAAACACGATGGGAGTCTGTCGAGGACAAGATACTCGTATATGGAAAATCCCAGGAAACGCCTCACACCGCCTATACAATCTATAAAACATGTCTATTATAGCTGCCACTACCTAGGTGGAGCATTCCTATGTGGAAGGTCTCTACTCGAAGCGGAGAATTCCTTGAACTCGACCCTGATACTACGTGAAGCTGAAGATAAAAAGGCCTTGTTATTCGACCCTTAGATAGATGACCATCGTCAATCATCATCACCAAATCAATCAATTTGTTCCTCTTTGGCAGACACCGAATATTCACACCTTATCGGCCTTTAGCTTTTAAAACAGACAGTCTCAACGAGTGCTTCGGTTTCCTCAATAGTCAAATCGTGCCGTGCCATCGACTATGGTAATGTCCAAAGACTCCTCCAAGGGAGGTGGTGACAGGCGTGCCGTACCTCAAACTCAGCCCGGTCTTGTGGAGGATCGAAAGGGAATGAGTGGTCTGGATTGCAGCATTCGCGAGTCAGTTCCTATACACCCCTTTCTTAGGCATAAAGTGTACTAACGACCGGTAGATACTTTCGTTCGTCAATGTATTCAGACATGAAAATCGTGACCAAGAACCGAGAATTCAAGGTGCATAAGTTGGTTGTTTGCGGACAATCCGGGTTTTTCACTCGTGCTCTTAGAAATGACTGGGTGGTAAGTGGAGAACATAGTTCGCATAAGATGGCTTGACTAAGATGTAGACAGGAGGCAAAAACGAACACGATAAATCTTGCTGATGATGACCCGACAGCTATTGAGGCGATGGTCTATTTCATGTATGGTTTCAACTATGACAGCAGTGTCAAGGATCAGGATCGTGCTTCGCCAATGCTATTCAACATCAGTGTCTACCAGATAGGAGACAAATATGACATACCGAAACTGAAATCGCAAGCACGGGAGAGATTCATACGCGGCATCGAAACAAGTTGGAAATCTAAGGACTTCCCCCTTGCCGTTGCGGATGCATACAGAAAAACGGTCCCGACTGATCGTGGCCTCCGTAATCCAATTGTCAAGATCACCTTGAGTCATATTGATTGGTTGCTGAAAGAGAAAAGTTTCCAACAGGTCCTACGGGAAACAGTTGATTTCGCGGCTGACCTTGTCGAAAGCAAAGAACAGAAAGCCAAGCCGAAGGTGCACAAATGTCCGCACTGTTTGAAGACTTGCGCCATAACATCTCCTGTGTCTCCTCAATACTGTCTACTATGTGGATCCAGTTACAGCAAAAGAGCTCGGCCACCACTGGTCTTTGGTAATTATGCTCATCTTGGCTAATAAGGACATGAATATGCAGAGCTGATGAATGCCACTTATGAGAGATATAGCACTGTATTTCAATAACTTATCATGAAAGTGACCAAGATCAATACGCATGCCTTGATATTTCTTACATTGTGGTAGTATGTATAAACATCACCCTACCTACTCCTTCCACCTAAGTACCTGAACGGTTGCTTCCAATTGGCTTATTTTCTGATCACTGACATCTAAGCTCGAATGTTAAAGCACACGCAGTCAAATGGCGATTCAGGGCCAGTTTGAAGCCAATTGAGAACTTTACAAAATCAAATCAGACAAACCAGAATTGGGGTGTGGCGGGGAAAGGGAGAGAAGAAGGGCGGCGCATGAGTGACAAACAGAGACAAAAACCTCAATCAGTCATCAAATGGAAGATTTCAATGAGAAAGCTGAATAATCTTGTCCTGTAGTCCTACTATTTCCAATGTTAACACCTTACAATCAAGCGAAACATAACACAACTCTTCGGCAATGCGTGAGGGACCTAAATTTATCATCATTCTTCACCACATCTTGGCTTAGGGCAAGGTCTCACATGTTTGCGTTCAAGCTCGGAGTGTATTCATTCTAACCAAGGGGATATATCGCTGAATATTAAACGTTTCTCTCTCATTCTCATCTACCATAATCACCGTCTCCACGGCACAAAGAACAAACTAAAATACAATATATCATAAATACAAACCCGTTCCCTTCCTCGCCTCACCAATCTAATCCACATGAATCCTCCTCAAACACCTCTCCGCCAAGCTAACAAACGAGCTTCGCGTATGCATCATACTAACATTATCACTGACTAAGAAGTCTCCCTCTTCCCAAGCATGCCAATAACAGACTCGTCGGTCATGCAACAGTCCGTCCAACACCGCACAAACAGCCTCGGAGCTCTCGACGCCATGAATGGTCACGCTTGTCGGATCAAAGACTGTTCTCTCCTGCGGCCATGGTTCATGATAGCGGAGGGATGGTCGCCCTGTTGCAGGGTGGGGTATGACGAGGGGGAGGTTGGGAATGACAGCGTCGTCGAAGGAGGTAGTGCGGACGGTCCAGGTGAGGGGGCTGAGGGCTGAGAGAGGGAGAGATGGAGGCAGGTTGGCGAAGATGAGATGAGAGGGGGCGAAGAGTGTGTAGCCAGTGTTTTTGGGGGAGGGGGTAATGGCGGTAAACATTTGGAATCTAAATGCAAGGTCAGCTCGCTGGATAGTGTATGAGACAAGGGGCAGAGGACAGACTTAGGCGGAAGAGAGACAACTTTTTCGTTGCCGTCGGGGTCGATCTCTTTTTTTATCTTGAACAGTCCGTCATAATGATACGGCATCCATTCTGCAGAAAGAACGTTGTTCAAGCCCTTGCCGTCGGATCCGTGATCTTTCACTTCGAGGATGAGACCGAACTTCCATCCTACGGGAGTTCCCATCTCTTCGGCCTTTTGAACGAGAAGATCCCGGTCAAGAGTATCTCCGAACCCTCGCAGAACGACGGGTGAGTTTTCTTGAGAGAGCAAACGGAGCTTCTGCATGTCCACATCTTTGAACGACGGCCGCGTATCCTTCACAGCCTGAATCGTTATACCACAAGGGTAGTTAAATTCGATGCTGACATCACTAGACCACGAGTAGAGGTCATTCTTCTCTCGAAAGTACCTTGGCTGTCCATTCCGAGAGACGAGTTCCGTCTTCTCGTCACCATCAAACACGTCCCGATGCTCGAACTTCATGTGTCCGTCAACGCTAAAGTAAGGCGCCGAGTGCCAAGGCGTAACGGGCGTGACGGTCTGCGGAAGAACAGAGATCGAGATCTTTCGTGATCCATTCGACGGATGAATAGACAGTCGGACGTGATCAGGGAAGGACTTGGCGATGGCTTGTGCGAATGCCTACTTGGTATTAGCTCCAGCCGTCGGTCTGGTTCAGTTAACGTACAGCTCCCCTGACGATCATCTTCTTGGCGATCTGCTCGCATTTTTTCTTGTGTTGGCTTTTTGTTCTCTCCTCCATGGTATGTGCCAAATCCTTTGTGAGAAACTTGATGTACCCGCGGTACGTCGTGCAGACGTCGTCATCCGATGCAATACGCTCGTTAACATCATGGTCCGAGGGAGTGTGAATACGAATCAGATCTTCGCGAAATTGTGGTGCTCTCTCCTCATAGGTCTTCGTGTCAAGGGGAATCTCGTTGACCATGTAGAGAAGATCGCGCAGATGGACAAAGTTGATGTTGGTGAATTCCTTCTCTCGGACCATGGCACGTAGAGTCTGTCCGTACTCCCAGACCTCCCTGTCGGGGACACCCAGAAGGTCTGATGAAGTTAGAAGGAAAAGCCAAAGATCGAGAAGAGCACTAACCGTTATAAACCAAACCATCCGACGCGATCGTCAGCTTGGCTCCTGGGGAATAAATGTCCTCGATCGCAGCGCAGAGTCCGTTCAAATGTGCTAAGGAAATCTCTTCGCCCTTGTCCGGTAGGCTACCTAGAGTCTTGCTCTGGCGGTTGGGCGACTTGAAAGGGAATGCAGGCAATACAAGCTGGATTGCCTTGTGTGTGCGTACTTGGCCATAGATTATGGACAGAAACTTGAGGTTGCCCTCGTCCGAGCGGTCCTCAACGTTCGACGGCAAAACACTGCGGTACCGGCCAAGGACGTCCAGGATGTTGCAGGCCGTTTGCAGAGCGGGTCCGTCGAATCGACCCTGCATAAGAGACAGGGTCGATGACGAACCGTGAGAGTTGGACAACAGTCGAACCATCCCGTGTGTTCTTCGAGCGAAAGAAGTGCGAAAAAGTCACAGCGACAAGCACAGAATTTTCCAGCACAACCCTCATCTACTGGAGACTATATACCGGCATCAACTGCACGGAGACCGACGGTGGCTTCATCTCATTGGATCATTCCAGTGGCCAAGAGTTTCATCCCAACAAAACGTAGTATTCACCCGGATATTCTTTTCCCTATTTTTCCTACCCCTGGACCCTCTCCTAGTAGCGTCATGACCAAGACCTTTGTCATCTGTGGCACCATGCTAGAAGGGATTCCGACCTGATTCCGACGTCTCAGCTGATCCCTTAGAGTCTAATGTAATTTAGAAGTTTTGTAGCGTGAACAAGGAGGCGGATAAGAGTTCCTACGCTTGCAAACTGGCTTATTAAGTAGCGGAATCAGACCGCGCCTGACGGCCGGTTCCTGATTGCTAATAGGGTTGAATGCCTGTAACAAGCTGCCTTGGCGGATCCACTGTGGCTACTCCCATCTTATCTCGGCCGGAGTGACGAAAACCCAGGACAGGAAACACACGCTAATGGATGAAGACTTCAAGTCAACAATTTTCGATTATTCGGCTGCGTGTTGCTAATGTCGGCGTTGCCGGAGGGGCCCTGCTACCAGTCAATAACTGATTCCTTTTCTGGGGTGACTGCCTAACCTCTCGTTCCTCCTTCCTCATCAGTGACTACTCCCATCAGATCTCGATCGGAGTGGAGGAAAATCACGAGAAGATTCCGAGATAGAGTTCGTGAAATTTCAGCCATTATTGCCTCATCCAAACGGGTCTCAACGCGACAGGCCAAGAGGTTGCATTGCATGATTTTAGACGCCGTTGCCTGTTCGGCAGGAGCTAACGGCATGGGAATCGGAGGTCCAGAACTGCCAAGACGGTGGCATGGTCACTTCTCTTCATCTTACTCCAACGGGGTGACAGGCTAGGGTCGGCTCGCACTAGCGATAGCGTGGTTTAGACCCTTTCAGGCGTGTCATCCGGTCCTGCAGCCTGGCTAGTATCATCCAGTAAGGCGTGGCGACATGGATTTAGTGAAATGCCGATCCCTGGTTCCCCCCCTTCCTTCATTTTGCCGCAATATTGTCTCAGCATGAATGGAGCCGAAGGATCTAGTGGAGTATGGACAGATTCGGCCGATTATTCAATCAGTATATGAACTGAATTGGGGTAATCTCCTTCTCAGAAAAACTCCCTTTGCGCCCATAGAACGAAAAATGTCGATCGGAACAGAAACCACAGAAAGCAGTCATGACCTAGTCATCGTCGGAGGTATGTAGAGCCCAAACAAATATCAGCCTGTACTGACAGTAGCAGGTGGCCCTACGGGTTTGGCAATTGCCGTCCTTGCTCGCTCATTAGGACTCTCCATCAAAGTCCTTGGTGGGTAAACTTCGGAGAAAGGCCAACAATTCCTAATGCGACTGCAGATGCTAAAGAAGGCCCCCTGGATTTGGGTCGCGCTGATGCGCTCAATGCGCGTACCCAGCAATACCTCGAGGTCTCTAAGACACTCGAGAAACTCCTGCCACAAGGAATAACCTGCAACAGTACGTGACCTTTGGTTTTTCAAGGATTTTCTGACAGTTGCGACATTAGCAAGCTCGACGTTCGAGGCCGGTGAATTTACCTCCCGCCAAAGCCACTGGTGGACATCACTGAAACACACCTTCCGACCGAACTTTCTTATGATCGGTCAACCGCGCGTGGAGGCCGCCCTTCTTGATCAACTCGATGCCCCAGTTTATTACAGTCGCACTGTGGTGTCAGTCACTGAGTCCGCGACGGATGCCTCGGTCACCACGAATAAAGGAGAAACCTTTCGAGGGAAGTATGTCGTGGCTGCAGATGGAGCGCGGTCATTTGTGCGAACCGCACTAGATATTCCTTTCACGGGCACAAAGCCAGAGATGATCTGGGCCGTTCTGGATACTTTTATCGAGACCGACTTCCCAGTTTGCCCGGAGATCATCACCTTCCAGGTTAACGGGCAGTCGAGAGTGGCATGGATTCCTCGGTACGTATGCCATGATTTCACGTGTATAAGCCTTCGTTAACAAACGACGCCAGAGAGCGCGGCATGTCCCGGTTCTACATTCTCTTAGAAGGAGAAGTCACCCAGGCCAAGGCCGAAGGGTCTGTCCGTGCGCACATGGCACCTCACAAGGTCGAATTCCTCAAGACAGAGTGGTTTAGCACATTTGACAGTATGTTGTTTCCGCGTCGTACGTGATAACTGCTGACTCGTGTCCAGTTAAGGAACGTATTGCCGAGACCTTTATTTCACAATCTGGTAACGGTCGCATCGTTCTGGCAGGCGACGCAGCGCATGTCCACGCGGTTAACGGCGGGCAAGGCCTCAACACCGGTATTGCGGACGCGTTTGCCTTGAGTTGGCGGCTTGGAATGGCCGCCAATGGTCTCTCAGGACACGAGGTTCTCCGCAGTTACGATACCGAGCGCCGTGCCGTCGCGGCTGGGGTCATCGAGGTGGCTTCGAAGCTGGTGCGGACGACGGTGAAGACGGCATTGGAATATGTGGATGAGATCGAAAGAAACGCCGGATATATCACCGGTGGGTCAATCATACTGGAATACCAATCATCAGGCTAATATATCCTGTAGGCATGGGTGTGTTCTATCCTCCAGGAATCTTGGTCCGCGAGTCGGAATTCGGAGAATTCGTCGCTGGTCATCGCTGTCCTGATTTGACCGTCACCGCGCTCTCGGATTCTCACGAAGTTAGTGCAGGTGAGCAAAGGAGACTATACACTCTCTTCCAATATGGCAAATTCGTTGTCTTGTTTCTTGGAGACCAAGCTGGCTCGATCTCATCAGCAGCGGTAGAAAAGTATCAAGAAGTCGCGGATTTCTGGAATGTTCGTGCGGACGATCAGCGCAGTGACAGTAGCATCCCCGAGTATCAAGCAAACTGGGTTGAGAACCAATCTGGGGTTGTGGTGATTCGGCCTGACTTCTACACAGGATATGCGGGAGAGAAGTGGGCGGATTATCTCGACGCGTTGTTGACGGCGTGATTGCGGGCATGTGACTTCATCCCATCAGGGCTTAGCTTATCAGACACACCACTTCACTCTACCTAATAATTTCCTCGATGACATTCTAATGTTGACAGTAAGTGAAGCCAAATCTCTGCAAAATCAGAGACTGCACTGCACCACCGTAGATGCCTTAGCCTGAGACATGCCAAGCATTCGTACTCGTCTATACACAACACGTAGGAACGCCTCTTCTTCGTCCACAATGCCATAATCAACTTACGCGATTTTATTATTCATTTCAAATCTCATTCAGCTGTCCTTGTGTGGTTTAATACGAGAATCTTGAGTGTGTATCTTGAATTGTTCCCTTGATATTTCTTTTTTTTTTTTTTTTCTTTTTTCTTTGCCTCGGCACCGAGAAGAACAATATATACATCACAAACCCTAGGGGCAACAATTTTGGTCTCAGACGACCCCTGAGTCCCTGTACTAAGCCTTTGATGTATGAATGTACAGTGATATCCGGATTACGCTTAAACAATCTACTTTCACCTCATTACACGGCGAAGTTGATAGGTTTTAGATAAAAGGATTCATGGAATACTTAGTAGATTGCCTCCGAGGGTCGAACATCATGATTGGGTGCCTAGTTGATGTATCCTCGCATCTATCCCAGCCTCGTTCTCGCCTGACAACCAATCAATACGCATTGTGGACAGCAGCAAATAGTTGGCAAAAAGGCCGTCACTCTCTCACTATGGTGGCTTTCACAATCCTGCATAGCCACATTTACTCCCTCGGTCTCCATTTAACCCTCATCATCAACGTGCGAAACCTTATTGAAGCCAAATTCTGTACTGCGTATTGTGGCAATCTCCCAAGCTAAAAAATTAAGCCAGCAGACTGAGATAATCCTATGCCGAGGGCTGACAATGAGGATGAGCCGACGTCTCAGCCGCCTAGTATCCAATCATCAGCGTTAACTGCAAACCCTATTCTGAAAGAATGCAGGATGCGATGGCCAGGTGGTGGGATTCCCGCTCCAGAGGTCGTCAACGCCATCCTGAACCCCTCAGTAAAGCGAGTGCTGTTTTAGCATGTAGCATTTAGGAAACCAACTAAGAGCATAACTCTACCAGACTGAGTGAACTGGACCCCACGCTAAGGCGCGCGGCTGAGGGGTACAGAGGTGAGGACTGTATAAACGGGCAAAGGCATTTGTCCGCCGATCCAATATCCGGTTCAGGCACGTTCATTTGCCCGTTCGGATGCGATGTACCATGCCTGGATACAGACAGCGAGAAAAGGCATATTAGACATCATCTATTGCCCTCCTCGGGCTGGTGCTCCGGATGTTCTGAAAGTAGATTTGTCCATCATGTAAACCACTTTTGTGCCTGCCTGCCATACGGATAAGCCGGAGTGGCTTCCACCTGCGATAAACAAGGTTTATGTGATGGTGAGCGAAAGGTTGAGGTTCCAGCCGAACAGGAACAGAACGACCACGCAAAGGCGCATGATGCACTTTTTGGGAACGCATTGGAAAGTTCTCGGATTGATGAAACAGAGTTGGGCCAAGCTGTCTGGCACTCTGGGGATGGTGATAGGTTTTTGCCGAAATATGGAGAAGATTGGTGAAGCGCCTCAAGTGTGGGATTTAGGTAAGCACGCAGAATCAATTCTTTATTCAACCTCTACATCGTAAAAAAAAATTTATGGACACCCTAAGAAAATTTGACTTGCTTATGATCTTCGTCACTCATTATGGAACTTTCTCCAGCCATGTCGAATATAAAACATCGCCCTGTGTAAGAGCCAATTACGAAAAGGGAATGGCTCGTCGCGGTATGGATGGGGAGGTGTATGGTTGGGACCCATAAGACCTTTTTTCCTAGGTGCTTGAGCCACTGACTGTCTGACTCCATTGTCCATTCCACCTGGCTTGCATCTTGTCTTGTTGTTAGAAAACTTCGTGTATGCTTGTTGAACAATGGAATGTCGTTGATGTATAAGTCATGATCCAGAGATTCCGCACCGGAATGGACCGTGTACATGGCAAACCCAGAAGCACAATCCCAAATTCGGATATAGTCGTCCGCATCCAGTGTCGCGAGGTATTTACTGTTGGATGAGAAAGCAACTTTGGGGTCTACATCAATATCCCCAAAAGCATGTAGTAGGGATCCCGTTTGCGTGGACCATAACCGAACCTGGCTATCTGACCATGCCGAGGCAACGACGCGGGAATCGGGAGATAGAACAAGCAATTCAATATCCCCAATGGGACGCGAAGCAGTTGGGCGGAAGCGTGTTGAGTCAACGTTCCAGATCCTGAGTGTATTGTCGTCAGAGCCTGAAACTACTCGCCGGCCATCGGACGATAGGTCGACAGTTTGAATGAAGCCATCATGCCCTGAAAAGCTTTGCAGAACGTCATCATCCTTCATATCCCGGATTTTCACTGTCTCATAGGCTGATATTGCCACCCTTCGCCCATCCGACAGACAGATTGTAGACATGATCGTGCCCGTATTACCCTGGTATGAACACAGCATGGATCCGGTCCTGATGTCCCACACCTGGACAACCCCTTCACCGCGAGAGATGGACGCAATCTCTGAATTGTTGGACAAGAAAACAATTGAAGATACAAGGCCTTCGGGCCTAAACATCTTGTGCATCTTTCCTGTGTATATATCTCCTACCCTAATGATGCCGCTAGAATCAACCGAAGCTACCCACTTTCCATGGGGTGAAAGCGCCGTGGGGCCCACAAGACTTGAATGGAGCTGATAGGCATGCCTCCGTACCTTTGCGTGAAGATCCCAGATCTGTATGGCGTTACACGCAGACAGAAAGATGATGCTATTGCTGTCCATGGAGAACGTGAGTATGCTTTTGTAATGATCCGTGTTGGAAACCATCTCTAGGGTACCAGTATGCAGATTCCATAGACGAACAGTGCAGTCCACAGAGGCGGAGCCTATCCAGCGACCGTCAGGCGATACCGCCAGATTCATGACGGATCCTGTATGACCCTTCAAACAACGCACGTTGGTGCCGCTCTCTGTGTCCCATATTCGAATGCTACAGTCGTCGGACCCGGACACAACAAATCGGTTGTCCGGCGTGAAGACAGCTGCCAAGACTGGTTCGGTATGCCCCTCAAGGATATGCAAGCATGGACTCCATTCCTCATCCAGCATCTGATGATTGACCAACCATTGCGGCATTTCATGGTGGAAGATTTCTTTAATGATGCTTCTTTGAGGACTGAATATAAGGGCAGAACAGTAGACCTGGAGAGGCGCAGTTTCAATGCAAGTCTTGTTGTAGACGACAAATTGGTACGCATCTTGAATCATGTCAATCATGCGTTGGTTCGAAGAAGGGGATTTCTAGGAAGCATGATAAGTGTGAATCCTTTAGCTTATTTGAGAATTTTCGAGTCCTGACCTTCAACAAATTCTGCAGACTTCTGATCATCGGAAGGGAACGTGCTAACAAGCCCATTAGGCTCAAAGCCTCCAACCAATGGAGAAAATGCTGCCTCAGGAATTTATCAAGTCTCCCTCCATCATATAAGCCTGTCTGAAGATATGAGTCAGGTGGCACATAAGATATTGAACTGGCCAAATGTTCGACCCAATGTGTGGTGGGATAGCCCAGTACCGCAAGAGGGTCAGACTGAGGGCGGATGATCTCTTCGACCAAAATACCAGGGTGGTCTAAGCCGTATATATTTCGAGCCAATTGGGTCTCCATAACGTCGAGCAAGCGTTGAGACAATTTGTTATGTTCATCCGCAAGCCCATCCGCAAATAGCCTTTGGCCCCTGCCGTTGCAGAAGTAGTCTTTGGCAGATTGATGTATGACATACACATAGCCACTTCGGACGAGTAGATATGAGCTGCAGAGGTCGACTAACTCAGGCACATCGCCTATTGCATCCACTGGTAGCCCTACCACCATCCCCAACTCTCCGAGGTTCAGTGGTCGAAGGGAGAGTATCCCCACACGAAGAATTCTTTTGCATAGTTCCTTGTCGTCTTCGTCATCAATAGTCTCAAGTTGCTCCAGCATTCGATCATACAGCGGGCCTAAGCCGGATGGTAATTTCTCTAGCTCCATCTTCAGTTTTCTCCGCGAAGTTAGCTGCAGGCGTTGGCAAACCAGCGCGACCCAAAGAAATGTGGACTCTGACTTCTCCTTCAGTATACTCCCCAATTCTTCCCGTTCTTTTTTGGAAAGACCCTTTCTCTCGGCAAGCTGGTCGATTCTTGTTTCAACAAGGTGGTTTACCGACTTCAACACACGAGCTTCGCTTGAGTCGAGGTCCAGGCAGATTTTGTAATTTCCGGGACGCAGAAGCTCTTCGATTTGGGGAATTTGTCGACTGGAAATGAGCCATTTGGCCTTCGACAACGAGTCTGCGGACTGCAGTAAGATCCATTCGCAGAGGTCTCCCATGCCATTATCGCATTCATCTAGAGCGTCAAGCACTACAAATACTTTGTCCAGGGTTTCATCCCTAAGCATTTGGGAAAGCATAACGGTAAGCATGGCGAACGCGTTCGGACTCTCGAACACCTCTTTCCCGTTGTATTTCTTGCACTTGTACTCATTCGGTATGTATTTTTGAAGCCCGTGATGCGTCCAGAGCAATCTCCAAACAAGTGCCCGGAGCACGGATACTGCGTTGTTGAGGTGAGGTATGCCATTTTGACAGAAGAAGTAGCAAAGGTCCGCTATCTGGGGCAGATAAAAGTCTACTAGGCCGATCATTGCCATTGTCTTGCCTTTTCCAGGGCCACCCTTGATCCACAGCAGCCGAGCATCAGCACTGGTTTGCCATTTTTGCAGCTCAGGGCTTTCCATGATCCAGTTATTGCACTCGGCTACGAAGCCTCCCTTGCTTTGCCGTATTCGGGTCATTTCATTCTGTGGGTCGGTCTCACAGATATCGGCAAGGAATTGATGTAGAGTTTCACTGGATTCTGGAGACGCACGCGCCGAAATCCTTTCAAGGTGAATTTTCTCGGACTCCAAGTGGGACAGCAGCTCTTTGGCGCACGCGGCGGCAGAGGCAGCGGCATAGGGCTGCCATGTATCATTTTTGTGTGAGTCGGCATAATCGGAAATACCGCGTATGACAACAGCAGGGAATTCGTTCATCAACCCAGCAGCCTCCATTTCGAAGCACAAAACATCGTCATTGATCTCCTCGATGATCGCAGTTCGTTTGATGCCGCTCTTGATCACCCGATCTCCGGATGCTATCAAGCCATAGAATATTCTCGGCATATTATCAGTACGCGTTGAACGTTGTAAAGCCATGTTCGCGTCACATTCTTCGCATGAAGATTGATCAGGTTTGTGGGGATAAGTCGCTTCAAATAAAATGTCAGGCTCCGATGGCCTCGGGTATGCATCCAGAGCCACTGTAGAGAGGCCATCCTTCCTGCTTAGTCGAAAAACACGCTCGTTTTTCATTTTGTACACTGCCCCTCTGAGGACCGACGGCGGAGGACTAGTGAACCCTTTTCTCACAAATTCTATCTCGGTGTCTTTACCGAGGTCATATTGGACGACACCCCCATGAACATCAGTAGCCTTGCTGACCACCACATCACCCAAGCGTATTTCACTTTTTGTACTTGGGGCACCTCCTCCAATCCCGACGAGCACACGATACTTGATCGATGGGAATGAGCGCGCCATATTCGTCGCAGCGATAGCGGAGGCGCTTTTGCCTTGATTCCCTGGAAGACAAGCGATGACAACATTATGGCCACTGAGCTCCCCGAGGATATATATAGTGGAGTCTTGGGAGCTCACCGGGAGACTTCTGTGCTCTCGGTCGAGATGATGACGAACAGCGTTCATTTCCAGCCCTAGAGCACAGATTATCCCCACCGTATAGGCTCCGTAATCGAGAGTGGGGTCATCTCGGACCATGATCGTCAGCAGGGCTGCTCTAGCCCCTTTGACCTTTGGATGTCAGTCCACGGTGAATGTTTAACAAGATTGCTTCGAAGAAGTCGGCAAAGCTGTCGGTGCGGGGATCCCGTGACTTGATAGGGGTATTTGCGGGGTTCTCACGCCCACGTGACTATGTTGATGGCCGACTCTTTTCGGGATAGATCCTTTCAAGATCTATAGTAATAAGGTCTAGTACTAGGTCTTTGGTGAGCGTGTCAAGAGATTTAATTTCATTGAACAATACTAACTAGCAATCTCAAGGCTTTCTAGAAAACCTCGATGTAATGTATCTCCCAATATGGAGAAAGGATGTGTGACATCTTAAGTCATTGATTTGAATAGGTATGCTCGCTCAGCAATTAGAAAGAACTGGCCATATTATCGAGCCCTAATCCCGAAAGCGACCTGTCGCTGGACCGGTTATATCAGGGGCTGTATGTCCATTATTCTTTCAGAATCGGGTGCAGACAGGCTACATATGGCGACTCTCCACTATATGGCTAAGTGCTCTTACTCTCCGCATGAATGACGAGTTCGGGTGTCCAGGGGATCAGTGCGTTATCATATCTCGTTTGGGGCTCTGACCTCAAGCTTCGTAAGCCTCCCCTGGCGAGCTACGTCCATTGGTCTCTCTTAGTTAGATGGTAATCAGCAACAGGCTCTGAAATTGTTACAATCAACCAGAGCGAAAGAGATGGGTTAGGCTGGTATGGATTGATCATTGACTGGGACTTGCCTAGCCTCAGCCGCGACATGTTATCGTCCGTCCTTCCAGATTATTCTCGCGCTCATTTGTTGGCCTTGGCAATACAATTGATGACTTCTTCCTAATTTCGCATATGGTTGGTTAGTAGGTCCTGACATCTAAGATACGTGGAAACTCACGACAGGTTAAGTGTCCGTTGCCGAAGGGAACGCTAGAAGACTTGTTGCTACGACATTTGGCGTAGATTGGAGGCAGTGTGACTTTCCCTTCCACCACAGGGGGGTGTTCGTGATCGGGAGCCTTTTTAGAAGAAGTCATGATTGATTGATCGAGGGGATTTTGAGATTGATCGAGGGGATTTGCTTGAATATGAGGTTCAGAATGAGAAAACTCCTCAACGAGCTTGTGAGTCTGACAGCAGTCGCTAGCCTTGTGATGAGGTAAAAGAGACTTGAGAGGATTTTTATTAGGAGGTCGAATATTAGGAGGTCCTCAGCAGGGAATTGCGGTAGTCCTCAACCGCTTGCTCTGCACCTTGTAGGTTCGACTCGGGTTCTTAGGTAGCCTCATCAACTGGCCAGCTCTTCCATTGAACTAGAAACTGCGTTTGTCTGTTCCTACCCGTTTTTCTCTCGTTCAAAATCTTTTCTACTTCGTAGCTATCATCATCATTCGCGAATTCCTCTACCTGCAATGGACCTGGTTCAGTTGCTTGGCGATCGAAAGGATCTTTCTTAGCCGGTGCAGGTTCCGAATGGACTACCGAGATGACCGGGTGTATTTTCCAAGCAGGTGGTAAGTCCAGATGGTAGGAAGATTTGCCTACCTTTTCAAGAACGGTGCGAGGACCGGCGAGTTGAAAACCGAGCTTTCTGCCAACTGGGCAGCCTCCTCCATTCTTCTCATCCTTCTGCATCAGCCGGCGTAGCTTGTGGGTGGATGAACTGTTAAATGTAATTTCCGCGTATCAAGAAGGCGTTCCAGTAGAGTCATATGATACTCATTGTCCTCACATTTCGGATTGTTCACCCTTCAGTCGTAGGCTCAGGGGTGGTGGTGTTCCAGCTGACCATCGCCCGTTCCCAGATGGCCTCCCCTTTTTTGTCATGTGCTATATTATTAGGATATTCATTTAAGACCCATATGCGCTTTCTATCCTCTCCAAACCGAACGGTTTCTAGCAAATCTTTGTAAGCCTACTCCCGGTCTATGACTCTGGCTAGTTGAAAATTCACGAGTAGGCGACTTCAAAGCAGAGAACAACTTCTCAGTCTTCAATCCTTGGTTGTCGCTTCAATGAAGTAAAGGTGCGTCGATTCTCGACCTGACAAGCTTACAGAAATGCTACATCTTTATTTAGCCGTTAGAACTGGCTTAATATCATTATAAATCTATCCACCACACCAAAGAAAAAAAAACTTACTAGTAACCGGGCAATGTCCTTTGCTTTCCTTTTGCTTGAGAATCTGACCGGAAACAAATTTCCAGAACCTATGGTGTTCAGCTATCGACATAATTTCCCCTGGTTGCGTCGTATTCCTCCGAGCGCTGCTAGCCATTTCGCGTCGCAGCTCTCTTCGCGCACTCCCCGAGACCATTTCCTTTACATAAGGGTAAGCACTATACAGCATATTACCAGATGCGACTAGGTACGAAGGGCTTAGGGTATTCAGGAATAGCAAAGTCTCACTCATTTGCCAGCCACCGACCATGAGAGACGTGACGTAAAATCGGGGACCTTTTTTGGAGAAAGAGATCTTTAAAAAGAAAATGTGGAGAAAGAAGTAAAAGGAAAAACCAGAAGGGAACCTAGAACTAAAAAGAAAAGAAAAAAATTAAAGAGAAAAAAAAAAAACAACAACCATACATCAACACATCAACACGCGGCCGTGTGTGGTTATAGCGACCTCCTCAGTCAGTGATTTCAAGGTCCTGATAGGTGTCCCGCAGAAGTCATACCGGCACTGAACCCTGAACAGAAATCCATATCAGCTTTGAATCAACTATCACGGAAGTCATTGAAAGAAGGACCTTGTGCGATTCAAAGAAACTAACCAAGTAATAGCCACATGGGTAGGAGAATCGGTTCGAGTATTCAAGTCGTCGAATGAACGAGGGATTAAACTGGGCTAGATGAGCTTTTGCCCAGTATGGTGTATGGAATGATAGCCTTTCCTTGATTTGGCTGATGAAATTGTTTGAAAAGCTCCTGAAACAAGCAATATGAGTGGCGGCGGTGCGGATCAGTTGGTCTTTGTTATCTATTGAATCGACAAAAGGCAACTAGAAGTCAACATAGCCACCCAAGTGTTCCGACTGGACGAGTGTTGCAAAATCACCCATTCTTGGATCAAGCGGATGCAAAAGTTTCCAAGAACCTAAAAACAAGCAGTTGCGGCAGCGGCAGGGACACATTGATCTGTATCTTGTGTCCTCTATTGAGAGTACACAGCGAGAAGTCCACTTGGCTACTCAAACCCCCTGCGTGTCAACGTTTGGCTGGGATGCAAGTATATGCATGATCGTTATTTATTCGGCCCGTATAGAATGGTAGGATAATTTGTGGAATGGGGTTGATTGCTGGGGCGTTGAACGGACTGATGATGGAGAAGGTAAATCGGGAAGAGGGATAGATGGAAGGAATGGAGAGTTAGCAAGGAGTCGTTTGACGTGGATTGTTAGATATGATGAATGAATTCAGAATATGTGAATATTAACTACCTGACTTTCGTGGCGCTTCACTATCCTAGATGTGTCGAGGATACTGAAAAGGCCCCCGAAAAGGTGAATTGTTAAGAAACTAAAAGAAAGAGAGAGAGAGAGAGACAGAAGCCTTGTCGTTGAAAGTCACGCATTGGTCGCTGGCATAATAAAAGAAATAAAGCATGCATCATACATTACCAACAAGCGATGGTCAACAATGAAGCATCTCCCGAGCATGCCGCATTTCCTCCTCCGACGGCAGGTTCACGATCATCAAATACATAACATTCTAGACAGTATTAGCCATCCAACGTACCGTAGTATTTGAATCGAGACTCACCGATTTCAACATCTTCTTCATCCCTCCACCAAGTAAACCTTCGCGCGGATTCCGAGATCCAAGTCCGAATCCGCCGGGACTTTGCCCGTATTCACGGTGTTGGGATTGTGGTTGGTCACTCCCACCTGTGCTCCGAGACCTCGAGGCCTGGACTCCACTGATGACCTGGCCTATCGGACCCCGGCCGAGGAAACTACCACCGAGTCCACCGCCTCGCCCGCGCATCGGGCGAATCTGGTCGCCTGTGATATGACCACCGGTGACAAGGCCCATGAGAGAACCGCTGCTGGCGGGATGACTTGGGTCTGCGTAGCGGGATGTGAATTCAGGTTTGGGGGCTTTGTTGAGGTCGCTAGTTGGATTTTCCATTATCTGATTGACCATTAGCTGTCCCATCGCAACGAAGCATACAGAATTGAGGATAGAGAAACGTACAAACTCAGCCTGGCCTCTCCGATCCAAGTAATGCGCCACAAAGGCTCGTCGCGAATTGGCTTCTTTCAACTTCTTTTCCGCATCGGGGCTCTGCACCGCCAGCTCATCAAGATCCGGGAATACGAGCGGGGCCGTCTCGGGGAAGGGCAAGTTCCCATACGTCTTTCCGTCGGATGACTTATACTTATGTTTCATCTTGTTCATCCACCCAGATCCTCCGTGGTCGACAGAGTTCGAGATAGCCGAGTTCAAATCGAAGCTAACACAAGGGGAATCAGATTCCGGTTTCCAGGTCATGACGAGACAGTGCAGGCCACGAGGATGAAACATCTCCTGGTTGATTTTATCAAAGTAGGTATTTGTTCTGCTGATGTTAGCACCAGCTCATGATAAATCTGGGAACGTGACTAACTTTCTCCGGTTTTCGGCGGCGATAGCAACGTCGGTTCCGACCTGGATCATGATGGATACAGCAATTCCTATCGCCGACGGCATGAACATCGTGCCGATGGAGGCCAAGTTAATCGCCGCAATCCACCCCGCAGCCTGGCATGCTTTATTGGATGTCTCCAGAAAGTCGATGAACATGGCCTGTTCGATGCCAAACTCGTCCAGAACCGGCGCGTATGCCCGGATGAAGCCACGCTTACGCGATCGAGGTCGTCGTTGCGGCAGGATCACCGGGTAGGAGAGTTGTGGGTGTCCAGCGGGAACCGAGTACGCTGCGGGATGGGATTCCAGAAAGGCGCGGGCTAGTTGATCGACATCTTGTGTGGGTGTATACTCGGGCGGAGAGTCGTGATGGAGCTGATCTTGAACCTCGTCAAGCTCCCATTCTGCTTCGTGTTGCTCTTCCATAATTTGTTCATGTTGATGTTCATGCTGAGGGATGCTAGGCGTCGTGGTGGATGATTCAGAAGAATGTTCTTCTGTAGGCGATGCATTCTGGGACCTCCTGTTCGTCTTGTAGGCGGTGATACTCTCGGAGGCCAGACCAACCCCGGCAGCAACTCCTTTGACAATTTTTTTCCGAAGAAACATGGTAGACTAAGTATGGTAAATCAAACGTTGTTATACGGAAAGGCAGCATCGCAGCGATCTGAACAGACTTTAAATATCCTGCAGAATCGGTGCAACCGCCGACGTGCCCGACGGGGAAAGCATCACGGCTGGCAAGGATGGGGGCGAGCGTCATGATTGGCAGTCGCAGGGATTGATTTTCAGCTAAGCTCGTGGAGCCCCGTCTAAATTCTCTTGCTTCGCAATTCAACGCATGCAAAGATCCAATTTCTTCCCTCTGTTCTCCCTAGTCTAGACCCCGTATTTCACGAAAGATGGAGCGATGCGGCGCAGCAGGGGCTGGATACGAAGCAATGGCAGTCTGACACGCGTCAGCGGCGCATTCAAGCGGTCGCACAGCCCGTATCTCACGGTCTTTTGTCTTCAGCTCAAGGCCCGCGGCATGTCGTGGTGGGTCGCTCCAGTGCAAGGCTGAGACTAAGCATTTGCTATTTGCTTGGCGCTGCTTATAACCCTTCGCAGTTTAGTGCTGAGGCCGGGCGCTGTTTACCGGAGCTAGTTGGCATTGTAGTCGGCGTCAGATTTATGCGCTGGCCGAATCTGGGTTTGCAAATTTTGTGCTTGAATCCATGTTGCTATCTGGCTCTGTCAGATTGGTTGACAGTGTGAGATGGAGTTGCCGAAGAGAGTTGAAGTTGTGCGGCGCCGGTCGAGATGAAGAAGCGAGTGGAGTGCCTGAGGCCCAATTGCCAAGCCTTCCCCTCCTTTGGCCATTTCATCTGTGCAACATCAAGACAGACTTCTTCTCCCTACACAACCCCTTCAAATCTTATTCATTCTTCGATTCGGTCATCAGGCCCCCATCTATATCACTTTATGTACTTTCGATCTCCTATGGGGCAACATCAGGAATCGGATACCCGCCCAATATATATTTCAGGTAGTTCGCGTGTCCTCGGTCAAAGATATAATTTCAATAGCTGTAACGAGAGTCGATGGCGAAGATATACTGATGCCCCATGTAGCCACCGAGGAAGTCTTTCCAACATGTACTAATTCATCCGTCGGAATGATGAATGGCCTCCCTACACCGGTTGACCGCGGTAATTTCGTTAGTACAGTCCACTTGCTGCACCAGGACCCCCTGTTGACTTATATAAGAAAATATTGTTGATTTTTGAATACTTTCAATTGGCTCACAGTCCTACCGCTTGCCATATAAGAAGGCGGTAGATCTGCGAATTCAAAAGAGTAAAGTGTATGATGTGGAACGTACTAACGAAATTACCGCGGTCAACCGGTGTACAACGCGTACGCTTACGGAAACCAAGGCATAGCATGATGAGAAAGAAAAGAATATTTATATTCATCAATCAATTAACGTCTAAATCGTTGACCCATCCAATATGCCAGCATAGAGGAACAGACTAAACCGTGAATGATATCAATTACATCCTCTACTGGCCAGCTTTATCCTTGACCTTCTCCGCTTGTAACTCGGAGAAGCTTTCCGGCCACAGCATCATCTTCTCCTCCCTCGGTGTAGCCGCAACGAACTGAGGAACCTGTGATTGGTCAGCGTCTGGACAGAGCAAAGGGGGAGCACAGAAGGCATACAGCTTGCTTGCTAGAGATGCGACGCCACATGTTGGCCCGCGGGTTGAACCGAGCCGGCACGCCCTGGCCGCCCGTCTTCTCCTCGTCCTCCTTCATGATCTTCTGCACCTCACGCTTGATCTCGGAAAAGTCCTCAAACGGAATATACGGAATCTGGTTCTCCTTGCAGTATTCTTCCAACCGCAGGCCCTTGCGCGCGAATAGCACATCAGCCTCCCGCGCAGCGGGCAGATCCGAAACGCCGTCGCCAATGAAGATGATTAGGGGGACCTCGTTGTCCAGAGAGTATTTCTCGGCCAAAGCGCGGCCCTCCTGGATGGAGCGGGCCTTGTCATGTCCGAGCGGAGTGTCATGACGCCAAATCGGCTTCCACTGGCCACCCTCTTCGCGGATATCTGCATCGTTGGCGACGATCTCGATTTGTGAGGCCTGTCCCTGTTAGATTTCGCTGTTAATTGGTCGTGAACGGATTGCATACCTCTTCAGGACCGAGGAATTGTTTCAAGACCTGCGCCAGAACAGGCTTCAGGCCGGCACTAATGATGTTGAAATCGATTTTGTTGGCGACACAGAACTGGTGGAACTCCTTGAAGCCAGGGTCCAAATCCAGTTGCTGTTGCATGATTTCGAAACCATCTGAGAAGGGGATTTTCAGCGACCCCCACATATCCTCGGAGACTTCGACGAACGAGCGGGCCCCCGTCTTGATCTCTTCCTCGAACTTCTGGCGACCTTCCGCGCCACATCCTAGGGCGTCGACTAGGACGTGGCCACTATCTTGCATGAAGATAGTGCCATCGAAGTCTGATCAGGTTAGATTGGACTTGGTGTGGCGTAGATCGACAGGGGGACAAGCCGGGGCGTACCTGAGAAGCAGACAATCTTTCTAGTGGTAGGCATGATGGATGGCTTTTTAGTGGTAGTCATGGTGGAAGACATGGTGGAAGACATGGTGGGTATGAAGCTGGCAGACAACCGGGGCGAAAAAAGAGTTGGTCAGGGAAAAAGAAGGCATCGTGGACCGAGCGAGGTAAATCGCTTAAGAGTGTTCAGGCGAGCCCGTGGCAAACCGGTTGCGATTCGACTTTTTTTTTTTAAAAAAAACGCATGACGTAGGACATCTCCGGAGCCCAGGGACGTCAATTGTGGGTTCCAGTTCTAGACTTGGCATGGAAACCTATGATGTAGCGGGCGAGAACCGTTGATGACTGAGGATTGTGGAGCGGACGAGTCGGCATTGGCAAACAATAAACGCGAACGACCGGGGAAGAGGAGATGCCGCCGGCACCGGGAAGCCGGACAGCCACATGTGGCGCAGGTTGTGGCCGTGCTTTCAAGGCCTGGTGACGTCATTCCTTCCTTGGACTCGCTGCAGTTTCCTTTTGCCCGCGCGGTATTCCTTCCTCATTATCTCTTTGCCCGGCTTTGGGGCGCCTGTGGGTTCTTTATTCCGATTCGGCTCTACCGCTGTTCGGCTATCCTTCTGTTGCGCTTGGCGCTCACCATATTCGCCTATAGTCCAGACTTGGTTTCTGCAGGGCGTGGATCGTGCTCCGTCCAGGGGATTTAGATGGCCACGCTAATCTGGAGCGTGGTCCACTGGTGGGGGACTGAGCGCGGAACCAGCAATGCGGGGATACAGGCTGACCTGGTCATAGTATGCAGGTACGCCTACATCTGTGCCTTGGTCGGTCGGATTGACTAAGCTTGACTTGTCCTTGGTGAGGTCATTTTGGACATGTCTCAAAAGCTGATCAGCAACACGTTGGTGAACACTCACTGCTTTCATCAGCCCTACTGGCAGAACGGTGCTTTGCTTCATGTTACTATATGACAGACTCGTACCATTTCAGGGCAGGACAGTCTTCAAGTACGAAAGGGCGTTTGAGTGGATGATCAAAGGAACAGACGCATTGGATTGAATCATTGAAACAGAAGAGCACAGCAACAGTGAAACTGTTAACAGAAAAGAGCCGATTGAGCCCCAACACATATCGACATACATGACTTCCACTTAACAGACTGGGAATGGCTCCGACGACTCACTAACCCCGTCATCGTAGATGACCTGCTCACCCGGCTCAGCAAAGACCGTGTGCTTATTCTCAACCGTCTTGCATCCATTGCCGACATTAGCCACAAATATATCCGGGTAGGCCTCCTCAAAAGACGCAGAACTGCCACTACCCCCGGTGATCTCGACATCGGCACAGTTCATGTACATCTCGCGGTTGCCGACAAGGTTGAACCAAGACCAGGCAAACAGGGCTTTGCCGTCAGCCACGTCGCCAGGAAGCTGAAAGTCATATTCGGTGGTCAACGGGCACCCGCCCATCATGGACTCGATCACTTTGAACGTGTTGCCGTTGTCATAGCTCAATGAAAGCTGGCATGATCCTCCACCGTGGGTCGCGGAGCCGGACAACGAGATGTTGTATGTTTCGCCAGCGGCCCAATTTGCGGTGGTGCGCCAGGGAGTGTTCTTGTGGTATCCTTTGCATGGGAAGTTGGATCCTGCGCATATGAGATTAGATCAACAGACTGCGCTCGGGCGAGTCGCTTGACATACCGCTGCTTTCAAGAGGACTGGTCATCGAATAATCAATGGTTGAGGGATCGCTCTCGGGATCCAAGGCGCTGCGCAAAGGATAAGGCCAGCTCAGCTGCATGTGAGCTGCGGCGAGGCCGGAGGTGAGAAGAAGACCGAAGACTGCGTTGACCATTTTGGCGTTTGCACGATAGCTTGCCGATTGGATTGTCAGGTAGTTGAGATGCTTTTGGCCTATTGACTTCAATGCACCAGAGCAGGTCTTTTTATACCTCTTGCTCGCCCTTCTTCAACTACACCGTCGCCTCAGAACTTGAAGCTCGTGTTGCATTTGCCCCCAAGTTGCATGCTTCAGTTTCATCATCGTGAGAGGAACACTTTGTAAGTGCACAGTGAATTGCTACACTCGAGATACATCATGAAGCGACTGCACAAGACCATCTCGTATGTTTCCCCAGGACTCGTCGCATGCAACCTACTAATCTCCGCACCCGGCTTGGCCACATGTCCGTCCAGTCAAACCCCCAGAGTTATCTTTGGCGCCGGGTACCCCGGCCAGATCTTTGCGTCTTTGATGATCGCAATTTCTCGTTTAGCGAGTCTGGGGTGGTCTATCCCGAAGGGGCCGCGTCCGTACGAAGGAGCACCGACGGAGTAGCTGTCTCTCTCAGGCGCATTGACGTCGAGTCGATATCGCCTGGGTTGCAGTCACAATGGAGATCAGATAGAAGGATTGATTGCACCGGTGATAAACGTGCATAATGGCATTCTAAGGGGTCGCTTATCTAGGACCTGCAGATGCTCATCCAATCGCGTGGATTTCCCATTCGTCACAGATAGACTATCAACGTCACGGGGTTGGCACGTTTTACTAGCACAACGGGGCAGGCCTCATGAGAACACGACTTGATCATCTTCCAACAGATTATTTAAGCGACAGGCGCTAATTACCGTCGCATCGCGTGAGGAGAGTCCGCTTGGCAGTGGTGATTAATTTCCTGAAGCGAGCTAAAACGCCTAGCGGGTTAGTTTCTACTACGGTCTGATCCTACAGTTACAGCTTCGAGCGAGGTCTTGTCGCGGAGAGGTTATTCAGGGGCACGGAGGTTATCCCTTACGATTTTCTCCCAGTAGGGCCAATCGCACTCTGTGATCAAGTAGGTTCCTGTTGGTCTGCGAGGGACTCTTATCAGCGGGTCAATCATTGGTTGTGGGGGTGAATTTCCCCACAAATCTCCGGATGCCGAGCGCCAGTGCGATTACATTCCTCAGGTTATGCAGGATGCCGAGGTATTCATGACAATGAGATTGTGCAGTTGAATGTGCATCTTATTCGCAACAACTGCCCTTGAGACTTTATCCAAAAATTTGACTCTGCGGCTTGTCCAGAGAAGGCAACCCCGGTTACATACCAATGCAGCTCCATCATTGGATCCCGCTGGTCAACGATGTCATAGACACGAAATGTCTACCCATCCCAACTGGGACTTTCATCCAGCCTATGAGACGATCAATGAGTCTGCCAGGAGCCAGGAATTGATCTGACAAATGAAACTCCCCTCATAATCCACTATCTCTATATCCTGAACCCATCTTCATTATATTCCCAACAGCCAACCCAGCAAAACCACGACTACCAAAAACATCAAAATGACCACAACAAACACCAACCCCCTCCGCATCGCCATGGCATGCGATGAAGCAGGCTGGGACTACAAAGAAGCGATCAAAAAAACCCTCGAATCCAACCCCCTCGTCTCCTCAATCACAGACGTCGGCGTACACAACTCATCCGACAAAACCGCCTACCCACACCCCGCCGTGCAAGCCTCGCTGCTAGTCCGCAACGGCGAAGCAGACCGCGCGCTCCTGATCTGCGGCACCGGGATGGGCGTCTCGATCTCGGCGAACAAAGTCCCTGGTATTCGGGCCGTGACGGCGCATGATTCGTTCAGCGTTGAGAGGGCGGTGTTGAGCAATAATGCACAGGTGCTGTGTTTCGGACAGAGGGTGATTGGCGTGGAGTTGGCGAAGAAGTTGGCGACTGAGTGGGTGACGTATACGTTCGACGAGGGGAGTGGGAGCGCAAAGAAGATCGAGGCGATTAGTGAGTATGAGAGGAGGTTTGCGGGGGGAGTGCAGGGGTTGAGTGAGGAAATTGTGATTGATTAATGGAGTTTGGGCTCTTGTATAAGGGTATTATCGCTTTCGCCGTTGCTGTTGCGTTGAGCATTTGGGCTTATCTAATGTAAGTGCTTATATGTATGTCTTCTAGTTCCTGCGTTCACCCTGACGCCTGTTCAGATATCTTGACTATAATCAGGCGTTTACAAAATTTTACTGTCGGTTCTTCCGCCGTTCGTGATTGTGCTTCTACCCATTCAGACACATCTTTTAATATATTCGGAAGTGGGCTATCTTATAACCCGCGTGATGAAACAGTTTTTAAGTTTCCAGTCTCGTGGAAGATTGATTATTGAATAGCACCTACGATAGAACTCATCACAGTCCGAAACAGTATTGGCTAGTTCATGTGAGGCATGATAATCATACTCTGTGTCTGTATGATCTTCGCGGCGATACCTGGAAGTATCAAGCTGAGTTTATCAGTCTTGCCACACTATCTACGCCCGACCTATACCCAAAGCTGCGACAGACGCTGGTTTACCGGATTCTCCATTCGAACTTGATCCGAGATGGACAGTTTAGACTTTATGTTTTCTACTATGCTATCAGCCCGTCCTTTCACATCGCCGTCAGCTACCGCAATTTTCCCTATCTGCATTGGCAAGAATTGAAGGATCCAAGGATTCCATCTCCGCAGACAACCCCGCATTCCCCGCGCTCGGCACATTCCGATAGTCCGGCGGAGGCGCCGCTTTTCCGCTGCTCTGCCCTGGAATGACATCGTACGATCTGTGACGTGCTGGCTGTCGATCATCGGGAAGAAAGACGCTTAAATGCATGGAATCGCGGATAAATAGATTCCACCGGAGAAGAAAAGCCATCAATCAGCCGGTGGGGTTCAGTCTAGCTGGAGTTCAAATTGCTCGATGCGTCCGGTTAAGCTAAGGTCCTTCTCTACAATTTACCGCCATCATAACGTACTGACTGTAGCAGCACGGCGATCTGTTCGGTGTCAAAATGAGACACCTCCAGTCCCTTCTTCTCCTGTCCAATTGGGCGCTGGCATCTTCAGTGTCTATTCAAGTCTCATTGAACAGCTCGCGCAGAGTCCTCCGACCAGACCTCTATGGCTACTCAATTGAGCCCGTTTCTCTAGACCCCTACCTGAAAAGTCCTCTCGCATCCACCGTGCTCGGTCACATTGCCGATATCGCCGGAGTGCCTGCTCCGATCCGAGTAGGAGGAAACATCGCCGACCAGACAATCTTCGACAAGACCCTGCCCGTCCCCTCGCAAGCCCTCCCCAACGACACGGTGGTCGACGTACTCAAAGTCCAAGAGTCCTGGTACACCGGTTGGACCGACTACTTCCCCCAAGGAACCAACTTCATCTACACGCTCAACCTCCGCAATGAATCCTCCTCCTGGACCAACGCCATGCAGCAAGCCGAGGCTGCGATCCGACATCTCGGACCGCAACTCTCGCTCTTCGAACTCGGCAACGAAATAGACCACTACATCAGCAAAGGCTGGCGCGACCAAACCTGGAACACAAGCACGTACACTGCGCAATGGAAGCGTCTAACCCACCAACTGACCACGGCCCCATTCTACCGTAACGCCTCGCACAAACCCCTCTTCCAGGCCGCCGTCTTCGCCGACCCCCCATGGGTGCCCGACCAACACGACGAGATCGACGACTTTGACATTATCAACGTCACCCGGGCTGGGCTGATCAACCCCCATCTGATCGAATCCTACACCATGCACCTATACCCGCAATCAAGCTGCGACGCCCCGCGAGAAGCCCGGCTATCCCTTGACCTTCTCTCCAACCACTCCGTCATCTGGACCAATATCTCCCAATACATCCCACAAGTCGCGGCTGCAGAACGCGCCCACTCGCGTCTCACCCTCGGTGAAACCAACTCCGCCTCGTGCAGCGGCCGCAGCGGCATCAGCGATACGTTCGGCGCGGCGCTCTGGGCGACAGATTACGTGCTCGCGGCGGCAAGTATTGGTATGGATCAGGTCTTCTTTCATCTGGGTCATCAGAGCGAGTATTCTGCATTCACGCCGCTGTCTTATGAATACAAGGGTGAGAGTTTGGTAGCGGGTGTGCGGGCTCATTTTCTGTCGCATGTGTTTTTGGCTCATGTTGTTGGGGATCGGCAGCAAGGTCAGCAGCACAGGAGGAATCAGAAGGAGGAACAGAAGAAAACAATTTCCGCACTTCCCGGCGCGGCCAATTCCTCTGATCTAGCAGGGTATGCAGTCTTCGGTGGCCATGCCGATCTGGAGAAGCTTGTATTCGTGGACCTGGGGGTATGGAATTCCTCCGAGGGGTTGACGAACCCGTCGACGTTGAGAGCTACAGATTCGAATTTTACGTCGGTAGGAGAGAGGCCGACGAGGACGGTGAAGGTGAAGACGGGATGGACGCCCGGTGCGAAGGTTGATGTGCTGCGACTACAGGGACCGGGGACGAATGCGAAGAGTGGTGTGAGTGTGTCTGGACTCGAGATTGATGTTTTGACGGGCGCTTTGGTGGGTGAGAAGAGGGAGGAGCAGCTGGTTGTTGGACATGGTGGGGTCGTGGAGTTTGAGCTGCAACAGGCGGAGGCGATTTTGTTGGAAATCTTGAAGGGAGGAAGTTAGAAGGATATGAAGATGTGGTGCACGTGCGTTGCATGTAGCTCTGCTCAAGTTAGACTAATATGATGGGCTGCACCTGTATATAGTTCCGATTTCCAGATTCTATATCTTGTCGGGCAACACGATCATCAAGTCAGTCTCTGGGTACAAATACACCGTATAGTCGTCACTCGCTATGAAGCAAACAATACACGAGAATACTCAACAAAGAACGATCGTGATGTCATCCAAGCCCTACCAATAAGCCACTATAAGCACGCAATCCCATCGAATTTGAGCCCATCCAGGGATGGTGGGGAGCTGGGATGCCCAGCGTTGGCCCCGCATCAGAACATCCAATATCCCATATCCAGCTTCATTTCACGCTTCCATGTCCTTATTCAGCTATTCAAACCAACTACATCATGTCCGTAGCCCAAGAAATCGAATCGGCAAATGCGGCATACGCAGCCTCGTTCACAAAGGGCGACCTCCAACTGCCACCGAAGCGGTATGTAGCACCCCATCACATCTAAACAGGCAGACAGGCTAACACGACCTACTATAGAAAAGTAGCCATACTGACATGCATGGACGCAAGACTCGGTATGCTGCTCTTCATCTCCCTACCACTTCCGTACCCTTCGGGATCTAAATCAAACTAGATCCCGCAAAAGCACTCTCCCTCGAAGAAGGCGACGCCCACGTTATCCGCAACGCAGGGGGTCGCGCATCAGACGCTCTTCGCAGCATCATCATCTCCCAGCAACTGCTCGGGACAAGGGAGATAATTGTGATACATCATGTAACTCTTCTTGATCCCATAAGCCATCACTTCGGTGATTAAGGGAGTTCGCCACTAACACAAGGAAATGCACGGTGAAGACCGACTGCGGCATGCTCACCTTCTCCGATGGTCAGCTGCGAGAACAGATCCGGACACAGCTGAACCAGGATGCGGATCATATAGCGTTTCTACCGTTTCGGGATCTCAGACAGAGTGTGCTTGATGATGTGAGGATCATCAAGGAGAGTCCGCTGGTGCTGGATGTGCCGGTGACCGGGTTCGTGTATGAGGTTGAGAGTGGGAGGATTGTGAGAGTTTGAAGAAGGGATTACATGCTGAGCGGTGGGTTGGTGGTTTTCTTCATTTTTATGGAAGTTCCAATGTAGTTCAGTCATCCTTTTCTGTTTTTGTCTAGGATCAAGTAGCAATACCGCAATCGAGTATTGAATACGTCTGTAAAGGATGCAATACGTTGTCATAATCCAAGCTCTGGTGCCCTAAGGCACATGACGGACAGAACCCTAAGTGCCTAGACTTTACTAACATGAAGACATTCATAAAGCAGATATTCTATTCGAAAGGTAAAATCCATTCGCAGGGATTGATCTCATTCGCGCAATGGGTTTTGACTATTGGTATACCATGTCTAATCTGAACCTTCACGCCGTCATCGCATTTACATTTCATGCTAGGATAAATGTGACATGAGCCTTCCGTCCTAGATAGTTTTCGGAGGACAGATATCCATAGGCTATGATAAAAAAAGAAAAATATCGGAATATACAAATAGCGTCATATACTTCTCATAAGCCCTCATGAGTAGTAACAGCACCTCGAGAACGTAGTCACCGCCGACTACATGACACCGAAGTCCTATCCCAAGGCAAGAAGAAGAAAAGTCCAATCAAACAGGATACACAAACAACCGATTCTCCATATCGGTCAGATCCAACATAGCCAGATCCACCTTCCTTCTCACCACCTGGCCACTCTCATCCACCTGCTCCACGCACCCCTCCTTCTCATCCTCACTCAACTCCGCCGCCCACTCTGCCCGCTGCTTATTTCTCCTCGTCAAGATCCAATGCACGACGCCTAAAATCGCCGGCGTCCCAAACCAACTGACAACAATCATACTCACCCACGCCCCATAATACCTCGGCGCGGCACTCGGGACCCAAATCTGCGGCGACACAAGATTGCCCACACTATAGCCCACCATGAACATGCCGTTGCGGGTAAGCTTCTTGGTATACCCTGCCGCCGAAGACGTGGCCCACCCCAGGGCAATAATATACGTAATACTGTAGGTATTCTGCGCCAGGAGCATACACGCCAAGAGGGCCAGTTTCTCGGACCACGCGGTAGCTACCATGCCAATGCCACCGGCCATCGCAAGAAGGCACCACACAGCACTATGAAGCGCCAGATATTTCGGGAAATACTTCAACGCGAGCGTGGCCACGATACACAACGCAGTTCCGAAACCCCCACCGGCGGCAGCCACAAGCGTGGATCCCAACTCTGACACGCCAATTGAGGTAGTCAGCAGGTTCTGCTGCCCATAGTTCAGATTATTGCAGTACATGAGGGTGAAAGCCTGTAGGGCAAAGAGCCACGACACGGGGTCTTTTAGAGCCTCGATAAACTGAGCCCGCTTGAACTGTTTCTGCTCGATGGAGCTCTGATGGGAGGACTGTACACGGCGAACGACGTGTACCTTTTCCTCTGTAGAGAGGAATCTCGCCTCCGCTGGGTTGCTGGGATAGCCGAACCAGACCCAGATGGACAGCAGAATGGTCCAGCCGCCGATGACTATCATGAAGAGCTTCCAGGGAAGGATGGGGCCTTTGCTGAAAAGGAGGCCGTAGGAGATGAAGCCGGCGGGGATGGGAGCTCCGACGCAAGTGATCCATAAGATGGGTTGCAGAAAGGATTGCTCCTTGCGGTTGAAGAACATGCCGATCGTGATTTCGAGGGCGGGCACCACGACAGCCTCTACGGCTCCGAGGAGAAGGCGGAGGACAATCAGGCCGCCGTATTTGACTGCGACGCAGTGCAGGAAGATTATGACGCCCCAGGAGAAGATAATACCAGCGACGAACCTCCCAAAGGGGAGGCGTTGCATGAGGTAGTGGCCGGGCCACTGGCCGATCAGGTAGCCTGGGCGTGTTAGATGTGCATGGAGGATTCGGACGTATGGAGAACTAACCGACGTAGAAGAAACTGTTCAAGTTGTTATACTGGGCTTTGGAGATTCCCGTCTCCTCGAAGAGCCCTAGAATAGCTGCATACCCGAGGGTCGACTTGTCCACCTGGAAGCAGTTAGCAGCCAGTCGTGACTTTAGATGGGATTATAGTCAACTGACAAACAAAGTAAGATTGATGACCGACACCAAAAACATGATTTTCCAGTACAGCTTTCTTCGCAGCCTTTTCTCCTTCTCCTCGGTCAACGGGCCAACATTGTCCCCATGTTCCTCAATGAGGTGCAGCGTGACATCGGCGTATTTCTCCTGGATCGTCTTGCCTGCAGTGCGCGCCGAAACCTGGGCTTCGTCTTTGCCCATGTTGGTTAGGTATCCTGATCGTTCTTTTGACAGACAATCTTGAATCAGATCTGGGCCAAATTGTAAGGTCAATGAAGGCGGTTAATCCATCGACAGGGATCAGAGGCTTGACTTTTAAAAATTTCCTTGCAAGCAAATGCCGTTTGCTAGACCAAGTCGATCTAGGGATTTTAGTTGAGCCATATCGGACGTTGGTTGTGCAATCAATCCTTCGGGGGGGTTTACATAATAGCTCATAGTAGCGTGATAGATGCAAGAGATGCATCTGTCCAAACCAAGAGTAGATCACTGGAAGGCCAGATGAGACGAATGAGTTATATGCCTTCAGAGATTGAGTCCATACCCTTATCGCCTCATGGCCATTTGAACTATTGCCTGAACTTGAAACAGTTTCCTTTTCCCAAAACATCCGAGGAAGCTGTATGATACTCAATGGCGATTATGCCATCCCTCCAATGATTGTGCAATACCATCTCAAATGCCGTCGCCGAGCCGAGTTTAGTGGATGGCGCCATTTCAGGCGGGGATAGCATCTTAATCGAACGTCCTGCGAGTCATGACAGCGAGATCGGGCACTAGCTATCGGAGGGTGGGGATGAATGTAATTCTCGTTATTCATACATTTTTCTTGGCTTGGAAGTCATGTCGAGTTTGACCATGTCATTTTCAAATTTCCTCTTTACATCAGATAGGAGTTCACCTGAATAAATTCCCTTGGGAAGAGATGCTAACACTGCCAAGTAGAACCCAAACGAAGTAGGCCATAGAGGATCAAACAGGGTATATCTGCTACTTGACTACGAGTTTTCAGTCTATCCTGTGGACTTCCCGCTGATATGATCGATTAGAAAATAGTGAACGCACAGTGTTCATCCGAGCTATACATCCTTGTCATACCGCTGATATTTGCTCGCTTGAGACTATCACAATGGGACCCTTAAGCCTACTCATTGGCGGTTCTTCACAGCCAGGGCTAGGTCTTCTTTGATTTGGTAGATTTCGGGACCAAATATGACGGGTGCATTGATAATGGTATTTTCCCTTGCCTTCCTCAGCCTCGGTATTCTAGGGGTTTCTGAGTTATCTTTTGTACTCGGTTACCTGAGCTTACTGTTGGTGCGAACGCACTGTCCTGGTCTCCTGGGTGATCGTAAGTCCAATCTCACCAAGCTCTTTCGGGATGCTATTCCCATGACTGTGATTTCGAAGATCGTTTGAATTCCACGAGGCTTATCCAAAGCTTCATATTGTATGGCTCCCCGCCTTCAGGGGGTTATTAAGCAGCCATTGATAAATCCATATGTCGGACTTCTGGTCGTCCTTTTTTGCTATATGGATTGTCCCTTTCCCCCCTATTCTTGGCATGGTCTATTTCTTCACCACTGCCACGTTCCTTTTACCTGTTATTCAGAGGTCTCATGATTTCGCTCCCTGTACTATAGGTTACCTGTAGAAGCCCTCTGTGAACTGTATGGTGCGGTTCCGTGGCAAGCCCACGGGCTTTCAGCTGTCGATGTAGCATAGTCCGATAGAAAGGGGTAAAACATGGTACCAAACAGTGATCTCAGTCTTAGCAGAGCCGATAATTCTTGGTTGCTTCGGCGGGAGGACGACTAGATGTTACTGCAGGTAAGGGGATAGCCCGCAGTAACACGCCAATTACAACATTGCGATGATCTCTTGTTCAGTCTCGGTCATTTTGGTAACTTGGATATTGGTTTCAATATCATAGTTTGACTTCGTGCTACAAATGTCTGTAAAATGATTCTGAATCACCACTGACGATATGGACTGTATCTCGTCATAATATTCATAACATTATCCCGATTCTCGTTCATTTCGTCAAACTGGCCTAGAAAGCGGCAAAAAAGGGTAAAATCATGTTCTAGCTGCTATAAATTCCCGTCTAAGCAGTATTAAGGTTTGCTAGATTCGCATCTCCTATCTCGGTGAATGAATGATCACAGCCTGAGCAAAGAAGCAGTCCGGAAGATGTGACCTTGAAGTGACCACGACCAAGGCATCGGATTTGAAGTCTTTGAGGTATAAGGTATATAAGAGATACAAATGATTTTATTTGAAGGAATGCCATGCGAGAGTCGTTGAGGAGAAGATTCTATCTCAGGAGCGAGCGAGATGCAGAGAGGAGAAAGAAAGAAAGAAGAGATAAAAAGCGAAAGATCGAAGAGCCCAAGTAGTATTGAACAGTGAAGTTATATCATGGTAAATTCCATCATTAGGCATTGAATAAAAAAGCATGAATAAATGCAAAGAAAATTAACTAGGGAGTGAAAACTAGGTTCATCTGATTGTATGGAGTCGAGGTTGGTTCTATTTGGATATTGCTTTTATTCCAAGTTATGACCTTGTAGGTAGAGCATGATAACTACGCAGAAACTGAAGCTTTAGTTCTCGAACTGTGTGATGCCTGTGCGATCAGCTATGTTGACTTGGATCTATATCCTGGCCAACATACATATTCCCAAAGATCAGCTAACAACAGCGCCTCATGAATCCAAGAACATGAAACCAAAACTAAATTTGGAACCCTCTTCAAGCATGCATACCACACCAAGGCATATGCAGTTTATTTATTTCAACTATGGACAACAAACGAACACCAAACAAACACCAACCTCCAACCATAACAATCCATCCATCCCCATTCCACGCTCCGAGATATCCCCGAGCAATGACGCAAGCGATATATACTAACCGCATCCGGCTAGCCCCCGGTTTCTGGAGCCGTCTAGAGAGTTCGCTAGCATGTGACCCAGTCTGCTGCCTGAGGCATTAGAATGCTCCGTTCGTCACTGTTTCTCAGGAAGGACAATCCATTCTTTCCCCAAGCTGTGTCTGAAACATGGTGAGCGAAGAAAGTAGTATGGTCTGCAAATAGTTAGAACTCCGCCCCACAACCTAGATGAGATATCCACATTGCCAAACGCCGCAGCGCAAAGACCTGCCTGTCCCCGGGTGAATGTGCACGTGATCGACACTACGGTAGCCCAAGAGTGCCAGAAGCGAAGTATGATGTCAGCGCTCCGCCAGGCTTGATTCGCCACAGACAAAAAGAATGAATGACATCGCTATCTCATTTACTGTATCTTTTGTTGAGATACCTAGGTAGGCAATTACTTACCGGGCCTTGTAAACAGAGTATCTGAATGCAATGACCTTGGTTCTCTACTTCCCTGACGGACCGAATCCATACCTACCTACCTTTGGGTTGGTGGTTTACCTACCGCACTGTATATACACAGTGCAGATAGGACTGGTAGGTAGTACGGAGTCTTCAGGTAGTCTCCGAAGCTAGATAGTTAGTATGCCACAACATATTTTAGACAGTGTGGATGCAAGAAAATCATCAAACGAAATTAATGCTTTTCAATACCTATTAAGTCCATCCAAAGTTCAAAGTCCAATCTATAATCCTACCCAGCCAGTAAGCGTAAGCAATAAACAAGGTAGACACAAGACAAAAGACCAAACTACCCACTGCGTAGAAGAAAACGAAAGAGAAAATACATGAATCCAGTCTATCTCACCTGGCGAGTTCAAACCGTCATTCAATCTGTTGTTCAACATAAGGTAGTCACTAGCACTAGCACCGATCATCGCCGAACGTCATTTCATCGTCATAAGGGTCGCAGAGTGGAGGTCAAACGGGCGCAGCCAAACCACGTGGTTCTGATGACTGAGGGTCCATCATTGCTCTGATGGATCAATCAGATCGATCAGAGCAACCGCAGGGGTGGAAGGGCGTCACGAAGGCGAAGAAAGAAACAGGAATGGTCTATTATGATAGTCGCCGATGTTCGCCGAAGGGAGAAGAAAAAGGAAACGGGCGGAATGAAAATAAGAGAAAAAAAGGAAAAGAAAATGATCAGCTGCTGCATGGTCATGTTCCATCACTCGTTCAACGTATCCGATCCAACCCAATCCAGTCTTCCAGCCAAAACCACCCCTGTATCAAAAAAATAAGGAGACTTCGAAATCCTCCGCCGGAAAACTGATACCATCGCCCGGTCGAAATTCCACTATCATATCCTGTCCCTCTGGTATCTCGCGAACAACGGTATCGTCGATCATGATGCGCAGGCCGGACTTGTTCACGCGGAGAAGACGGTTGATGCGCTCGGGGGAGGTATCGCGGACTTTAGAGAGCTGACTTTTCAAATTCGACACCGTCCGTTCCATCAGGTATAACGCGCGATAGTATTCGTCGGTCTGCCCGTCGACTCGGCATAAGACGTAGAAGCATGCAACTACGAAGAAAGACGACAGTCAGATTATGCCCATTATGCTGGACAGCGGGATTTCAAGGGGTACTTACTCGCTTTCGTGTGGTTACTAGCTCGACTCCGAATCGGTACGCTCTCGAGCGTCCCTCCGGGGTCATTGGCGGGTGTTTGCATGTTCGAGCGTACTGCCGGGATAGGCGACTGATAGGCACTGTACGCTTCCGAGTCGCCCTGATCCTGCAGCATCTCCATCCATTCGTTGTCGGTATTCATCTCCGATGGCAGTTCGCTCTGCGTGGCAGACCGTGCAGGCGGTCGTGGACTCGATGTGCCGCTCGACAACTCGACCGGAAACTGATCCGGATCATCTTGCTCATTGCCACGCAGCGAGAGCACGCTCGTCGGCTGCGAGGACGAAAAGACCTTGCGCAGGTCAAACAGCTCCTGGTACAGGTCTTCTCCGTTCGAGAAACTGTGCGCTCGACGAGGCACTCGGCTGCTGCTGGGCTCGGCGTCCACCGATTCCAACAGCTGCTCCGACGCCCGCGAGGACAGCGGGACGCGCACCCGCTTCTTCTTCCCCGGGGCTTTTGTGTTATAGAACTCGGCCTCGGCGATCTTCTCCTCCATCTTTCGGATCGCCCGTCGCAGATGAATCGTGTCGTTCGAGAGCTTGCGCTCGGCGCCGTGGTCACGGAAGACCTTCACCTTACAGTAGCAGATCTCCGCACTGCCCGGGGCACCAGGCTGCTGAAGCAAGCCCTGCGAGACCAGCTCGGTCTTGGCACACAGCCGCAGAGGCGCACCTTTGACGCCTTTTGAGAGACTGAAATCCGTGGAGAGACAGTTGAAGGCAACGTGCATCTCGCAGCCGACGCGAACAGCATGCGGATCGACTGTCCACTCCACGCAAAAGCCGTCAAAGGAGGTGCTCTGCAGCTCGACGTGGGCGGCGCCCTCTTCGCGGAACCCATCGTTACGCACATTGACAAATTCCACCGCGGAAAGCTTCCCGTCTCGTTTACGTGCTTCGTTCAAACCCCGACCGTCTCGCCAGAGTCGCCACGACCCGACCGGATCCTCTCGCTGGGCCGCGTTGTCGAATGAGATGCGAATGTACGTGCGGTATCGAGCAGGTTGGACGCGGAATGATGGCGGTCTCGTATCCGTGACGGATATCAGGTACGGCTGACATCGATTCAGGTAGGTGACGGGTATCTCCCGCGACTGGTTGAATGTTGCCGTGGGCGCATGAAGAGTCACTCGGTATCGCAGTGCTGCTGACTCTGGAGATCTATGCTGCTGGTTAAAGATACCATCGGTGTCATGGGGAAGGGGCCCATGTAATGGTCCATGATTCGAAGCAATGTCTGTCGAGTCAGAGGCTGCTATCATCAAGGAATCCAATTGGGCAGGAGCCCCCAGGAACGGGTCTGACCTACCTTGTTGAAGATGATTGCCCTGGGACAATAGACCTAGGGAGTCGTATTCTGAGTGACGTCGAAGAAAGGGTTCGGGGGAATCGGTGAGTTCAGATAAAAGGGGGTTAATGCTGTGCAGAGGGTTAGGGTAACGAGAGTCATGCGTGGGATCGCTAATTGATGCCCCCTCCGCCTGATGGGGATCGAAGTTGGATAGCCGATTCCAGAACCCCGGAGTGGTCGGAGCATTGCAGTCGTGAGCTGGAGTGTGCAAGTCACCAGCAGGGCCATGCAATACGGTGCACATGCGACTGCCCAGGACGGAGCAGGAGCAATTCTGTCGGGTGATGGGCGAGAGAAAGTTGACGGGGCTGTGGTCCACCGACATACTCTCCGTCTTGGGCACGTGGTCGGCGGCATCAGCATCCTGAGGCAGCGCGTCCTGAGGCACCCCATGGTCGGCAGGGTCCCCCAAGGGAGTCTGTGGCGAATAAGATCGGCTGGCTATACTCCCAAACTGTCTCTGGAAGTCCCGAATGAACGATTCGTCTGGTTTCTGGGATGTTCTCCTTGAAGGAGACGGGGAAAAGTCAGTGCGTCTTGTGCCATGAAAAACAGGGATATGCATTCCCAGGAGGAATTGTGCGAGGTCAATTTACCTTTTTCCGAACATATTGGGTCGATCTACCAGGGTTAGGAGGGACAATTGACATCCACAAGCTTTTGAGACGTTGCGGACTGTTTTATTTTCTTTTCTTCTTTTTTTATGCCTCTTCTGGATCCTGGATGGACCAATCTGGGGTTTACCACCGGTGGGAAGATTTAAGATAGGACTGTTAAGGTAACTGTCTCAGGAAAAGCCCGAGTCAGGTGATGACGGCGGCCACAGGGCAACCCAAACAAAGCCCTTGGGCCGGGGAGTGAATTGAGCTTATGCTAATGATAGGGGAAAGGAGGAGAGGGAGTTTGAAGACGGAGCCCTTTGGCTGCGCAAGCAAAGTCACACCTTCCTCGTGGGAATCGCAAGTGAAGGGAGAATACAAACGGGCCTAAGTGATAGGCCAATGCCATTCACTGACTACCTAGTCGATGGTCAAGGCCGAGCCCGGTGGTGAATTAAATAATGACGATGCTGTATAGACAGCTGCGTGCACCAACGAAGGCGTGCGACGGAGGCGGACGATTCCAGAAAGATCTTCGCGGATCTATGCGCAGTGCCGGACTTGTGGTAACTTTGCCAGCGTCGAAAGTATAAGGTATCTCGACGAGAAGCTTCACAGACTTGACGATTGAGGCTTGCGGGGAGTGACTTGGACCACGGAACATCGTTAAGCCACGACGATAAACTCATCGCCAGAAGTCCTCTGGCAGTGGGAATAATACCTCAGGCCGGCCACTTTGATCGAAGGTGCTGGAGAGTGCCACGCACTGTTCGTTGCCGCCACACGGTCAGTCGCCGCCAGAACGTCCCGCTAGTCCTCTTTCGGTAGGTCTGGATGACGATCGAGTAATGCCACGCAGATCCTGATTGGGCCGGCATCTCAAGCCGCCACGCAGCAGAGAGCGGGCCTCAGGCTAAACCCCAGGCTAAACCCGGAATGGACGCTTCTCTATGTTTCGACGACATCTTCATCCGCCCAGCATTGTGGGCAGGTCTCCATATGATCCCCTGGCGACCGCTGGTTCTGACATCTTGGAGTCCCCTATCCCCTCCATCCCAGTCGTTCCAACTTATATGCCCGTCCATATAGCAGAGCGGCATCTTGTCTCGCGATAGACAGGGTTGGTATCCGCTTATAGTAAGAGGGGGATGCACTACCGGAGCGAATTCACACAATCCTCCTTTTTCCGGTGGGTAAATGGGAAATCAATTTTCGCATGCTGATGTCGATATTCCAGGTGGTTATCTCTTACTAATGGATGCGGTGAGGTGGTATTTATGATCCTACCATTCTGCATCGTGTGAGTTGATGGGATGAGTTCCGAAAGTCCCGTGCCTCTCTTGCCTTAGACTTGGGCTTTGGCCTTGTGTCCTGAGGCCACCTTCTGGACCTTCCACCTTGACTCTGTCCACCGTCATCGTCCTAAACTCCTTTCACGATTCCGCAGCAACCATCATCCAACCACTTCATCTCATCTGTCTTCAGTCAGATCTCGATCTACAATCTCTGAAAACCGTGATCGGCATTCAGCACGCTGTATATCTCTATCTACGACACCGTGACCCAAAGGATAGCTACTGTCATCGCCCATACAAAAGGACATGATACCACGAAGTTCAAGGGCGAGCGATCCGCCCAGTATCTTTTTCGACTCCCTGATCTACTTTGTCTCTGAATTCGCTCAGTCAGAATCACCGATCGGCATCTTCATGTGTCCAGGACACAACGACTGACGAGAAACCCTCGCGCTGTTCCGATCGGCTCGACCTCGTTACATCGCCAGAGAGCGCGTCAACTACCGCGCGTGAGACGATATCTGCTATCATCTCTTGTTGACATCACCCAACCAGATTCCCCTCCAGCAGAATCGTGCCGTTGAAGTTCCGCTCGCGCCGCTGCCGTTAGAAACCTCTGTAGTCAATAATCGCCAGTCACTTCACGCCGTTTAGCGGATTCCCGATCGCCGACCGTAGGTATTTGATGCCTTCCACAGCAACACACCGTCCAGCCGATTCATCGACTCGCGACCGACCTCACACTCTATGCTTCTGCCGGACGTATATTCACCTATCGATGATGCAATGCGCCTAGAATACAGGACACGATCCCTCGAGCCAGCCTCACACGATCTTCGCCGGTTGACGGGTCGAGGCAGAAAGTATACTCAATCGCAGAATACCACAAAGAATATGATTTTTGGGGCAATTGGAGTACCAGCTCGTTGGAGAGAGAGAGATCGAGTGCGCGGCATCTACGTTCCGTCTCCGCCATCCCCAGCCCTAACTCTCGCTCTGCCGGGTTTACACTTTGCTTTGCATTTCAAACTCGCGGACTACGCACTCGCTGATCCATGGCCTTCGGACAACCTCCCCGACAGACTCAGGTAGGGTATGTGGTGGTCGCGAGGCAGTGCGGATGGGATATATTCTCCGAAACTGGAAGATGACCCGGTTGGTGGATCTCACAGAGACGATCGCATACTTCGTAAGATTGGGAGTCGCGGGGCGATGGTTCTGCTTCTGGTTCGAGCTCGGACAACGGGTAACTTAATCTCTGTTCCGTGGTCGTGGTTTGAGATTGGAGGAGGAATCCCGAGCGAGGACCGAGGTAAGTACGGAGTAGGTCGTAAGTACAAATATTTCTTCATCGAATGAGACGTGGCGAATGAAGAAGAAATCAGCCAGAAAAGAAAAAAAAAATTAAAATAAAAAAAAAAGAAGCAAAATCAATTTTCTTTAGAAAGCGTACCAAAAGATCGTACCCGCGCTGTGTCGATGGATATATAACTTCAATATATGTATCCAACAGTAAACCCCTACTGCCAAATATACTACAGAGGACACCATACGTAGTAGCCAACAAGCTCATCCATTGAAGAGAAATCCCGTCAATACTATCAATATTTCTTACATTAATATGTAGCATCCACGAGCATGTGAACGGAGTGCCGGTTTGGACCGTTGCCCTTGGATGAATTTTAGTAACAAAGCATGATTGAGAGCTGAGCGATCGACAACCACCCCTGCATACTCAGGCCAAACAAATGACAGCCTGGAAAAGTTGGCGCCGACCAAGGAAAACGAATGCCTTAGACTCCAGGCAGACAACTGTCTATTATCTGATTGGCGGGTCGCATGCCGGAAGTGGAGGCCTGAGGCCATCGTACTGACTAGCGGGTTCCGTGGATTTGCAGCAGATTTGGGTCAGTTTTGAGTAAGACAATTTGTTTTGTTATTCGCTTTCGGGGTTTGCAGTGATTTTCTTCCCTCGACACGGTGTAGACGGGCTTATTTCCACAGCCCATTGATTTTCACCTGGGGAAAATATCTACTTGGTCCCTTACCGAGCTGGGTAAAGTAGAAGGCCCACGGATAAAACTCGGCTTCTGGAATAACCCCAGACAGTCGATTTCATCATGATTAATTAATCTGCTTCCTCTGAATTTCGGTGTTTCATCAAATACATCTCTTTCATTAAAACGCTGACAATAAATCAATAAATTGACTGAGCATATCCTCGTGAGCCCTTGAATGTCCCGTGACTTCCCGATATCTATGCCTATCCAAGTCCCTAGGTGATCAGCAGCAACCAGGATCAATCGCACATGCAAGTCGCACGAGCTCCCCAATACAACTGTTCAATATAGATGGGTCGACGACCGGTGGCTTTGTTTGTGGCACGGTACAACCAATGTTTGTTTGTCTGATCGGGGTATGATGTCACCATCCCTGACTGGCTTCTATTCTGGCCGGGGCGACGAAAACGGGCGACTGGTGGTACAGTCCATCCTTTCGTTTGCGGGGTCGAGACAAAGAATCAGAAAGTCAATACTGTGCACACCGAATGTCGAGTCCTGGAGGTACCGAGTATCGAAGCGGTTGGAAAGCCAACATGACCGGTGCTCAGATGGATGCCCCTTTAGGGAGGTCAATATTCCCAAGCCTCGAACCAAAGGCATAGCTAACATCCTAGGGGTGATTGATAGCAGCAACTCCACTCGACCTGTTACCTGTTTCACAATCCCCCCCGGAATTCAGCCCATTGGCCGGGCCAGACAGCCTGAAGAGGACTGACGTGTTGATGCTCGTCCCGGTTGGTCTGAGCTAGGGTTCTGGATGTCGACCCGGCCAATCATGGTGACCAGACGGGCATGATCTGCCCGTTGCGAAAGCCTGGAATTGCTGGTCAATCTGGTCTATCGCTCCATCTGCTCAAGTCGGGTTCGCATCCCGTCAGATACAACGGTCTGGTCGCGGCCATGTCCCCCTTCATAAAGACTGGCGCCCGCTTTTTGCCCCCGTCACGGCCCCTGTCGCGCGAGGTACATGACCTTGCTGTTGTTTGTTGCGCTTCGTATATAACAAGGATGTCTCCCAACAGTGTCTGGGTGCTTGGTCTACTCTACTGCGTATCCACTCAATAGCCCGACTTGGTATGTTTGCTCTCGTGGCCCCGGGGTATTCATGCACCTGCTAAGAAATCTATCATAAAATCCAGCCGTGCCTCGATCACTGTCGCCTCGACATCTTTTCCGCGAAATGCCCCATCTGGTCCCCTCCTTTCTTTACGATCAACCATGTCCGCCCAAATAATCCACCCTCCTACCGAGAGCTTCCCTTTTCCCGACACCGCAACCTCCAGCTCCTTTGCCTCGTTACCGACCGTTGCGCTGACCCCGGGTTTCTTCTCGCTTCCCTCGCTAGCAAACGAGCCGTGGCCACCGTCAAACTGCCCCCCGACGCCTCCTGCCCTGCCTTCATGGGCTGTCAAACCCGACCCTGACCAGCAGCAACTCTGCATCGACCCGGCTCTCCAACCCGATCATCATTATCATCAGCAGAAGCAGTCCCAAAGATCCCAACGATCTAGAAAATCCTCCACCCCCTCGTCCTCCTCCGACATCCCAACCACCAACAACACAAAACGCGAGCAATTCCTCGCCCGCAACCGCCTCGCCGCAAGCAAATGCCGCCAAAAGAAGCGCAAACACAACAAAGAACTAGAAAGCCAATACGAAGCCGTCGCGCAGCGCAAGAAACAGCTCCAGACAGAAGCAGACCATCTGCGGAGCCAGGTGCTCCAGCTCAAAGACGAATTGCTGCGCCATTCGCAGTGCAACGACGACTCGATCAAGGGGCATTTGGCGAAGATGGTGAATCAGGTCACCAGGAAGAGTTCGACGTTTATTGACGTGAATAGTCTTTTGACGACGGATGCGGAGGGGAGTTCGGAGGTGAGGGGGGGTAGTAGTGGGGATGGTAGTTCTGCTGATACTCCTCATACTACCCCTCCTACTGTTGTTGGGGGTGCTGGTATCACGGCGGATAGTCCGCTGCTGCAGGAAGTTCTGGAGAGAGAGCGTCGACAGTCCGGACGATGGGCCTTTCCTATTAGCTATACGGGCAGTGGACCTGGTCACAGAACGGAGGTGGATTTTGATGATTTGATTAATTTTGGTTGAGGCTGTTCTGATTCTACTCTGCGTGTTGTTTTTGGAGTTTAGCTCGGAGTCTCCTGTCTATGAGTTATTATTTGCAAGGGTTCCACGGGGTTGTTTCCTGTTATGCTTTCTTATATTTCTTTTTGTATTTTCCCCCTTGTTCTTTCGGACCACCCACGACTGTACACGAAGTGAACGTGAGCGCTTGAATCTTAGCTTTTACGATTTCGTCATTGACTGATTCAATCATATCTGTTCCTGTCTATTTCAGACGAGCTTCCGCACCCCATGTATAATGTACACCTGGCTTGATTGGCCGGGTGAGGTGAATTGTACATAAACCACCATTGCCTGGCCATGGTATTCTACATCCCGAAATGTGGTTTGGCCTATTAGCTGTCAGAAACAAGTATTTTCCAACGTAGTATGATAGTAACTATATAATGTGTCCGAGTCAGCAGAATTAAGTGACACGTAAGCAGGGGAAGCGTAACAATACAACTTACACCTTAGGCATCCATAATGCCCAATGCAGAACTAATGCAGAGCGGAGAGTGCGCTACCCAATCAAACAGATAGCATCATTGAAGAATTCCTCTCCATGTGTTGTGAGTTGAGTTTGTGAATAGCCTCAGCGTTTCCACTTCCGGTAGGAAACTTTCAGTTTAGATCCATTTGACGAAATCAGGTTCGAGGAGTTAGAGTTTGATGAACGAGTACCTTACTTCCGGTCGTAAAGTACTTAATGCTCCGGTGGTACCTATCTCTCAACATGTCCGAAAGGTTGTATTAAGTACAGATGAGAGGAAGGGCCAACTTACGGCACAAGGAAGTGATATCCGGGGAGAAGGGGAGAGATGTCCAGGTATCCAGGCAGTCATGCCTGTTTTGGTATAGGCATAAGCATGTGACTGCATCAGCCCGCGCTGCCCCCAACTCCGTAGACTAGATGTCGTCTCGACCTGACCTGGCCCGACCCTTCCATTTGCACAACACCATTACTTCCTACACAGGAGGCTGGAAGAGCCTGCCTCGGCAGATTCACCTATGTAGGGGAGTGCCAGACACTCGCGCAACTTCATTGCTGACTGAAGTCAATTCAACTACCATTGTTTACTTTCTCGGTCCTGGCATCTGCCACTGGGTTCAATTCCCAAGTGACATCAAATTTGCTCACAGACCCAACGTCATCCATCACTTATATCCTCAGGACCGAGAAGGAATACTTGAATTGAGATTATCCCCTAACACTACTAATAATCCGGACAAGCCTAGGAAGATGCACGCCGTCGACGATGAGTGTCCGAACCAACCGGCAAAGTTTTACAAAGTTGGCACAACCACCACCACCACAGAACTCTTGAATTTTGGAACAAGCATAAAACACGAAGACGGGCCGAGATCAAACGCACAGCCAACTCCTTCCAATTAATTCCGTCGTTGTTGTCTTGATCGTGGAACTCGAAAAGAGCCCGGGTCGGTTTGCGGAGCGGCAGCCGAACGCGGGCGAATGTTGGCTCAATCCTGGTCGCGACAAGGCGACTCGATTGCTGAACTTTGAAACTTATCTCTGACGGACGAGCTTGGATGAAAAGGTCGAAAATGTGGAGCCAATGACTAGTCTGGGACTGGAAGATGAACAAGAAATACTTGCAAGATGCAAAAGCTATCGATATTCATCGTCACGGTTCGGATACATTCTCTTTCCATTTGAGCTGTCTTTTAGACATCTAGGACTTCGGCACTAATGTTGATTTCCATCCCTTAGACAATACGACTGGCCAGCCTGCGTACCAGTGAGCCGAAACCAATTTCAATGCATCTTCGCTATTAGCCATTCCATACGACCCATCTGCCCGATACAAAAGCGTCCCGGATAGCGTCGAAGCCTGGAGCCGCGTAATCGAGGACAGAACATTTCAACAAGCCCAACGCCTTTCAGCTTTACAGAATTAAGTCTGGAGAGGTTCATCGAAGTTACATTGCTCACTGGGTGTCTCTTTCATTATTGGTTCGTCATGAACAAAGAGAAAGCCTTCCATACCATTTCGACAATGACAACTTACCCCTACACCCAAACATTGCTCCGCGTCTGTGGCATCAAATCCAGCAACTGATATGTCATGCGCACGACAGTGAAAATATCCGCCGACCTTTCGTCCAAAATATATTCAATCCTCATTTGGCCCTCCTGTTGCACCCGCGACGTTGATCCTAGGCAGTTCCACAGCTCCAGGATTGGCTCCAACATGTCCATCAGCCGATGTGCGGCAATGTCACCGCTACTGCAGAAGCGTAGGACGGTGAGGCACGTATGGACGTGGGCGGGAAGATCGGTAAAGCTACCGCTGCTGTCTGTAAAGTATTTCCGACAAATCCCGAGTAGCAGCACGATACACACGTCGAAGACGGCACATCTAGCATCAATGTTAGGCTTCGGTATCACTCACTATCCCCCGAGCAAGGCATGTTCAAGGTAGTCACGCACACAACCAGCCAGCACCGCGTCATTATCACTTCTTGGCTGTATAGCAGCGAGGCGATCCGAGCAAGCTGGATAGAGAAGGCTGTGTAGGTCTCACACATGTGCTTGGGCACTTGGTTGAAAAGACTCCCCAGCAGGTGGACGCTTGGTTGCGGACTAGGCCCCCCTGTGCAATTTTGGAACCCTTCCAATAGCCGACAGTACAGCTGCAACCGGGAGTCTATATACATCATATGCATCAGGTACAAGGCTTTCTCTTGAGTCAACGTCCGGTCCACACTGCTGAGTGCTGCGAGATGCAGCTCTGGTGGCAGAGCTTGATGCCATTGGTCCAGTTGCCCGGCTAGCCTATCTGCGTGGATCCAAAAGCTGGAGTCCTGACATTCGGCCATCTCGGCTAGGATCTCCGAGGCCACGAGGACTAGCCTTGTCATATAAGATTGGATGAGCATTGTTAGTAAAGCCTCGCTGTTGGAGTCTATATCCAAAGCCACTGTGCAGTGCACCTGACCTCGAGTCAGCGTGGGTATCTTATGTCAATTATTCAACGTCCAGAATGCTAACCAAATCTGTTTCGTTCTTTCTCAAACAGTTCCGGTATCCTAGCGAGAATGAAAGCCACCTAACCGTCATTAGTATCAGCAGCAGGCACCACTCCTGTTAGCGTACCCTTCAAGGAATATCAATGTTTGCAATGTCCGTCGGTATTCGTCGTCACTGATGACATCGGAAGTAGCGCTCTGTAATCTGGCGTCCATATCCACTCTCGCCAGGTTCAACGCAGACACTGAGAGTATTTAGACTCGGGTATTCACCAGCCAAGAAGCTTACTTATCAACAGTCTCGCATTGGAGCTCTTATCCATGATACAGCTCATACAGAGCAAAACAAAAATCCGCATTCCCTGGATATGACTCGCCTCGAACGCCTCATTTAGACTGGCAGAGGCGAGGTAGAAGAACGCCGCCCGCGCTTCATCACAAATCTCATCGATCTTATAATGGCAACCGATCGCAGCACATGCGGCAACCTCGCAGACGTCCTGTGCCGTCGCATCATTGGTGTGAAACACTTTGTCGAGTAGCTGGCCCGACTTTCTCTCTGTCGTCACATAAAACAAGGTCGCCGCACACTGGAAGAACGCCGCAACCGCGCGTCGCGTAGTCGCCTCGTCAGGGAGTCGATCGCGCCTGTTCTCCCAAGGCCGCCCGTACTGGATCTGTCTACCCAACGGACCGACCAACGGATGAGAAGCGGTGGCAGCGTAGAAAAGACGCTGTAAGTCTTGATCGTCGGGGGGCGTGCTCTGCTGGGTGCTCTGTTGCGTGCTCTGCTGCGTACTCCGGTAAGTCCGGGATGAAGAACTTCCAGATTCCACTTCATTGTTATTGTTTCTTGGAGTCTGATCCTCACGTTGACTTTGACTTTGATCCTCCTGGCTCGGAGCCTGAACGAAAGAGACTGCCGTCCCGTCAGGCCGGAGCAAACCCCGTTGCTGAACGATTTGTTCGAGATAGGCGTTTCGTTGCTCGAGGGCTTTGACTCGTGCTTTCCAATCTTCCTTTTTCCGTCCGTCAACGCCGGAGTATTTGCATTCGATGTTGAGCCCCTGACAACTTTCGCAGGGCCTTAAACCATCGCACTAACCGAGGTACCAACTTGTTAGAGAAGTTCTGACATTCCCTCAGATCAAACGAGATAAATATAAGGAATAGAATACCCGTTTTCGCAGCTCCCGACATTTCTCGCACGCCCTTGCGACCTTTGATGTTTTCTTCAGGCTCCTAGGTGGTGGGAGTGGTAGGCCACGCTTCTGGGCGAGAGGATGTAGTCTCTCCATCATATCTCATGGTTGTATGGGTTGATGCGATGAGAATCAAAAACATCATTTATCAAGGTGGGGCACCGTTAGTGGTTGCAGGTGACCTGACCTCTTGAAAGTGGGTCCCGCGAACTGAAAACGCTTATTAAGCAGGTTTGGTCACATGACGCTCGCACCACTAAATTTTTTCTTTTCAATTCACACGACCTCTTTCAATACAATACAGTTTTTTGACTTATTTAATTTATTGAATGAATACTATATAACTAATATAGAAGTATTTACTAAGTACTTAATAATTGTTTAGTATGCAAAGTACTTGTAGGGTATTTATTAGGGATTACGTAGGGTAATTATTAGAGTAGGGTTATTAGGGATTAGGGTCCTTTAGAAAATATTATATATATATATATTTTAAGTAGTTATCAAGTATTTGTTAAGTAGCTAATAAGTAGCTTTTAAGTACTTAGATATATTATTAGTATCATTAAGTACTTATAGGCTGCGGCAGCACCGGATGGATCGTACAATAATATCATATCGTATTGTATCGCAGCCGACATTGATATAATTATAATATTTAGATTTTTTGTCCAATACAATTACAATATTCAATTTAAATTGCTGAATAATTGTTCGATATCTATTTGATAATAAATTTTATAAACAATCCAAGACTTCTAATCTGAACAAATTGACATAAATTATGCATTTTTCACAATATTTTTAGAATATTCAATATATAATTGATCTCATATTTATTGATGTGAATTTGTGTTTTACAATCTTTTTTGTTAATTAATATATTTTGTTATTTTTTATTGCAATAACAAATATTCAATTGTTTAAAATTATATTACAAATTATCAAATTCAAATTTGTTTACTTGTTTTGATTTTTTTCAAATTCTTTTCAATTGTTTCTGCGTGTATTCTTCAATTAATATTTCAAAAAATAAAAGATCATTATCATTATTTTTTTGAACTTTAATAATATTATAAAACCACTTGTGCCGTGATTGTTTGTTTTGAATTGTAACAAATATAAAATTTGTTTATTTAATTGCATAATCATTATTTAAATTATTATATAAATTATTTGATATATCTTCAATTTAATAGCTTTTTTTTCATCATTATTGATCGATTCAATATCATTAAACAATAAAATTGATTTTCATATTTAATCGAATATAACAATTTCATTATTAAAAAAATATTTTTTGATCATTTCAAATTCGATTTGTTAAAACTTGAATTTTAATGCAAACAAATGAAACATTAAAAATTAAATTATTTTAAATTTTAATTGTTTTCAACAATAATAACAAACATCACAAACACAACTAAAAAATCGTTCAACATCAATATCATTAACAAATATTGCTAAAATATCTTGTGTTATCGCTGCAAGTATTAGATATTCATATTTATGTTTTTTTTTAGAATACTCTTGACTTGTCTTTAATAAAATCTATTAAACAATTTAATTAGAAAACTTTATAATAAAACAAAAAAATATACAAATTTTTTGCAAAATATCATATAATTTCATTTTTCGGTCGACCAATTTCATTTTGTAAAATAACGTGTGAATCTATCATAAAATCAAATTTTTTTGTCAAATTCTTAAATGATTTGGACTTGAAAGGATTCATTTCAAAAAATAATATGCTATTAATATTAATTGAATTCTTTTTGTAGTTTATCTCGATAGATTGACATTTAATAAATATCTTTTTCCTTTTCATTTTTTTTATAGTCATTGTTTTCAAAGAACCGAAGTTTTTTTTAAAAAACATAAAATAATTACAATTGCATAAACTATATCAAATGATTCGATATTAATTGTTTTATAATATTTTAAAAGTTTTTGTTTCATTATTTGTAATGTTTGAAGCATTTTTTTTTCAAAAAATAATTTTGCATTTTAATAATTTTTCAACATCATCAAAATGGCCAAAGAATTCATTATAGATATTAAAGATAGAATGAACAATAATATTTTGAATTTTTGATAAGATTTTAATGTAATAAAAAAAAGATTTTGTAATCAAAAAAAGATATTTTATTTAATATCATTCCTCTGAATCGAACTGAAATTGAATATATTAATAAATTAAACAATATTGATTGAAAATTCGTTATAATATTTTGACACGTTCTAAAATTAAAAAAATAAAATTCCAACGTGTGTGAACATCTTAAATAAATAAAAGTTTGACTTTATTATTTAAAACGTTCGAAAAGCCTCTCGACGTTGAAGATTAGCGTTAATAAATATAACAAGTTTTCGAATCTAAAATATTTTAATAATTATAATCCTTTAATATAATATAATACATTTATCTTTTTTAATGTAATTATGATATTTTTTAAAAAATAACACAAAACAATCTATAACAATTTTATATATTCATTTAGTTATTTTAATTCAGTCTCTGCATTCTTTGGATTCGCTTTAATCTATTCAAAAAGAATTTCACAATAATTTCAGTCCTAATCAAAAAAATATTCAATAATTGCCACAAATGTTTGATCAAAAGAAAAAATCCAACAATCTAATGCAATAAAAAAATAATTTCTAAATAGAAACTTATTAAAAACATTTTGCTGCTATTCTTAGACTTCATTATTTAAAAATTGTTTTATACTACAAACAGACGAGATATTAAACTTTGAATTAACAAATTTAATATATTGCAATAATTCTTTAAATCTCAAATAGTTTACAGTGCAGAATGAAAAACAAATAATTATGATAAATTTGAAGATTTTCTTTTAAAAAATGATTTGACTAAATTTTGTGTTTGTGGATTGATGTAATTAAATAAAAATAAAGAGTATTAATATATAATATAGATTAGATTTAAAAATAAATTTATTATTTTTTATAATAAATGATTAATATCTTATTTTGTAATCTTCTGTAATTTAACATAAATTATATTAATAAAATGAATCTTCATCGACAATCAATCAACACAACTATTTTTTAAATAAATGATTATATTTTAACAATATTTACACATAATTTTAAATTTGTTAATCTTGATATTTGCAATTTGATCAAATAACTTTCAAATATCAGACTTTTTGAGATTATTATTTCAGTAAACAAATTTTTAAAATTTTTTTTTAAATTAAATTCAATCATTAATCATCATTTAACAAAATACTTTCATGATTCATTTGTTGTTTAGTCACTTTTATTGTTATTATAAAATATATAGATTTGTTGGCGAGATTTGCAAACAATACATCTAAATAAATCGAATGCGTGAAAATATTGAAACAGAAAAAAAAATTCAAAAAAAGAAATTAATTGTATTATAATCTGATTATTTGTCATGTTTAAAAAATTATCTAATTGTAAAATATTTGAATCAATGAATGAATCAACATATTAAAATATTATATATTGACTCGAAGATATTTGAAAATGAGATATAATGAATATAAAATTAAATAAAAATAATAAAATAATTAGATTCACGAGTGTAAGGAACATAAACCATTGAACGTAGGTATATATTAGCAAAGAATAAGCTGCATGGGATGCAGCAACTGGATGTGGACAAAAGCCCTTATTTATGATATTGCCTACTACCAACATGACTACCAAGAATCGAAAGATTCCTGACAAAAAATTCCATATGAAGAGATCTTACCGGCAAGTTCATGAAAACATGCCGAAAGATTCTTAACATTATTTCTTTTAATTGAAAATATGAAATCTCTCGAACGCGAATACAAAACAATAAAAAAACACTTAAAATAAATAAAAAAACTAATCAATTAAAAAGACCGTAAAAACAGAAAAATCAAAAAAATACGACAGCAGCAACAACTTATCAAAATAACGAGCGTAAAAATTTAAAATAAAATCCACAAAATGTTTAAAATCCCGTCAAGATTGTCATGAAAGATTTGAATTCTAATCTTTCCAATCATTTTCGAATAAAATTTTATATTACACGTTTTACAATATCTTTCGACAATCAACAATTTCACTAATAATTTATTTCGAATGCTTTTCTTTAATATCTGTATTCATGATTACAACAAATTCTTAAAAATTCTCATATTGATTCGGGTAAGCCGCGTCGATCGAAAAAACAAAGTGTAATAAAAATAAATAAAACACGAATGTGATTTTGCCAATCAACATAGAATCAAATAAAATCAATTTATATATTTTATTATCAATATTCCGAATAATCGACCATAAATCGAATGTTTTAAATGCAAAAGACTAGCTTTCACGTTATAAACAAAAATTGCGAACATTCACATAAACGCAATCATCTATTCGATAAACTAAATAAAACTGACAATAAATATCAGCATATCAAATATAAAATTCTTAAATCCAAATAATCTCGTTGCAAAAAAATTCTCGAATATCTTCAATGCAACAAATCAATCTATCAACTGCTTCCATCTCAAAATGTATAATATGTAACAAAGATCCAAACGGCTCAATCTCGATACAAAAATAAAAACCATTATTTGCAAAAAAAGAAATCATGTCAATTGTCTCAAAAACGTAATCATTAATTACAAATTGCGCATTTAAAAAAAATCGATCCAATTGTCTTGTATGAAATTAATATAAACGCGAAAATAATTTTTTAAATTTTTTATAATCGCTTCAAACTGATCATTGATCTCAGAATGATATACAATCAAAATCTTATCTTTAATTGCATATTACACGCAATAACATTTTCATATATTGCTTGTAAAAACGCTGTCACAATCAGAAATAATCAAATGCGAAAAATTATGTTTAAAAAAGACACATCAATGCATAATTTCTACAAATTCATCTATCTTTTTCATAATCAATAATTTAAATATCTTAACTTTAATCAATCGATCAACCACAACAAAGATATTGTGAAATTTCTGTTCGTGACAATTACAAAACAATAAATCTTTAACCAAATTCATAAAGAGATCGAATTATTTGCGTTATAACACTAAAAAAAAACAAAACAGTCTCTATGCTTGCACTGT